AACGCACTGTATATTTAGATCCAGAGGTACCAATACGAGTTTCAGAAAACTCAGAAACCAAAACCATTCTCAATCGAAAGCGAGAACCTTTATTAAAAACACAGAACCCGAGAGTTCCAGGAAAGGTAAGAAAGCAAGTGAGAAAGAAACCGAACCTGTTGAGGAACGCCGAGGGGAGAAGCGGTGATGTAAGAAACCCTGAAGTCGTAGGAGACGAAAGGGTCCGCCGCGAAAGACACGCCGGAGAGAAGAGCAAAGCAGAGAAGGAAGGACGCGAGCAAAGAACAAGTCGCCGCCATAAAGTTAGGTTTTTTTTATTGCGTATCAGTGATCACAAAGCTTACGGATTTGACATAATTATTATGAGTGAATCGAAACGGTAGAGAAGACGAAGCAATGTGTTAAAGTGTCAGTGTGGGTTTTTGAATTTCTTCTTACAAGACACTGGAAAATGAGAGACACTTGACTTTTTTAATATTGTTTTTTTTTTTTGCCTTATTTTTAGAAATAAAGTTTGTTTTCTTCTTCTTTTTTTTTTCCATAAATTTACACAAAAAGAAAGCTTTGCCTTTAAACAGTTCTGAAAAAAGCATTCATATTTTTGTATTTATCCTTATGTGCCAGTGTACTTTTTTGGAGTTTCATTATCTCTTAATTAATATTTGCTCAAAAAAAAATTCTCTCAATTAAAAAAGAGTACAAAAAAATGAACTCAAAGGAAGAGCGTTGAATTGCAAAGATTGAGGAGAAGATCTGGAAACATGTACCAGAAGAATGTGGGAACAAATCATCCAGTTTTTCTGTTATTTTATCATTTCTTGGTCGGGATTTAACTTACAAAATATAGTATAATACTACATTCTTATTAATTAAGTTTATGTTGTTCACCTTTTCTTTTGTTTTTCCTTAGATTTTCTCCATATGTTGCATGTAACTTTCCTACATTATGTCAATTAAGCGTTCCATTAAAGTTTTGATGCGTTGCGATTAGCATATGAAGAAGATTTCAGATGACTATCAAGAGATTGTTGCTAAGTATAGTGGTCTCACTTCCTGATACTTGCGTCTTGCTTAACTAATTACCCTATTAATATCTTTGATGTAGAGTCCCTCCACCAAATTGATAAATGATAATATTGAGTAGCTTTTAATATCAAATACACTTGTACATTTTCTTACGTCTTTCGATCACTTGCTTTCTCTAAATTGAATATAGTTTCATGGCCATATATCTGTCACTTGCTTTCTCTTATTGAATGTTTCATGGCCATTCCCTTTGTCTGAGGTAGGCCTGGGCATAAAATCCGAAATCCGAAAACCGATCCGAAACCGATCCGAAAAATCCGGTTCCGAATCCGAACCGAATAGTCACAAAACCCGAACGGATAATGAATTCTCCTATCCGAATTATCCGAACCGAACCCGATCCGAACCGAAAACCGAAAGGATATCCGAAAACCGAAAATAAAATTATATCTCCAAAAATATTAGTTATATTTAGCTATAATTTTATAACAAATAACAAAAATATCTTAATTAACCTAGATATCGGAAAGTTTTTAGTTATATTTGGTAAAATTTTACATATTTTTGGAAAACTTAGCCAAATTTTAGTAAAATTAAACTATTTTTTATTTAAATTGAACATTTTTTAGTTTTTTTTTGTCTCATAAAACCGATCCAAAACCAATCCGAAACCGATCCGAATCCGACACTATCCGAACCGAACCCGATCCGAATAGTCATAAAATCCGAACGGATAATAAAATCTCCTATCCGAATTATCCGAATCCGAATAAATCCGAACCGAATCCGATCCGAAATCCGAATGCCCAGGCCTAGTCTGAGGTCTCATATATGTTAATCTTGTTCCTTTTGTTTTTAAAAGTACTAGATCATGACCCGTGCTATACAGCACGGGATTTAATATTTTTCATGAATTAAATTGTATATTTTGTTCGAATAAATAAGGAATAATTTAGTATAATAGTATAATATAAAAGGGAATATATCATAATATTTTATATTTATTACTATTTGGATATAATGTTATATATTTTATTTGACTAAAGAAAGAGAGAATATTGTATTTTAGAATTTAATATATTTAGCAGCATTAGATTTGTATTTTTTTATATGAGATTAATAATTTCTTTGGTTCAATTAGGAATTGATAATTTTATTGTGTGATTGTGAACAAACAAAAAAATAGTTGTATTGGGTCTAAGTTTTTTAATGGATTATATTGGGTTTGTGGGACCTAGTTTCATGGTTTAAAAAAAAGGAAAAAAAACGGTTTAACATACCTTTGGAATTTGCTGATCTGTTCCTATTTGATGTCTGCTTGAATTTTGTTACCCTGTAATTAAAATAAGATGACTTAAAACTTACGGCACATATATTACAAAGAGAATTGTATAAAATTTCAATGGTACTTACAGGCTCATCTTTCAAAATCATTTCCAAAGATATGCCAGAACCTTTTGTAAAATGAATCCACGAATGAAATATACTAACTTGAATACAGCAAAAAGTCTTGACATGCTTCAAATTGTTAATAGGAGTGTAGGGACTAACCATAGCCATTTCTGCTGTATTTTTAATTGTAGGATATGAGAATGGTGCTGAGATGATTTCTGTGAGAAAGGTACGTGAAGCCTAAATGGATATTTATAGTTGTAGATTGTTTGTGATAATTAGGAGATTCAGAAATATATTAATTAGCATAAAATAGTTAGATAATATTTTAGAAAGGTATAGATTATTTGGAATATATGATCAAAATTATATAACAGAGAGATTTGACAATCTTTAGAAAAGATTTTAAGGAAACTGAATAGCTGATTATATTGATGCGTGATTAAACTAAACAAAAAACGTAAAACTAAACAAAAAACGATCTAGAATATAACAACTATGATAACTTATTTTTTTTTATAAAGGGTTTTAAGGAAACTGAATATATTCTCAAAGATTTTAGGAAAACTGAATATATTCTCTAAGATTACGAATTGCTTGAATACGAATTTATATTTAAACAAAATATAACAACCTAATATCTTTAAGATCTTTAAACCCGTTTTTCGTTATTTGACCCGTTTTTTTAATTAATTTGTTAATGTTAGTGACATGCAATTAAAATGATTATGATTAGAGATATCTAATGGCATATATTATAATTTCTTACAAAATTAACGTTACGACTTATAGGATGTACTTCCCAAATAATAGTATAGGATTTGCCTTATTAGTTTGAATTGATTTTATTATTTACGAAATCTCCCTAATTAATTAATTACAAAATTATGTGATTATATTGTTTAGATTGTATAATTAAACCCGTCTGATGACCCAATGAAATTGATGATAACAGATGTTTAGGAAACTGAAAATATTGTCAAAGATGATAACAGATGTTTAGGAAACTGAAAATATTGTCAAAGATTACGAATTGTTGTTGAAAATAAATTTTGTTTAGTTATAAGAACGTAGACACATTTTCAATTTTTAGTAACATTTTCAAAAAATGAAGAATTATATAACATTTTCAATTAATATAACATTTTTGAACTATATGAGTATTATAATTCAAAATAGCATTTTTTATTTTTTATAAATTGGATTGATATAAAATGTTTTCAATGATATATCATTTTCATTAACATTTTCAATGACATTTTTTATAAGATGTTCGAATAGTGGATTACTATATAACAAATTGAATAACATTTTTAATTTTCAATAACATTTTCGAATAATATATTAGTATATTAGTATATAACATTTTTATATATTATATAAACAAAATCTTTTATGTATTATATAACATTTTTATGTATTATATAACATTTTTATGTATTATATAATCTCGAATATTGATTGGTATATAATATTCTCGAATTATATTAATTATGTATTATATAAACAAAATCTTTTAATATCTTTAAACATGTTGACCCGTTGACCCGTTAATATATATTAGTGACATGGAATAAATTTTATGATTAGAATTATATAATGACATATATTGTAATTTCTTACAAAATTTAAGTTATGATCCTTAGGATGTACTTCCCAAATATTAGTATAGGATATCTTAGACGTATAATATTCCTCATTTGTTGGGAAAATAGGTTTTTATGATATTTTTTATGCCAACTACCTCATATATTAGAAACAGATAAACTTATTTAATTGAACGTAGTATAAAATTTATCGAACTAAGGAGAGAGATGTCTAGAAGCGTATTAAAATAAGACAAAGTGGTTCTCTTTTGCCATAGTAATTCACACACGGCATGGACAAAAACAAAGTTGCTTCCTTCGAAAGAAACAATCCCTTCACAATCTTTTTTCCTTGAAGTTGCGTTAAAAGTACCAACATGATACTTTTCTATTGATTATTTTACTCGAAATGGTTATGAAAAATCAGATTTTATATGTTAGTTTTCTTCGATAAGATTTTTATATGTTGATTATATTTTATTTGTCTCTTCACTTTTGATCTGTTCCTCAAAACCTGTAGATTTAAGTTATCAAAGCCAGTGTAGAAGATATAGGAGGATTCTTTTGAGTTCTTCAGAAAAAAAATAATTTGAGTTTACACATTTGATGATATACTACAGTACAGGCTATTTGATCAATAACAGTAGATTCTTTAATTTACTTCTTCATTTTATTGTAAATTACACATTCTTACACAGGAGAGATAGCAGCAGCCAAAAGAGCAGCTGCAAAGAGTGGTTACTCTCCCTCGAGACTGGAGCCGAGGTCAGACTGCGACAAAGATATCTCCAGACCACCAAGGTATCATCATCACCTTGAGTAAATATCCGAACTTAATTTTCGCAAGAGAGAAGCTATACACTAGAGCCTCTTCTTCTCTATAGCAAAAAGTGATGCACATTGCCTTATATTTACAGCGGCGAAGCTTGGAATGTTTGGTGGTGTGTAAAGACTTAAGGATATGTCCCCAATCATTAATCTATACCTAAGGTTGAAATGGAAGTGCTTAGTATATTTTACACAAACTATCATCACATCTGGAGAAGATTGTTCACTGTAACAGCAACAGAGTTTGTTCTCTGCAGGTCCTGCAAGATATTGAAACGCATCATGTTCAAGTATCAAGTCACGTGAATCTTAGTACTGAACTATTCATCACTTAAGGACCAGTCTAGAGCAAACAAGAGACCAAGTATCGGACGATGGGATCAGGCAAATTGACCACATAAGTGAACTGATAAAATTCGGTTTCAGGTATGAATATATGAAAATCGTTCCTTCCAGTCAATGCAGAAGACAGTCTAAATGACCCACCAACTCAACCATGTATGCACTTCCCGTCAAAGCTTACAGAGTATCCAATATGCACTTAAAATTTACCTGGAAAATAATTTCATCGGGCACGTGTGGCATGACTTCCCTGACAGTCTCGGCCATAGCTAGTATATTTGCCAAGCTTTCATTTGTCGTGCTTGATACAGTTCTCAGATGCAGACCACCTGTCCTTCCACCAGTACCAGGAGGTACAGTTGTAGAAGAAGTGGATGCTTGTGAAGGGTTCATCGGCCATAGACTCCAAGCAGCATCGTCAAGTGCAGTTTGAGCATAGCTTTCGCCAACAGATGCAAGATGCCTCATCATCATCTGAACTCGCCCCAGTCCAACTGACCTGGAAGCGGTAGAGGGACCAGCAACATCAGAACCCTGACCTGACCATGTCTGCAGCCAGCTTGGATCCAATCCTAAATTCCTATTTTGTGAAAGAAAAGGATGAGAACTTATACAATCCAGTTCAAAATGCAACTCTTTAAAAACAAATCCAATAAATATGCACAAATATTAATTGCGATCCAAAACATTAATAATGTTTAATTTAAAGTAATGCAAATTTAGTATATCAGCACCAAGATCAAGGGAGTCACAGGAAAGGAATCATTAAGTTCTAAGCAAACTGTTACGTTGGTGTAGTTAATAAGAAAATCAAGGACGAAGAATGAACTGAACCTCGAAGTATCATTTTCGACGGAATTTGGCACCTCGGCAGGAAATAATCCAGTGGCTAGTGCATTTACAGGACTGTTTTGTCTTTCAAGTTGACGGGCTAACTGCTCATCGCTTGAGACTTCCACTGTGCGAGGGTTCACCTCACTTTCAGTTCTACCAACAAAAAGAGGCTTACGACATGTAGGACAAGAATAAACCTCATTTAGACCTTGATCCAACCTGCCAGCATCAAAACATCATCAGGATCACCAGTTTCAGTCATAAAGACATGGGGCTGTCGATATTTAGCTAAGCGCACCAGGATCGCAGGCATCCAAGATGGAAAAGGTGGTTGCAGTGAAGCCTTTTAGCCTTAGCCATAGGTTCCTGCCATTTATAGTTGTATTTTAAGAGTTTGAGATTGAAAACTTATAAGAAAATTGACCCTATAGCAGAAGCATACCCGACATATAGCACATTCATCATCATATGCCCTTAACTCTTCAGAAGTTGCATCGGGGAGGGCTGCATGGAGAGCCCCCAGAGCTATTCTTAGTTTAATGTATCCTTTTATTCGTTTCAAAATTGCACTTAGCAATGCCTGCCAAACCAGACAGAGAACCAGGTCAAAAATATGACAATTGAATGCTGTGCCTAGTATCAGTAACCGGGAGAGTGACAGTGTTTTAAAGAAAGCCAATTAACAAACATACACGTATGTTGAGAAACAAAACTGCATCCACCAGATGAAAGGCAATGCCATGCAGCCACCAAATGTGCAAATAATGACCTAGTGCCATTACCAAAGTAGCCATGTCCAGGAAGAAACCAAGATTACGGTTGAGGAGGCCCTTCCATTCCAACAGTGCGCCTATCCAAAGATAAGAATTTACCTTGAGATTTGGAGTTCCATTAGACCAAAAATGTCCACAGGAATGCATTCCCGGGATCTAATAGAAAAACAAAGCATAACACCAGAAAAGATTTTACCTGCTGTCATGGAATCGATAAACTTAGATCTTTGGCAGTCTGAGTTCTTAACTGCTAAGTGGTTAATCCACATATCTAGCAGCTGAAACCCATGAATTAACAGCGCCTGCAAAAAATTCTGATGAGCTCTATATTTTGTTGACCATTGCTACAAAAGAAAGACAATGAGTAGGACAAAGAAGACAACTTTTATAAATGAAGTACCTGCAAGGTCTCAAAAGCTATACTGCATGGCTCAAAAAGTAACAACAGATACACAGAGGAACCAATTGTATTGTATGTCATAAGGGAAAGTTTTATCCTGCAAGATTGGAAGAGAAAAGTAAATCCTTTTATTCAGTATATCATCCAGACATGCTTGAAATTGGTTACTAAAAGTTATCACACGAAGAGATCAAACATAATGAACTCAGACACAACACTTTCCTCGCTCTACGGCATCCACATTTTCACACAGAAGTTTTTGGCTTTACTTTCACCTTGACGCAGAGTTCATGCATAGATGAATTTCAGGATAACATCTCTCACAGTATAGCAAAAACATAAAAAGCAAGCTATGCACTCTCTCTATGTTGTTAAAGAGCTTTATGAAGTTGTTCTTGACGGACTGCGGTAAATCTAGAAAACATCTACTCTGATCTTTTAAGATAAACCAGGAGTGTTTGAGAAGAAAAACAAGTTGAATGTATAGGATCAAGATCAACTTCCAGGAGCACCAATTTTCACTTGAAATTAAGAGCGTCAGCCATGTAGGTTAATTTTTTTTTTACCTAAGAAGTATATATAGAGTCCAGAGAGAACATTGAATGGAAACATGACTTCGATAGTTTAAGGTCATGAATAGATAGAAAATGCAGCAATTGAATATTTGACACTATACCACAGGGTTTAGGATTTACCAGAACATATCAACAGAGAGGACCAAGAACAGCACTGAATACACACGAAAGTATGTCCAAGGTGTAGAAGAAGGAGATGCATTCAATCGTTCAAGCCGGTCTCTAGCCAAAGCTTGAAACATCTAAATGGCATTACAAGATACACATTAGGGTGTTACAAAAGATAATTCAAAATTTGGTTTCTCGTAAATCAAAAACACGCAATGTTCCATACCTTTAAAGTACATAGAACAGTCAACCAAACTGTCCACAGTACACCCTGAAATATTGTTGGGGGAATCACCAGTGGTAGAAACGTACCCTAAGGATAGGAGGATTAGAAGCGGGAATAAATTATTAACACCCAAAATACATACAGATATCTGCAAATAACTCGAATCAAGGAAACACTACACAAAAATGCAAAGTTCAAGGGGAAATGAAGGGAAAATGTAGCAGAATCATCTGTCTAAGTAAAGACCTCCCTCAAGCCTCAAAAACTATTTTCTTCTCTTTTCCATTATTCTGTCATTATAATAATATTCCATTTGTCTTCCTGACGCAGTTACGATATTGAATAATGAAAACTACCAAGAATATCTCACACGAAACAAAGAATGTAGGTTATTGTATGTCACAGTCTAGTTTTCAATCAAAGTAATAACAGCTACCTTGTATATGATATAATTGGCAAGTCGCTCCACCAACTTTTTAGTTTCAACGTCATATAAATCTCCAAAAAATAGAGTCTGCAGAAGATGTTTAAAAGACATTAGAAGCACAGAAAATTGTCACAAGACATATGTAAACAATCAGTTAAATTGCATTAACAAATGAAATTTGGAAGTTCAATTTCACCGATTTGATAAAGTCTATGAAAGCTAAATATTAGAAAACCCATTGCTTAAATTGCATCCCAGTAGTAAAATGTTACTCTAATAAAGTCTTACCTTGAGAGAAAGTACCAGAAGAATGTACACATTGAGCACAAAATTTGTAAGCAGCGCAATAGTAAAATAAGAGCCGAGAAGCAGCTCAAGCGCATGCTCGGAGTCTCCTAAAGAAATGTTCTTGGCAATCAGCCCATCTGCTCGAAGTCTATCGAGAGACAACTCTGTCCAGACTTGAAGTCCCACAAAGCTGAGAGCTGTTGATGCTACGGAGAGCGGCAAGTACTTTATCCCCATTAGGAACAATAACAGCCTTCCCACTTAAACTTAATCCCCAGATTCTCATTTAGTCATATTAGCATGACGCCATCTGCAGCCACATGATCTCTCTTATTAGAATCACGATACAAACAACAACAAATTGACCATATTTGCATAAAAAGATGATTTTTTTTTTCCAGAATCTAGAGAAAATTGAGCTCCAAAGCAGAGGACATCCAAAAATTGGATTCTTTTAGATTGAGTCACATGCCCACAGGTGAAATTAGATTTGTAAAGAAGCCAAAAATGCTACATAGAGGTACCAAGTACAAAGACCCGATTCACCGGGGAAAAAAAGATATGATCCCAGAATTTCACAGGTTGAAACAATTAAGAAACATAAATCAAAATCCTGAAAAAATGAGCTGAGAGGAAGATTCAACGAATAAAATGCAGAGATGAGAGTTTTAGAAATAGATCGAATCACAGAAAAACCTGAATCCGCGAAGCTGTCGGTTGGGAAATTCTCTGAAAGCACCGTGTCACCGTGCCTCTCTGTCTTTTTCTCTCGATCGAGAGAATCGAAAAGTAGAAAAGCAAAAATCGATATCTTCTTCTTCCTCGAAACAAAACTTTTATTATTAATTAAAAAAACAAAAGTAAGAAAATAAAACTGATACGGTCAACACATGTTTCTTTTTTTTGGTGGGTTAATTTTGTCAACATAATAATGCTTACGGAGAAAATTTATATAACACCAAAATTTTATTCAACTCATTTATATATGGATTTGGTGAAACCAAAAATTTTAACAACAGCAAAATGTTATATACATCTCACGAAAGATAAATTTTAATTAAAGTGCTAGAATTTGATTTTGACACACCAACATATTTGAATATGACCAATTCAACCAAAAACACCTTTAACTCATTAAAGATTTTTCTTAAATTGGTCTAGTTCCCACAATTCTCCCATAGAAGAAGAAAACAAACAAAAAAAAGCTAAATTCATATGGATCAATGCAAGCCCATGTAAGTTAACTATATTTGGGCCTTATAATAAGCCCACTAATGGATCTTCCATCTTCCAGAATTATCAAGATGTTCGCTAATTTCAATCTCCGATCAAATCTCTCTCCAATTCAAAAACCCTAAAAAAAAATTCCGATCTAGTTCGCACCGGAGTCTCTTGGCGGAGAAGAAGATGGGAATAATAAGGAGCAGCTTCTCTTTCATCACGGGAACAGTGTGCGGGATCTACATCGCTCAGAACTACAACGTTCCTAACATCAAGAAGCTTAGTCACTGCGCCGTTTCAATGGCCAAGCAAGTTGAGGAGAAATATCGCAAGCCCAAAAGCAGAGACGACGTTTGAGATACAGATTCCACTAGCAGCTTCTCCGGTGAATTCACCGATCTTATTTATACCTTTTTTTTTTCTCCTGATAAATTTTGCTACTTCTTAAGGTTTATGTGTAATTTGTGGGATTGTAAATTCAGTGAAATTTGACAATCATATAAAACCGAATATGAAGATTCTTTGTTCCGATTGCTGCACTTTTAGCTGATTTAATCACATTCGACAATCAAATTAGGTAATTCAATTCTCATTCAAACTTTAGAAATTGAAGACATGATCATGTTTAAGACAACTGGGAAAAAAGGAACCAACTTTAAAATAAATAGATAAAAAGTCTCTCTCTTGCGAAATTGTTAAAGAAACTGAGAAATCATGAAGGAAAAAAAAAACTCAAAGGAGGACATCAATGGGAGCTCTGGATGCTGGTGATGATGATGATGCAGCTACTTCTTCTTCTGATCCAAACAATAGAGCCTTGACTTCTGCTATGATTAGTTTTGTGAGCAACAATCCAGAGATCAAAGCTGCAGTCATCAACATGTAGAACACTGCGTCCCAGCTAATCGCAGAGATGTAACCGGTGAGGACTGGTCCAATCGCAGCACCGACGGATCCTGTACCGTCTATGATAGCTGTGACTGTAGCCAAAGCCCTAGCATTGCCTTTGAGAGATTTGTGTGTTCCGAGATCAGCTGAGACAGCTGTTGTGATGAGAGCAAATGGTCCAATGATGAAGACTCCTGATATGAACATGAGGATGACATTGATGGTCAATGAGATATGTCCCAAGACTCTGTAGAGGAAAAGAGCTGGGATTGCCAAGTACATGAATCCTGCTGCTGTCATGGCTCTGCCGTTGAGTTGATCAGACATGTATCCGGCTAAGACTCCACCAACAACGCCTCCAACATCGAAGATTGTCGACAAGTTTCCTGATGTCTCCTCAGACAGGTACTCTCCTCCGATCACTGCATCACGTATAATTCAGACTTTACATATATATATATATATATATCAAGGCTAGAACAGTGGATTTAAAAGGAAGGAGAGATGATGAGAAACATACTGTTGTGGCTGACGTAGAAAGGAAGCCAGTAGAGGAATGTGTATGAGACCAACTTAGTGAAGAAGAGGCACAAGGCGAAAGGAGCAACACCGGGGATTTTCCAAGCGGCCATGAACCCCACTGCCTTTCTATCGAATCCAGTACTCATTCTAGATTCCAAGAAGCTCTCTGTAATGGTGTCACCGAGCCTCATGGTGGAGTCAATTTCAGTTCCATCTCTCTCAGCCTCAACGGTTGGAGGATTCACCGGCAAGAAAAGGTAAACAACGATCCCAAGAAAAGTCATGAGCAAAGCCGGGCCAAGAAATGACCAACCCCACCCATATCTAAGCAGTCCAGATGCGATCAGAGACCCTGCGATGTTACCGAGGGAAGTGTGAGCACTCCAAACACCCATAACCATTCCTCTTCTCTTCTTGTCGAACCAGTTCCCGAGCACGGCCACGACACAAGGCCAACCTATCGACTGAAACCACCCCGCCATAACCTGAACCGCCAAGAAATAGTAGAAGCTGTGGAAATCTGCCCAGAATGCGACCCCAAAGAGAGCTGTGAAAAGACCGGTCCCGATCATACCGATAGTCAGAAACGTCCTGAGATCCAAACGATCTCCCAAGTGACCTGCCACAAACATCCCAACCGCATAGACAGAGAGGAAAACCAAGTCGATCTGCCCAAGCAAGGCTGGTCCATCGGGTCCATCAAAAGGAGCCCAACCGCCTTTGATTGTTGATGCGGAAAGCGTTCCCTTGACAATGCTATTGGGCTTTCGAGCAGCATGGAAGGCGACGTAGGCGACAAAGGTCAAGATAAACACAAGGGCTTGGTATTGCTTGAAGGAGAGTCTTCCTGAACGCTTAAACCGTTCCAAGAACTGAATACCCCATGGCTTGGTTTCTTCATACAGGAACTGGGATGAAGTCCATGACGCCATCTCTTTAACAACTCCTCCCGACGCCAAAACCTGAAAAGCAGATGTAGATATGAGTTTATTGTCTCTTCATCTATTACTTGTAAAACAAGAAACCTCAATATCTTGTAAACAAGCAGAACAAAAGTATACAGAAAACTAGAAGAGAATGTTGAATGAACCTGCAATTGTGATCACCTTTGAAAGTTGAAGAGAGGAGAAAAGTATCTCTATCTCTCTCTGTTCTTCAACTTCAATGGGTTAGAAGCTGGGAGGGATTAAAATCACTACTTAAAGAAGGTGAAACTGGCTCTTTAACAAATCATATTTGACCCTTCGCTGTATTTTTATTGACCAAGCCTTTAGCTTCACTGGCCTCTAGTTTTCTAGATTAAAACGCAAGCTATAGTACATAAGGCTAAACCTGAACTCACAAATCGAGAAATAAAAACTAGAAACAAATCAAACTAAAGAAGATGAGAATCATATCAGTCGAAACCTTCAACACAAAATGTCGAATTGTTTAATAATAGTTTATGTGAAGTAGCAAAGTCGGCGTCCGGTCTGTCGTTTGTGCCCGCACGTAAGAACATCAAACCTCTGACTCTAACTCGTTTCTTCATCCAAAAATTCAACTCATTATTGTTTATTTATCTACAGAACTGCACCAAAATTCAACTAAGAGCATTCTTTAGAATAGTACTTCATTTTTGTGTCCAAATTCATTTTTGTGTCCAAATTCATTTTTCTCTACTTCATGGGAAGATGTCCACACATACATTTATATTAACATTAAGCATCTTAACCATTAAAAAATGGTAAGCATAATGTATTGGTTATTATCTGTTTAAAAAGTGGTAACTACACATATTTACTAAAACTTTAGACAATGTGTTGCTATGTCATAAGTTGTTATTGGTGTCAGGTTTTCTTGAACTTCAGCACTTAGCAACTCTGTAAAGGTAGTCCATTCTCCTTTGCCTTCCATAACAATAGCTTACTCACATTACAAGTTGTTTCACAACTGTAACATAAAAGAGTTGGGCCGCTTTTACTAAGGATGCTATAAGTTTGACTCTGCGTTGCTTGTTTTCGGTAAAAGAAGTTCTAACACAGAGTTTTTAGAGTTCAAAGAGAGCTAAAAACTTAACTTTAAGACTATGGTCGGTTTAGATTTCGTCTAAAAACATGAGATTTTGTGTCGATCTTGTCTAAAAACAGAAACTGCTAGAGACATTCCATTTTCTGGATAATTTCTCAGAAACCGAACAAAGAGAAGAACTAAATAATAATCAAAGGGGTCTTATACCCAAACCAAGCATCCAACATAGGGGCATAGAGAAAATACGACAAAGACTTACATAAGATTAGTTCCACAAGCTAAAATGCACAATAAAAAGACTCAAAATGCATACTAAAAAGTAAAAAGACAAACCGCTCAGGATTCATAGGCTTTGAATATCATCTTTGCAGTTTCATTCACGAGTCCAGACCTCTGCAAACATAGCTCAAACTCCTTAGCCTTGAGCTTCTTCCATTTTTCCTCCACTTCTCTCTTCTCAGCTCCATCCGCAACCTTTGCCCAAACCGCACTTATTGTGGATTCATCCAAACCACAAGAGCTCTTATTCTCTGCATTGAAGAACGATGCAATCTCTCTACCAATTGAGAGAGATGTGTTCACAACCTTGGTCTCTGTTTTCTCCGGTTTCTTCGCTTCTTCTTGTTGTTTCTTGGGAGAGGAATGAGCTACTAACTTCATCTCTTTCGGGGCAGGGGTTCCTCCAACTTTCTTCCTTGATGATTTAGAAGCCAAAACACCACTGCTTCCCCAAATCTTTCTCGACAATTCAAAGCCTTTCTGCTCAATATCTTTAGCAAATTCAATCTCATCTTCACTCTTTCCCTTCTTAAGAGACTTCTTCACAGTATTATTAAACTTCTTCTTCAATCTCTGAAGTTTGGTAACAATTTGGTTTTTGGTAGCATTGAAATCGATCAACTTCTTAACATAAATGCAAAAAGCATCAATATCCTCATAAGGATCTCCTTTGGTAGAAGTGAAATCAATAATACCTTGAAGCAAAGCGATTTCATCAGCCTCGCTGAACAATCTCTGAAACATCTTCTTAGCATCATCTCCAGAAATCTTCTTAACCTCATCATTTTTTACCGGCTTCTTCACATGCTCAGTCTCCGATGTCTTGAGCTTCTTAATAGCTTCAGAAACAGGTTCCTTCAAAGGACGCTTAGCCGTTGAACTCTCAGGTACAGTCGCGGCAGATCCAGATTTCTCTGGAATTGCTTTGGTCACAAGAGGCATCAGCTCCATCGTCTTAGCAGGCTCCGAATCGGATTCGGACTCCGATTCATATTCACCTTCTGAATCAGATTCAGGTTTCTTGGAAGACTCGTCTTTCTTCGAAACTTCAGCAGAAGACTCAGATTCTTCTCCAGATGAGCCAGATTCCTCTTCTTCACTGGAAGTAGGAGGATTGTCGACCACTTCCTCTGCCTTCTTCGGTGCCATCGAATACAGTTACGAGAGAGAGAGGAGACAGAGATCTGCGGGAAGCTAGAGTCTTCTTCTTCTTAAGCTTTTCTATTTCCCCGTCGCCGTCGATTTGCTTTGCTCTTAGGTTTTGTGATTTTAGGTTAGTGTCGGGTTCTGTTTTTTTTTTTCTTTTAATTTATTTTTGTGAATTCGATATTAGCCGATCGATTCTTTCAAGTTGGGCTGTCCAACGCGCTAACACGAACGGGCCTGAGATATTTTCACGAGTTTTTAATAGACTAGTCCGTCGACAACTACACAACATCAGAATTCGTCTTATGGTCTTGTCTTAGAAAAAAGAGATCAAACCCAAACATTTTACATAAGTTCCAATCTCGTAAGCAAATTGTGAATAGATATGTTCTAAATTTTTACACGACTCAAAATACATTTGCGATTTTCGCAATTCTGTTTTCCATGTTAACACAAAGATTAAAGCCATGTAAACCGAATTAGCTGAAAAGATACAGTTGGTTAGGTAACTTATTTAATTTGAGCCTGATTTGGGTTGCAAATTTTGTTTGAACCAAGAAACATCAAGACATTCCTTCAACTTTAGTCTTAGAGACCATGACTCAACATCGACCGTACCACTACACACTTATTATTCAAAGACCTATCAACAAAGCAAAAACAAGAACATAACAAGCGATGACGCTTCAGTTGATCTCGATCTGGCGCACATCATTTGTCTCTTGCTCTTTCATCTTCGGAATCACAACTTTCAACACTCCGTTCTTCATCTCCGCCTTAATCTCATCGACCTTGTAAATCTTCTCAGGCAATCCAATCCTGCTAGTGAATTTCCGATTACCGCTCTCTCCTTCCTCGCCACCATCGTCCTCGTATTTCCCTTCTCCTCTAATCACCAGAGTGTCCTGCTCCAATGCCAGCTTCACATCCTCTCTGCTCAGCCCAGGCATGTCGATTCTCAGGTACAGAGCATCGTCTTTCTCTTTTATATCCCAACCACGACGAGCTCCTGAAGCTCCCATGCCACGAGTAGCTGATAACAGAGGATTTTCCATGAACTGGTCCATCAGATTCAGCACTTGACTAACGCTCCTCGTGGGCGAGAACGGATCAAACACATCTGCACAAAATCCATGTCAAAAGTTTAAGCTCAATGTTAGCTAATCTATGATTTCTTGCTAAATTTTAGCTCCGTTACCAAGAGAAAGATATAGATCTGGTGGAGTTACCTGAGAAGAAATCACCACGGCGGCGAGGAACAGAGCGGCGATCGAAATCAACGCCTTGTCCATTCTCGCCATCGTCGTCGTAGCTCCTCACGGCGTTGGTGTTGAAGAGGCGAGAGGAAACAGCTGGATTAAGAACGCTACGGGAACGTGGAACGATGGAAGAAGAAATAAGTCTCTTAAGAGCGAGAGAAGATGCCATTTGTAGAGAAATTATAGGAAGCTGTTTTGAGAAAGTTGTAACAGAGAGTGTAGTGTTTTATCTGAGAACTGTGTGTGGCGATAGTGGAGACAGAGGAGGTTTATATATGAGTAAAGAGTGTTGAAGGTGGATATTATCAGGTGAGTGAATGTTCTGGAAAGGTGGATATTTCTCTCGATGGTTCTAGAGGTCCGTGGCTCCCAAGCTAATGCGTGAAACAAATATAATCTTGTTTGTTAACGGGCCACGGCCCATTATATTAGGCCTGTTTTAGTACATTTATGGTCAACAAGTCAAATGACCCTAGATCATGGATTCATGGTACATGAATGAAAACGACCAAAAGCCGAGGCGGCCACCAACCACTGAACGTGAAAGAACAAAAAGACTTGGATATTGGAGAAGGCAAATATATATTGGTATTGAGGTTAAAAAATTATTTTTGGCCTAAAGACTAAACAGTTTGACGACGCTATCTTAAGGTTTATTTATTCAACGTAGACTAGATGATACCATAGGGCCGTTTTGAATTGGACCTTTTAAGTTTTTAGATTATTAAACCGCCATGTTTTTTAGACGAAAGATAAACAAAAGACGTGTCTCTAGCTAAGCTGACCTTCATATGCTTTGACATTATACATGTATTATAATCTCTCTTCTTTTTTTTTTTTTTTTTAATAAAAATACACTCGAATTTATAAATATTTTGTTATGTAGACACACTTACATGCAGAAGTGTTCTTACCTGCCTCTACGTGCTGTCAACTCCTACAAATCCCCAACCGTTATCTAAGAGATTAAATATACCCCGGCCCTAACTATATAATATATCATAATTGTTCAAACCAGTGTATGTAGACTAGACGATTCCTTGAACCATATAATTCCGGCTTGATATAAGAGTCCTAATGTGAAACGAAACAAATATACGAGTCTTGCATCATATAGTTAACCGTCGTCAAATATTAAAGAAGAAAATGGCAACCACCAAAACTACCGGTCGGAGACTCCGTCCTCCGTCGCCCAATATTAACCGGAGCCGGACTATAAGCTCTTCGATCTCTCTCCCAGTGTCCTTAAACGCCTCGTTATCGTCTTCTACTTCTTCCTCCTCTTCCTCTTCGCCATCCAATTCAAGCAAGAGAGTGATGATAACCAGATCACACTCTACAACGAGATCATCCAGACCAACCGGACCCAACCCGAAATCCGGCGAAAATATAATCCCGGCGAGAAACAGCGCGTCAAGATCTCACGAGATAAACAACGGTAGAAGCAGAGAGGCGTTTGCTCAGTACTTGGATCAACGTGAGCGTGGTAGTCCTCGTAATAACGCTTCATCGAGAGGGGTAAAACCGGGAGCGAGCTCACCATCGGCGTGGGCGTTGTCCTCAGGGAGAGTTTCGACGATGAAGACATCTCTGTCCAGCTCAGCTCCGGCGAATTCAATGTGCATGACGCCGCCTGAATCACCGGTAAGCAAGGCCAAGATAAGAAGCGGTGGCGGTGGAGCGGTGGCCGGAGTTTTGAAGTACTTCATGGCGCAGAAGAAAGTATCTCCGGTTCAAGAGGAGGATTATCACCGGTTTAGGGTTTTGCAAAACAGATTACTTCAATGGAGGTTTGTTAACGCAAGAACTGAAGCCACTATGGCTAAACTTAAGATCAACGTTGAGGTACAAAACTATATGAAATATATATAAATTTGTATCTTTTATATAAATATCTACTAATTTGTTATTGTGAATGGTTTCAGGATCAGTTGTTTTGGGTTTGGCTTAGGATATACAAAATGAGGAACTATGTAGTCGAAAATTTGATTGAAGTTCAAAGGCTCCGTCAAGAAATCAAACTACGTGAAGTTCTCAGCCTCCAAATGCCTTTACTTAATGAGTGGTCAAAATTAGACGCAAAAAACTCCGAAGCGTTGAGCAAGCTAACTCGAAAACTCCATGCTTTGTCTGTTCGTTTACCCTTCGTACATGGTGCCACGGTTAGAAACTTTCTTTCGTTGGGAAAACAATTTTTTTATAAACATTTTGTGTGTAGTCAAGAAAACAGAAAATAATATCATGTAAGTTACAGATAGATGTGGTGTCGATACATGAAGAAATGGTCATAGCTATAGAAGTCATGGACGAGATCGAAGACGTCATCATCAAGTTTCTCCCACGAGTAAGTCCACCTTATTTATATACATCTGTTTTTCCAAAAAATTTTTGTTAAATATAGATGCATATATAAGAAATTTAATTTAAGAATGTCCGGGTAATTAAATATCAGCAGGTTGAAATAATCCTATACGAGCTGACAGAATTGATCGGCATGTTTAATCAAGAATTGTTATATTTTGAAGAAATGGACAAGAGCCTTTTCTCCATTCCTCTCTTTGCGGTAAAATCAATAATTCCTTTCATTATATTTGACCGGTCCGGTTATAATCTGCATGTGGAAGCTCCAAAGGCTAAAATTGGTCAGATCTTTTTGTTTTAACAGGCAAAGGAGAGTAGCTTGAAGGTCCATATTCTCCAGAAGAGTGAAGAACAGAGATAAAAAAAAGTTCTATAATAACTCAAAAGTTAGGACATGTAACTAAATGTTAATAACATTGTACATTTTGCAAACTGGAATGCTGCTACTTCTAGTTATTTAGTTCAACCTATCCAAAATAAATTGTTGAAATATAGTGATAACTTTGTGATATATATATGATTGAAGCCATGTGTATAACAAATTTTCGTAATGCAATTTCTACATGTACCTTAATGAAAATATAGTTATACAAAAATGAGATATCAAATCAAAAAAATGTCCATCAAATTCACATACACATATAAATGTTTTATAGACTTCTCACCAAGAATGTTTATAAATAATAATTGTAACTACCAAAGATATATATATATATAAAGATTGACAGTAAAGTTATTAAAAGCGCTATTAGGTCACTTGGTAATCCAGCTTTTCAGAATTGCAAAGGTCCCGGGTTCGAAGCGCTCTTTTCCTAAATCCCCAATTTTTTTTTTCCCCCGTTTCCGATTCTCTTGCCGGCGGGAGTCTCCCATGGATTCAGGCGACCAGGTTCCCCGGAAGGTAACCTCTACTAATTCAATCTTCTTGTTCTCTCCTTCGTAATTTCATCTCAAATCTTGAAAATTTCGCCGCGAAATTGCGTTTCACTGACCTTTTCTCCGTTCCATTTCTCGGCAGCGGAGGTTCCAACCAAGACCTCCGAAGCCTTCTCTCCGGCCGATTGCTCCAACCTCAAACACGTAATTCTTTTTTTTTCCTCGATCATTTCTTGTTTATGCTTGCATAAATCTATACTTTTGCTTATACATGAAAAAGCTTTAAACTTTTTTCTCTTAAACACAGCGAAGCTGAGGCTGAGGAGGAAGAGAATAAAAAAGCAGCTCGACAATTAGCCAAACGTATCGGCGTATGTAGTGAATCTTCTCACTTCTCAAATCTTGCTCTCTATTTAATTTCATGTAAATTTTTGTTAACAGTTATTAGTTTAATCGAAATTTCCCTGATTTAAAATAAACAAAATCTTATACATTAGATTATGATATATACAAAATACCAAAACGGTGTGCTTTTCTTTTTGTTCTGACCTTTAGTAGTTTTGAATCTCTGCCTCATTTCCTTTGCTAGCTTTTGTTGATTGCATCAATTTAACTACCTTGTTAATGGTTTAGTGACCATGAAATGAGTTGGTCTATGACACCTAACATGTTGATTTGTAGCTTATAACTGGCTTAGTTGTTATCTCCATCACTTAATCCAAATGCTCAATGTTGAAAACTAAACTTTCTTTGTGTTGTTGTTGTTGTTATTGCAGACTGGCCAGAGGAGACCCAAAACCGAAACGAAAGGTATATTTATCCATGTTATATAGGTGTATTCGCAATCTTCATTTTTTATCGAGTTGTGTTTGATCTCCATTTCTGTAAATGAGTTATCGGAAAACCATGTGTGAGGAAGGTGATAGTATGTATAGTATTATAGCAGCGATCGTTCTTGAAAAGCTTTTGAAATCTTTGCAGCTTCTTCTCCTCAAGTTGCATTCCAACCAAGCTTGTCATCACTTTCAATAAGGTCGTTTGGTGTTCCTAAAGAAGATGACAAGCCCAGTTCTGATGTAAATCCCTCTTCTTCTGCTGGTATTCTTCCTCCTGTTTCGTCTATTACTCCCCAAGAAGATGAAGAGGAGGTTCATCATTTGGTTACAAGAACTGGGGAAGACTATGTTGAACCTTGGGTAACTAGAATCTTTTGATACAAGTTGACTTTCTCTCCCGGTTTCTCTTGTGTTGATTTATGTGACATAAGGTTTGGCTCATTTTACTATGTTCCAGGATTATAGAAACTCATACTATCCTACCGTTCTTCCATTGAGAAAGCCTAACTCTGGTGACCCAGGTATGCTCACTCCCGGCTTTGCAATAGTTTTACGCTAACTATTCAGATGTGAATGTGTTTGCTTTGTAAAATGCCTGCAGTTTTCCCCTCTTTCTGTAAACTGAAACTTACTTCTTGTGTTGTTAGAACTTCTTGACCAGGAGGAATTTGGGGAAGTGGCTAAACACCGTGATTATGAGGAGAACACCATCAACTCAGCAGAAGAACTCGGTCTGACATCGGTAATGAACTTGTAAACAAATTTATGTTGACAGACATGTCAACTCTTCACTGAGTTTGACTGATTGTATTTTCTGAGCTCCATGCAGGTGCAACACTGCAAAAAACAGATGTTTTTCTTTAAGATCCCGGACTGTCTCCCTGTAATGAAGCAATCGACAGGAGCAACCACCAAGAGATCAGTACGGGAGTATAGTTCAGGGAGAAGCAACCCTTTTGAAGGTTTACCAGAGGGATTCATGGGCAAAATGCTGGTTTACAAGAGCGGTGCTGTCAAGTTGAAACTTGGAGATGTCCTCTTTGATGTAAGTCTTTTTCGTCTCGTCACTATTAGATGTGAACCCACATATCTGATTCTGTGTTGGAATCACCTCTGCTTGTAGCCTCTTCTTCATCTCTTTTAACTCTCGGTCCTATGCATATATGCAGGTCTTACCAGGTCCGAATGCAAAATTCCATAATGACGTGGCAGCAATCGACACCAAAGGGAGGAACTGCTGTCGCATTGGTTCTTCAGCGAAGTTTGTGACTGTTACTCCCGATGTTGAGGCTCTTTTGAACTCTGCTTCAGACATAGAAACACATAAGTGAAGGTTGTTCTGGATATAGCCGGTCCTGTTCATACAAGGATGTGAAAAGCGTAGTATTGACCATTTAGATTCTGTAACTATAACCTAATCTTCAGCCATGATCGTAAAAACTCTTCTTGTTGTCTTCTTCTGTAGTAAGAGATTCACATTCGGGGTAAAAGAAAGCTTTTAACATTTTGACACATTCAGAGTTCTTATTATAGAAGTCTTCTAAAATGTCAACAATGGAGTACAGAACCAAAGATTATCAAACAAACCACAATATGACCTGAAACAAAGCTAAACAAGCAGCGTGATAAAGACCATATGTATTGTCGGCTAATTTGAAACGATCAAGACTTGTTGCAGGCTCGGGACACCATCACGACCAGCAGAACCACGATGGAGAGCAGGACCGAAGTCGTCAGCCTTTCCTCGAGCCAATTGTTGAATTTGGCATCTTTTCCCTTGTTGTTAACACTATCGCCATTGTAACAGTTGAAGAGTTCGGTCACGACCTTTGTTATTTTCACAAACACTTCTGTGGCCTTAACCATTGTGTTATCAAATACCCACTTTATGAAATCCATTGTTGCGTTATTCTCCCCGGGAGTGTCTTCTGAACTCTCCTCATCTGGTACAAGAAAAAATAAAAACACCGGACTAGGCAATGAGTGCCCTGAGAAGAGTGTCAAAGGAAAAGGCTTATATTGATAAATCATTATCCCTATACCTTGACTTATGCCATTGTTGTACAAGTCCCTAATCTCTCGCACCACATTGTTGTTCATTACCGCCTCCCAGACTGCTTTGTCAGACGACAATGATACTACCATTTTCTGCATAAAATGTGAAAAGCCCTTGATTCATGTACCATGATATACAATGAAATGACCAACAATGATTATTTTCGAAGACAGACACATAAAGAAAATGGATTTCGTTTATCTAAACCCATGTTAAGAGTTCAAATATTTGTTAGGTGGATATAAAACTTAAACCATGAGCATCCATTTCTTCCCTCAAAACTTGCCGGATCAAACACATAGTTAACAAGACAGAAACTTGAGCTAAGTGTAATCAAGAAAACAAAAGAAAGATCACCTGGACAGATGGTTCGGTTCGTAGTAGGTCAAAAGCATTGTAAACCTGATCATAAGCATGAGGCTGTAAGGTTCTTGAATGGCATAGTTGCATTGACGGCTCCACCCAGTCCAAATCCGACCCAAACGAAGGAACTTGATGAACCATCCCTGTGGCTATAGGGCTCTGGTTTCCACCTCCACTTTCCGGATAGCACTCATACTTGTCTCTAACCAGCTGAGAATATGAACTAGCATCGAAAACCCTTCAAGAAACAAGACTCAACCATTACTCCAACACGTCAACAAAGACTAATTATTATGAATAAACCGGCAAACAACTTTTGAAAGTATTAAAGGTTTTAGGTAGTTTATAGTACAAAACAACTGTGTGGGGTCAAATTGACACGGGGACACAGCTGAAAGAGTTTCAATCTTCTTCAAAATCATCAGATCAAGACAATTCCATCCATATCAGGAAAAAGAGTTTAAAACTTTGAGACACTATAGCAGTCCATGACAATTCTCGTGTCTCTCTCTATAACTAATACCTACCACTCAAAGCTGATCCATTTATGAGATTACTTGTCAATAATTTCCACAAGACTCAAAGCTTAAATAGTCACGTCAAAAGAAACACACATTTTCAAGTGAAATGAGAAAAAGAAAAGAGATTTGATTACTGCTGGAGAGCAGAAACAGCATCTTGGACTTCATCAACCGAAGGAACAGAGCCAAACAGAGAATCGTCTTCTTCCTCAGAAACCCACTCAAAATCATCATAACCTCCGGAATTAACAAAGGAAAAAGCGCCGCCGTTCCATCCGGAGGTTGCAGCCACCGGAAGATTCAACAACAACCCTGAAGCCGCGGAAATCGTAAGATTATTCGACCCAGAAGAAGAAGAAGAAGATCTCTGTTTCTGGACATGCGAAACAGAGGCGTTTCCAGCCGGAGACGACGTGGACGATGATGATGAAGAAGCAAAGGGATCTTGAATACCACCGTTGGCTACACCAGTCCTCGTCATCGCACGACCGGCGGCGCGTAACATACCTCCGCCGCCACCCATAGGCCCTCTTCCACCACCAAACATAGAGATCACTATCAAATTGGTTTTTTTTTACTCACACGACAGGTTGCGTATGTTTACTCGGTGAGTTTGTCTTTTGGTCTACCGAGTCGATGAATGGGTCCGATGCTATTTCTTAGGCTTTTTGCTTGAAGCAGTTTTGATTGTATCGAGGAAGTGGATAAAGATTTATAAATGCAAAATGGCTTTTTAAGATTTTCAAGAATATATGACTTTCCTTTACTTTGCTTTGGTCCTTCTTCTCCACGACACGCTTATCCATTTACTCTGTTTTTCTTTTTCATTTAATATGCATTAAAATACTTGTTTTCCATACTGGATTATACTCCCCTATACTATATCCCTAATTTATTTGGTTTGTCAACAGATGAGTTTCCAATACCGAAAATTAATACAGAATAAAAATTAATATCTGATTTTTTGCTTAAAATTAGAGGTGAACAGTTGACAAAAAAAAATTAGAGGTGAACATGTAGATCAAATTATATCGTAAAATTTCATATTCAATTTTGGATAATTTAATTTGGACGTGGTTAAAAACCTAAAACCAGTACGTAATAGTAGTTTTCTTTTTTCCGTATAACATGTATGAGTTTAGAATTTTAGATAAACCAAAATATATGTAGGTCTTTTTCATTTTGAGTTCCGGTAACGTTTTCAGTTGGATTTGACTTTACTTGATTGATTTTTAAGCCAAATTACTGGATTTTTAACAGATACTGTATATAGTTTTACTATATATTTTTTCTTTTGTTCGTGAATCGTGAATGTCGTCAACGTGCATAAGTTGATAATTTGATATCCGTATGTATCTGACAGGTGGGTAGTAAGTTTGTTACTCACAAATATACTATTAAAAAAAAATCGTTCACAAAGGTTAAAAATAGTATTTTCTAGTCAAATGTAAAATTTGGAAAAACAATTGTGAATGGGTTATTTTTGTATATATTTGAACCTTCATGAGTCATATTCAGCCATTAATAACTTAAGATATTTGTATCTAATTCAACATTGTAAATATCATATTTAAAAGTTCTTCCACAATCAAATTTTCATCGTCGCCGTATAACTAGAGTTTCAACGATTTAGAGAATCAAAGAACTACAGAAAAGATGTAACACTCGACTTCGACTTCATGTATTGAAAGAAGACATTGACCACACATAAAAAAAAAAAAAAAAACAATTGTAAGAAATACCCATTTGCAAACTTCTTATTCATAAATACATCATCATTGCTATTAGCTGATGTCTTTTATCCAGTGTCCATCAGAGAAATTCTGCCTTTTTCGTTCAATTCTTTTTTTTTTGTTTTAAAGAGATCTCTCAATTGTTTTTTATATATAAAAAGTCCGAATAATTTTGGTCCGTTATGCATAATTAAAGAATATTATATTTAGTGCAAAACAATATATCTTCTTACTTTTACCCCAAATATATATATATATATATATATTTCTTTTTTTCTTTTTCTTTTGTTGTTGTATCAAACAAAACGAGAATGGAGAAAATAACCATTGATATTGACCTGAAAGACATTCAAAATACACAATGGTAATACGAATATCAGACTCAATAGCATGAAAACTCCAAAACCAATTTGAAAGTCGGAAGACATTTCGTACGGAAAAGGGAGTATCAACATAAGAAAATAAAAATAGATTTTAATTTTCTAGAGATATTTAATAATTAAATAAATCGGATATTTCATGAGATGACTACAAGGGATGAAGATTTTAGCGTGGAGACAAGACAAGTTTAAAATCGAGGTTTTTTCCACCTTTTATCATCATCATCATTAAAGAGACAATATCAACAATGACATGCTATTCGTTTTCCATAAGTAACTTAATGTTTCTAGCTTCTAGTCTTGTTGGTCCCGTAGTCCGGTACCATATTTTGGTATAAAAACCGTCATATCAATAACTAGGCCAACAGCCCAAAACATGTTAAAATTAGTAAACCGGCGTTTTAATTGAACTGGCCAAATCACGGTTCAAATACTAACCAATGTTTTAGTTGAAACTCTACCAAATTCTTGTACCACTCCACTATGCATAAAGCCATAGAGGGGAGGAGACAAAAAGACGTGAGGAAGGCATAGGTCATGCGTGCAACTATGGGCAACCAAATTATTTAAGTTTTTAATTAATAATGGCGTTGAGGAATGTAATTAAATACCAAATGATTAGGGAATTAAGAGATAAAACTATGATTAAATTAATAGCCAAGGCCTAAGGTTGGAGAAAACTTCATTCTTTTAACACACACTCCTTCTGTCACTCCTCTGATAATGAAGAAAAGAGTATATACCCAGGACTGATCCTCCTTTGACCATTAACATGACCAACTTGTCTCATTTTCTTATTATTTTCGATTCTTCTTTTCAAATCTTTTTAAGATTCTCTGATTATAAGAACCCATTGTTTTGTTTGTATCTGAGATTAGCAGCACCAACGTGAACGTGGGTCTTCTTCTTCCTCGACTGCTCTCATTGATGGAAGCTTCCACCATTTCTTCATCAAGTTTGAGATGCCCAATGCCGAATTAAGAGGCAAAACTTTCCTCTTCTCCTCCCCATTTCTGTCTTGGGTTTGACTAAAGTTGCCTCCTTTAATAACCAGGTAGGTTCTATTTCTGGCTTTCTTGTTTAAATTTATGCCCTGAAGATGGTCCCTTTGATTGACTTGGTTAATGCTTCATAGTCTTGCGGATTCTCTGCAATTGCATTGTGCTCAAAGTTGACATTTTTCTTGGAAAGTTGAGTTTTTCAACTTTATAAGAAGCTATCTGTTTAGCTTCTATGGTCGTTGAGTGTTATTGCTTTACGATCCTTAAGGTCGTCCAAATTAGACTCTGAGACATTTGACTATCAACGTTATAATCCATTGGATGTTCAAGATCTTGTCATTTGTCAATACTTGGGTATCATTTGCCATTTCTGTTTGATGAGTTGATATTTAACATCCAGTTAGATGAGTTCGAGTATAATTACAGTCTGTTGATTCCCACTGACTGGATTTTTAGATGGCTTTACTTAGCTTTCCCTTTCTTTCATGTTATCTCTACTTTTGGAACAAAACACTCTTTTTAGAACATTGTTTTGCACTGTCTGAAATGGTTCTAGTGTGCAGGGTAACTATCAACAAGAAGAAAAAAAGATAAACAATGAGTAGATCACCAGACAATCTTGCCCTTCCTCCTCCTCCTCCTCCTCCTCCATCTCGTACCGTCGTTGTGGCTCTAAGTGGGAGCAGTAAAAGCAAATATGTAGTTACATGGGCGCTCGAAAAATTTGCTCCTGAAGGAAATGTTGGCTTCAAGCTACTTCACATCCATCCAATGATTACTTCTGTACCTACACCAAGTAAAGCTCCAACTATGACTTGTATTTCTGTTTCTTTCTTTCTTTCTTTCTTGTACTCAGGACTTCTTGTGTTTTCCTTATTTCTATTTGGTATTGTTGTGTAAAGCAAAACTAAGACTTATTGTAACTGATAAAAGCCTGATGTACATTTCTTGATCCGTCTCAAGTGGGAAATGCAATCCCGATTTCCGAGGTACGAGATGATGTAGTAACTGCGTATAGACAGGAAATACTGTGGCAGTCTGAAGAAATGCTTAAACCTTTCACAAAATTGTTCGTGCGGAAAAAGGTATTTCCTTTGGTATATGAGATATCTTATGTTTTCTTAGATCAAAAACTGAAGGTTACATGAACTCATTGAATTACCTTAACGAAAGGTTGCAGTAGAAGTTCTTGTGATCGAATCAGATAATCTGGCAGCCGCAATAGCTGAAGAAGTGACTCGGGATTCAATAGACAGAATTGTCATTGGAGGCTCATCCCGTAGTTTTTTCTCAAGGTATACTACCACCCTGCTGCTAGCTTTCGACATTTGTTCTTTCTGTTTCTGGTACCAATGAATCTGTTTTGAAAATTTCAGGAAAGCTGATATGTGCTCGGCGATATCAGCTTTGATGCCGAACTTTTGTACAGTCTATGTTGTTTCAAAAGGAAAATTGTCATGCGTCCGACCATCAGACTCAGACGGAAATGCTACTATAAGAGATGATGGTAGTGAGAGAACTAATTCTTCAAGCGGTTCTTCTGGTCCCACCTCAGGTCCATGACTCATCAATGTATTTGTGTGAAATACTGAATATTCTACTAGAAGTGGTGTGTATATCTAATTTTGTTACCCCATTTTCTCTTCTAGATTCATCAGATGTAATGTCAAGTGCGCATGACTCTCAATCTCGTGCTCTATCCCTTCCGGTCAGGAGAATGCAACATTTCCCTACAATTGCAAGAGAAGCATCAGTTCCTATGGAAACGAGTTCTGTTGGCTCGGATGAAACCAGGTGCATGTCTTTGGATGCAGAGGAAGCTAGAGATGTTTCAAGTATCAATAGAAGCAGCACGGATACTACATCACGTTGGACTCCTCGGCTTAGAGATTATGAGGAGAGAAAAGAAGCTATGAGTTCTTCTTCTAGCAACCGTGAATACGGGAATGTTGGTAGTAGGTTTAGTTGGACTGGCATGGGGGTCGATACTACACACTCTCGGGCTTCTCAACAAGCTTCCAACATGTCTGATGCTCTAAGTCAACAATCTTATACAGACAGCCAGGTATAAAATGCAGTTTTAATTTCGACATTGTCTTGTGAATTGGAATAATATAAGGTTATTTGTTCAGGTAAACCTAAACTTTGAGGTTGAGAAGTTGAGAGCTGAGCTTAGACACGTTCAAGAAATGTATGCTGTGGCTCAAACCGAAACCTTTGATGCTTCTCGAAAGGTGAAGGCCTCATAATCTCATATATCTTTGCATTTGATGAAACTTATTAAATTGTTCTCAATGCTTTTCTGAAAATGTTTCAGCTTGGTGAGCTTAACCAACGTCGGCTAGAAGAAGCCATAAAGCTTGAAGAGCTAAAGCTGAAGGAGTACGAAGCTCGAGAGTTAGCAGAAAAGGAAAAGCAGAATTCTGAGAAGGCGAGGAGAGATGCAGAGAACATGAGAGAAAGAGCGGAGAGAGAAATTGCACAGAGAAGAGAAGCCGAGAGGAAATCCGCACGTGATACTAAAGAGAAAGAGAAGCTCGAGGGCACTCTCGGGTCTCCTCAGTTGCAATATCAGCATTTCGCTTGGGAAGAAATTATGGCTGCCACTTCATCATTCTCAGAAGAGCTGAAGATCGGAATGGGAGCTTACGGAGCTGTTTACAAGTGTAATCTGCATCATACAACTGCAGCTGTCAAAGTTTTGCATTCCGCTGAAAGTCGGCTATCCAAACAATTCCAACAAGAGGTATGGAAGTAGGTTTGAGCATTCAGTTGAAGGCATTTCGGTTTCGGTTTCTGTGCCCATCCCTTTATGGAAGTTTTCTGATTTTAATTTTCATTCTTGTGGAAAGTCTTCTCTGTTCTAAGAAGCTGCATTTATCTCCCTGCTCTCTCTATTTTGCAGCTGGAAATCTTGAGCAAGATTCGGCACCCACACTTGGTTCTCCTTCTAGGAGCGTGCCCGGAGCAAGGAGCTTTAGTTTATGAATATATGGAAAATGGTAGCTTGGAGGATAGACTGTTCCAGGTCAACAATAGTCCGCCACTCCCGTGGTTTGAGCGGTTTAGGATAGCTTGGGAAGTCGCAGCGGCTCTTGTCTTCCTCCACAAATCGAAGCCTAAACCGATCATTCACCGTGATCTTAAACCTGCAAACATCTTACTTGATCACAACTTTGTCAGCAAAGTTGGAGACGTCGGACTTTCAACGATGGTTCAAGTCGATCCTTTATCAACAAAATTCACTATATACAAACAAACAAGCCCAGTGGGAACATTATGCTATATTGATCCGGAATATCAACGCACTGGAATGATATCATCGAAATCAGATGTCTATTCCTTTGGAATGATTGTTCTTCAGCTTCTCACAGCAAAACCTGCTATCGCATTGACACATTTCGTTGAGAGCGCAATGGATAGTAATGATGAGTTCCTCAAGATCTTAGATCAGAAAGCGGGTAACTGGCCGATTGAAGAAACCCGGGAATTGACCGCATTAGCTTTGTGTTGTACAGAGCTACGCGGGAAAGATAGGCCTGATTTAAAAGATCAGATTCTTCCAGCGCTCGAAAACCTGAAGAAAGTAGCTGAAAAGGCAAGGAACTCACTTTCGGGGGTATCGACACAGCCTCCCACTCATTTCTTCTGCCCATTACTAAAGGTAACTCTATATGAAACCTTGTTCAAAAATGTTGAAACATCACATCCTGTTTTTGTGTGTTGTGCCGAAAATGTGTGTATATTAATGCAGGACGTGATGAACGAGCCGTGCGTTGCAGCTGACGGATACACATATGACCGGCGTGCTATAGAGGAGTGGCTTGAGGAACACGACACATCGCCGATGACGGATTCACCGTTGCATAGCAAGAACCTATTGCCGAATTATACTCTTTACACAGCCATCATGGAATGGAGGTCTACACGATAGTAAGCCAAACTTGTGCAGCTTTTTTCTGGATATATAAAACGGCAAGACGTTCTCAGACCGTCCCTTTCTTTCAAGCGATGATATTGCTTTGTACTTACGAAACGAAACGTTGAATAATCTTGTAATCCAACAATTATAAAGTTAGAAGGAGATGGTCTTTATTTGATTCACAACGCTGGTATCCGATAAGGTTTAGTGTTAGAATTTAACGAATATTCGGATCCATCCGTTAATTTGCCTCCAAATATTAAGAAGACAAAACCATCTTATTTATTTTTTCCTTTTTAGTCTCTTCCTTGCTCCATTGCTCAAAAAGAGAGAAACAGAACCTTTCTCTGATAATCCTCTCTCATTTCTCCGTTGAAATAAAGGACCTTGAGGGGAAAGGTTTTACTGTTTCTAGGGTTTCTTTATTCCATTTCCTCATCATTGGAGAATGGAAATTCTCCTCTTCTCTCTGATTTTTCTTCAGATTTCGATTATGTCCTGAATCTCTTGAAGATTTTATTTAGATTCTTGAAGACCCAATTGCAAAAATTTCAACTTTTTTCTCCCGGCGATATACAATGCGGATTTTCGTGAAGCTCCTCCTTCTCTTTTCCTTGTTTCCTCTCGCGTTCTCCAATGAAAACTCTAGCTCGTATCTCATTCCGCGACCATTGATCAAGAACATCGACGACAATGTCAATCTACATTGCACGAGCTGGAGATTCGCGGCGGAGACAAACAATCTCGCTCCATGGAAAACCATTCCAGCAGAATGCGCCGATTACGTGAAAGATTACCTGATGGGTGAAGGTTACGTCGTCGATGTGGAGAGAGTCTCCGAAGAAGCTAACGTTTATGCGAGCAGCTTCGAATCTAACGCTGACGGGAAAGATATCTGGATTTTCGATATTGATGAGACGTTATTGTCGAATCTTCCTTATTATATGGAACACGGTTGTGGGTAATTTATCTTAAATCTTTCATTTTACAACATCGCTATAAAATTTGGTTTCTTGATAACTATATAGATGAATTTGTCTTTTTATTGTGTCGAAAGAGTTAAGATTTGAGGTATGTGTTGTTGTCTGTCTTGTTTGTCTGTGTTCCCAAATGTGAATCTGTGTTCTTTATTGAATTTAACTACTTACTAGTATCTGTGTTTCTGTTTGGGAATTTGCAGGCTGGAAGTTTTTAATCATTCAAAGTTTGATAAGTGGGTGGAGAAAGGGATAGCACCTGCTATAGCACCAAGCTTGAAGCTTTACCAAAAGGTTATGGATTTGGGGTACAAAGTTATCTTGCTTACAGGGCGTAGAGAGAACCACCGGGTTATCACTGTCGAAAACCTGCGCAATGCCGGTTTCCATAACTGGGACAAGCTTATTCTGAGGTAAGAGCATACTCAACTTTCAGCTTTCTTGGACCTCATTACAATGTAGCTCCTACAGTATGTATTCAATTCTTTATCTTGATCATGGTTGTTGTAACATGACATTATTTGATCTTGGATTGTAATCTTGGGTTTGATTGGATGATTGACGCTTTGGTTTGCTGCTTTAATGTTGTTAACAGATCGTTGGATGATCGGAACAAAACAGCGACCATGTACAAGTCAGAGAAGAGGGAGGAGATGGTGAAAGAAGGGTATAGGATCAAAGGCAATTCAGGTGACCAATGGAGTGATTTGTTGGGTTCTGCAATGTCAGAAAGATCATTCAAACTTCCAAATCCAATGTATTATATCCCCTGAAGGGGATCAACTAGAATGCGAATTAATCAGAGTAATTCAGGTTACCAATTGGAGCAACCTACTGTTTTTGATGTTTTGGTTGCCATATATGTAATCGCTTGCTATAAATATATGTACTACTAATGACTGCATCAGCTTGAGTGTTCAAATTTATAGCTTCTTGAAAAGCTTTTTATGCTTAAAAGACAAATCCAATCATTAAAGATTTTAGAATTTTAAAACCAATTAACTAACATTAGTTTAACAAAACAAGACCTTTTACATATATAGACCAACGTTACCACTTACAAAGAAGCCAAAGAAAGTACAGCATCACACTTGAGAAAAAAAAACATGGTACCATTTGACAACATATAGAAACTCACATAAAACATTACTTATAACAAAAAGATAAAAAAAAACTGGATATCGGCTTTTATTATCTCCCCTGATCAAATTCTAAACACTTTATTCCTCATAAACTACCTCCCCGACATCGGAGTTATTGGACTATGATGATGGGTAATTTAAGTAGTGTGCTGGCCAACACGAGTACGGTCACGGTCATGTTCCCCACCAGTATGTTGCTGTCCGTAGTACTGAGCTCTGTCTTTTAGATCCTGAGCCTTGCTTCCCAACTTCATCCTTGCACTGTCCAACCTATCTGAGCCCTGTGGGTGCTCTCCCGTTGCGTACCTATTCACAATCAAATATGCATCATACTAAGCATTAATTTACCTATAGATATGACATATACAATGACACATAACAAGCTGGCTAGGTCAAATTTTGTATTTAATTAACCAAATGCCACTTCCCTATGATTTGCAATTATTAATGTGACATTTGTTAATCGACCAAAAAAATTGATCCAAAGCTAATGGCCCAACACATGCATGCACATAAACACATATTGTACAAAATAATGAAATAAGATGATAAATATGTGCTTACTTGTAAATCCAAGAGAAAACGGTAATAGCTGCAATGCCAAACCCACCAGAGGAGAGAAAACCGGTGATGAGCAGTGCAACGGTGATGAGAGCCGGTACAAGGATTGGGCTGAAGATAACGAGCAGAGGTGTTGCAACAGTCAAAGCTATGACAGTTCCAACAAGGGTAAGGCTGGAGAGGACAAGGAGGGAACCACCAGCTGTGACAGCAGTAGCAGCTTTAGCAATCTGCCTAGACTTGGAGTAGTCGGACCCTCGTCCGGACATCTGGTACTGGTCTCGGTCTCGGCCAATCATCGGGTACTGTTCTCTGCCTATGATATCATGATGGGTTGTTCTACCTGTATCCGCCATTTTTTTTTCTTGTTGAATAGAGAGAATGAGATCTTGAATGAGAGAGATTGATCAAAAGGATGTGTATATATTTTGGAAGAGGAAATGAGTGTTGTTAGATATATTAAGAAAGGAGACGAGAAGTCACGTGTCGATGGCAACATCATGCAACTGTGTGCCACGTGTTAATGGCGTCACCATGCAGGCGCTGCATGTGTTAACGAGAGGGGTCTACTCGAGGACACGTTCGTTTTTTGTCTAGTTTCATCAGGATGTGGCGTTGGCATGAACCGAAACATAAACGCCTAACGGACCTTTGGGCTCATCAATATGGGTTCGGGCCTTTCATGAATTCCTTCTAAACGGCCTACCACTATTGGCAACAAAATCAAATTGGGACGTAGATGGTTTTTTTTTTTCTTCAACTACTATTTTTTTTTTTTTTTTTGATTATCTCTGTTGAAGAAAATTAAGATTTAATTTTTGAGTTTTGGTCCAAAGTTAAAAATTTTGTAATTCCGCAACATTCTAGAGAAATGAAGAAATATTAGATACAAATATGAATATCCATCCGCCTCTTAAAGTTCCCAATTTCACCACGTCACTGCTTTGATAATGCAGGTCCTCGTTGCCTCTCCTCCGCTCATCTCCGCCGCTTCTCTCTCTAAACCTCTCCATTCTTTCTCTAAATCCGCACTCTTTCTCTCCAGAGCCAAAGCCAAAGCCAAACCCATTTGCCCTTTCCCCCAAACCTCACGACCCATCTCCGTCTACAAATCCCCGATGAACAACCTCTTCAACAGGCTCGGTTTCGGCTCTCGTCCCCAAGCCCAAGTCGACCCATCTTCCGCCGCAATCGCCCAAGGACCCGACGACGATGTTCCGTCGCCAGGTCAGCAATTCGCGCAATTCGGCGCCGGTTGTTTCTGGGGTGTGGAGCTAGCTTACCAGAGAGTTCCTGGTGTGACCATGACCGAGGTTGGGTATAGCCATGGCCTCATGCACAATCCGAGTTACGAGGATGTCTGTACTGGCACGACGGGACACAACGAGGTTGTTAGAGTCCAGTACGATCCGAAAGAGTGTAGCTTTGAGACCTTGCTCGATGTTTTCTGGAATCGCCATGATCCAACCACCTTGAATCGTCAGGTGATTGCCTGATCCCTAAAAATCTAGACTTTATCAGTATCAGATCTTCATTTGAATCAATAGAGAGCTCTATGTGTGTTCTGCATTTGGGGGTGAATTGTTTATTGATAACAATGACTAGACTCACATGTTTAGACGAACTCTCTGTTCCTTAGTCTTTGGTTCTACATACATTTGGTAGTCTCGAGACAGTACCTATTGGCTAAGTTGTTGTGTCCTTGATTTGAAATTCGAGCAAGTTAGAATCTCAGGCCTTGTTCATATGAGGATTCTTTTTTTCTGACAAATGCAGACACTGAGTGAACAGATTACTTAGTCCGATTTCATGTCTGATTATGTGGAAGTGACATTGCCATTTCCATTTTCGCATGCGATCTTGTACTTGAGTCCGTTCTTGTTCATGTTACTATAGCTACATACACTTGAAGATGAATCTAGTGTTGTTGTTGTGGTTCTTCACATACTAACTTCTATGTGTTGATTTAAGTAGGGTGGGGATGTGGGAACTCAGTATCGATCAGGCATATACTACTACACAGACGAGCAAGAGCGCTTAGCTCGTGAAGCCGTTGAGAAACAGCAGAAGATATTGAACAAGAAGATTGTGACAGAGATACTTCCCGCTACGAAATTCTACAGAGCAGAAAATTACCACCAGCAATACCTGGCAAAAGGCGGTCGCATGGGTTTAAGACAATCAGCTGAGAAAGGTTGCAAGGATCCAATCCGATGTTATGGCTAAGAAACTAAGTCAGTCGTCCCTCAAGCACATAAAAAGAAGTGAGTTGTCTCATGAAAAATTCAATAATCTGTAGATCACATTTGTGATGATGCATCATATGCTTACATGAATGTTGTGATAAATTTTAATGTTACAAGAACAACCATAAGTTGTGAGTTGCCACACAATGAATCCAAATCAGAAACATAATAAGGCAATATTCGGATTTTATAGAGCAAGGCTTGTCAAAAGCAATTTCAATTTGATACTACAGTACAGGTCCATACAATGTGGGGTGGTTTCGAACAATTAAACGGTATGGATGATTGTGCAATTCAGAAGCTAATGGTCGGAACATCACCTGGAAGCATATATACATGGATGGGCATTGAGTGTTCATGTCACCACCAAAACAGTTTCCATGGATTTCATTCTACAATATTCACTTTTACAATTGCCATTAGGAAATCGAGCTCGTTTCCAGGCTTCTTTGTTTGAGACATATGAACGTATTGACACTACATATATAAACACGTCTACACAATTTTTTTTTTTTTCCTCAAAAACACGTCTACACATTCAGAGTGATTTGTACTGTTCAATCAAACGTGACGCATGGAGACGTGATGTTGGGACCACTGTGCATCCTAGACTATGCAGAAATGCGATCTGCCATTTCGAAAAACATAAGAAAAAATGTATCATGTTCTAAATTTTGGTTGACAAAAATGTGGGCTTGATGAGTTTCTACCTGTTTACTCGTGGCTTCCGAAGTGCCCATTGAGTTTTCAATTCTCAGTTTTTGGAAATGTTCCTGGAACAGAAAATTTTCCTCAAGGTTATGGAGTGAGTTAACTTATAACTTCTTGCTTTCTCAAAACAGCGATATGTATTACCTGTTTCTCGCGCACTATTTGAGCCCGTGTGTCTGCAGGAAGTTGTTCCCACCTAAGTACCTAATATCCCCAAAGTACACAGGAACATGAGCACCACAATCTCAGTTTTCCTTTTTATCAACTCATTAGTGTGTAACAGTGTTTTTCAGATGTAATGCTTACATGTTCTGCATATTGGAACGCTTCCTCGGAAGTCAATGATGATTTGAGTGCTCGTAAGACATCCTAACAAAAATAGTGCAGCATCCAGTTAGTCAGCAAAGCATATTTCAACACTCTGTATGGCTCAGTAGGCTTTAACCACTAAGCTCCATAATAAGTAACGAAACAAGAAAACTACTGTCGGAATTTTTTATAGTGAATAAATCTTAGACACGACCACATTTAATTAGAGAAGCATATAACCTTGTGTTTGTTCTTCTTGATGGCCAAACGTTCACCAATCACAAACCCTACCTGCGTGTACGAAAAACATTGACATGATAAGTAAAGTAAGAACATTGACTGGCGCTTACAATAGTTGATCGAGAACTATTGCAGAGTATGCCATACTCACTTTGTCAATCAGCCTCTTTGGTTCTTGGAATGCTTGTTTCTTAGCCCAGTTGTGAAATAAGTGAGAGACAACTGACCTAACCTCCACATCAAACCTGTTTAGGATGAAAATTATACTTCTTGAATCATGAACCAGACCGAAGAGTGCCAAATTATACAGTTATGTTGGTTTTAAGCATGTAACCTCTTAAGGAAGTTGTTTCCATTGAGTGCATATGCCGCTATTGACTCCTCGGAGGCATCATCTACTGGAATGTTCATCACATCATTGTCCGTTAGTTTACTTTCCTCATGTTTTATATCTGTTCCAAAACTGGAGACGCTCTGCTCAGTTTTGTTTGGAAGATTTTCATGAAATTTTCTGAAGTCATTTACGCTCATGTCTCCCTACAGAACATTATTGAGAGTTCTTGTTAGTGCTATCACATTATCATGCATAAAGTTGCAAACAGACTGAGACCTGAACCTGTAGAAGATGGCCTGGAATCTCTTTAAGAAATCGTGAGGGTTGGAGCACCTAGATGGAAGAACATCATTAGTCAGAGACAAAGTTTGGGAGGACGAATTCATAAACCATGTGTAGTACTAACCTGCCAGTTCGAATCCACTGTCACATACAAAAAAAATAGTTTCTTGCGAGCACGAGTCATAGCAACATACAGAAGACGACGTTCCTCCTACATTTTTAACAAACAATGCATGGTTAAATATATATTTGTAGAGTTCGCAGAGGTGGGATGTGGATAGAGAGTTCATGAAAGACTTCATGAGAAGGAAAAGCGATACCTCAAGTGATGTTCCACACTCTGATGCATTGCCGTTAGACTCATGTAATAGGGGAATTTCATTTTCATTAGCCTGTTTACCAAAACTTTGATTAAAACAGCGCCAATGATTTTTTTGTTTCATTGATTTTACAAAAAAAGTATTCCATATCTTGCTAGGTCCATAACAGCCAACAACTCGGCAAAGAAATCCAGAGAGGATGATATATACCTTGACTATGAAAACTATGTCCCACTCCAAACCTTTAGACTACATAAAGACATACAAAAGATATTAGCCAATATTTCCAATACTACCTGAAGAAGCTAATTCTAACACCAATGGATAGCAAATTGTGGACTGCTCGAGTGAGTGAACAACACCTGATGAATGGTGGTCAATGTGACCGAATTTTCATTGTCCTTTCTTCTTGAACGAAAATTTTCAGTTTCCCGCTCGGAGATATAGTTGATAAATGAATTAAGTTGATTGCAGCCTTTCTTTTCTTTGATTGCATCCACTTCTTCTTCATTTGTAGTGCAATGAGTGGAAAGAAACTCAGCTACATCATCCATTAAGTACTGGAGTACCTGCAAAAACAGGAAATCATTCCCCAAAACATTTTTAAAACATACAGTACGAATAAAAAAAAAATTATCAGAAGTTTTTGAAGAGCAAAAACCACATACAGATCTAAGATCGTTGTCTTCATTAAGCAGTTTCCCTCCATCATTATCCACAACTGCTCGTTGCTCAAGAAGGTATTTCTAGAGTTGAAACAACATGAGAAGTTAAGCGTGATCAAGAAACGAAATGGGTATGATATTGCACAAAGACTTTGTAAGGAAAGACACAGTAAATCTTCAAAGCAAATCATGTGTTCATAACCTATTTTCCCGTGAGAGTTATACATTAAGCCTATAATCACGATATCGACAAACTTTCAAGAATGAGATTGGATTGTCATTTGTCAAGCATAAGGTCCAATTTGTGTATATATGTCTTACTTAGCAAACAAAAACTTTCGAAAATTGCCTGCATGCTTTTCTATATATGACTCCGGAGATGACAGTGTAGACTAATAGCTATAAGCATGTCACCACTTAAGACAGAAAAATCAATTACCTGCGGTATCATATTTGCCACACATGTTACTACAGCTGAAAGTGATTGTTCCTGCAAATATTTAAGCCATAAGGGATTCATATTGCTAAATTGAAATAAGCACGATCAGTTGATCACTTCAACTATTGATAGATGCGTTCAGAGTATCTCAAGGACCGAAAAACAAATATCTTACCCTATCAACCAGCTTTGCTACCATGTCAAGTGTTTGCAAAACTTTGCGTCCCTGGGTAAGCTGGCTCCTGTGGTTAATTCAAACAAACTTACGAAGCTTAACAGGAACCATGAATAAAAATAACAAGACTGAGGGGATATAATTGTGCAGCATCCCATTCTTAGAATCTGTATTTATACATATACACACAATATCACTTAGATCTGGATGGCAAAACGACCTATATATATCACTCTAGTATGGATCATGAAAATAAAAGCAGACACATTTATATGAGAATTTTTTTTATTTATGTCCTGGTTAGTAAACCTGGAAACAAATGATATTCCCAATTCAGAATTAAAACTAAAGCAGTATTATATATTGTTTTCTTTTATGAATTTTATCAAGCAATACCTCTTGAAGGTACCAGAAATCTTGGCACTGAAGATATCACTCGCCGCTGAAATGAAGCTGCATTTCCTACTAGTGGAGATTTTTTCAATATGTTCTATAACCTGCAGACGGTGGTAATAAATTAAACAGCTTATGTCCTGATAGCTTCAGCTGAGAAAGAAACAATAAATAGTAGATAGTCATGCAAATGAAATAAAACGAGATCAAATGAGGTACAAAACTACAAACCCTTTTCTTTTCCTCTTTCTCAAAAGGAAGTAATGCCTTGAACACTCGCCTATAAGAAGCATCATCACATTCGGAAAATGTTGTCTTCAGCATGGCCAAAATGATTTGGACAACCTAACGTAGAAAAAGTTTATAGTTGGTATGTTTATTAGATGGAGCTTATTGTCTGAAACAAATAAAGCTAAGATAACAATGCGGAGGAATTGTCAATGTCAAGCATTGAGATACATAGTGATCATGCAACAGTTAACAAATGAGATATTTATGAGGCAATCTACCTTTTTCCTGTAGAAAGCAACACCATGAACGTTAAATGGTATTTTTCTCTGGCGGAATGAATTTTGGAAGACTTTACCTGACACCTGAATATCAAAACATTCATGGTTTATCAACACATAAGTAATATTTTCAATTTTTAAACATTCTGACAACATGTAAGGAAAAGAAAAGGACTGACCTGCCTCCTATAAAGAATAGCAATATCCCCATGGGAACAACAAGGTGTTGAGCCATCATTAGTGATTTCAATTATTTTGTCAATGACAAATGCACACTGTGCTTCCTCATTATGGCATTCCTTGACGGTAATCTATACTGGACAAAACACAAAAAGGTTAATCCTGTAGTGATTAAATGATACAATTTCTCATGAAGAAAAGTTCAACTTGCCTTAGATCCCTGAGAGTTTTCAGACGAAATGCTTTTTGATTGGCACCGCTTCGTATTGTTTTTTATGATAGAAGAAGCGGCTTCGACAATATGGCGGGAGGAGCGATAGTTTTTTATAAGCCTGACCTGAATCAAAAGCAGTAAGATAAATGTTACGCATTCGCAATTCAATGAGTGCTTTTGGTTTCAAAAGCTAATAAATCATATGTGGTATAATCTTTGAGTTAGCCTTGAAAAGTCAAACCTCTTTGTAGTTTGGGAAATCTCGGCGAAATGAATCAAATCCTGAACTGTCCGCCCCGTTAAAACCGAAAATGGACTGCAAGAAAAGATGCATCATACTTCCTTCGAATATTCAAGTGAAACTAAGTAAGTTTTGTTTGAAAAAAAACGCACCTGATCATCATCACCAACAATAGTTATGTGATTATGAGAGCCTAGCATTCGTAAAAGCTTGTACTGCATTGTGCTAGTGTCTTGGAATTCATCAACTATGATGGCTTTCCAGGTATCTTGGCATTCCTTGAATACTTTAATCAAATGCAGCAAATACACGTGAACACAAGGAAATCTTGAGTGTCATAAATCTAATATCCAGAAAATTTATCTAACTGGCTTCACCTTCAGGAAAGTCAGAGAGGAGTGTGACCGAACAACTGATCAAATCATGATAGTCCAAAGCATTACAAGCTTTTAGGATATCGTTGTAGTTTCCAAGAATTTTAGCCTGTATCAGCACCAGAACAGAATCATATCATATGAGCTCATTCATAGTGGAGATGCCTGAAACAAGTTTTAGCTGACTTACTCCTATCTCATTTCCCATCTTACGGCACTGCTCTGGAGTTTTACCGGAAGCTTTTCCCTAAAATACGGAAACAAGTTAAAAACAACTAATTTTAAGAGACAGATTATGTGAAAGACAGGATATACGCGCTAGTAATAGACCATAAAGTAACCAAATTATATCAATTCTTTATTTATTGGCAACCTGGGTCACAAATTTCTGCCATTTTTTTGATAGATCCTTGGCATATTCAGGACATACTGCTCCTGCTCCTGCACCATTTAGAACTTCTCCAGACTCGCATGCACCAGAAGTTTTGCTTCCATTCTTCTTTTCCTCCTCATATAAACGCACTGCTTCTATTATCGCTCTTCTTTGTTGCCCATGCCCATACACTGAGAATTCAGATGTACGTTGTAACCTGTGACAGTAGGAAAGGTATAAGGTACATGAATCCCATGAATCTATAATTTTAAAGATGTCAACAAGTGATATGCGACAAACAACTTCAAACTAACACATGTAGAAAAAGAAATTAGTAAAATCGCCTAAGAATTATGCTATCAAGAATAGAATTTATAAACTAATCTTGTTTTCAAGTATTACTTCCATTTATTGGCCCTGTAACTCCAATTTAACAACATAGAAAGTTACATTTTCCAGTGGTGAGAAAAAATCATTTCATGTCTTCTACCTACATTTAGACTCGAGATTAACCACAAAATACCACGAAATTCACAATTCATGTTCTCACTTGTCTGCATGCATCCGACAAAGTTGCAAGGAAAATGAATGGAATGTACTAATTGTTATGTCTTTCGCTGCTTTCTTTCCAGCAGATTTTCCTATGCGTTCCCTCATTTCAGAAGTTGCTGCTGTAGTGAAAGTCATTGCAAGGATATTCGATGGATTTAGACCCTATCAAGTTAGAAAGAACACAAAACTTAAAATGTAGAGGTAACTTCAAATCTCATTTCAGATATAAGATCTCAAGTACGGAAGATGTTCTAAATCATTCAGCGACGATAAATGATAGTACCTCATTTAGTAGCACTAAGACGCGGCCAACCATGGTGGAAGTCTAACATAGGAAAAGGAATAATCAGTACTGACTGTATAACAAGAAAACCCACAAAAAATCCTGCCTCATAGAAAAAGAAGTCTATCAGATACCAACCTTTCCACTTCCAGGACCAGCAATAACCATCAAAGGAGTTGAAATATTACTACAAGCTGCATCACGCTGTCTATCATTTAAGGACATGATATATTTGGAACACTCATCAGGCATGGAATTGAGAAGTGCAGGATCAGCAGCAATGGTAGTCTCTTCATCGAGCTTCAATTTGACATTAGAGTCTTGCTCAAACTTTTTAACAGCCATAGCATCTAAGCCGGCTTTGAGGTCACTGCTCATGTTATCTTTAGACGGAGTCTGATTTATGCTGGTACTTGGAGTTTGACATGCTGTTTTTCTCGCCGACTGTTCACATATTAAGTCAATCTCTTCTAAAATGGAATCATCAATGTCATCATCAAGAAGTGAAGAAGAAGTAGAGCAACCGTAGCTTAGTGTAACTCTTTCTGGCTCTTTCAAGGGAGTAACAAATGCTTCTGATGAAAATCCATTGTCCCCTGAAATCTCGGTCTGAAATTCATTAATGATCTCCTTATCCAGATCAAACCTAGGAGGAGTGGTCAAGCCACAAGGATTACCATCAGCATATGACTCAAACGCCGGTTTTAGGCGTTTGTATGGTGTATTTGTAGATAACTCCATAAGAGGAGTTCTATTGAAGTTTGTATGGTGAGCAAGGGATTCAGTACCCATTGATGATTCCTTCGTCCTGTAACATCAGGTAGAGAAATTGATCAAATCTAATGAAGCAATGCAGATGTTTAGATTCAGAATGAAATGAAACGAATTCGCTATGCAACTTGACTTTGAGGGAGAGCTAAATATCACTGTGGACTATCAAATCCTAAGAGCAAGGCAAATCCTAATACGATGATATCAGAAATTTGACAAGAATCAGCTACTAGAAGCTATTGAAAGGCAATGGCTGATAGAAGCGAAGAATAAACCAATAATTCGAATATATTGCAAAGAAGAAAGCAACGGACCTCTGATTGGAGGAATTAGGTGCGTTCTCTAATGGCCTTTTCCGGTCAAAGAGCGGCTTGGTGGACCTGAAGCTTTGAGAAATCCGACCATGACTATACTCTTGATTCCACATTCCTCTATTGGGTGGGAGATTCTCCATCTTCCCTTGATCTTCGTCGAGAAAGTGTGGGAAAATTCGAAATGATTGAAATCCGACACACCTGTAAAAACCTAGAGACAACGAAACCCCTTTTTCGCCGTAGAGGATCTCATTGGGCCTATGGCCCATGTGGGCCCTTTGCTTTGAAGAATGGAGTCTTTTTTTTTTTTTTTCCTTTTAAAGAGTTTTATAAACAGTCACTTTTTTTTCTTTTCTAGAAACAGTCTTATAAACTTCCATATTTAGATTAATCTCGAAATTAATGAGCGCATGTCTTTTTTTATTTGGTTTACATGAGCGCAATGTCGTGTAAGAGCATCTCCAACCCACCTCTATATTTATCTCTAAACTCTATTTTAGAGGCAAATTTGCTCCAACCCACCTCTATTCTCACCTCTAAAATAGATATCTCTATTTTTTTCTCTATATATAGAGGTGAGAATAGAGAATCTCTATTTTTTCCTCTATAAATAGAGTTAAACTTTTTAGAGGAAAAAATAGAGAAACACATTGGAGTAAAAATAGAGAAAATTTATCTCTATTATAGAGATAGAGCTAAAAATAGGGAAATACATTGGAGATGGTCTTAAGTTGTAACATACATGACCATGTCGATGGTGTCTTATAAGAACAGCTTCGTATGACTAGTATGTTGGGTAAAAATTAATTATAACAAAAGTCAAACAAACTCATTAAAATCATAGTCAACTAAATTCTAATTAGTTCCTTGGCACTATCAAATCCAAACTTTTGCAATGGAAAAAAAAATGCAATGAGAAGAGAAGGAAGAATTATAATTCTCAACTTGCTAATTTAATTTGTGTCGTATATACATTGTATATATGCAAGTTGAGACGACTTCGCTTGATCATCAAAAAAAGTCTTGACGAATACATAAGCCTAAAGTCGTCTCTTACTCAGCATTTTCTTCTTCACCTTATTGGCATCTTCTTCTAAAGTTCCAATGCTTGATCATTGATGATTTTCCCAGCATCGGAAACGAAAGGCTATAATCTGCAACTTTCAATCCCGAGAAAATAAAAGGGCCTTTGGGAAAAAGGAAAAAGAATGTTGTTGCTGGTGGACTGCTCCAGCTGTCGTACGCCGCTTCACCTCCCTCCAGGAGCCACCCGAATCCGCTGCGCCATTTGTCACGCCTTCACTCTCATCGCTCCCGAGCCCCGTCAATCCCACGCGTCGGCCAGCCCTTTTCCTTTCCTAAACTCATCTCCCGTAACTCCAGCACCATCCGCTTTCACCTACCCGCCACCAGCACCGTCTCCGTTCACTCACGCGCCGCCAGCACCGTCTCCATTCAACCACGCGCCTCCAGAACATTATCCGTTCACTCACGCGCCGTCATCACCGTCTCCATTTAACCACGCGCCGCCGGGTCCTCCACCACCAGTACACGGACAGAAGCGAGCGGTGATCATCGGGGTTTCTTACAAGAACACAAAGGACGAACTCAAAGGATGTATCAATGACGCAAAGTGCATGAAATTCATGTTGATGAAGCGTTTCCAATTCCCTGAATCTTGCATTCTTATGCTCACCGGTATTATTCTATATCATAAGATGTCATAATTTGTGTAACACGTAATGTTAAAAGTGTCAAAATGCTGTAGAAGAAGAAACGGACCCAATGAGATGGCCAACGAAGAACAACATAACAATGGCGATGCATTGGCTAGTTCTAAGCTGCAAACCGGGAGATTCCCTCGTCTTTCACTTCTCCGGTCACGGCAACAACCAGATGGACTACAACGGCGACGAGGTTGACGGCTTCGACGAGACTCTTCTCCCGGTGGACCACAGGACTTCAGGTGTCATCGTGGACGATGAGATCAATGCTACAATCGTACGGCCGCTCCCTTATGGAGTCAAGCTCCATGCCATCGTCGACGCTTGTCATAGTGGTACCGTCATGGACTTGCCTTATCTTTGTAGAATGGACAGGTACGATATCTATAATTCTTGTTATGTACGTGTGTATGCAGACCTCGATTGTTTAATTAATGTGTTTGTGTTGGTTACAGTATTTACTTTTCTATTTCTTGGTGTTGCATTTCCAGTTTACAAAATTATGAATAAAACATTAGAGATCGATTGTAGTTCTATTTGAAGGAAAACACGTTATTATAGCTCGTAGAAATGTCTAAAAAAACAAAAAAAAAACACCAAATGGAGACCATCTAGTTCTGATAGTGGTTATAGAAGCATTATAACCTATATATGAACTAACACAAATAAGGAACTGTTTATGTATACCTCATTAACCATCTTTTCTTGGTCCTTCGTTTTAGGCTCGGAAATTATGAATGGGAGGACCATCGGCCTCCATCAGGAATGTGGAAAGGTACGAGTGGCGGTGAAGTCTTCTCCTTCACGGGCTGCGATGATGACCAGACCTCCGCTGACACTCCGGTACATTCCCAACTGTTGGCCATAATATAATCTCTCTAGATTTCAAACAACTTTAATTTTGATAGTATTTTTACAATTCGGCTAAACGCAATCATCCACATTTTATCTTTTCACCGAGATGTTATAGTAGTTACTCTGTATAAACGTATGAACGTACCTTCATTTTAAAAGCTCTCTCACAAAAAAAAAAAAGTGTGTGCATTACAGCAATTGTCAGGGAGTGCATGGACGGGGGCAATGACTTATGCATTCATTCAGGCCATAGAACGTGGTCATGGGACGACGTATGGGAATTTACTGAATGCAATGAGATCAACGGTTCACGAGATCTTCGACAAAAACAAAGGTAGAAAGCTTGTGGAAGTGGGAGGCGCTGATCTTCTCTCTACTCTTCTTGGTTTGCTCATCTTAGGCGCTGCTCCTCCTGATGAGGAAGAGGAAGTAAACCAAGCCCCTCAAAAAACTCAGGTGATCCATTCATCTACTTATTATTTGGATCTAAATTATCATAAATGATCATTAATTAGAACCTCACTCATAATAATGGAATAGTTATATGGCTATATCTCCAACTTAGAAGGATCTTCATGGACCAACATAGATACTAGAGATCCTAATTGACCAAGATTTCACAACCAATTATTTACATTTTAAAGAAAAAGAAAATTCATAATAGGAATCGATTAGAACAATATGTAAGGAAATACTAATTAAAGTCACAAAATTAGACTTGTGTAACTGCAAAATCAAATTCTAAATGTAACTTGTTGTATACATATTCCATAGTAGTGAATGATTTTTGTAGCAAGATTATGTGAATTGATGATAAGATATGTTGATATCTTGGATTTGATTCGGCAGGAACCACAGTTGAGCGCTAACGACGCATTTGATGTATATGAGAAGCCCTTCTCTTTATAATATCAACTTAAGAGGACAAAAGAATGAGTATGGAGTTTCAGAAGACCAACAAAAAACTTTATTGAGCTTGGAGTGAAGATATATGGGGCATAATATGTTTATATCGGCCTTTTTATTAAGTGAGAAGAATAGTTTTGAGAAATTTGATCAAATGGTAAACAGACATCATCTATCAAAAATACCATCAAGTTAATATTATCATCGGCATATGGTTTACCCATCTTAATTTTAATGAAACCAAACAAACAAGAAACAAGAAATATAAGAAAAATATATACAAGGCCAAGTTTGGTGTGCGATTTTTTGTCTCAAAACCGAGATTTTTGTGTTCATAGTTGCTACTGCTTTCAACGGACTTTGCTTGAACTTACATCACCATTCATCAATATCACTAAGTACGGATGTAGGTGGTGATTTGGCTTAATGAAAACATAAAAATATTTAACTAAGTCCTAATAATTTTTTATCTTTTTTTCTTAATCCCTAGATTTATTACTTATTAGCATCATGATATTTTTCCACTATGTTCATCCAGATGTATCGCCATCACAGTTTTAACGTATTTCAGACATTCTAGAAATTGGATAAGATGATGAAAAAAAAAAAAAGAAATTGGATAAGATATGCCTAACTAGAATTTAGTAATGAAGGTTTGAAGTTTTAATATTTCGTTTAATAACCAAGTGGTGGTGGTCCAGTGGTTTCCACTTGCAGATGAGCGACTCTGTTGGTCCAGGCCAGAGATCGACTCCCTGCAAGCGCGACACTCCTGGATTTTACCCCATTTGGCCACTGCCACGCCCTTAGCGATGGGATAACGTGAACCCGGTATGTAAGGCCACCAGGACCACACTTGAGGGCAATGCCCAATACGGTGCTAGTCGGGACCATCAGTAGTGGGGCCCGGACAACCTGGTTAAAAAAAAAAACTTTGACAAAAAAAAAATATTTCGTTTAATAGATAAGATTATAAACTACTCCATATAACTGCATTAATATAAAAAAATAAGCTGAAATTTTTTTAAATTTTTTTTTAAAGGAAACAAATGTCCTTAATTTTCAGTGCAATTATGATGACACAATGAGTCACTAGGAAGGAGCCACGAAGCCAGAAAAAAAAAATGTACTACAAAAAGATAATGATAGTACAAAATGATACGTCGTACTGCCACATGTACGACGCAACTCAATTACCAAAAAGCAGAGCCATCTATCCATAAAACTCAAAACACACAGATTCCACTGGCGTGTGCTCTCCTCACTTGTCCTTGAAACTAGAGGTACTGATTCCTCCATCTCTCATCCACTTCTTAGTTCTCATATATATTCGAGTTTCATTGATCTCTTACTCTTTTATCTAGAACTTTCATTTGTTTGGTCTTCCGACAACACACAAACGCATGTATTCCATACATTTTTATGTGTTATTTAAAGATATTGATTCATTTTTTTGGGCATATAGATAATCAGTGCTATGTTTTGTCTGAAATGTGCAGCTTCAATTTCAAAGAATGGCTGCTTCAAGTGCTGTCACCGCAAACTACGTCCTCAAGCCACCTCCATTCGCACTGGTATTTTTTTTTGTGATAAAAATTGAGTGTCGGCAAAAGTCATTTTGTTATCGTTGGATTATAAATTTTGCTTTCGAATTACTAGATGATATAACTTGTTACGTCCTGAATAATATCTTTTAATCCTCGTCAAAGGCGTTACAAATGAATTTTCCACTAATATTAGTGGAAAACCAAAACCAAAAAGGCGTTACAAATGAACTCCTCTAATTTCATAATCGAAGAAAATAGAAATCGAATCAATTTTGTGTGTTTAGTGTTTTTCCGGAAATTAATTGTGGGAACGGGTCAAGTACGGTGGTCCGGGTAAAGGCTTTGAATGTACTAGTGAGTACTATCCGACATATGTGGAATGGGAAATTTGGGTATGGGACAACATATCTGAATATTTTTTCGATTTTGGTATTTGTGATTTTGAAACCATATATCGAAATTTTATAGATCACATGTCATCCCGACCGTTACTTAAACCAGGGGCGGATCCAAGTGGTTAGGAGGTGGGGCACGTGCCCCACACTAAATCTATAATGTTTTTGTTTGTTAAGATGATTAATTAAAACACTCTAGCATTATTGGTTGGGTTTCTCATTCTGAAAATCCAGTGCCTAGGTTCGAATCACATTTTTGTCACAATATCCCATTTTTTTTCCTTCACCTAAAGCAATAATTTAATCATTTCCTCATTTATTTCCAACTTCTTTCCGTCAATTAAATATGTTTTGATATTTTTTAACTAATTAAAATAGTAAGTGTAATGATATATTTCTAAAATGTTTTTTTTTTGTGAAAATGAATTACAAAATTATATCTATATACATTATGTACCTGCATTGGTTGTAAGAAGCAAACTATATGAATTGATGAACTACATATTTTATTACAAAATTTATATTTTCATAGATGTAATAATTTTGAAAAAAATAAATAAATAAATGTTGCCCCATACTAAATATTTTCCTGGATCCGCCACTGACTTAAACTACATTACTTTGTAAGAAAACTGTTATGTGGTTTAATGTTAAATTCATAAATTTTTATATAGTATATGACCACTAGTCCTAGTTCAAATTCAGATGTTCCTTGGTCTGATATTTGTGTTCCTTCTAATGGACCCATTGGTTGAGTGAAAGCAATATGTGAAATGCGTTTTTTTTTTGGTATAAAATTGGAAAGGATGCTTTGGAGCCGCATATGAGCAAACAAACTCTGGAGTTTCACTGGGGAAAGCATCACAGGGCTTACGTGGACAACCTCAAGAAACAGGTTCTTGGAACCGAGCTTGAAGGCAAGCCCTTAGAGCACATTATCCACAGCACTTACAACAATGGTGATCTCCTCCCTGCTTTCAACAACGCTGCTCAGGTGATAATTAATAAACCCATTTTTATTTGAAGCTTTTAAAAGGAAAGGTGTGTGATTGTTTTAGCTGATGATCCAATGGTTGTGTTCATAGGCGTGGAACCACGAGTTCTTCTGGGAGTCAATGAAACCCGGTGGTGGAGGAAAACCAACAGGAGAGCTTCTAGCTTTGCTTGAAAGAGATTTCACTTCTTATGAGAAGTTCTATGAAGAGTTTAATGCCGCTGCAGCCACTCAGTTTGGAGCTGGCTGGGCCTGGCTCGCTTGTAAGTGTTTCAAATGATTAAGAGCTTTAGGTAAATATAATTAACTTCTTCCTAACTCTTATCTCTCTGCTTCCAGATGCAAATGACAAACTCAAAGTAGTGAAAACTCCAAATGCTGTGAATCCCCTTGTGCTCGGCTCTTTCGTAAGTTTTCATGAAAGAACTTGATTACACAATTTACTTGATTAGAGATTACCGTACAATTAATGCAAATCCTGAAAATTTAATATTGGTCTGTTTTTCTTGCAGCCCTTGCTTACCATTGATGTCTGGGAGGTAAATACACACTTTTATAGCCAATACCAAATCCAGTGTTTGTCTTAAAACCTATTTTTCTTTCTTACAAGCTGATTGATAAATTTTGTTTTCTTTTGGTACATGGAACAGCATGCTTACTACCTTGACTTCCAGGTAACAGCTTATTCATAAATTGTTAACAAAACGGTTTTCTTCAGTTTCTTTGTTTTGTTGATTGTTGGTAATCTATTTGTATATGAGCAGAACCGGAGACCGGATTACATAAAGACATTCATGACCAATCTTGTGTCTTGGGAAGCTGTGAGTGCCAGACTTGAGGCCGCAAAGGCTGCTTCTTCCTCTTCTTCTTAAGCAGAGTTCTGAACAATTTGACTTCAGTGAGTTCTGCACTTACTGGAGTTTTTTTTAATAAAGTATTGGTCGTTGTAATAAGGACACAGCTCTCTTGTTCTGTGTCACAGAGTCCTTGATCTAGGTCTTATACCTGACTACCTGTGTAATGAACAATTACCATGCTCTTTCTGTGGTTTTTCTTTTGTGTGTGTGTGTGTTAAGTTTTTTCACTTGTTTTTCTTATAGAAAAGCATGATTCTGCGTTTTTATAAACTCGAACGTGCCTACCTACCATCTACTCTTCATATTTAGTCACGGCCCATTATTCTATTAGAAGTTTATAGTTGTGAAAACGTATAAGTCATTACCATATATATCTTTAAAAACACAGGTCATAAGATACCCACCTCTATACACTATACGAGACAAATCTTTGCATTGCTGGCGCCTGGCGCTGCGGAGAAAAAATGAAACTTATTTGATATAATAATAGATCATTTTGATTAACCAATTCTGTGTACAATGTTACGGTGGAAGACAAACTAAAATGAAGGTGTTAAGAATATGGTAAGTATAATGGAAACAATATTTCAAGATCAAGACAAGAAAGTAGAAACCCCTTTTTCAAAATTATTTGAAAACTGATATTAGTTGGACATTTGGACGTTGGTGGTTTATTCAATTGGTTTTGATAGATACTTATACGAAATTTATTTATAAGATGGACAATCATGTTTCCTAAGTTATGAGTCATTCTAGGTAAATTTCACTTAATTAATCAACCAATGAAGAGGAGTTGACCAAAAAAGCAAATCAAATTTTGTGGGCCCAGGTAGGCCTTATTTCTTTGAATTTGTTTTAACTTTTTTTTTTTTTCAATAATTTGTTTAGCTTTATGTTTCTACATGTTGGTGCACAAAAAGAAAAGGAAAAAAAATGTTTCTACACGTAGGGATATTTCCGGCGTTATCTAAAATGTTGTTGATTGTGTATAAAAAGAATGACTGCGTATATTTCAGGTCGTCTCATATTACATCCCAAAGAGTTTCAGAGAGATAGAAAGATTGAAGGAGTTATGAACTAAACAGTTTTTGCTTCTAAATCCTCAAGAGCATTGACTTGTGATGCAAGAAACAAATTATTTCGTTTAATCATATCATTTTCCTTGCTCCCGTTTTGTTTTCCGTTGAGATTTTCCGTTAAAAAGGGACGAATCAATGCAGAGAGTGAGCTTTGAAGTGACGGATACAGAGGCGGAGAAGAGCAGCAGCGAGACAGTTCCACTGAGCGGAGCTTTGCCGTCGACCTTCAAAAATCCGGCGATGGAAAACGTTGGAAACGCGGCGGATGATGGACCGAGCGTGAAGAACAATCCGAAACTGAATGCGCAGAAACAGAACGGTCTGGTGGAGTTGCTCGCCTCAATTTCGAACCAGCTCATGAAGTGTTTGACATTGGTCACTAGAGAGAGTAAGACACCTCGATTGGACCGGTCGAAGTCAACGGCCGGTCAGGCCTTGAAAGGGCTCAAGCTCATCAGTAAGACCGACGGCAACGCTGCCTGGACGGTCGTGGAGAAGCGGTACTTGAAGATCACGCCAATACTGATGGATTGCTGCTTCGGTCAAAATTCGGTGAATGCATAGGTAAGATTTTGTAAATTCAAGGAATGGTGACAAATAAATGATTTGGATCTAAATTGGAATATCGATGACATATTGCAGGGATGAACTCAAAAGAATTTGCCTTGGAATTGTTTGACGCATTAGCTAGAAAAAGTCACTTGAAAGGGGATGTGATTACTGAGACCGAGTTGAAGAAATTTTGGGAACAAATAAATGATAAAAGCTTTGATTCCAGGCTTATCACGTTCTTTGACTTGTAATTTTTTTTAGTTATTACACATTTGTTCTTTCGTTTTATTTCTCTGGATCTCTAAAAGTTTTGGTAAAATGAATGTAATGTTTGAGCCAAATTAAGGGTTTGTTTCAAATGCAGGATGGATAAAGACGCCGATGGTAGACTAACCGAAGATGAAGTTAGAGAGGTAAAACTATTTCCCAATGAGGTCTTGATTGTTTCAAATGTTGATTTCTGCGTATACATGCAAAAAAAATTCACATTCACTGTTTTTGTGTGTAAATTTTAAACAGCGACAAAATTTGCTAAAGGTTGTAAGTTCAATATTTTTATATAAAAAAGGTTGCAAGTTCATTTAGAAAAAAAAATGCAAACAAACAATCAATATACATGTTTTAATTATTTTCTTTGAAAATCTTAAAAAAGTTTAATGGGTGGAAGATTTTTTGAACTGTGCTCTGTATTTTTGTGTTTGGCAGATCATCAATCTTAGTTCGTCTGCCAACCATCTGTCATGCATCCAGAAAAAGGCAGATGAATATGCAGCAATGATAATGGAAGAGCTTGACCCTGATCATATGGGATACATCATGGTAAACTAACTTGATGATGGTCTGAAAACCGATATTTTCTTTTTAATATTGCTTTTATTAGTAACTTTTGTGGTGAATTTAAAACAGATGGAGAGTCTTAAGAAATTGCTTCTGCAAGCGGAAACAAAATCTTTAAGCACAACTAATAGTGAAGATAGAAAGGAGCTGAGCGATATGCTAAGTGAGAGTCTTAAGCCTACGCGTGACCCTAACCATTTGAGGAGATGGTACCGTCAACTAAGATTCTTCGTACTGGATAGCTGGCAAAGAATTTGGGTGATAGCGTTATGGCTCACGATTATGGCCATCCTCTTTGCGTACAAGTATATTCAATACAAGAATAGAGCAGTGTATGAAGTCTTGGGGCCTTGTGTGTGCTTGGCTAAAGGTGCAGCAGAGACGTTGAAGCTAAACATGGCCTTAATTCTGTTACCTGTATGCAGAAATACCATCACATGGCTTAGAAATAAGACTAGCTGGTTAGGTGTTTTTGTCCCTTTTGATGACAACCTCAATTTTCATAAGGTAAAACCACACATTTTTCTTGCTATTTTTAACAATTATGGTAGTGAAGTATGGATATGGATCAAATCTCATCTATCATAGTTCTTACATGCTTCTAAAATTAATAACCTAGTTATAAAAGAACACCGTTATATCATTTATAGTAACTTCACGCCTCAACCTACAGGTTATAGCGGCGGGAATTACGATAGGAGTAGGCATACACTCGGTGGCCCACTTGGCATGTGATTTTCCGCGGCTAATCGCGGCAACTCCAGCGCAATACATGCCTCTCGGGAAATTCTTCGGGGAGGAGCAACCAAAGAGATACTTGCATTTTGTGAAGTCAACAGAAGGAATAACAGGGCTTGTAATGGTTCTCTTGATGGTTATTGCTTTTACACTGGCTATGCCTTGGTTTAGACGAGGGAAGCTAGAAAAAAAGCTTCCAGGGCCACTAAAGAAACTCGCGAGCTTCAACGCCTTCTGGTACACTCACCATTTGTTTGTTATAGTCTACATTCTCCTTGTCCTTCACGGATACTACTTGTATCTCAGTAAGGAATGGTACAAGAAAACGGTGAGTATTTGATCAATGTCCAACATTTTTGTATCTTTGAAAAATGGTACTAAGTCGGAGGGTTTTGTTTGTAGACGTGGATGTACTTGGCAGTACCAGTAGCTCTCTATGCATACGAGAGATTGATACGAGCATTCAGGTCCAGCATCAGGACAGTAAAAGTTCTTAAGGTCGCGGCTTACCCTGGAAAAGTATTGACTTTGCAAATGTCAAAGCCTACAAACTTCAAATACAAGAGCGGTCAATACATGTTTGTAAATTGTCCAGCAGTCTCACCGTTTGAGTGGTACGCCAAAAACAATCTTAAAAGAGTAACAACTCTAAACCCATTTCAATATAAATGCATGTGATTATATACATATCTCTCCAGGCATCCATTTTCAATAACTTCTACACCACAAGAAGACTATCTGAGTGTTCATATAAAATCACTGGGAGATTGGACAGAGGCTATCCAAGGAGTTTTCTCCGAGGTATATATATTATTTACTTGTAAATCTTACGAAATTATATCTTTGGTAAGTCTTGGAGTCGAGGAAAGATAGTTTGAGAAGCATCTTGTGTTATATTTCAGGTGTCTAAGCCACCTCCGGTCGGAGAAATGTTGCATGGTGCAAATAGTCCCGGGTAAGTATAGTCACCGCATACGTAAATGAGTGACATTTGATTGGTGGTAAGAAAATATCACGTTTTACTTGTCTTTATAAATCACAATATACAAATAATAACCGCAATGCTATATATGAATTATTAAAAAAAATGCATGTTGTTGAGAAACAAAAACCATTTATATGTGAATTCAACTATATACAATAAAAAAATCACACTATGAACATAAGTGAAAAAAACATCTATAACTGAATCCCATAAAGATATAGCTAGTCATACACGCAAACTAAAAAAAATCAATATCAAAACGAGCCATCAACACCTAAATTAACTACTGTGATATTACATTAGTTAAAAATGAAAGAAAGCAAAATGAATCTTTCAAGGTCATTATATAAATATGTAGAATAACACCTACCTATTCTTGGTCGTCATTAGGCGACTAGGAAACATGATTTGATTAAATAATCATGTTCTCACTGGTTCTCTTTGTTAAGTTTTTGTCCGCAAAGTCTTGGATTCCGAAGATCAGCCGGCCAGTCTGGCTTTTCTTAATATATATATGTAAAAGTAGACGTCGTTTACAACCACTACTACTATAATATCACATTCTGTAAATAATATTAAATGTAGAGATATTAATGTTTGATTTTAAAAAATCATTTAGTAGATGAAAACTTCAGATGCATGATGATATATTTTCTTTTTTTTTTTTTTTTTTTTTTTTGAATCTAATGTTAAATTATATTCAAAGAAAAAATAAACGTTTTACATTTTAATGCAAACTTTTCTTAACTTTTAGAACATAGTTTTAAGGAAAATATTATCCTTAGCCTTGTCTTGTTGCGAACCAAGATTGGATGCCACCGGCAAAAGTAATGATGATATATTTTCATTGCGTTTTAAGTTTTCATTTCGTGTCTGAGTCTTAAAATTATATATAACAACTTTACCTATGAGGCTATGCCATATATTCCATCTATTACTCATACACATACATTCACATATATGTATTTCATACATCAAAAAAATGTGTGGATATATGGGAAATTGCATATCAACATATCACATATGTGTGTGTGCGTACACATTCTTTGTTGTTGGAAAATTAATCTACCTAAGATTTTCTAACGTTGTTAATAATTTGGAAATGGCAATGACCTCTTCTTCCGCAGTTTTCCCAAAATTATGATTGATGGTCCGTACGGCGCACCAGCTCAAGACTACAAGAAGTACGAGGTGGTTCTGCTGATCGGTCTTGGCATTGGAGCCACACCGATGATCAGCATTATCAAGGACATTATCAACAATACGGAGACCAAGGAGCAGCTCAGCCAAATGGAGAAGGGGTCGCCACAGGAGCAACAAGGTAAGAAAGAAACTTTCAAGACGCGAAGGGCTTACTTCTACTGGGTAACAAAGGAGCAGGGCACATTTGATTGGTTCAAGAACATCATGAACGAGATAGCAGAACGGGACAAAAGTAAAGTCATAGAACTACACAATCATTGCACTAGTGTCTACGAAGAAGGAGATGTTCGTTCTGCGCTCATACGGATGCTTCAGTCTCTGAATTATGCCAAAAATGGTTTAGACATTGTTGCTGGGACAAGGGTCATGTCCCATTTCGCCAGACCTAATTGGAAAAACGTTTACAAACAGATTGCCATGGATCACCCTGGTGCTAATGTTGGTAAGCTCTTTTTCTCCCTCGTCCAATCAACTAGTAAGCGTATGGTTGTTGTGTTTTGGTTTGGTTGTCAAACCCTTATTAATTGTGATGCTTTGTTATAGGCATGCTTGCATCAACTTGCATGATATTATGATCTTCATATTCACTATCACAGTCGGTTCATAGAAAAAAATTAGCTTAGTTTCATAAGTTTTACATACAGGTTATAGTAACAAAGGTGTAGAATATGATTTGATATTTTGTTTTTAAAATCATCTTATAATCTATTTGCTGACTATAAAGAAATGATATAAACTGAAATTGTATACATAACGTGCAGGAGTGTTCTATTGTGGAGCACCGGTATTGACAAAGGAGTTAAGGCATCTAGCTTTGGAATTCACACACAAGACAAGTACTAGGTTCTCTTTCCACAAAGAGAACTTCTAAAGACAGTGAAGCTTATACCCACATTAATGCTGATAGAGTATGATGGCCAACAAATTATTGAAATTAATTTGTGGAGTAAGTGTGTTACGTTTGTGTTTTGAAAATTAAATTTTGGTGTTGTTTTGTTTCCTAAATAAAACGTGGGTTTGATGATTATGCGAAATATGTGTTTTAAGCGCTTTTTTTTTGTTTGAATTGCATGTATCCAATATTCGAAACCATGTTTGATATCCTTTTAATTTTTCTTGCTCAGCAAGACTCATTTTGTCATTTTAATTCAATTTCCTTTTTAATTTAAACTATGCACAAGAATGGGTAGACAAGAATAGGCATGTTTTTTCGATACGAGAAAGAGAGTACATTTTTTCATCGCCAGATGCTGTCGTTACATATTACATTGATTACATTAAACATTTTGGCCAATTATCAATTGGGGTCAGCAGAAGTGCAAGTTTGTACAGACCGTCCTCCTAGTAGTGTAGCCGTGTAGGAAGAGTTATGAGAATCTATTCGGCGAGTTTAGGAGAATCTGCATGTCTTCAACGAAAATCCTTCGCGGAATTAATATGCTATACAGAGAGAGATCTACTGCAAAAGTCCCAAAAGGAAAGCTAACCATCCTCACATGTATTATCATATTGGAATTCTGCATATCAAAAGAAAGATATGTAGGAGCATAAATTCAAATAAAACTCGTGAGGTCGAAAGTTGAGATTCACATCAAGAGGAAGGATCTACATATCTAGGAGAAGAGAGTCAAAAGAAGTTACTCCCCATTCTTCCTCATCACTGTCGATTCTTGAAAGCACTTTTAACCTATTCTTGATCCCAAGATCTAGTATAATTATGATATAATGATTTTCGACATTGGGTACATGCATGCATTCGGCTCTCAATTCATTGACAATGACACCATATACAGTTCCTTCCTTAGTGACACCAGAACGAGTTAAAGAATGATAAATGAAGAGTTTTCCAAAAACTGACCTAGTATTAAAATGGGTCTACATTGGAACAGCTTCAATGAGCCTAGAGAAGTAAAACTGTGTGGTAGTGAGTCCTCTCTTGCTGATTTTCCAGCCGACCTTACGCAACGCTCTTTCCACATCTGCCTCCGAGTGTAGATAAGCCCGTGTAGCCTTTGATGGCCCTGGGAAAAGCTCTCCAATTCTCTTTAAGATATCATAGTAAAAAGTCTTTGGAGCAAAACTCAGAATCACTCTCTTCTCTGCTAAAGACGCAAGATGTGCGATCATCCCATCTGCTTTGTTCTGCGGGTAATGTATCAGCACGTCGAGGCATACCACTGTGTCGTATTTCCCACTTAGGCTCTCTAAATCATTCACCTCAAATTTTGGTAAATTCTCTGGTGGCAGTTGTGCCTTTGCCTATGCATATTCAAAACAAGCACAAGGATTCAGATTCAAGAATGCAGTACCTTAACAACTCTATGCAAAACATCTTATCATCGAGCATCTAGATTCTGCATTTTGATATGAAAATTTCTATCAAGCTTTGCCAAGAGAAGAACCTATACTAGCAACAGTCAGAACTTAGCTGAGGATTGAAATTGGGAATCATGTATAGTGGAATATTACGAAATCAGGAGTTGCATTTTGAAATTCGACCAACAATCAAAATTGAATCGAAGAAGCTCACCTTCATCTCAGCTTCGGCAACCATAGCAGCAGAGATATCGGAAGCAGAGACGATTGCTCCTTCCTTAGCAAGTGGAATCGAGAGCAAACCGGTTCCACAACCGGCGTCGCAAACCGTGACGCCGGCCAAAGATCTATCTTCCGTTAGCATAAGCATCGTGTTCTCCACCGTCTTAGCATGACCAAGACGAATATCCTTCTGTACACGATTCACTTCATCAGTATCGCCGTAGATCTTCCTCCACCTCTCGAAACCGGTACTGTTGAAATACTCTCTCACCACCTCCTTGTCGCCTCCTCCAACTTCCTCCGCCTGCAATTTCCGCCTCCTCTCCGGATCCGTCAAGGAAACCATCGCCGCGAGTGCTGCAACGGATCCGCCACCGAGTACGGCGATTGTTGTGCTGTCAACGCCGGCTAATTCGGTGACGGATGCCGCGACGACGGTGGCGGCTCTGCTCCGGGGAGTTACATTGAACCTAGTCGCGTTGGGGAATTTAGGAAGAAATTGAGAGACTGAGGAAGACGATGACAACAAGGAAGGAGCAAACGGCATTATCGAAGTAGAGGAGAAAGCAAAACAAAGTGTGCCTTACTCTGTTTCGCGCTTTTGCAGTGAGAGAGAGAGAGTGTTGTTAACGTTATCCTGGATAAGATAGGGAAGGAGACGATCCACATTTCGATTTCCGTAGGACCCACCGTCATGCTGGGTATGTCACAGACGCGTTTCTTTATCATTGCCCATACTTTAACGTTTCGACCTTTTTTACAATAAATTTTAGAGTTTTGCCCCAAACTATATGAAATTTAGTGTTTTGCCCCTCACTATATGAAATTCAGCTTTTTGTTCTCAAAAAACTTGTATTGCGTACGGTCATGAAGAGTGTTATACAAGTAAACAAAATGGAAGCCAAAACTATCCACAATAATAAGAACACAATCTGAACACTTCTCTGTTTGTTCTAACCTTTTGTCGAACAGTAAAATATGATTTTGATAACCTTTTTGTGTGTATGTGTGTATATGCGTGTTTATGTGTTTATGTGAGCGTGTGTAGTGAATGTAGGAAATTGGAGGCAAAGAAGACATTAGAGGTGGTTACTCGTCATTGTAGTCAGAAACGGAATAAGAAGGAAGAAAAGAGGAGTCGATGAGTTCTTTACGAGATGTTTCCCACAATTGTTGTTCTATTCCAAGCTTCTTTAGCTCCCTCATTCCTCTTTCCACTGCCACAAAAAAAAAAAAAATGAATCAGATTCTTTACTTTAAGTCTTTAACTGATTTAGCTTCAATGTAATAAATCTACCATCAACTGCATCATGTGAAGATGAATGTTGCCCGAGTCGGTTGATCCAGAACTGAAGACGCTCTTCCGCTATATCACTTTCCACGCCATGAATTTTAGCTCTTTTCCAGAAATACAGCAGCCATGCCTAGACACATGTATATATGTGTTTTGGGTAAATGAATATGATCCTGCTAACTAAAAGCTAAACTCTCCCGGTAAAGATGTAACTTACCTCTTTAAAGAGAATATCTTGTTGCTCATCATGACTCAACTCTGCATTCAAATTTCAGAGGAACCATTCGTTAATAATCCCTTCCTGTTTCACCATAAGACTCAAATACAATATAGATGAAGAACCACCAGAAAACAGGTTTTGTTGAGAGGCTTGTTTACTTATATGATACTCTCTCTAGATAGTAACGAAAACAGTTTAAGGATGTGACTCACCAAATGTTTCGGCGAACTTAGGTTCCACTTGCACCCTCGGATCTGGATATTAAGATGACATTAGTGTCTGTTGTATGATACCACATCAGTATATTTATGTGCCAATCATTTTAGATATAATTTACCAGTGAGTCGGGCCACATTTGTTTGTCTATACCGGGCAAGTGCAAGCATTACAGCATCCTCTACCTGTGAGGCGCAGGAAATGATATGCATGAGATGTGTATTTTCTGGAAACACATTTTTCAGTAATATACACATCACATTCAGAGATGAAAAATGTGTGCATAAACCTTCAAGGATGCTATCTCTCGTAATCCCGTTTCAACAGCAAGCATACTCTCAATGTTTCCTTCTCCATTCACATCACTGAAATTACTGACGACTTTGCTCCAAGTGCGATCACTACCACCTGCTAGATGTGATTTTACCAATTACTTTTATATTCTAAAATTAAATGCTTTGTGGGAAATATTGGCAGGATAGTTGAAGATCAAACCTGTCTGCCAGGAGTCTTCAGACTTTTGAGCAGCGGAAAGGACAACTTCAGAGGGAAGAGGAGCTAAAGCTGACCAATGTTCATATCTTGATGTGGCTATATCTTCACATATTCCTAAGAGTGACCCAACGAGGTGTACATAAGTAAACATTTCCAAATGAGGGTTGCAAGTATAATATTGTTGATCAATGCCCACTATTTGAGTCTACCGTGAGATTATTGATCAGCTAGTTAGGACCTGATAGTTGTCCTCCATGCCAGTTTAAAATCTAGTGGACAAGTACACTAAGCAAATGGAACACGTATGCTCTAATCATGTTTTAATCTTATCAGGACCAATTTGTGATATCTTCAAAACCCTTTGAACTCTTGGCAAGAGATTAAGACAAACAGGTTACTTCATCTTATCAATCATTGCATGTCAATCAATACCTAACAGAGAATGGAACGATTATATCTTTAGGAGAGAGAAATTTTCTTATTTCTTACCATGTTGAACAGCTAGTTCCCAGTAGCGAGCAAGCCAGCATCTCTTTAGAACAACTTCCTCCTGCAAGATTGGTCAATCATATGGTTAAATCAAATAAAGAAGCTGGGGTTAAACCTTCAATGCACAAAATTCTAGTTTAGTTTGTGAACAAACCATTTCTTCTTGAGTCAAAATCGTTCTATGTATCATTGTCCGAAGAGACTTTGTTTCAGCTTCAACCTCCTGGAGCTGTTCCATGGCTTTCTCTGCTTCATCTTTCAAACTCTGATCATAACACAACAAAGAAGAGATGATTGTTCCCTTGTCAAGTTAAAAGGTTTATATAATAAAGTCTGGAGCACACTTTACTGTTTAGTACCAGTTTGAGTAGACTACCAGTGGTTTACCAGAGCATTGTACCTGAAATTCTGAACTAAGGGCATTAGTTTCCCTATTTATCCCATCTTTTTTCTGTTCAGCAGCCCTTAATGCTGCCTGCATGTAGATTGATGTTTCTCCTTTTCAATAACTTTACTGTCAAAGGAAACGCCAACACAAGCTAGCAGAAAAATAAAGGACATGTATATTAGATATGAATGCACTACGGACCTCTCTTTGACGCAGTGCTGCTTCTTTCCTGGAGGGATCAGTGCAAAGTTCGTAAAAACCCTATATTGTGAATGACAGCTATAATAAAGTCAAGAAAAGCAAACCTCTTCAAGAGCTTGACATCAAAATTTGCTCCTTCACCTAGAGAAGCAATCTGTTGCAAGGCATACCAAGCTTAAAAGTAACCATCAACATTGTAAATAACCATACATGTCTACAAAAGTAAACTATACAGGATATCATAAACACCTGTTTCTCGAGCTCTTTAGCCCTTGCTTCTGCAGCTTCTCGTCTTTCTTCAGCGCGCTGAAGCTGCATATGTAACTCAAAGAATATACACATCAAGTAGAAAAAAAAACAAACGAACTCTATATTAGAGATAGAGAGAGAGGCCACACTGACTTTATCCATTATATTATCGTTTTCTTCTTGAAGCATATCTAACTGCAATGATAACGAATTGGTTTCAAATGAGGGATCAATATTAACCAAAATAATTTTCTAGTATTTTGGGAAACACCTACTTCATCACGCAGGGCTGAAGCTTCTCGATCATCTTCCTGCTGGTTAGAGTTATTAGGTGCTAAAATATCTGCAGTATGAAACCTGAAACTAATCGTTCGTTCCCAGTAATTTCGTCAAACACAACACATGCAAGAGAAGCTGAGATGACTTGAGAAAAATTTGTATATTAAAACTCCAATTTTACCTTTTCTTATACTTTAATTGAGCTTCCGATTGTTTTGCAGGCACATCAAACTGAACATTTTGCTTTTCTTCTCCGTTCTGCTCAAATTCCTCCAACGGATTCCGGCGTGAATATGCCGGAACTCTAACCCTGAGTGCACCCTTTCCATTCTTTTGAGGAATCTCCACTTGCTTCCGGGGCACATCCGCTGCAATTTCGTCACTGTCGGGTTCATCATCAAATTTAATCGGAAGAACGACGGGTTTCACCGCCGGAGCTAACTTCCCTCTGACCGGACCCCTAATCTCCACTGGATTCCGGGACACATTGGCTGTAATTTCATCACTATCGCATTCATCGTCAAATTTAATCGGAAGAACGACGGGTTTCACCGCCGGAGCTAACTTCCCTCTGACCGGACCCCTAATCTCCACTGGATTCCGGGACGCATCGGCTGTAATTTCATCACTATCGTATTCATCGTCAAATCTAGTCGGAAGAACGACGGGTTTCACCGCCGGAGCTACTTTCCCTCTGACCGGGACCCTAATCTCCACTGGATTCCGGGAAACATCCGCTGTAATTTCATCACTCTCGTATTCATCGTCAAATTTAGGCGTATTAACGACTGGTCTCACCGTCGGAGCTTCTTTCCGACCCCTAACATTCCTTCCAGAAGTCTCCACTGGAATCCGGCGCACATCGGCTATAATTTCACCACCGTCGTCAAATTTAGGCGGCGGAAGTACGACCGGTTTCGTCGCCGGAGCTTTTTTGGGATCCCTAGCATTCTTTTTAGGAATTATCACTGGATTCCGGGGAACATCAGCTCTAATTTCATCATCTTCGGATTCATCGTCAAATTTAGGCGGCGGAAGTACGACCGGTTTCGTCACCGGATCTTTTTTGGGATCCCTAGCATTCTTTTTAGGAACTATCACTGGATTCCGGGGAGCATCAGCTCTAATTTCATCATCTTCGGATTCATCATCAAATTTAGGCGGCGGGAGTATAACCGGTTTCTTCGCCGGAGCTTTTTTCTCGTTGACTGAACCCTTACCAATACGCTTATCATCTCGTCTTCGAGACTGAGTAAGAGGCGGAAGATGTACCTGGTAGAGATCTTCGCCTCCGTCTTCATCATCGTAATCATAATCATAGTCGCGCTTCTCCATGACTTTCGCGAGCAGCTCGGCGGCGTTTTGCTTCCGGAGCGTGCTTTTGCCGGAGATTCCTCCTCCGCCGCTGTTCATCATATGCGACGGAGACATCGTGGGTGAAGAAGAAGCCGAGCTTCCTGGTCTCCTCGCCATCGACGGAGTCAACAAGGTGGGAAGGACTTTTCGATTGAGCTGCTGAGGAAGAAGGGAGAAGATGTAAACGAGAGTTCCGCGTGGACCGAATCGTGGCGGGAGAGGAAGTTGAGAGAACGTGGGACCCATTTCTTTAATAATTTTTTCCTCTCAACTAAACCCATTTGTACAATTTTAAAATCAATAGTAATAGTTTTTTTTTTTTTTAAACCTCTTTGATTAATTCACGAATTAGAAAAACTGGGTAACATAAATACAGATAATTAGTTATCGATTCAATTTTGAAATACAATTATTATTTTTGTTGTTGCCAAACTATACATGATAACTTACAAAATCTTAGATTTTATGTAGTTTCATGTAGACATAATTTGTCAAACCACCGGTTATTTCGGTAGTATAATCGGAGGATTATTTGTTAAAGGGTGTATATATTTGTACTCAAAGCAAAACTGAGCAAAGACCATAAGTATAAAAATATTGGAGGTTGTATCATCTCACTGTGGGATATGTAGTGATTGTACGAATCGTCTACAATATCTACTAAGATGTGGCAACTTTCCAATTTGGAAGCAGGTAGGAGATTGTCTACACTACCATCATCTATGCAATTGCAGTGCTTGCGAGATTTATTTGCAAATCTTTATTTCTCTTACAATTTTCTGTTGTAAATCTTTATTTGCAAATAATCCCCCAATTGAATCTCTTCCTCACAGTCTTATATTCACCTCTTCGTTATTGATTTTCGATTTGAGTTGTTGATTCAAAGATTATACATGAGACTAAAGGTTTAATGCTTCCCAGAAAAGGAAGATCCTGACAGCAAAACGCTCTCGTAATTCAATGAGTTTTTTGTTTGATCTCTCAAAAAATATATGTTTTGATCTTTCAAGTATATATATTCTATTATTTATGCATAAAACCACTATAGATTTTGGAAACTTTTATATTTATCTTTTTGCTGCTAAGTAGACTTTTTTTTCCTTTTGTTTTATATTAAAAGTTTCTTCGACCATCATTAACTTATTTTTTTTGTGTTGTTAGTTGGATATTTTTCCATTATATTGTTTGGTCATATTTTTCTTCGTCTATTAGTAGTATTTTTCCTTTTCTTTGGAACAAAATTTTAGAAATTCTTATTCTAACATTAACATAGTTTTAGGTTTTAAAAAATTGAAAATTTTGCTTTAAAATCTCCTTGAACGATTTAACATATATGGACAAACATTTAATTGTATTTGAAATTTAACATATAATATCAGAACCATATCAACATATAATAATGTTCGTGGGATAATCTGGCATTTGAAATTTAGCAAATTGTAATATTATTAACCTTATGTTCCCATGTATTTTGAATGGTAATATTTTAGTTATTGTTGATTATCTATTGTTGGAGATGAGATCACTACCTTAGAATCAAGAAATTTTCTGTTAGTATTTTTCTTCATAAGAAAATAATGTAATAAAGAGAAAATTTGATTGAAACATATTAAATATAGCTTTACTAAAAACTTAACAAATATTGGATGTGTCATTTTCTCATACTTATGTTTATATATATCATAAAGATTTTGCTAATATTAACAATCATAGAGCAACGTATTTTGACAAAAATTAAGAAATTAAATTACCAAAAATACAGACACCTTTGGGCCGAAGATAAGAAGAATTGTATAAAAATTTCCTTTACTTGTGGTCTTCTTCTTAAAAATGGAGAAATATATTCGACTATGTAATTAAATTGAGAATTGGTTATGTGCAAACCGTATAATTTAGTTCAAGTTATTTCAAGATAAACTGGAACCCTCTTTATAAAGTATAAGATCTACCGTATGTAACAACTATACCAAGTTTAATAACAGAAGCCGCCTATGTCAGCGTAAAGATGTACTTATCAATTTGCTTTATGGTTGTTGTTAGTCTCTTTCAAATTTCGTAGTTATTCTTCATATATGATGAAGCACCCCCTTGTTTACTATGATTCTGGCCATTCCTTATTTATAGTCCGCCGTATCTAAGACAACTTCGTATTGATATCGATTGTTAAACTCTTCTACATCGTTTGACGCGTAGAAGAATGTAAGGGCAATGGAGAATATCACCCGCTTCTTCAGTGGAGCCAGAGTTGTGTCCATGGAAGAATGTAAATTTCAGTTAGATTCACATATTATTTAGGGGATGAAAATAAGTTGTCCTACGATTTGGAATTTGCCTTTTTTACTTACTTCTACGTGTTCTTCTTCTAGGAGGCTGGGATGTTGGTGCACTTTGAATCCATGTTTCGAATATAATTTTGTATTTGAGTTTCCTGTCTAATATTAATGCAGTGAAGACATTATAATTATTGAATATGAGTTTGATCGTACAACTGCTTTTCCTAGACGCTTTTTGGATTTCAGGATGGCTCTCCTCATTGCTCGTGTTTTTTTTTTGGCCAACTGTGTTTAGAAAACAAATAATCTTTTCATTTCCCTATTTGTTTATTAAAGCTCCTTCTTTTAAAGCATTCGGCGCTTTATCCCATAAGAGAATACCAGTTTTGTGGATTAATTCCTTAAGCATCGTTCCTGTCTATATATTGAATCTTCATTAACATTCCTGCAAGCAGAAGCAATGATGATGCCTTCCTTGTTCGTAAAAACCTTTTTTCTAGCTCGCCATAGTAACCCAATAAACTCTTTGTTTGAACTTTCAATAATAAAATCTTTGATCTATTCGAGTATCAGCGGTCCATAGATGGTTATTTATACAAACCACTACTTTAAAATTTAGAACTTTCTTATTTTTCATGGTTGTTAAGAAGAATTTTTCTTTTACGTTATGAAATTTTTTCCTTTCGTTTAAACTTTAACTTTCTTAGAGTTTAAAAATTTTCTTCTCAGTTGTTTAGAAATACCTTTTTATTTTTTTAATAAGAAACTAAAACATTGACATTTAACCCTAACATTTACTTACAACTTGTAAACGTGTTTACGTGACATCTAATAATTCTTGGTTCTTGAAAATTTTCCTTTATTAAAGAAAAGTAAACGTGAGTTTAATTTATATGTTGACATGGACTTATATGATTGGTCGTTTAAATCCCACGTGGACGGTCTCAAGAGCTTATAGCTTCGACCTTTATATAATATATAGATATGCTTAAATTGATAGAATCAACATTAATTTTAGTTATTATCGTCAAAAGAAAAAAAGTAAATCAATTTGCATCTACATATATTATATTTCTTATTTCTATATGTTATTTTAAAATTTTACATTTATTTTATTTCCATATATCTTGTTTTTTCTATTTTATAAATATCTTGATATAGAAAATTATTAAAATTTAGAAAAATGTTAATTAGTGATATATCTAAAATGTTAATTATTGAGGTGGCTAATCGCGATTGGATGTTTTAAATCCTAGGTGGACGGCCTCAAAAGCTTATAGCTTCGACTTTTATATAGTATAGATTAAGTACGTAAGTACCTTCATTTCAAAAATAAGAAAAATCAATTACTCAAAAGTTTTGAAGATATCCTTATTATCACTATTTTTGATATTACCGCAAATATATTCGAGAATCCAAATAACAATGTCCAAAAAAACCAACTAAATTCCTGTATATTTTTAGGTAGTGTTTTTTACACACAGACTCTAGTTGAGTAGACACTAGATATCTGCTTTACCCTACCCGATACTACCCAATTCCAAAGTAGTTACCGGAGATCAACCTTCGTTTTCATTCTTTGAGGGTAGTTAACCTAACCACGACTAACAAAACCATGTCATAACTCAATATATAGAAAAGACCAATTCAAGTGGTAGTGAAACAAAACACATTTATAAATTCGTCACAAGACCAATCACCACAAAGAATCAATCTCAACGTACCAAAGTTGTCTCATCGTCAACATCCAATCTTAGCTTTCAAAATAAAATAAAAAAACAACAAACGGTCTAATATACCGTAATAAAACGCTCTGAAGCCAAGAATAGGTCAGATAAAAAAAGATAGCCGGTTCAGGAAGTTTCCACTGCGGGTTTCTTCTGAACAAGGTCCTCTATCAAATCAGCAGCCTCTTGGATCGTCGTAATGTTTTGAGCATCAGATTCCTCCACACTTATGTTAAACTTTTCCTCCAACTCCATCACTATCTCCACCTGCATCCACCATTTTCACCGAACAATATTAACGACTAACTATTAACTTATAACACAATATTAACCAATCAGAACAGAAATATCTTTTTTCTTTTTGCATTGAAAATGTAATGACATTACTTTAAACGGGAAAAAATGGCTTAATTCTTAAAAATCACATCATTATGAAACAGAGGAAATATAACATGACATTGATATGAAACAGAGAGAGTGTAACATACGGTGTCGAGAGAATCGGCACCAAGAGCAGAGAACTTGGATTCGGCAGTGAGTGTAGTGTCGGCGGACAAACCCAATTGTTCTCTTACAATGTCACTCACTTTCTGCACCGTCTCTGCTTTCGCCTGTAGGTACACTCACACGTTACTACAATCAACTTATCGCATTTCTCATATAATTTTAGCTTCAGAGAAAATGTTTACTTACTGCACAACTGATTTGAAGACGAAGACTCTTTGAAGACGTGAAACGACCAAATGTCACTGAATGAAAACTTGAGGCTTTCCTTAACACCTGATAAATTATAGTATTCGACGCTTAATTACCGTTACAATTGCAAAAAATGTCAAATCGATTTCAAGATGTAGTTAGTGAACTATACTTAAAAGAGAAATGATTGGTTTACGACAAAGAAACTATATATGTTGAGATTAGGACTCCTAAAATGACAACCAAACTATAAATTGAGATTTAAGAGACGAAATTGTAGAGTCACCTGAGAAATTGTGGTGGACGGAGCTTTGAAGCTTAGCGAAGTGGTTGATAAGGAAGCCATTTGAAGGAGATGGAAGCTCAATACACAACTCAGAGACCAAAAAAATAAAAATGGCTTCTCTTAGTTGGATAAGGTGTAATCTCTTAAGATGTATCTTTTTGGGTTTGTTCGAGCAAGTAGAGATACGCAGGTACGGCGTCGTATCATGATACGCAAGCCACGAGTCTTCTGTTTTGTGGCCAAGGTTTGTTCTCGGGGATTCAGGCCTATCTTCGGCAGTCGGCACATGTTCCTGTGGATCCCACAGTTGCCAAGTGGACTTAAAGCAGGCCTAGTCCAAAATGCAAGTTACTTCAATGGGCCCATCTTGGTTCTTTTGCATCTACTTGAGCCAAATCTGATGCAAATGTTATGAATCTATGATGATATATGTAACATTCTCTTTAGAAAATCCATCATAAATTGATGATGATATTTTATGCATTTTACTTTCTGTTGGCTTTGCTAAAAAATTATTTAAGAGAAGTATGTAGAAGAATATATTTTGTGAATGCTAAACATATTAAACATCGGTGTGTTTAAAACTTTTCAAGTTTCTTTGAATAAATATAATTTTGGAGAATATGTTTAGCTTTTGGCTCTTGATATCGTTCTTAAGTCTAATAACCTCATGCAACATTATTTTCAAGTTATAAGTTTGTTCTACATTGGAACAACATTATTTGAGACATAAAGATTTTCTATTAACTTCATGGAACGTGATAATTTTCAGCATAGTTTGAATAAGTTTTTTACACATGTCGGACCACCAAAAAATAATATCGTATTTATGGTCTATTTTATGAGGATCTGATAAATTACCATGCATATGTAAAACTATTTGACATTTTTTTATTTTTCACATCTTATATGTTTACGATAATCCTTGATTAGTCAAAATACATTTTAAATATCTTCATATTTGAGATATACTATATTATGTCAAAACTTTGATGGAAAAATTAGTAAAATATGTGAGAGTTAATTCTAATTTCACTTAAATATGATATTTCAAAACCATATAACTCTTTTTTTTTTTTTTTTTTTTTTTTTTTTTTTTTGCACCAACCATATAACTCTATTATACTTTTTTCATATATTCGAAAAAGTTTTTTTTTTTGTGTTTTTTTTGACGTTAAGTAATAAGATTGTGTGTTCAAGGAGCTTTACCTACTGGCAGCCAACTGGCTAGTCGAGGCATTGTGGCAAATACTTCCTGTTGTAGATGTGGAGAACTTGAAACAGTTGATCACCTCCTTTTCAAGTGTTCTTTCGCAAAACAGGTTTGGGCTCTTGCTCCTTTGATTAACTCTGATGCTGTAAGCAGAGAAGCAGGTGTAAAAGATGGCGTGGCAAATGGAAATAGACTCATTTGTCTCCCCCCAACGGGACTTACTTCAGCCCCGCTCTGCCCCTGGATCTGCTGGAACTTATGGATCTCAAGAAATCAAAAGATTTTCAACAACAGGAACTTCTCTGAAGCTGAAACCCTTCTTAAGGCAATCAAGGAAGCTGTGGAATGGCAAAACGTGCAAATTGACCTGAAGACTGTCCCTTATGTCAAAAAACCAGCCTCCCGTATCTCTGTTCCACTTGCAGGTAATCTCACAATTACAACTTGTAGAACTGATGCTGCTTGGAGGAAAGATCTCAAGGCGGCGGGGCTGGGCTGGACCTTCTCTTCAACAAACCAGGTGGATTCAAGGAAATACTCTGCATCTTGCAGCTCTGTTTCTTCCCCTCTGATGGCAGAAGCGCTGGCAATGCGTGCTGCGTTATCTAATGCAAAGGATTTATTCATCTAGCATATCAAACTCGAGTCGGACTGCAAAGTTCTAATCCATGCGATTAACTCTCAGTCTAACCTCACGGAGATCCATGGCGTGCTCTCCGATATCTATCTTCTTTCTTTATCTTTTTCAAGCTTTGTCTGTTCTTTTATTCCCAGAGCAGCTAATGTGGTAGCTGATTCTCTGGCCAAATGTTCGCTCTCTTTGTATGCGTCTAAACTCTAATTTCTATGGAAGTTGTTTGTTGCCAAAAAAAAAAAGTAATAAGATTGTGTTTTATTATGTTTGAAACATGTTAGTAGTTTATTACTCTTTTGGTGGCAAAGGATTATTGTACAATTATACGTTTTAGAAAATTGCTCATTCTTCTAATTACCAAGATCATATTTCGGTTTTTTTTTCAATACTTTGTTGTTTCTTGTATTTCCTCCCAGACAAACAAATGGGAGACTAATTAAGCACAACAAAGAACAGAAAAAGTCTCAAAGATAAATACATGCAAGGAATCATACAATTTCATTCTATAATATCAAATCATTTTTTCATTTCATGAAATCCAAGTATATAACAAAGACTGAATGATCTTGGAGTAGAAGGAATTGTTTTGTATGATATAAAATGTAAGAAAATCAGTAATGACGAGCAGCGGAGGCAGTTAAGACCGTAAGGATGAACAAGAGGACAAAAGAGGCGAAGGACATAGCCAGTGATATAGTGACACGACTGCAATAAACATGCACATAACCGCAGATCGGAAGCCAACCCGCCTGTTTGTTACCGTACTTCCCTACGTAACCTTCCGCGAAGGCAGCAGAGAAAGCTGATATCGCCGTCAAAGTCGTAAGCTGTACATCAAAATATCAAACCCATCTCAGAACGTTTTTATATATCATTTTTCAAGATGCTAATTCAAAAAATATAGAGTCTTCACGTATAGAAATGAAAATATGTAGATCAAAAACATGTAAAATAATTACCAAATCAAAGAAGAAGAGTGCAAAAACAAGTCCTCTTCTGCGGACTGCTAAACAAGCCCATACCAGCGTAAACAACGTCGCGGCGCAGACAGCTATCTGTGCGTACACCAAATACCTGTCAAACATCAAATCATACACTTTCATCATTCGATCTCTTACTTCATCAAACCAATCTCTATATGATATCTAAAAAAACTTATATATGAACTATGATGTAGTAAGATGTGTTGTATCTTCTCATCACAATGATGCTGATCACACGGTTTAAGTTTCTCCTTTGCTTTAGTTTCAAGGAAATAATGGTAATGAGATATGAATGCAAAATGCAAAATTATGATTTAATCCCACATGTTCTTTCTACATTATAAGTGAGGGATGTTTTTTAAAGAAAATTGTTCATATTTTCAATCTTTTTGACCGGATTCGTGTGATCTGTTATCTTCATATTTTCAACGTGAATGGTGACATTTCATGCAGATGTGAATTAGTTCAATAACTAGATCATTGCACCTTCATAAAATAAGCAGTAGCTTGTGATAGAAAAAAAGATAATTAATTTTAAAATATACCTAAAGGCAGATGAGTAGCTGTATTTAGCCTCAAAAGCGATGCCATAAACAGAGGCGACTTCACGGTTAGTGATCATGACCCACATCGAGGCCATTGCAGCTCCGATGATTAACACTCTCATCGACACTTGAACCCCAAGATTCAATAGCGGCGTTCTTCTTCCTTCATTGTCTCCCATCATTTTTATTAAATTCAAGCTTTACTTTTCTTAATAATTGTTAGAAAGGTAAGAAGACAAAGGACAAAAATACAGTAAAGACAAAGATATTGTTGTTGTTGTTGTTGTGTAAGATCCCAAAACTCCACGGAGACAAGAGAAAGAGGAAAGAAGTGGGCTTGAATAGAAGAGATAGACAGAGGAAGAGAATTTATAGGAAATAAATTTGTGGGTGAGATCGCAAAACAAGATATTGTAGGACGTTTGATGATCGAATCCTTTGCCTAAACAGATGGGTACTTTCTGTTTGAATACTTTAAATTTGGTAATAAATCTTTGTGTATACACCTCATTTTTTCTGTTTATTGTTATTTTTTTATTGAAAACACTTTTCAGATAAATTATCTTAATTTCTGTTTATAGATTGTGTATACTATGGTAACAAAGATCACAATTTTTTTGTTTTTGTTTTTAATGATAACTTATATACCCAAAGCATTTATTCTTTCACTAAATACAACAAATTACAGTACTTAGTTTTTACTTTTTAACTTTTCTAATTTGGTAAACTAATATAACTAATAGAACTTCTAATCTTTCATGAAAGATTACCTAGTAATTTTGTTTTTTAGCCATTAATAGTGTAATCTTTCATTAAATAAAATATTCTTTATATACAATATTTTTTATATTTCATCATAAATATAATATATTAAGATTTAAATTTTTGTTTGTAAAGATATTTTTTTCATTCAAATGATTTCTTTTGTTATTTCTTGTAATGTAATTGATTTTATCATTAAATGTTTACATTGTTATGGATATATCTAATCCAGGGTTGGTTTACCAAAAAAAATATTTTTAAATTGTATTTTTTGTTCAAGTGTTAAACTAGACACAGTTTTTAATTAATTTGTAACACTCCAAATTAAGCTCTCTTCTTATCGTTTTTTTTATATATGTTGTTAACATTATTTCACATCGTTAGTTTTCGGAAAAGAAACAAACTCAACTTTCTGGAAACAAAGTCGATACCATCATACCAAGGGGCACTTATCAGAAATTGTAAAAACGTATCAAAATCATGTGATACATTTCAACCTTATTTGTTTTATTTCGAATTCCGACGCATCTTATAAGTTTTCTTGTACGACGCAATTACAATACTAGAAAAGAAATATATAACAAAAGAACACGTACTGTTATAAGCAAAACATGCAAGCATTGTATGACATCTTGCTAGGAGACTAGCAAAATTGTAAGAGTGGCGTAATCCAAATATACAATTTTTTTTTGATAAAATCCATTTGTATCATTTTTTTCTTCTTTTAAAACATATGGTTTTCTCGGAGTGGTCTGTTCGATCATATCTTTCATTTGTTAGACCGCTATGCTTTCGATTAATGAGTTAGTGTTATATCTAGCTTGATAAGTGATAACCTAGGCCAGATCGTAGGGTAATACTTGAGCGTTAGGTGTTTATTGAAACCATTCCAATAAAATAGATTGATAACTTTACCATAAAAATGAGAGTTGATGGTAATAGAGGTTATGAGCTTAGTAAACTTAAGTTTATTGTTCCATAATCACTTATTAAAAACAAAAATTAAATAACTCTTTAAGTGATTTCTCTCCTTCCTAGTGGCCTGCTTTTAAAAATCTTATAGACTAGTTCTTCCAACTTCAGAGCAGGTTTACCAATTTTTGGAGTAGGTTTAGCAAGGATGCAAGAGTGGACCCAAACTAGTGATCACGAAATGCAATGTTTAATCACTACACCATCAACCACTTTGACTGACGTTTTGCAATGTTTAGCAACTTTGTTTTTGTGTTTTTTTCTTGCAATGTCATCAAGATCATAAGCACAATTGAACGACTCATTTGAAAAAAGCTCAAACTTTTCTCATCAATAACATTGTTCATATTTGAAAACCAAATTCCCAACTTTTCTTCCCTTTTATTCAATCAAACAAGTCTTTTACATTTAAATACAATTAACAGTTTAAAAAATGGCTTTATTCTTGTTTTTCTCAAACATAAAGAAACTTTTTAAATACAATCGCCGAAAAAATACAAGAAAAACAATTATATATATAAATCTTCCAGTAAAACAAAATCTGTTTAGCAAACAGCAGTAGCTGCTCCTGAAGACACAGGACTTGCAACATCAAGCATCATGGGATTCCACTTCATCACCACTTTATCGCTGCATCTTCCATCCGACGAAACTCCCGCAAATTGCATCTGATTTGCTTCAGCAGAAGACGGAATTGGTACCTCCAGTGTCAACTTCTTCTCAGCAACCGACTTGAGCCTCCGCCTCTCTGCTCTTGACCCAATTACCTGTCCCAAAACTGATGCTGCTATTGTGAATACCATCGCTGTCTTAGGCATCAACACTGACTTTCTCAGTATTCCAATGAATGGAACCGCTGCGTGAAGAGCTACAAACCAAGCTGCCGAATATTTTTCAGTGTGCTCTCTCCAAACACCTAGAGGCACATTTAGAGCCATGCCCAGCATCCCGATCACTAGTACTTTGGCTGGTAAAGGTTGTGGGCGAAGGTTCTTGGCAAAAGGTGTTTTTGATATCGCTGCTCGAGCAGTGACTATTGCTTGAGGGCATTTGAATTTCATTCCTGGAGGGGGTTGCAGGATCTTTGCCACAAGCGGTGCCACACCACTTACAGCTCGATATGATTTTGCAATTGGGCAGTTTCCTGTTTTAAGCCATTCGTCGCCCATAGCTTCGTGGTTTCCTCCCTGAAAGAGAAACAACAAGTAAGCGGTGCTCTAAGAGAAAGACAATAGAAATATCTTGAATTTTTTAATCTCATAAGCCAACACATTGCATACTTAAGCAATCTCAGAAGCTTTTAACTATTTCCTTAAGACACATTTCTTTAACTATGCACATCAGTTTTAAAAGATACATGTTGAGCAAGAACTGCATAAAAACTTTACCTTATTTTTGGATGAATCAGACTTGTTCTTTTGATTTTTAAACATGTCAGAAAATGCATCAAACCCAAAAGGCCCTCCAGGTCCAAAGGATGAGAGACTAATTGTGGCCGCCTTAGCAGCAAGTGGATGGAATACAGGAACAGGCTTCTGCGCTTCAGCTCGAGCGGTATCAGAGAGAGGGACAACTCCATCTTGGCCATGGAAAAGCCTAAATGCCGTATCAAAATTGGGACCATCTTCAAATATAGGTCCTTTCCCTGCTCTTGCCTATAGGATATATGATGAGACAAGATCAGAATCAATGCGGTTTCAGAAAAATCAATATAGAGTGAACCAACAGACAGTTACTTACAGGCATGGGAAAAGGCAAGGATGAAGAAAAAGAGAGGTTAGTGGGCTCATTGATGTTCCTCAAGAATGGGCATCGGAGAATGTTCAACTGAGAAGCCATGGGATTTTCTCCGGTACAGTTATCCATTCTCGTTGAGCTGAGAAAGGACAAGAATCTGAACAATAACAAAGAAAGGAATCATAAGAAACCGAGATGAAAAGCTAATGAAGCAAAGCTAGTTAATGGGTTAGATGGAGAATAGTTAGATGCTGAAGAAACATACATAGTCCAAGCTTTGATATACTAAGATTATACCAAAATGTTCTTCCAGATATAAGAACCTCAAAGACATTAACAATCGCATATAATTGAATCAAAAGGAATCATTTTTCACACAGAAACTTGCAATCAAATCTTCAATAGTTGACACAAGCAATACAACAAAATTGACCCAAAACGAAAGCAATCGTGTGGTGGGCACGGGATTCATCAAAAGACTCGGATTTTTTACAATTACAAAATTCCAAATCAGTAAACTACGAGTCTAAGAGAACTAGTGATTCAAAGAGAGCCTCCAAACGACTAAACCAAAATCAGATCTAGCATAACCGATGAATGCGAAATCACAGGCACAAATTTGGGCAAAAGGGTACAGAGATAGAGAAAACTTACGGATAAGAGAGGAGAGGCGTGTGTGAGGAACGATACAATTCCTCCTTTGGGAGATGAAATGAATTATGCTTAAAGGAGAGATGTTAGGTGGTTGTGGTAATGTAGAGAAGATAGATGGCGTTTGATTCTTTATAAGACAAAAGAAAAATTATAAAGCTAGCTGGTGTACCTGCTCTTCTTCGTGCTGACCACGCGCTCTCTCTTTCGCAGCCCACTACTTTGACAAATTGCACATTATTATTGCAATATGCATGCCTTCTTTGAATATTAAAATTCCCAACCCGATTTTGTCAAACATTTTACTTTTCTTTGTGTGTTTTTTTTTTCCTACAAAAATTAGGCCACCAATTTCTCTCTCTCATTCCGTCGTGTTTCCTCCTCGTTGACCCCAATAATATTCCGGTTTTCTTGTAGGAAGATTGGTTTATGACTAATTTGTCAAGGGGATGGGAAAGTAAAGTTTTATCAACTCCGATCCTGCTTTTTATCCCAAATAATATTTTTAAAAATATGGATGGATTCGCGGAATGATTATGGTGATGAGTGGACGTTAGATGTAATGAAATAATATAATTTAATTTATGGAAGACTCTAAACGTTTTAGTCTAGTACAGTTTATGTTAACTAATCATAAAACATTTAAAAGCATGTTTTACAAGGTAACTCTATATTTGTTTAACACATAAAAAAAGTTCCAATACATGCATATATAGAGGAATCGTTTTTTCCTTCTCTTGAAATATTAAATTTGGATAAATGTTTTGACTAAAATATGATTGTTCGGATTAGACATTTGCTCGTAATTTTTAATAAAGTAATAACATGAGACGATGAGAAAGAATATTGAGCTAAGACATTACTCACGAGATCAAAACTATGGTTTTAAGTGGCTGAAAAATATTGAACTGAGAAGGAAGGAGGCATTGCTTTAAGCCTTAGCTAATTACTTCAAGGAACGAGAGAGCACAAGCTTCTAGAAAGGTTTCTAGCTAAGCTCACGCCCTCCTTTAATTTGCTTTATTTATTTTACTGTTTAGACTAGGAGTACTCCACAAATCAAACATAGTACTTATCGTACATAATTTAACACCTAACTAGCTATGACAGTTCTAAGCTCATATATCTCTGCCACAGTTGCGCAACCGTGCACTTGCATAACTTTAGGGTTTTTATATAAAAAAAAAAATTAAAACTAGCTTTGTGATGATGCTAGGTCAGGTGGTGCTTTGTTTCCTTCTGTAGGCATTGGTATGTCCTTGCGTTTCTCGAAGGTATAGGTTCGGCTCCTACTTCTTTGCTGGGCCTGTGGCCTTGTTTGGGCTTTTTGCCTTGTTTTTATTTCCTTTTTTGTTCTTTTATCTGGGCCTGCGTGCCATCTTGGGTTCTTTGGCCTTGTAGTGTTGTTTTGGATTAATGGAAATTTAAATTAAATTTTTTTAAAAAAATGTCCATACCCCCTGAGACGGATCCGGATATCCGGCTAAAATGGGTATATCCGGATCCGGATCCGAATCCGCCGGATTTTGTGTTTTAGTATCCGGATCCGGATCCGTAAGCCCCGGATATCCGGTCGCGGATATCCGTTTCAAATTTCAGACATCCGCCGGATACCCGTTTTATATCCGGATCCGGTATATGGCTTAAATGTTAGAACTAAATGGACTTCTAATTGAAAGAATCCAAGAAGCTGGGCTTTTTTATTAATGGGCTTGTGAATTAGGAGTGAGGGTTATTTTATAGCTCATGTATAGTGCAACAGTTTTTCAACTGCACGATGTGGGACTTGCAACCATTGTCCTTTTTCGAAAAAGAAAAAAAAAAGAATTTCTCTTTCTCCTTTATAGCTATGTCCTTCTAGCTGTATGTTTAGAAAGCTAAATACAACATAATTAAATGATCAAAGCACATATATTTACCGGATCCGGATATCCGGTTTCTTAAAATATTGATATCCGGATCCGGATCCGGTTTCAACGGATCTGAGATTTTGGTATCCGGATCCGAACCTTTGGATATCCGTTTTTTCGGAGCGGATCGGGACGGATCCCGGATCGGATCTCGGATCCCGGATAATAGTCCCAGCCCTGAGTCCACCACTACACCTATTCCATGAAATCCTGGTCTCGAAAAACCATGCATATATTTGCGATGGATATGTCACTCATAGTTACAAATTGGACGGACGACTAGAAGTGATCTCAAACATATATTTTAGAGCAAATTGGGTGGGAAACATTGGATTTTGATCTAATTTTTTTTTTTTTTTCTTCTGAAGTTAAAGTTTTTTTTTTTGGGCAAATATCTGAAGTTAAAGTTAAGTAAAAGAAGTTTCAGACAAAACAAAAAAGAAAGACACGTGCTAAATGAGGGATGGCCCATAGGCCCATTAAACTGGTTATATTAAGAAGACTTTAGCGACGCTTGCCGTGATAATTTCCAAGGTAACAACATTCATCACCATGAAGCTCTCATTCTCTCTCCCTCCCAAATCCAAAGACAGAGTCAGGCTAAATTCCGACAGGAAAGACGGCGTCGGAGCAGGAAATCTCAAGGAGTTCGTCACTGAATTCGATCCTTCCGAAACCCTAACCGACTCCAAACCGAAATACGTTATACCTCCCATTGAGGATCGTCGGAGACCCTACAAGAACATCGATCTCCCGCTTCCATCCGCTTCTGGTCTCCAATTCGAGGCCGAGATCTCCTCTGGCGATGGTCATGTCTCTGATAACATTACGTACGGTCTGAATCTGCGTCAGAAAGTCGAGGACGAGAAGCCAGAGCCTGTGGAGAAGTTGTTACTGAAAAGCATGAGGAAAGATTTGGAGTCACTCCCTGATGCTCCGGAATTAGAGGATTTCGAGAGCTTTCCTGTGGATGGCTTTGGAGAGGCGTTACTGGCTGGGTACGGGTGGAAACCAGGCCAGGGGATTGGTCTAAAAGCTAAAGAAGATGTTAAGATTGTTGAGTACAAGAAGTGGTCTGGTAATGAAGGATTTGGCTTCAATATGGTTAAAGCGAAAGAAAGTGGTAAATCCGTGAAACCGATAAAGATTATAGATAATAAACTTGGTTCTGGAAGCCATGAGGAAGTGAAAGTAGGTATCAACAAGATAGAAAATGTGGAGAAATATAGAGTAGTGAGTAAACGTAGTAGAGAAACAGAGGGACAGAGTCGCACTGAAGATAGAGCCTGTAAGCAGAACTATAGAGGTCAAACTAGAGAGAAGGCCTCATGGCTTAGGAGTCAAATAAGGGTGAGAATAATAAGCAAGGATGTGAGAGGTGGGAGATTGTATCTTAAAAAGGCAGTGGTGACCGATGTTGTTGGTCCAACAAGTTGTGATATTGCTATGGATGAGACGCAGGAGTTGGTTCAAGGGATTGATCAGGAGTTGCTTGAGACTGCATTGCCCAGGCGAGGTGGGTCTGTGTTGGTTCTGTCTGGTAGACATAAGGGTGTGTATGGGAGACTGGTTGAGAAAGATTTGGATAAGGAAACTGGTGTGGTTTGCGATGCAGATAGCCAGGAGATGCTTCATGTTAAACTTGACCAAGTCGCCGAGTACATTGGTGATCCTGCTGATATTGGGTACTGAGCCATATTTAACTCCAAAAATCAGGTGTCAAGACTACATTGTTAGCATTCAATTGGCTGTGTAGAGTAGACTTTTGAATCTGCCAAGTTATAAAAGACCAGACTTTAAGTTTTTATTATATTTGATCAACTAGATATCATATATGTATCTTTGTTGTGGCATGAAAGTACTTGCAAATTCACATGGCAGAGAGCTAGTGGTTTTTTCTGATGAAAACAGCAAGCCGAAGATGCAGAGGAATTAGCTGAGCGAGCTACATTGCCCCTTAATGAATGGTATAAAAACGTTTATTGTGTACAAGGGATTTGGAACTTTAGATGGTTGGTTGCTTATGTTTTGGGGATGAATCAGGATATAAGTTAAGAGATAAGTGACTAGATGAAACACAGAGACAACCTTAACTAGTTCCCAACCAAACCAATGTCCTCAAAACTGACTAGGACGTTGATTTAAATTTATAAATGGGCTATATAGGCAATCCGCAATGGAGATTACTTTGATGCATATTTTCTAGTCCTGCGGCGAATGTTCATTAGGCTTATCATAGATTTGACGACTCTCCAAATGGATGTGGAAAACTATATTCAAAAATACGGAATTAGAAGAAAGCCTAACTCACTAAAACTCTATTCAAAAATACGAAAAATATCAAAACCGTCCAGCATGACAGCTTAACAGGATTTGATTAATTTTGGTCTAACCGCTAACGATAATTTCATAAAGCAAAGTGACAGAATTTTTTTCAGATTATTTAGATATATAAAACAAAAAGGATGCTCCTTCCTCAATCCTCATATACGACAAATTTCTTATTGCTGATTTGAAATTCTGGAAGATTATTGTGATAAAGGTTGTGATGTGAAGGAAAATGTAATCAGTCAAACTCTGAACTCAACGATATATTGAACTTCAAAGGTGAAGACAAAAAGAAAAAAAAAACTAAGGTGGGAAATATCTACTAAGTAATGGGTAAAGCACTTTAAATGGACGATGAATTAAGGGTAACAGTTTATACTGAAAAATAAGAAATTTGTCTTTCAATGGGATTTATCTTGAGATATTGGGTGTTATAACCCAAACACCATTCCTAATTAGCAGAATAACTAAAGAACTGTATTTTTTTTTAATGAAGCCAATTAGAGTTGCATACTGTAACCACAATCTCAATATTCTCTGATATAGTAGCTTGTATTTGCATGGAACATTGCTGACATCTCTCAGAGTCTTAGTTCAATATTTGAATTCGATCGGATTCGGGAAAAGAGTGAAGAAAGTGATGAGGACGAGGAAAAGAATGGTTGGGAACGAATTTTAACCGTTTAATAAGGAATCTGCATGGTTGGATGGAACCACTCCCTTTGACTGAAGAAGAACCACAGAGACTCCATAAAGCAAAAGTTTCATTTGCTAATCATATACTTATTTTATTCAACAATATATTAATCATTTAATTTGTCTTTGATTAAGTAAGTGAGACCACAACGAAAGGTGGAAATAAGAATCAACATGCAAATGGGTTTTCATAAGTCAATCATTTTCAAACGCTTTGTTCTTTCAACCATACATTTTCTGTTTCTCTTTTGATAGGTAATATTATTTGTTATATTTTACCTTTTTTGCAATTTTTTATAAATACATTATGTGAATTGATACTATAGGCTTACAAACTGAATATTACTTTTTGACAAATGAAGTTCCCTTTTAATCTCATACTTTATTGTTTGCCAAACCTCAAAATAAAATTAAATGATTAAGAACTTCTATAACATTAGTCTCATGAGATGATTTCTTTGACTGAATTATTTCATTAGATTGAATAGTATATTGATTGTGTTGATGTTATACATAATATATACCAAGTATAGCAATTGTTACAAATAAGGACTTTTACATAATACCATGAAACATGTTAATTTCAGCATATTTAGAAATGGTGACATGGTCCATGTGGCCTCGATCGGTTCATGTGGCACAATCGGGACCGTCAAGATACTATATCACGCCAGGTGATATTCGAATTTGCATTTACCTAAGAATCTGTCTTGGAATGGTAAAGGACAATGAAAGTAAATCGTGACTAGCTTATTTTGACCAACTGCGCACTTTATACTTTACATAAACGACACACGTAAAAATTTGACGGCGATCATGAGGCATCACCTGCCATACTTCCTCAAAGTAGTAGTGTTGATTACAATTGTCCTATTGCTTGAACTTCAAATATTACACTCTTATCAAGTTTATTCTAGTCTACAGATAATTAAATTAGTTTGATTATGTTTAAATGGTGTATTTTTCGGTAACAATAAATGGAGTTAGAAGTAATTATATTATGGTAGTTTTAATAATATATCATAGTATAATTAATTTCAATAGCTTAACTAGTTGATGTTACTAATTTTTGTTAAAAAAATTTGTTCGATTTTGAAATTATATTATTATAGAAATATAAAAGCATGGGTTGCTTTCTAAAATTAGTTGAAGATTGGTGTTGGATACGATAATATTTGTGTAGATAATAAGATTAACATGAAAGTAGTCAAGTGGAGACATCAAGAAGCATGATGGTGAATCTTACCCTATACGGTTTACACACGCGACAGTCGCGTCTAAGATGAAACGCACTATTCTTTGTTTTATGCAATTTATATAGTCTGCTTTCTTCTCGACGCGTTTATATACATTATCACAGGGACAAGATATTATTTGTTGTTATGAGAACTAATAAAATAAAATTAGTTACGGACCTAATTTTGGCTGCCTAATCATGAAGTTCAAGAGTGCTCGGAGACAACATAAAATATGTCACACGTGGCGGACACCTAAACGTTCATTTTTTACTGGTATGATGATGAACAAAAGGAGCAAAACATGCATGGTTACTTAATGGAACTTCGATATGTAACGATTCGGGTTGGAGATGGAATGGGAACTAGAACTTTTGCAATCAATATTTTTGCTCCAAATGTGTCTTAAATTCAAGTGATACATGAACTGAAATTTTAATTTTTAAAAGATTAATGCATTTTTATAAAATGATTAATGTTCCCATAACGTAGTTATATGTTGGCAACACAAAGATGTAGTTATATCTTACATATGTACGGAGAACAAATATCTAGACTAATTAATTAGCTAGTTTGAGTCCTGGTAGAATATTGGAAAAATTAGATTACGTTTGTTTACTACAATGATGAAAGATAACCATCAAATTTAAATATTAGTATTTATTTGGATGGTTATTAGCTTGAAAGCTATCAGCCGATCAAGGGTTTATTTTATTGGTCATGCCAAAGGAACAAATTACCAATAAGTTTAGTTATTTAAGGGTTTCTTTGCAGTTTAGTAACGCCTATATTAAAAGCTCATTTATTTTTATTTGGTTTAAAGGAAAAAGAAAGGTCACTTAAATGACTACGATAATAATATAAACCAAGGTTTGGCATAAAAGTTTGACACAAATATAATACACGCCAAGAGTGCATACCACATAAAATTATCGAATATTTTCCATTTTTAAAAACCATAGAAATATCTGAGACCATCAATATGCGATGTTCTTCTCTCTCTTATACCACGAAACGACGACGTCCCTGGCATATAAGCATGGAACCCTTACACATGTTAGCCTCCCTCTATATATAGTGTACCATTGGCCTCGCTAGTTAATTCATATCGAAGAAAACTCAAATAGAGGCATCAAGAGTGGAAGATCACTATCTATTTCCCATTCTATTGTTTCCTTATTAGTTTTCTCTGATACTCCCATTCAAAAGTAGAAAAGATACCGAAGAGCTCGCTCATTCACAAAATAACCAAAATGGCTCTAACTCACAACGTAATGGCAGTTACATTTGGAGTCATGGGTAAGTATCAAGCATTCATAAACAAACATCAAGTTATACAAAACTATCTACTATATCCTATAATTGTTAGTATACGTGTATATCAAATTTAACTTTGTTATCTTTGCTATATGAATATTTGTAGGCAACATCATATCGTTCATCGTTTTCTTGGCACCAGTGTAAGCATCATCGATCTCAAACACTCTTTATTTTTATTTTTTTCACTTAATAAAGAAAAATGTTTTGGATATTATTTCCAGGCCAACTTTTGTCAGAATCTGCAAGAAAAAATCGATAGAAGGGTTTGAATCACTTCCATATGTGTCAGCGCTCTTTAGCGCGATGCTATGGATTTACTATGCTCTGCAAAAAGATGGAGCAGGCTTCCTTCTCATTACCATAAACGCTGTGGGATGCTTCATCGAAACCATCTACATCATCCTCTTCATCACCTATGCTAACAAGAAAGCTAGAGTACGTTTAAACCATCCCATTTCTTTAATTCTGGTACTTTCAAACATGCATTTATATGAAAATAGACTTAGCTGATGATGATATCAACAACCACTGTAGATATCAACTTTGAAGGTACTTGGGCTCTTGAATTTCTTGGGTTTTGCTGCTATTATTCTTGTCTGCGAGCTCTTAACCAAAGGATCGAACCGTGAGAAAGTCCTTGGAGGGATTTGCGTGGGATTTTCCGTATGTGTTTTCGCAGCTCCTTTGAGCATCATGGTACGTACATACTTATGTGACATGTATCACACGGACGCATAGAAAGAAATGTTTGTCTATCTAAAATAGCCATGCTAGTTCATATGGAGAATATAATATACTCTAAAATCAAAGAAACTAATATTTGTCTTTCCTTTTCTGGTAATAGCATCTCTTTATGTTTACGTATATTATATAGTTTTAACATGTGAAATTATAAAAAATGATGACGCAGAGAGTGGTGATACGAACAAAGAGTGTGGAGTTTATGCCTTTCTCTCTATCATTGTTTCTTACAATCAGCGCCATTACGTGGCTCTTCTACGGTCTTGCTATTAAAGACTTCTACGTTGCGGTGAGTCTCTCTTTTTCTTCTAAAATATTTGAATCTTTTTCTAAGCATATGAAAATGGACAGCTCAAACATAGTATCATATATTATTATGGGTGGTTCATGTTTAAGGGAAACTAAAAGAGTTTCCACCACCTTTTGTCTCTTTGCCCAAATTCCGTCTATTTAAAGACGACGAATAAATGATTTGAGCCGTACGCTACTTTTGCTTTATGCTCACAATCATATATTATATGATCACGTAAAAGAAACCGAGAGTACAATTATATAAAGTTTTTTAGTTTGTCGGCGATTAATGGGATCACTGTTCTCTCTCAAAAAATGATTAGTGGGATTATTACTGATGATGTGATTATTACTTTTTTTTTGTGATTTGAAGCTTCCAAATATATTGGGTGCGTTTCTCGGAGCAGTTCAAATGATTCTCTACGTCATATTCAAGTATTACAAAGCCCCAGTGGTTGATGAGGCAGAGAAGCCTAAAACGGTGTCGGATCATTCCATCAACATGGTCAAGCTTTCGTCCACTCCAGCTTCTGGTGATCTTACGGTTCAGCCGCAGACTAATCCTGACGTGAGTCATCCTGTTCAAACTCATGGTGGTGACTTAGAGGATCAGATGGACAAGAAGATGACAAACTAAATCAAGATTTTAGTTTTATATTATGAATTAGTGATTTACTTAATGTTGTACTGTTGAGTCTGGTTTCCTAAACTTGTCTTTTTATTTCTCATCATTTTGTTTCGAAATATCTCGAAATTGTACTATCCTTTACAAAAATTATGTACGCCTTTTAGAATTTTGTAAAATAGTTTTGATGCAAAGTAACGAAATAACATGATCATTCACAAGTCAGAAGTTTACAACAAATCATTTTTGGTGTACTAGAATACATTAACCCTCTAGACTACAATTAAATTCATCTGGACCTTTTTTTTCCGCTCAGAGATTCAGAATTGAGTTACCTGGTACTTCTCAATTCTATTTTCCCCCTAACGCCTAATAAATAATTAAGTACTCTAGCCTCTATGCTTTATGATTCTTCTAAGAAAAGTTAATGTTACGGCCCAATCACTTTTTAACAGCCCAAACAACATATATTAGCTCTAAATGTAGTTTTTTACCTAGAATAATCTCAACCCATAGTCCACTGGAAACGTGACAAATGGAGCTAAAGGGAGACCATACTTATTTAGAGCTAGGATCAGAGCAGATTTTTTGCCTTAATCTTGTAAAGCTATTCACATTTCATTCAAAAGAAAAAAACAGAGAAGATTTTTGGCCTTAATCTTGTAAATGCATTCACATTTCATCCACAAGAAAAAACAGAGTAGATTTTTTGCCTTAATTTTTTGTAAATGTATTCACATTTCATTCCCATGAAAAACACTCAGCAGATTTTTTGCCTTAATCTTGTAAATGTATTCACATTTCATTCCCAAGAAAAACAGACTGATGAAGATATTTACTCAGATATGACAAGGCCGTGTCGTTTAGGTTACGTAACTCTACAAGGTTTAGGGTCTCAATATAAACACACAAAGCAGATAGAAGAAGCAAACCATTCACAATCAGACAATGACATCTCTCCATGCGTTACTCTTCACTTCTCTTCTTTTCTTCATCGTCTTCCCAACCTTCACGTTTTCCTCCACCTTATTGTTTCAGGTTCGTCTTTAATTAGTTTTGCTTCTTTACATACACAGACTCACTTATTGGGTTTGTTTCAATCGTGACAACAGAGTTTCAATTGGGAATCATGGAAGAAACAAGGAGGATTCTACAATTCTCTCTACAACTCCATCGACGACATAGCCAACGCTGGAATCACTCATCTTTGGCTTCCTCCTGCTTCTCAATCCGTTGCTCCTGAAGGTTCCATTTCCGCTTTACTTTTACATTCACACACCAATCTTGTTACTCACGCAATCTTCAATCCTCAGGTTACTTACCGGGAAAGCTATACGATCTAAACAGCTCCAAATACGGTTCAGAGGCAGAACTGAAATCGTTAATCAAAGCGTTGAACCAAAAAGGAATTAAAGCTTTGGCTGATATAGTGATTAACCACAGAACAGCTGAGAGGAAAGACGATAAATGTGGATACTGTTATTTCGAAGGTGGGACTTCCGATGATCGTCTTGATTGGGATCCTTCCTTCGTCTGCCGCAATGACCCTAAGTTTCCCGGTACCGGAAACCTCGACACCGGAGGAGATTTTGATGGAGCGCCTGACATAGACCACCTGAACCCTAGAGTTCAGAAAGAGTTGTCGGAATGGATGAATTGGCTTAAATCTGAAATCGGATTCCATGGTTGGAGATTTGATTATGTTCGAGGTTATGCATCTTCCATCACCAAATTATATGTTCAGGTAATCATATTTGAATACTCAAATCGTACCAAGTACCAACACTAGTAGTATATAAGTAACATAGGTTGATAGAGTTAATTACTATTAGTATATACAAGTGTCATAGGTTGATAGTGTTATTTACTATTCAATATGTAAGAAACATAATAAGTCAATGCAATCTATTGCTACGATTGGTTTTGAGTTGGAACGCCCATTATTTTATAACCAAATCATACATCCTTACTAGATATAAATACTCAGGAGAAAGACCAACACTAGTATATAAAAGATACGAAAAAATTCACTTGTTGATTTTTGGTTGGAAGCTCATTATTACTCACACTTGATAATCCTGTGATTAAATCCTCTGTTTTTTGGATACACAGAATACTTCACCAGATTTTGCGGTGGGTGAGAACTGGAACGATATGAAGTATGGAGGAGACGGGAAACTAGACTATGATCAAAACGAGCATCGGTCGGGTCTCAAACAGTGGATCGAGGAAGCGGGTGGTGGTGTGTTGACAGCTTTTGATTTCACCACTAAAGGGATCTTACAGTCTGCTGTCAAAGGTGAGCTTTGGAGACTAAAGGACTCGCAGGGAAAACCGCCTGGTCTGATCGGAATCAATCCCGGAAACGCGGTCACTTTCATAGACAACCATGACACTTTCAGAACGTGGACTTTCCCTTCTGATAAAGTCTTGCTTGGATACGTTTATATTCTCACTCATCCGGGAATTCCTTGCATTGTAAGTATAGAGATACATCAAAAACTTCCTTATATCCATTTTAGTATGTAGCTTTCGGTTTTATCGATTCTATAGAAGATGAAACTATACTTATTATAACTGCAATCTTGATGGGATGCTATTTTTGTTGCAGTTTTATAATCATTACATAGAATGGGGGCTAAAAGAAAGCATCTCCAAGTTGGTGGCGATCAGGAACAAAAATGGGATTGGTAGCACAAGCTCCGTTACTATCAAAGCGGCAGAGTCGGATCTCTACGTGGCTAATATTGATGATAAAGTTATCATGAAGATTGGGCCAAAACAGGATTTGGGAACACTTGTTCTGATGAAAAAAAAAAAAAAAAAAAAGAACACTTGTTCCTTCTAATTTTGCGTTAGCTTATTCAGGCCTTGACTTTGCTGTCTGGGAGAAGAAGTAACGCATAACTCAAATCATAAGAAAAGTAATCGAATGTATCTTTTTCCTTTTTTAAAAATATCTTGGCGGTATCTAAAGATACGATAATAAAATGATAGAAGAAAAACTAAATAAAAAGCACTACTGGTGTTAAAGGATACACCAGTGAAAGAAAAGAGCTCAAGTGAAGTGTCAACTTGTTTGTATAAACAAGTATTGAAAAATTCCAAGGTTTTGTTTTGTTGCAAAAATAACATTTGAACTAAGTTCTTGGTAATTATTTCTTTATAATGTGGTAACCAGATCAGCCAATGTATAATGAATTTCATCACAAAGTATCACCCATTTCTCAATTATTTTCGATAACACTGTGTATAATTGAAGTTGAACAAAAATATATTTTGGCCGACTCGTAAAAGATTTAGAGACCCTACTAAAATCAGAATTATAATATCTAACCACACAATACTGCCAAAATCTGAATCAAAAACGAATTATTTATTGTTCTACAAGAAAAAAATCTGGTGGGAACAGTTAGTGACAGGGGTAAATTTCAATTCGAATAAAACGACAGCGTTTTTGACGTAGAAGACGTCGGCTTGAGAAGTAGTAGAAGTGACGACGAAAAGAAAGGAAAAAAAAAAACGAAAAGTGAAAACCGTCGGCTTGAGAAGTTGCCCAAAGGGAACTTTGATATTTGGTGACTCTTCTTCAAAAAGCTCTTTCTTCTTCCTTCCTTCTTCTTCTTTCGCTTTTTCACACCTCAAATCAAAGATCCGAAGACGATTCCGGAAGCTACGACTCTGTGTATTTGATTCTTCCTCTTTTTGTTTTTATTTTTTGTTTGTTCTATCCCGTTTAGAAGCGAGCTCTGATTCTCGTTGTTGTTGTCTACTTTTTTCCAACTATTTTCAGATCTGAAATAGTTGTGATTGAGGTTGGTTTAGAGAAGCGGGATTGTTGATCGGAGCTGGAATTTGGTGGTAATCGGAGGTCAGAGAGAAGTCAACGGATATGCCGGAGGAAGAGTCGATAGATATCAAATTCAGGTTGTACGATGGCTCCGATATCGGGCCTTTTCGGTATTCTGCGGCTTCTACTGTTGATTTTTTGAAGCAGAGGGTCGTCTCTGATTGGCCCAAAGGTTAGTTTAGGGTTTTTGAATCGGTGTCTCTTTTTCCCCAATCTGATCCTGGTTTTTTCATGATCTTCCATCGAATTTCGTGTTGATTGTCCCTTAATCTTGCAATTGTCGGTAGAAATGCGAAATTTAGAGCTGTAGATGATTATTGGATGATTAGTTCACTTGAAGTATAAAGTCTTTTGTGATTTAAGGTTTGATCCAGAGCATCAATTTTGTGAATTGCAGCTGTTTAAATGCTCGTTTTTGTGGTTTTGTTTAGGCAAAACAGTTGTTCCAAAGGGGATAAATGAAGTGAAGCTGATAAGCTCGGGTAAGATCTTGGAGAACAACAAGACCGTTGGGCAGTGTAAGACACCATTTGGAGAGATTGCTGGTGGAGTCATTGTCATGCATGTTGTTGTACAGCCATCTCTAGCTAAAACCAAAACAGGTGAATAACCTTTTTTTGTTTGTTTGTCTATGTTAAATGTTCTTTCTTTCTGGTATATAAGAGGTTCTCAAATATCAAGCTTCTTCAATATTTCATTAGTCTTGTGTTATTTATCTTGTCAATTGTATGGATTTTGATACTCATTCTCTGGCTCAACTCTACTTCTTATATATATTATCATCTATCTTTAGTCATACTTATCTTACTCGAGGTTGGTAAGATTTCATAAGAGTGTTCATACACATCAGCAAGTTAGTCGGTGACTAGGATCAGTACATTCTTTTTCTTTTTAGATGCATCAGGTGGTTAGTGGTTTTGTCTATATTTGGTTTGTTTGTCTTGAGAGGGAGTATAGGATAGTCTAGAATTCATTCCTAGGTTTCTGGTGTGTTCTTTGTTCTATATTCAGTGAGAAATAAAACAAAATCAGCTCTAGGCCTAGCAAAAGCATGCCTTGAGGAAAGAAATATCTTAATTCATTATTTGTTGTCATCTCCTTGTAAACCCACTGAAAACTTTTGCCAATCTTTGAGATTTGTCTGCATGATAGTTTTTTCACAAACTTGACAAAGTCGTGAAAACTGAGTTTGTGATTTATAAGAGACGATGTTGATGAATGCTAAGTTGCTAACTAACAGTTGAATACTGGTTTTTTGATTAAACAGAGAAGAAGGTTGATAAAGCACCAAAGGCGGTAATCTGCACATGCACCATTTTGTGAAGGGAGCAAGACCAATGTATCTATCATACACATCGTTTCGATTCTTCAGGTACAGAAGAAAACAAAATCAAAAAAGAAAGCTAAAAGTAAAGTAAAGCTTCCCTTTAAGCTGTGGAGTTATATTTATTATCTTTGAATGTGTAGAAATTGAACTAAATTCTTTTCAAGTAACTCTTTGTCCCTTCTTTGTTTTTTTTCTTCTTCTTACTTTCCGAATGTACGGAAGTTGTATAGGTTACTAGGTCCATTACGTTACGTGTGATGAAGATAATTATATATCTATTTAAAAAAGAATTGTGCCTTTATTTTTCATTATTCCTGTCACACCGTTATGTATTGGTGAATTTGCGAAATGGCCAAATTCTGGCCCGAAATATATAACATATGTAGCACATGAAAACTTTCATTAGATGCTTAAGTCCCGAATTTTATGTTGACCAAACCGTTTTGGTCCCTCTTCCGTTTACCCCGTTGTTCTTATTAAGTGGGAGATGTTCTTTTATGTAGAGGTGTCGCACATGAAAACTAAGCCCGGGGCCGGCACGCTAACCCGTTGGGCTTAGCGGGGCGGGCCTGTACATATCACAAACTTCAATGCCCATCGCAGGCCGGCCCGTCTAACACCTCTACTTTTATGTCACAATAAACAAGTAGGTGATCTACAAGTGAAATTTCAACGACCTTATATGATCAAATACTGACCTTATATGATCAATATTTTAATAGTTTGCTTGTATCAGATTCAAATAACATTACACTCCCTTACAAGCTCTCAAGCATCAATGATCAAAATTAAATTGAAGAAACACAATCCAACTTAAAATCCACTTCGCTCTTCTAAAACAAGCACAACAAAAAAACAGAATCTCACAAAAAAGAATGTGTCAAATTGAATTCATGAGCTCTGAACATCACTTCGAACAGGAAATTCATCTATGCATGTTCTTGTTTTGTTGTCGATCCTCCACTTCCAAAATGATCTATAACTTCAAGCTGAGCCGTTCTCTGTTGGTCTCTTGTATTTTCTCTCATTTTGAAAAATATAGCTTATTTTATGTTTTTATATAGAAAAACATGTCATATAATGAAAAATAGAACGTATAGCATTTCATTTATGTTTTTCATATTAAATAGTGTATTCTCGTTTAAAAGACTATGAAGAAGGTTTCCTATTTCTAAAATGAAGTTAAAAGGGTTTAATATTCTTGATGCTAAGAGATAAAAGATATATGTAAACACCATCCGTGTATTTGGAGTATAAGACTTATTGGTCCATTTAGATTATGGGTCAAGAATATGTTTCCCGCGGAATGTTTATATTCGAATACCGTTGTAACAACATTTCATATTTACAAAGCTAAAGAATAACAAATTATATTTATAGGACTATGGCCGAACAAATTACACATGGTAATTAACTTAATTTTATTGGATTTATGGTCATTTTACCTTGTTCCCTTCTATTAGTTTCACGGATAACATAAGAAAATTGCAAAACAAATGATCTGAGTAATTAATGTTTCGTCAAAACCCTAGATAATCCTCACAGACCTAACGGTTAATATCATAGATTTTGAACAATCTACCATAGAATATTTAGTTCGTGACTATCATGAAATAGAAAATAAATATTAAGAAATCTAGATCTAAAAGTTCCCTTAGAATAGAGATTTTTTTTTTTTTTATCATTTAGCATACTTTGATTTTCGTTTGTTGTTTTTCCCTTATATCATTTTTTGCTTATATTTTGCTTATGTTTTGCATATTTTTTACTCATTTTTATTATAATTTTTTTTTCTTAAGAAGTCACAGATAACGTCCTACCAGTAGTTACCGCTATTTCAGTTCAGATAACGATCTAAAACAATTTACATCGTTGGTTGGATGACACAAAAGAAAGGTCCAGTGTTCGTGAGCATCTTCAATCTAATCAATCTGATTGCCACGACAATCTTTAGCTCGGTTGTACTCTCTGAGAAGATGTTTTCGGGAAGTGAGCATTGGTGCTTTCATAACATTAACATACTTGGCATCTCTTAATGGTCCTCTTCTCAACTCATCTTTCCTTGCTGAATCAGGATAATTGGAGCTTTCGCGATCATCATTGGCATCTATTTTGTTCTTTGGGGAAAAATGGGAGAACAAACCACGCCGCCACCTCCAGAGCCTACTGTTGTTTGAGGTTATGTCTTTAAAGGTTTTAGTTTATGTCATGTAGTGGTCATGGATTCATTATCTTAAGTTGTTGATTTAATTTGAGGTATTGTAGTAGTAACTTAAACCAAAATTTTCATGGGGACAGAAGTTATCCTTGTACGAGGAATGAGTTTATGGTGTAATAATATCGATAATCTTGAGTCTTGACCATGTTCAAATTCAAAGATTGCTTCCGAAGTTATTTCTCTTAGAGGTCTTAAGGGCTCTTGTTTCTTTTCTTTTGAATAACTTCTTTTTTATTTTTTTCTACAAATTAAAGATATTTCCATGTGGTTCGATATTATTAGTTTGGCTTGCCTTTACTCCATATGATGTTTCTTGCAGGCCAATGTAGTACTAATATACTATCAAACCCGACAAAACCTGATAAGGTAATATAATTTTTATTCTTTAGCTTTATAGATATGAAATCTTGTTACAACAGTATTCATATATGGTCATTCCATGGATAAATAGTATTCAAATATCATTATTCCATGGATAACATTTTTCTCGGCCTGTTAATCTACATGGACCACTAGGTCTAATACTCCAAACACACGGATGATGTTCACATACAAATTGATCTCTATTATCCTTAAGAATATCGAACCATCTAGATTGATCTTTCCATACAAAGTGACAAAAAAACAGAGTCGTTTCCCAAACATTAAGAGGTTCCCTAAACCCCCAATGTTGATGAGGGGCTACAGATTGTGATCCGAGATCCTTCTCCTTTGATTTACAGTGTAATCCCAATTGAACATTTGGACCAATATCATTGATGATATCCACAGTTACATGCTTAGCCGCCTCGCAAAGACCACCAAAGAGAAAAGCGATGAATATAAAACTTAATATCATGTGAAATGAAGATGGACTGCACATTATGAATATTTTATAAAATATGAAATTTCTTTTGGTCACCAACATCTATGGAAGGATTTGTTTGAAAACAACAGTTTGGAGACGATTTTATACTAAACTTTTAATATCTTTTTTTTATTTATTTATCAAAACAACTAATTCACTACAATAGTTTCCACATAATTCACTTCACTAAATTAGTTAAAAACATAAAAATTATACCAAAATAACTTATCATAATCTATTTGTATTAATTAAATTAGTAAATCAAAGATTAAAATAAAATCTTTTTATTCAACAACTTTATTAAGATATATAACTAAAACATAAATTTTTAATATTAGATTTAAAATATCATAATTTCATAGGATAAATGATTAAATGTTTTTATCACACGAATACCATATGACAAGATTTTTTTTGTTTTCATTAAATTTGAACACCAACAAGAAAAGCTTTTAACTTGTGATGATAAACGTGTATCTATAAAGTTCAACAAGTGTCGGAAAAATCAATTTATACTAACATTGTAAACTGCACTGCAGTATATCGAAATTTTTATTTTATTATAAAATTTATTATTTCCATTATTCAAGCCAAGAGATATACGAGAAAGGGGAAGTACAATCTCATCAGGGAATAATACAACAAACCATAATTGGTTACGCAATCATTCTCAAAAAATGAGTAAACCAATCGGATCGTGCTAAGTGAAATAAATTTGAAAGTGTTGTTTGTATTGATTTACAAGAGCCAATATTTATACAAGAGAGATCCTAAAACTAAGGGATACGGATAACTACAACCATATTCATTGTAATCTAAATATACGATTCTATCCTAAGCGAAATGGAGAAGCCTGATACCAAGCGTAAGAATTTCTTCAGAATTCTTAAAGAGCGACTGGTCCGAAGGAACTCTCGTTCTTAAACCAACCGGTTTTCATCTCTCATTTTATTTAGATAAGGTGATAATCTTGAGTGACCATGTTCATTCAAATTCAGAGATTGCTTCCGAGGTTATTTCTCTTAGTGGTCTTAAGGGCTCAATAAACTTGACCCAATAGGCTAGTTCTAGAATCTGAGACTGAGGGTTTTGACATTTTCCAGGTACAATAATAGTAGGTATTGAGATAAGCTTTATAGGGAGGGAAAAAAGAGTTTGATATATTCATTTATCTATCACTGTTTCTTCACATCCCAAGAGAACCAAAAAACAAAAGTGGATGTTATCGTATGAATATGACTAATCTCATATTTCCGTATCTAATAAGGCCTCTTAATTTCCCTCTGTTTCTACTATCTCATCCTATAAGCAAAACTAAAAGAAAAAGCCACCACCCTAAGAACAGGTCACAAAGGCGACAGAGAGATGGTAAGGGAAAGTGTTGGCGTAGTGAAAAGAGAGAGTGGAGCCAAAAGGCAAAGGCTTGCCGTTGTTGACGAGACAGTCGTCGTAGTGAATACGCTTGAAGACTCTTGGGTTTATCCATTTAGCCGAGCTGAACCAACCACAGTTGATGTGTATCCTCGAAATTATGCATCCAGACATACACTGGTTCGTTATCTCTACCATGTAACCTGGTATTCCGTTAGGCATTGGTTCCGTTACTGCTTGGTTCACCACTATGTCCGTACTCTTGCACTTATCTCCGATTCTCTCCGGCTCTGCCCTGCTCTCTGCTTTTCCTTTTTCTAAACAATCACACACACAAAAAAACAGAGGAATTTTAGTCTACTAGTACCTACACATTGATAAGAAGATAACAAATAATGTTGAAAATTATTGGATACAAAAAAATAGAAATGGTAAAGAGTCTAAAGACTCGTTCTTTCTTTCTAACTCCATTTTCTAGTAAAATTTAATGGAATAACCAAAAATTATTGGAGTATGAGAAATGAAAAAAAAACAGAGAGGTACTATTAATTTGACAGCTGGATGAAGTAGGAAGCTGTTTCAGCATTGCTCTACACTCTCCAGTCAATAGTCAACAAGTCATCAAAACTAATCTTTTTATTTTTACTAATTCAAACAAATAAGAAGAAAGAGATTCAAGAGAGGATAAATTCGACGCTTGAAATTACTCAATCTTAAGGATGATGTTATTTGTTTTTACTCTAGATAAGTCATGAGGCAATCAAAATTCATGGATTGGGTCCACAAAAGTATAACGAACAAAGAAACAAAAGGAGGCAAGAAAACACAGACGTGCAAAAGACTGACGACGCTGTGAAAACAAAAAGGACGAAACGCATCAGGAAGTTGTGTGTTTGCAGAGAGCACAGAGAGAGAGAGGTTTCTGATGCAAACAAACAAACAAAACAACAATTCACCATTTCACGAGGTTCTTAACGAAAATGGAGGAACCAAGACAAATTTAACAAAATCAACACAATAGAATCAATCACCGATTTGGTAAAATGTAAAACTGGAGTCTGAAAAATCAAAAATCCCCTTACCAGGACCAGTAGAGAGAAGAAGCATTTTCCGGTGTGATGAGCTCGGTGACAACATCGTCGTTTTAGTCAAATCCAGATTATCTCTAAGCTTTTCACCTAAAACAACGAGATTTTCCACCATTAACAACAGAGTGTTTAAGAAACTAGTGAATCTACGTTTGATTTAGGAGTTTCGTACCGGAGGCTTCAACGGAGACGAGAGTCATGCCGTAAAGCAAGTACGAGAGCAGTGTTGCCGATACCAAAAGTCGCCGTCGGTTCATGTGCTTAGACGTTGGAAATCTAAAGTAGATGATGAAGCTGACTCTCGTCGTCTTCTCTATCCCGTCTGCGTCGATTTGACTAATACCGGAAAATCTGTAAAAACCAGAGGAAAGAGAGGAAAAAAACTTTTAGTAGCTTATCACACGACTTGTCTTGCATCCATCATATCAATGAACAGTGTAAAACAGAAGAAAATCCAGATTTAAGCGGCTCCTAATATCACTCGCTTTTTTTTTTTCTCGGATTTGAAATATGAGGAATCTATTGAAGAAATTTTGAAAATCTTTTGACCAAAAGAAAAAATCTGTTGCGAAATGTACAGTGAGAGAGAGAGAGAGGCTTAAACCTAAAATTTAAGAAAACGATGACGAAATGCATTATCGCTTAAACCAGTTTCTGGAAAAACTTCATCACAGCGAACACAAAAAGTAACCAAAAGAGAGGAAATTGAATATCTAAAATCAAATCAAATCAAGGAAACGAAGCGAATCAGGCGACAGATGAATCGTAACATAAAGCGACTAAAAAGGGAAAAAAGTAAGAAATCTGGATCGAGTTTCCTGGAAAAAAGCAACCTGATACTGACGGAAAAACAAAGAGAAAGCTGGAGCGTAGTGCAGCGTGAAACACAGAGAAACAAAGCAAACAAACAAACAAACAAAAAGTAGAAATCAACAGAGGATGGAGAAAAATCGAGAAAACTAAACAATCAAAATTCGGATTAATACACACATCTCTACGTTTAAATCCGTACAGGTTACAGAGAGTTTCGCTCACTTTTTCTTCTTCGTCGAGTTCTCTTCCTGCAAGTGGTGTCGCCGAGGAAGAAGACGAAGGGATAGAGAGAGAGAGAAAATGGATTTTAGGATTCTCGTCTGTGTTACATAACACACTACAGACGTATTTATAGTCCTTTTTTCATATTATTTCTCGGAAATATATCAATATTTTTTTAAAAGATGAATCAAAAATTACTTGAAACTTTAATTGTTCAAAAAATGATGAGATACGCATTTTTTCGAGTTATGCGCAGTTAAATTGACACATTAACTTTTGTTTTTATTTTTTACATATAAAAACTCTATGGTTTAGAATGTGAAAAAGGTCGAGAAATACATTTGTAAAATAATTATTATTTAGATCGGTGAATTTTTTTAAAATTATTATTTAGATTCCATGATAAAAATAAAATGGACCGCTATGATTGATACCGTTAAAAACTTTAGGAATGAATCCCGCTTGTATCCAACCAGAAATGGGCTGGTACGTTTTATTGAAGCAGTTGGTAAAATTCGGAAAAACTTAAAACATTATAAGGGTAAAAGTGTCATTTCATTCAGAACTTTGTTTTGGATTGACACCGTGGCGGGTGTGAAAGGAATGAATGATTGGCTTAGATAAATTATCAGATTAAGGAAGATTGGGTAATTATTGTATTTGTAATATTTAATTGTCACATCCTCACGTGGGAGTATCAGAAGCACACGAGTCTCTTTAACACGCGCTTTTAATTGCATTTATGATTGCGACGATGATGTTTTTGTTGTACCCATTTTATATTCATTCTCCTTCATTCTTTTTGGCTTTTAGTATTTCCATTTTTCGATTTTCAAATTTGAGAAATACACAATGTAGTCTGAATCGATTGTTAAGAAGAGAAAAAAGTTTTATTCTTTTATGTGATGTGGTTACTAATTTTTTCGAAGTATAATTTGTTGATGTACTGTTGAATGTTAACACACATTACCTCTTTTTACGAATATGGTAACACCCACCACTTTTTTTACATTCCTTAGATTATTTATTGTCTTAATGCATAACAGTTTTTGTAATCGTTTGATTCAAAAAAAATTTTCTCTGGGTGAATTAATCGTTTAGCTTCTGATAAAATCTTATATCAAATGTTCAAATATCGTATGAAGGCCAAATTTCTAACAAACTATATAAACTTGCACCCAAAAAAAAATATCATTAAATTTAAACTCTAATGGATTTGTTCACAATACATGAAAAAGTCCGTAAAAGGAAAAGATGAGATTTATTAGAACGACCAGCTTAATTTCGACAGGAGAGATGAAACATTGAAATTCGATTCTATAAACGAAAGTAAGGCCAAAGAAAAGCCAAACCAACAGAGTAAGAAGTAAGCCAAAAAAGCGAAAACAGAAAGAGTTATTTGACTGGCAGAGATAAAACAAGGTCGCAAAATGACAAGTTGGCTCGTTCGTATCAACAACATTTGCTTGCAGTTTTTCGAACAAAAAAAATATAAATAAATTTAGCAAATTTAAAAGACAAGTTCAAAAAGAATGTGAGCATTTCAAATAGTTTTAAAAGTATATCATGTATGCTTACACTTATTTGTATATTTTGTGTGGGAATGGGCAATAAATGCACTTAGAAAGAAGGCATTGCTTTTGACAGACAGAGCTCAATGTGTCATTGATAAAACAGAGATTTTGCAGGGCTTTGGTCTGCTTCTCTCAACCCCCTCCCTCCTCTTCATATTTCATTTTGTCATTTTTCTTCTTGTTGAATGATTCCCACTTCTTAGTTGACCTTATTTAAACCACACACGCTTCTCTTTAAACAATTTAAAAACAAAAAAAAAAACTTCTTTGAAACCTTTAGGTTTCTGACATCAAATAAACCACTAAACCAGACATCAATTCTTATATAGTAATGGTATGGATATATATAATTGAGCAAAGATCTCCACAAAGTCAACCCAAATTATTACTAAAACTGTTTGTTTTTTTTCACATGGAAATCGTTAATGTTACTGCAATGGCAGCGGCTAAAGCTATGGAATGGTAAGTTCGTAAGGAAAAAAAATAAAAACAATGAAAGGCCAAACACATCTAGAGATGTTACAGATTTCCTACCAATAACACTAATCTACAACACATGTGTATCCCACCCGGATCAGATCAGGTCGAGTCACAAATAAATAGAGATGCCTTATTAATCAATTAGGTTTACACATGGAATCTCTTCTCGTAATCTAACCCCCAAATATATGCAAGCTCAATGTTTAATGTCTCCAGTTCGGGACTTTGGTTCCCTCCAGCTTTTTAATCGTATTCAACAGATCATCGATAGTGTTCGACGCTTCCTGCAATGAAATGTTTTAGTTTTATTTGAGGTAAGTATTCAAATGATAATCAAACGAGTCACTGGTGAAAGGTTTGGTTAAGGAATGAGGAACCTCTAGCTTATTTCTCAGAGTTTCTTCCTCCCCATCACGTCGGTCTCTTTCCTCTGAGAATATCTCAATCAGATTCTCTTGCTCTTTCTTCATTTCTTCTATTTTTTGTCTTGCTAATTCAACCTAAATTAACCAGGAATCTATCAGGCTTGCAAACAAACTATAGAAAGAGTTAAAATGTCAGAAAGTAGGACTATACCTCAACTTCAAGTGCCTTCCTACGCTCTTTCTCACGCCACAGCTCCTCTTGCAACTGAGAGTACCAAAGAAAAATGAGAGAACTATTACAATGAAAAGATCTTTTTGGTTTGAGATTTTTGGACGGAGCATTAACCTGTGTACTATCTTTCCCTGATACACCATTGTCCCCTTTAAGATTTGGATATGAGCTTGAGTAGAACTTGTCAGAAGCTGGATTAGGAGTTTTGATGCTTGATGGAGCAGGTCCATCGCGATCATTTTCTGGTGATGAGTCTAACATCCATAAAACATTGTTAAATGATTATTCCCTACAAGTAAAATCTCCTGGAAATGTTGTATGGACGTTACAAAACCAATAAAGGCACTATACCTCTGTTATCATAACCATATGCAGACTTTTGATGTCGCCTGGGCGCATAGCCAATTTTGTGACAGTTCGTACTCCTGATCAACATGGAATGAAATATTATTAGCCCTGAAACATCCATTTCAGGCTCAAGGAAGTGGGATTTTAAAACAACATGAGAAAACAATCAGACCAGTAAGTCTTCTGCATTTGAACTAGCCGTGACTCAAGTCTAGAGAGAACTGTTGTACGCTCAAACCCTTGCTTATCATGAGCAGGCTCAACAAAATTAGCTTCCAGAACACCTATTAGCAGAAGAAACTAGCATTTTAATCTTCACAGAAAGTACGTGAATCAAGTAAAAGAATTTCCATATTAAAACAATACCTATGACCCCACGACCATCACTGCCTGTTGCATTCCATATCCTCCAAAATGGCTGATAACACAAGTTAATCAAAATACATAAGAATTGAAATCCACTATTTATCTTGAAAATCAAAGGCCTAGTATGGAGAGTTTTGGCAAGCAAAACGCCATTCAAGTAGAACCAAACCTTGATGAGCCGATTTTTGTGGTAGACATTAAAGCCTTGAACATCAACATGATGTTTTGCGTCCTTCACAAATCCAATAATTACAATGGCAGACATCTGATAAGAGAAGTAGTGCGCAATACCAGCTTTATGAAGATCTTGGCTTGTAATAAATAGAACTATAAAAAGGGTCGTATTAAGTTATTAAAACTTACATTTGTCACAACTCCATATGATTCAGACTGTGGTCGATATGTGATCTGCTCAGTCTGCATCATGTCATTCACTACGCTGTGGTGCTCAACATCTTTTCCCCGTAGAATGATACGAAACCCAGGTGGAATTCTTAGATAGAGGATTGATACATAACTCTGGGAACATGTCAAAAGGATGTGAGAAATGAATTTGTAGAATTAAAGGACATGCAGCCTATTTGAACAAGATTCACAATAATATTCCTATTCAAGATTTTTTATTCTTCCCCACCATCACATCAATGTACGAAACCTTCAAGAACCATTACAGATTTACAGTCCTAACTAGCATAAGACTGTCCATAGCTAATTTGGCAAAGACATCTTACTTATTATCTAAAACAACAAACAAAAGATAATGGAAAAGAAAAATTTATACCCTTAGTGAGTGTTTGTATGTAAGGAAGTGCCTAGAATTAGGAAACTGAGAAGCCATTTTGATGTTTTTCTCTTCCCGATTGACACCTCTAAGTTGAATATCCTGCAGATAAACAATATTTTATGCATAAAAATTCGTATGCATCATCTCACACAATAATCCTCATTCATTGAGCAATAAAAACACATACATAAGGATCAGCATCAAAATCCAGTTCTAACATCCCTTGATCATCTTCCCACAGGTTATATATGATTATCCGTGTGCCACGATCCTTCATCAGATCAAACTACAACAAATGAAGCAACAAATTAGTGATAACAATTGTTCATAGAGATAGTAAAGGGGTAATAGAGATTAAAAAAGATCAAATAGCTCCGAATGTACTGAAATAATCCTGAGTAATAAATGCTCTCAGGGAAAACTTCATAGTATGGGTAAGTGTTAAGCAACTGCTGTGAACAAAGGGAAAATATACCTGATGAAGAAGATCTTCTTCACTAGAGAATGGCGACCATTGAATTATTGTTTCCACATTTTTATCCCAATCGCTAAGGGAAGACCGGACTATTTTACTCCATTCAGGCTCCCTTCTTTCATAGTCAAGCTGCCATTTTAAATCACATTACAAGAGAATATAAGGATAAAATGGATATAATATTCATCTAAATTTAAAAGTATACGTTGTGGACATGAAACATCTTCTGTGGCAGAAGAGATGTGCGGACAATTTAAAAACATAGCAAAGTCACAATGTTACCAGCAATACTGAAAAGTTATACATTGAGATGCAAACTAAGTTAAAGAGAAGAAATCAATCGCGACTATCTGCCACTACAAAAATTTATATATGCGTAACTGCTATACCAAAATCCACATGGAACAAATCAAAGTTGCAATATATTCTACAGCAAGAAATGTATTGCCTTCTTCAGTTTAGCCTAGAAATCAAAAGTAGAGGAATACCCAATTTTCGGGATAAAAGTTTACAGGCAGCAATACGAAGCATTCAATTGTAAACCAATCATGTATTCTTGGAGTTTCATGCATACATATATGAGACTAGAAAGGATCAGACAAACTAAGAACCCTAATATCCAAAATCTAAACTGGTCTACTGAGAACTTCTTTGCTTTCATTGTAAATATCCGTTCATTCAAAAAAATGAGGAACATAAGACATATTAGTGCTCAACACTTCCTCTAACACTGACCAAAGATTGCAATGAAATAGTGTACACATAACCAACTGATACGTGCCACTGAATCCCATGTTAACGAAAAATTAGAAGATTCATGTTGTTGAACCAAGCAATTGAATGGAATTTCATATCAGAATACAACTCATAATAGAAAAACCAAGTGGCAGACCATGGAGTTGTTCTCTAACAATGCCATACAATGAAACAAAGAAAGATTACCATGGGAACAACAATGTCCTCCTTTCCTGTGCTCCTTAGAAATGTATATGATAGGAGCCCGATGCTCTGCGTAGAGCTAAAACCAACATCATGTAAATTATCTATAACAAGAAATTATAACTTGAACTATTGTTCATATTCTTCGGGAATGAAAATACAAATTACAATCCAACAAAAATGATAAAAGACATGATAGCCGAAAGGTGTAACATATTGATAATAAACAACTAACCTCTTTCCATCTTTCCCAGGGCAACGCGAGAATACAATAACATCAGCTCCAAGTCTCATTGTACTAGTTTTAAATCCATTGCCATCTATAAGCAGTAAATGAAATAAGCATCTACCTGCAAAGTTTTGATATAAGTATCACTCGGGTTGAGAAAGAATAATTACATTGTCCAATGGTGTTTGCAAGTTTGCTTTTTGCAGAGTATCCTAGAGACATGCATTGTCGCATTTTTTCAGGATCCATCCCACCCCCATTATCTGCAGTTCAAAACATAAGGATTCTCATACATGAGGATCGAAAAGAAGACAAAAGTGTTGCACTTTAGGCAACCAATAACCACATGAATAAAACAGGGAAGATGTTCTCTAAGATATGCTAGGTAAAGTGTATACCCTCAATTAATAACATCCTGTTTCCTGCTTTGTTGTTTTCAAGCATGTCTACTTTAACATAAGTAGCTCCACTGGCAACCTGATATCAACGAGAGAAACCATTACTACAAAGCATAAGTTAAATGCGCTTCAATCTGTCTAAGACAAGTTAAGAAACTAAACCCACCTCATCCAATGCATTATCCAGAAGCTCTGCAAAAGCTGCATAAGAGAACATAGATTAGCTTATAAAAATAGAGGCAAACTTATTCTCGAATAAAGGTTGATCAATGGGAAAATACCTCCAAGAGCCCATTTGTGACTAGTTGCATTAGAATGTAAGAACTTTGGATGGACTCTTACATGGTCAAAACCACCTGAGACATTATCCATGTCAAACAATTGTAACACAAAACATTCCACATTACTACTGTCTAATGAACAAAATTAAGATTTGGTTTTACCTGAAGAAAGATCCCAGTTAACGCCAGGTGCTCCTTCATAATCTCCAGCTTTCCAAAACTGCTTACAACCGCCAATCCTCCCAGACGTGCCCGCGTACGGTGGCTGCGGCGGCGGCGGCATAGGCCTGAAGACATTACACGGATTCGCAGGAATAGCATGCGTCAAAACTTCCGGCGGATTCGATTGGCCGAATCCTTCCGGTAACACAACTGCTAACTCATCAAGTGTTGTTACCTTCTTCACGTTATTCCTATCCACTTCCGAAGAACCTCCGAAAGTATCTCGCGCTCTCTTCAGACCCACGAAGTTGTTTCCAGAATTATATCTTCTGTCAGCGGCGATTTCTCCAATGTCGGAGTCGTCATCGCTACTACAGAGATCGACTACGGTTACAGATTCTCTTCCCGGAAAGCCAGCCGGAGAAGTAGAAGGTGGCGGAATCTCTCGCTTCACATGAATATTCTCCATAAATAGAAAAATTGGACACGAATATGAAAAAGTTGAAGAGATAAACTAATGATGAATTTTAATTTTGAAAAAAAAAAAATTGAAGAAGAAGCGAAAAAGAGAGAAGTTTTGGAATGTTTGCGCGAATGATGATGAAGAAAGCGAAAATATTGGGAAAGAAAAAAAGTATTTATATATGAGGAACAAAATTGACTTATAGGCTTTTTTAGGTTTTTTCTTATTTAATTATGTTAGTTGAAAAGATGGGCCATTTAAATTTTAAGCCCAATCATATCGTTTCTACACAACTAATTTTCGTAAGCCCAATCAGACAAAATAAAACCCTAATAAATCTTCTCTTTCAGTAGTCAGAGGTTTCTTGAGGTTTCAGTTTCTTGTCTTTCGGGATAAACAGTAGCTGACAAATGGTAAAGAAACTTCTGCTCCGAGTTGGATCTGTTGTTCTACTTAGAGAATTCATTCGTCAATCCACTCTGTTTCTTCTTCTTAAGTTGTGTAGTTAATAACAGTGAATCTATATTAGTCTGATCTTTAAGTTTTTGCATGTGTGGTTGGTTAAAAACTTAAAATGCATAATTTAATATGGCCTTGTCTGTTCCATTGTAGCTAATTTGGTTTTCTATTAGAGGAATTGAATAGTACTTGTTCTATAATTCATGCTTGCTTGTAACATTAATCATCAATCAATTAGTCACTGGTTTAAATTGCTTTCTAACTCTGTAAGCAACATCTCCAATTTGGTTTTAGGCCCCAAAGAAAGGAGTCAAAGTAGCTACAAAGAAGAAGCCGGTAATGTGCTCTCTCTTCCGAAGATATTTTTCCTTTATCTCTCTCTCTGTTCTTATTTACTGATAAAATGTCTTTGGTTTCAGGAGAAAGTAACAAACCCTCTCTTTGAGAGGCGTCCAAAGCAGTTTGGAATCGGAGGAGCATTGCCTCCGAAAAAGGATCTCTCGAGATACATCAAATGGCCAAAGTCTATCCGTCTGCAGAGGCAGAAGCGTATCCTGAAGCAGAGGTTGAAGGTTCCACCAGCACTTAACCAGTTTACTAAGACCCTTGACAAGAACTTAGGTCTGTTTCTACATCACACTACTGTGGATGTTATCTGTCTTGATTACCCTCTAGCTGTTTAACTCAATGTTTGTATAATCGCAGCGACTTCTCTGTTTAAGATTCTCCTCAAGTATAGGCCTGAGGACAAAGCAGCCAAGAAGGAGCGTCTTCTCAAGAATGCTCAGTCTGAGGCTGATGGAAAACCTTCGGAGTCGAAGAAGCCAATTGTTGTCAAGTATGGTCTTAACCATGTGACTTACCTCATTGAGCAGGTCTCTTCCCTTCCTGTCTAATTCATTTTGCCACTCTCTAGGAACTAACCTAGTAAGAAGAATCTTGTCTGAAACCTATCTTCTTTGTTTGATTGCAGAACAAGGCGCAATTGGTGGTAGTTGCTCATGATGTTGACCCGATTGAGTTGGTCGTCTGGCTGCCCGCATTGTGCAGGAAAATGGAAGTTCCTTACTGCATTGTCAAGGGGAAATCACGATTGGGAGCGGTAACTGCGATTGTTTACTTGATGAGAGCTATCACTTATTTTGTCTTGAGAAAAAAAAAACTTGTAGTGAATCTGTGATCTCTTCCTTTGTTGCAGATTGTCCACCAGAAAACAGCATCTTGCTTGTGTTTGACCACAATAAAGAACGAGGATAAGCTGGAATTCAGCAAAATCCTAGAGGCCATTAAGGTGAGATTTTAATTGTTAACCCATGTTTCTATGAGATATTGTGGTATACAAATCCTTAGAATGAATGAATTCAAATGGTATTTGATTATTTTGCATAGGCAAACTTCAATGACAAGTATGAAGAGTACCGTAAAAAGTGGGGAGGTGGGATTATGGGATCCAAATCGCAGGCCAAGACTAAGGCTAAGGAGAGGATTTTAGCCAAGGAGGCTGCTCAGAGGATGAATTAAGAAGCTCTTTATGGGTTTCATTTTTGGAAAGCTAATTTTATTCAATTTGCACACTACTAAGAGTTTAAATCCAAGTATCTCTCTTTTTCACTATTTTGCTTGCATCGCCTTATTTCGACTTAGGCTATATATACAAACTTATTTATTGGCCCCAAGAGACCACCTTATTGTTCCATCAAAAGAACTAAATTTTAGCAACTGTTTTTTCTTTTAATTTTGTTCGTTAAGCTTCGTTGAAACTTGTCTTGAAAACAACTTAAAACACGTCTCAGCCTGGCGTCATCAGAAGTATGTTTTGAATTTTTAACATGAAGACGTAGTCATTATAACATTAATACACGATTGAAAATATTATGACCATTGACATTGTAGATATGCGTGGCAGCTAATAAGCGATACAACAAGAAGAAGCCATTTTCTAATTTAAAACGATTACACACCTCATCAGTCATCAGTCATCAGTCATCATCATCAACATTCCTAAACCCAGTTTTATGATAAATAAAGCAAAAAGTAGATTAGACAGGACATGATGGGACCACCACCAACACCATTACAATAATACTAGTCAGGCTTCTTCTGTCTGCTCCTCTCTTCTGATTCAGTGACTGTGAGCCTCGTGTCCCTCCTAAAGATCACATTTTAAAATCACAATTAATTTAAAAAGGAATTAACACACTTGTTAAACGCAAATGGTCGCTACGTTAGAGAGAAATTAGGCACAGTCTTACGTTTCCTAGGACTATATTAAATGAATTAATCTTAAAAAAAAAAAGATTCTTTATTTGACCCCACTAAAGAATTCTAGAACTATGGTTACTTTTACGTTTTTTGCTTTATGAATCTCAAAATTAAAAAAATTACCCGGTTGGGGAAAATGGACTGGAGGATGTTGGGCTTGGTGGCCTTGGAGTGGGTGGAGCGGAGGACGCCGTGTTTCTTGAACTGTTCTCTAACAACACGGTTATAGATAAAAGCTGCGCCTTGAAACTGCGGCAGAACAAGCCAAGCCACGAACACAAGTTTCACCGTATACCAAATCGGAATCCACTCAATAAGTGATTGCAGAATCAGTTCCGTGAGTGAAAGGAACGAGTATATTATCCAGTACGCGAGCCACTGTTCATCGTCAACTTTTGTTGTGCTCTCCATTGCTATCACCGATGCGTACCTGAAAATTCAACGTTTTTCAGATTTTGTTTTTGATCTAACAAAAAGAAAAAAAATCAAACAAGGAAAGAAACTTACAATGGATACAGCAACATCACTATGGGCCTGCATCAACAAACCGATTACGTTTATAGATTAGAAATCGAAACAGAGGAATTTAAAAAGTAACTAATTTTGGAAAAAAAATAATGTAAGGAAGGATAAGTAATTATACCCAGCGCCTGAGTGAAGAGCAGTGAGGAAAGTCCAAAATTTGTTGTCCATTTTTTTTTTCTTCCTTGCAAGTTTTTTTGAAAGCTTTAGGGCTTTGAGAAAATTTCCAGATGTTAAAGAGAGCGAATGAGAGAGACAAGTCTGTGAAAATTTCGAGGCTCTTTAATTTTCTGTGAGAAGAAGACAACGATATGTGAAGGAAAAAGCCTAATTTATAGAGAAGGTACGGTTTGCTACAGTAGTTGGTTGGTTCACACCCTTTTCATTGGCTCATAGGAGGAATATGATAAATAATGGTATTATTTTATTTTAATTGCCGTCGTACTGGAACTCTGATGCCGACATACAACTAGTCCGGTCTGGTCTATCGGTTCAATTAGTGTGATTCCGTTTTTGGTTGTCTGGTTCAATTCGGTTCAGTTAATTTATCTACGTTTTATCTTACACGTGGCGAGATTCTAAGGTTGAAGTCGTCGACACGACACCGACCTCAAAGTAAAAAAACAAAGCGAAGACGTCGGTGAGAGCTTCTGTCATTGCTTATTTGCTCTATTTATTTATTCTGTTTCTTTTAAAGAGATACTTTTGTCATTTATTAATCTTTTTGCTGATTATTGTTTTACCTTCTTTTCAAAGTGCTAAATCTGTGAGAATTAGTTTGATTGAGGGTGAAACTAATGGGATTTCAATTTGATTCTTCTCCCAAGTCATGTAAGCGTCAGAAGAAGTTAAGACCCAATTATATTATTTTGTTCCTTTGATAGTCTAATACATATAAAATTTTTATCTTCATAACATGTAACTTCGTAAAACCCAAGTTAAAAATTAGACGATTTCAAGTAACAAATATTTACATATGGATGGAAAGAGAGAGATATGCGTGGATTTAAACACTTAATATGCAAATTCATAAAATTAGCTTCCAAAGATGTATCCATTGAATGGGTGGGTTGTGTAGATGGGCCTGTCGTTGTTGGAGTCCATTTTCTATTTAAATGATTAGCTCTAACCATATTGATTGTAAACATTAAGTGTCACCGATGCAACATTAGTTCTTTTTTGCTTCTTCATCCAATGGTAAAGAGTATAATTTGTAATCGTTTTCTAAGCCAAAATACATACATTGTTTTTACTGTTTTGGCCAAAATTTAAAGAGAAGACGAGAGGTTAATAATACAAAACTAAACCTTTTCTTTATTGAGTTTTGATGAAAATTCACAAACCAAAATAAATAAATAAAATCTCATGTAGGAACCAAAGTATTGATATGTGTATTCATGGAGAGATGATCAAAGCCATCATTCATCAACACAAATAAAACCCATGACAAAAGCAACACCATAGTAACAGAGACAATCTTTCCAATCGTCGTCTTCTTCTTTGATTTCCTAGTATCACTCGAACTCGTCACATTCGAAGACCAACAAGATGAATGAGAAAACGATGTCGTCTTCTTGGTTTGATCATCATCATCATCAGAGTCGTGAAAGAGTTTTCTCCTTAGAGGTGATCTTTCTTGTATCATCTCTGCCTCTGGTTTGTGTTGGAGAGAGAGCATTAGGTTTCTGGGAGAGTTTTCGACATACTCAAGAGCTTCTTCCACTGTGATCCATGAAACTGCAGATGAATTTTTACCGGTTTTCATGGCTGTCCATTCTTCCTCAAGCTCTCTCAACTGCTGCTGAAGACCTTCATGTCGATTTTCCTCTCTTTCTTCCTTTTTCATTTCTTACAATTTACTTTGCTACGAGTTAAGAAGAATGAGGTTTATAACAGTGTGTGATCTTACGAGATCTCAGTAATTACCTTTTTTCAAAAAAATAACCTTTAGTTGAAATTATAATATTTGAAATTTGAAATTGAACAATATAATGTCAATAACTGAAATTGATTCTACCAAGGAAAATCATAACTGACCACCACGAAATTCTGCATTAATTTGTTCATAATGTGAAGGCAAAAAACAAACGATTGAGATATACATAGAATCTCAGAGATCATAGAGTTACATTAAATCTAGGACACACTGGTTGGTTAAGAGGTAAAAGAGTTGGAAATGTCTTCCATCACACCTTTCCCATCTTCACCATCATAGTAGAAGAAGTTCTTCAATGGGTCTCCTTTGCCTGATACTGCTTTGATCACCTCCTGCCACATGAAAATTCTTTCTTGTCAAATTTCAAGTTTCCAGTGAGAAGATTACAATGCGAAAAGAGAGAGAGAGTGAGAGAGATAACCTGTGCTAATATTCCTCCCACAATGGCACAAGCTGGTGGGAATTCAGTAGTACCAGTGATAAGTCTCTCCAAGAGACTATCTGGTATATGGCTCTCGCTCACAGACTGTCGCAATATTTTCAATTTTTCAGTGAACTACTGAACTGAGTGACATTTCTAAAGAATGGCAAAACATGAAAACACGCTTACGTTTGCCTCACAGAGTTGCTTTTTGATTTCCAAGACTCTGGCAAGATCGAGTAGCGAACATTCCCCATGTTTGCGCCCTTCACTTTCCTCAAACACTTCTATTACTGAAAAAAATCTCATAGGAACACCAACGATTAGTGAAGCAGTTTTTGTTGTACGTATCTGCCTTGAGATTTCAAATTATACTGTTTGTGGAATGTAATCAAGAATTTAGCATTGGTAACTAGTAACCACCTCTCATAGCAAAATAGAGCTTTGCTGTTCTTCGAGGAATCGGTTTCCATGGTACCGATATAGCTTCCTGTGGCAATAAACCAACAAATCCTAATTTTATTACATCTTATGCAGATGTAAAGACTATTAGTGGCAAGAATCAGTGTTAAATTGTACCTGAAAACTTGGGAAATTTAGTTCGCATTCCACCGTCTCTTCAAGCTTTTTCTGTGGAAAGAAAATTGTCAAGAAGGTGTTAATGAAGTTTAAATGTTCAATGGAATTATAGAATTAAAATAGGAGCCAGATGAAATGTCAAAATGTAAACACCTTCATGTACTTGTAATCTTGAAGGTCCACAAAGATTTCACCACATGAGTCTCTACAATCGACTGTATAGAATGCCACACGTTTCACTAACTTCCGACATTTTTCATTGACATATTTCTGAAAAAAAAAACAGACAACGTAATGAAGAGATGTAAGGAGCAACTAAAGATGCAAGAGAGTGGTAACTATGTAAAAGATGGTATCAATACTTTGGTAGCACGAGAACCGTAGCCTATAACTACGACATCAAACTGCTCAAAAAAATTAGTGCCAAGCGTTGACAGATCACCTGTAAGATTCGAAAAAATGATCAGACAAAAGTTGGTACTTTATTCAAACTTTAAAGGAGAGGTATTAGAGGGAAACCTTTCTCTACAGAAACACGGACCATAGGATTGAAATCCTTGAGTGACTCACAACAAATCTCAGCCACAGTTTTGCCACTATAAGCATTTTCATCAGGCAGAATCAAAAAGTTTGCGTTCAAGGCCTCCTCATTCACTAAACGATCATCCATCAAAGTCACTGAACCAACTCCTGCCAGCACAATGTTCTTGCAAAACTACCCACCAAATGGAAGCAAAGCCAAGAAATACCATTAGATTAACTAATTGAAGCATGACATCTCAGCAAAAAATTATAGAGTTACAACTACCTCAGCAACAGTCCCCTTAATTCCAGATACCAAGATATGAGCTTTGGTCAATCTGCAAGCAAAACACCAACCTCACAGTATATCAAATCGTGCCAAGCTTACACAGTAATAACAGATAGTGTATTGTATCAATAAAATAAGCTTCAGCAAAAAGCAAAAATATGAATGAATACATCTGGAACATGAACCCAGGAGTTGTTTCCCAGCAACAGAACGGACATGATCATGTCAGAACAACCAAAGGGAGCTCATTAATTACAAATTCACTTGTCTAGAAGCAGAATCCAAACTCTCCCAAAATAATTGAAATCCTCTTAAGACAAAGAAATAAATACTAAAACTTGAAGCCAAGAGGAAGGAATATAATGGAGAAGAAACAAAAAAGATAACAAATTTATGATCTAAATCCGCAATTTAAGTAGTAACCATAAAGCATTCTCCTAAAATGGCGAAATAGTAAAGAGTTTAGTTCTCCAAGTCTCGAACCAAAGATGCAGCCAAAAAGCAATTGAATTTAGAAAAGTGAAAACTAGAATCAGTGTTGAGAAGAGAAAGTAACCTTCTTTGAGCATTAGCGCCCCAAACCCTAATCTGACGGTCGTACAAGGCAGTCTCCTGCTCGGTAAGCTCTTCTCCGTCCATTCGCAAATTCAAGCTATCAATTCAACAAAGCTTTGCTTTAAGAAACTAGAATTTGCATGTAATATTACTGCAGAATCTTAAAAACTGGAGCTTTGGATAAACCTAGTCTGCACTGGGTCGATTTTGGTCAACTCTCTGTGTTTGCCAAAAAATCAATGGAGATTTTTATTTATTTTATTTCTAAAATAGAAAATGTTTGTTCGATCGCCGGTTGAATCCGGTACGACCGCATATCAATTTATTAATAAAAAATTAAATTTTATTAATATTAAAAAAAATCACATGTTTAGAGAATTTTTAGCAATAATCATATTTTCAGCAAAAACAAAAAAAATACATATTTTAGTTTGATTGATATATAAACATAATCTACTAAAACTATCTATATGTTTTTTTTTTTTTTTTTATGTTACACACAAAAAAAAGGTTAAAACAAATACTGAAAATTTACAGAAGTTTTCACCTCTTTTGTTTGAGTTTTCATCAAAATCTTATGAAATAGGTTAATATTAAAGAAAAAAGTATTGCACATACCTGCGAAATCGTGAAAATAGAGTTTCCTTGTCCACTAAAATCTTTTTCATCTCTTTTCCCTGCACAATTCTGCAAATGTTCAAACACTGCGTAAATATATAAATAGTGAAGATAAAGAAACTTATTAATTCTCCAAGACAATTGAACGTCTTCTTTTCTATCGTTTCATTTCCCTCTCGCTCTCTTGAATTTGATTCGCTGGTAATTTTTCTAGTGGCATTAGTCAATATAGTTTTTTGTTGGTTGCCATCACTTGAGTCTTTTGCTTAGTTATTAGAGTCAATTTGGTTTAATGAAACATTCAATGAACATATACATACATGTATGATTGATTAGTTACATTGAAATTTGCGGCTTGTATTTTACTATCGAATTTTGTAAGTGGATGGTGACAAATAGGTGAAATATTTAATAATTTGTACATATATCTCATAGTATTTTTTTTTTTGGTCAAACAAGAACAGAACATATTTTTTGGAATTTGTGGTTAACTAAAATTTAAAAGTTCAAACATACAAATAAAAAAAGGGAATTCAAAATTATGTGATTTTAATTTTTTTTTATCATTTCAGTAAGCGTTTTGAGACACTTGGAGGAGAAGAGAGTAGTAACCCATAAACTAGAAACATGAGTTTGGTCGGCAGTTTGCAACTCATCCTCCCGCCACGGCCGAGAAGCACCAAGTTCTTGTGCTCACTGAAAAACCCAACACAAGGACAAGAACAACTCTCTTCTTCTTCTCCTTCAATCTCTCTCTTACCAAAACTTATCTCGTTTGCTCTTGCTCTATCTCTTACCTCCTCTTCCTCTGCCTTAGCCATTCCTTCTCTCTCCTCTTCTCAGCCACTCACCACTCCTTTCACCCAATCCAAGTTTGTGCAGACTGGTCTTCTCAATGGGTTTGTTCCTCTTCTCACTCTCATTCTTGCTCTCCAAAACAAAGTTTATCTTGATTACTTTTCTTTTTTTATCATTTGTGTAGCAAAATTAGACCTTGCCCTTCCACGAACCCAGGTTGTGTATCGACGAATCCCACCTCATCTTCTTTCTCATTTCCATTGACGATCCCTGAAACCGATACACAGGATCCCATTCAGGTCTATTTTCTCTCCACACCATCTTCAACACTTGTCTCAATTTAGCCTCGTTTCTGATTAATTCTTTGCTCAACGCAGAAACTGAAAGAAGCAATAATGAGCACCCAGAAGAACCCCAAGTTTGTGGTTCTTGAAGATACTCCATACGGTAATTATTTGTCACCACAATTGATATATAATTTTGTCTTCTAACATTTAGGATTTGAGGAAAGATCATAACATTAACACGCAGTTGCATATATTTGCAGGGAGATATTTGGAGGCAGAGGTAGAAGGAGGAGGATTTAGCAGAGATGTGATGGAGTTTTTGGTGAAGCAAGATGTGGTTGCTTACAGGTGTATGGCCACTAAGGTTACCTTTGTGTATCCCTTCACCACTGCTTTTGGAGACTCCAAGGGACAAGAAGAGAGGATGAAGAAGCTCATCGACCAGCTTGGTTGGTATGCTCCTACCTTTGAATCCATGGAGTAAAAATATATAGGACATTCTTGCAAGCTGCAATGCTTTATCCATCATGCACTGAGTTTGTTTTGTCTTTTGAGAATCAAAGAAATCTATGAGCCTTTGCTCAAATGAGGCGCTAGATGATGTGTATTACAACTTCCAAATGTTATATTATAAGGGAGAGGAGGGATATTTCAGAAAAAACTTGAATAAGTAGTAATCGTAACAATTTCTTTATATTCATCTAAAATCAACAAAAATCATTAAAAACTAATCAAATGAATGTAAAATCATCAAAAACTTATAAAAACTCAAATTATTCAAAATGTTAATCAGTTAATGTTTTGTAATGCTAGTGGTTCCGTAATAGTGGGCTTTGGTCAAAACATGCAACGCGAGCCCACTATAGTTTTGACTTTGCTGACATGGCATAACTCCGTCGAGGATCGGTCTGTGATTGGCTCTTCAATATCCATGTGACGACGTTCCCTCTCTCTATTCTCTTTCTATATTTCTTCTTTGTCATTAATTTTTCCGAAAACTCGCATTTTGTTTTCTCTTCAGAACAAATAATAAAACGAAACACACAAAAAAAAAAAAAGCGACATGGACGCCATTGATTCCGTCGTCGATCCTCTTAGAGACTTTGCCAAGGACAGCATTCGCCTTGTTAAGCGTTGTCACAAGCCAGATCGCAAAGGTATTTATTAACCTTCCTTCTTCTTCTTATCCCACGGATTCGACGAGATCGGTCACGGATTTTACATTTTAGCTCGAAATTCTTGTCTTTAGATAGTAATTGTGAGCGATCTGTGTCTTTTCCACCGTCTGATCAGCTAGATCTATATGAATTGTTTGAGGATGGGAAGATCTGTGTATGAATTTGAATGGAGGAGAGAGATCCGTGTTTGATTCTGTGTTGCCTTTTTTTTTGTTGTTTGTAGAATTCACGAAAGTGGCAGTGCGTACAGCAATCGGGTTCGTAGTAATGGGATTCGTGGGATTCTTTGTGAAGCTCATCTTTATTCCCATCAACAACATCATCGTCGGTGCTACTTAGGTGATTCTCTTCACCAATTTCTTCTTTTTCCAGCCATGCATGAATCTATTTGTGATTTTTGTCTGATAATGATGATGATACATTGATCATTTTCATACTTTTTTCAATTGGTTAAGCTACTTCGTCTAGTACAGATTCATCTATATAACTAAGATGTTGTTTCCATGAATACTCTGCTCTGTCTCCACATTCTTATAAGTCCCATTCCCCAAGTCTAAAGCTGTTTTGTAGTGTTTGGACATCTAGTTGGATTGTTTATGCATATTATGGAGAATTCATTGAAGTAAAAGTTGGCTTTTTTTCTGTAGCATGTACTCATAGATACTCTCCGATCCTGGCTGGAATTGTTGATTTGGTTCAAAATGTGGGAAAGAATACGTCTACTTTTGTAAACTATTTGTTCCTATGCCAGTCTTTTGAAATTTGGTGGTAAAAAGATAACTGCTACAAGAGTTGGTTTTTTTTTTTTGGTTTCTGTCTGAGTCAAATATCTAATAGGTGGTTTGTTCGGAACTGCTGATAGACTTTTGATTCAATCATGAACATTACATTGCATTGGCTTTTACCATGTCCTTGTAATTTGGGTACTAGTCTTCTAAAGTTTGGTTTGACATGTTTGCAGATAACAAGGGAAGATAAAAGATGGACAAGGGTAGTTACAGCTTTGTTGTTTCATGAAGACACTTCACAGTTTTTTTTTTTGTTCAGATACTCAAAAAGAGGAAACATTTTGTGAACCTAGTTTAACCACACATTTGAGATCAATCTCTAGTAACTTGCATTCTGTTTAAATTATGTCACTGTTTATTTCGCTGTTCCGTAAGAAAATTGAAAGTTTTGGTGAATGTGTACGAGGCTAAACCTTAAGTTATGGTGACGAAACTTACAAAGTAAAAACCTTAAGGGCCTATTTAAGTTAACACCATAGATTGTTCCTCTCAGCAATCAAGAGAAGCTGTTTTTCTCTATATGGAGAATTCCCTGAACTGTTTGCCTAAATCTTGTCTCATTAGATCCATGATGAAAATATTTGTGTGGCTTTAAAAACAAAGAGCCTCGTTGATAGTATTACTCTTATTCACACTTTTGTCTTCGATTCACCACCAAAAGTCCCCCCTTAGAAGAGTATCATGGACAATTAATTCACCAAACTTGTTCACTCCATCGCAATCACTTAATACACGTTTATTTCTATTATTTGCTACTCCGGTGACATGACATATTGAAAAATAATAATCATGATATTAGGTAAAACCCAAACTAACAAGCAAATGACATGACAACAAGAAAAAAGAAGAAGAAGAGAATATTGGAACAGAAGCAATACGACCTTTCCTTGTTGTTCACTCGAAGATGACACAAACACATAATTGATGATCATTTAAAACCATAAACATTGAAATTCATTTGAGAACCTGATGATATTGAAAGAGAGGTGAGAATAGTAATAATGCCTCCCCAACTTCATCAATCTTCACCTCCTATTCTCAATCCTCTTCTTAGATTCTCACCTCCTTCCTCCCCTGATAATCCCAAACACCAGAGAGTATCAACGATTCAGATGCCTAAATTCACTGTGCGTAAGCTCATACCTCTTCTTATCTTCGTTCTTTCAAGCCTCTCCGTTCTCCGACTCCTCCGGATTTCATACAAGTCTTCATCCTCTGCGTCTCGATCCTCATCATCTTCAACCACATTTCGTTTGAGTCCGGCTGAATCCAGTGAGAAGACGGCTAATATGGGCCCAAACGCTCTCACGGAAAAGGAACTGAAGCTCTTATCAGATACCGTTACTCATAGATCCCCTTGCAACATTCTTGTTTTCGGGTTTGCACCTCAATACCTCATGTTATCTTCGATCAACACTAGAGGTATTACCGTCATTCTAGAAGATGAACCTGAAAAGATAATGATACCAAAAGCTGAAGTAAATCCGAACAACACAAGAATCTATAGCTTTAAATACCATCAGATGGAAGTGAAAAATGCTTACAAACTGCTTCGACATGCACGAGCCAATTCCGGATGCGCACCAAAAGTGAATAATCTACAAGGCTCATCAGACTGCAAAATGCAACTGCAGGATTTGCCACAGGAAGTACACAATACCAAATGGGATGTGATAGTAGTTGATGGTCCGCGTGGGGACAACTTCGAGGCACCAGGTAGGATGGGGAGTATATATACTGCAGCTGTGTTAGCAAGAAAGGGAAGTAGCAACTCAACAACAGATGTTTTCGTGCATGATGTGCACAGGACGGCTGAGAAGTGGCTCTCCTGGGAATTCTTATGTCAGGAGAATCTGGTTTCAGCTAAAGGGAACTTCTGGAAGTTTAGGATAAAAGGACAATCAAATGCATCCAGGTTTTGCTCACCAGAAACAGTCCTCATCAGATATTAGCAAAATTTTGTACATTTAAACAACAGAAACATTGTTGCTCACTTAGTTCGACACACTACTGCGTCTTTATCTCATACCAGTGTAGGGAAACATATTCGAAATTAACGCAATTTATTGTAGAGTGTACAAATGTCATTCTAAATATGTGTGTCCAACTAGAAAATGGATACAGTTTATTGAAATGGCCACAATCTATGCACCACACAGCAAAAGTTATTTCAATTTATCTCCCAAAGGAAGATCAGATAGTCGCAGAAAGGCCTTCTCAATGGTCAATGCTATATTTTATTACTGCATAAGCTACGTGAAACTTTAACCCTTTAAAGTCTCCCGTACCATAAACAAAATTTATCCATTTTTTCACACTACTTCAAAGGAGTATCCAGGATCACATACCTCTAAAATTCTATCATAGCTCAACATGAAAAACAAGATACACTGGAGCAGGATCTCCAATAAACGAGGATTATAAAATTCCTACATGAGATAATCCTTACTAGTTGCCATTTTGGATGTCAGCCACAGCCATTACTCACCACTCTCTCTTCGCTGCAATCACAATTAATGTATATACATAAGGCCACTGAAAAATTATTTCTCGAAATAAAATTTAAACAGTATCAACAAAGCAAATATGTTCTTCACCAAAAAAAAAACAAAGCAAATATGTATCCATTTATCTTGAGTATAAAAGGAACACATGATATGTGGCTAAAAGAAATATCAATCTAAACAAATATGTTTGAGGATTAGAAAAAAATAGTAACTGACATGAGACCAGTCATTTGTAATTCAATATTATAAAGGCAAAACTTACCGCCCGTTTGCTAATGTACGGTTGTATTTTGACTGGTTCTGATTCTGTAGAGACGCTTTCAGTTTTTACTAACTTCCGTTTTTCCTTCTCAAATTCTTTTCTGGATTCTTTTCGAGTGCCTGATTGCCAAACCCGACCAAAGTTGGGAAGCCAGTCTGCATCAATATTACTATTCGTTGCATGTCCACTTTTCTCCATTTCTATCTCTATCTTTCTCCTTTCAGCCCATGCAGCGCCAACCCTATTAGGGTTCAGATTACAATTCTTCCTAGGTACCTTTGCCTGAACGCAGGCCATGTCTGACTGGTTTAGTTGAATATTAGAAACATTCCCATCATTTGCAACAAGCCATGGTGGAGGAGCTCCAGAGTGAACGTTCCCGCCAGCATCGGTGGAATGTGAGGACGAAATGCTAGACATGCCCACCACACCTGACAAGAATAAAACTCATGCCATTAACGTGCATATCAGATTGGCTACATCAATGAAATTCATAGACCTAGACAATGAAGCCCTAATCATGAAATTAACACGACGCAGATCAAATTTGAACACCAAGCAGAGGCCTACCTGGAGGATTGTAACTGCCCTCAATTTGTTTCTTATCCTGGCTCACCTGATAATTCTAGATGAAGACAATGTCAGTCACAGGCTCATATATTGATATATATAAGTTTGGACTTAGATAATGAGATAGCTCTGGAGGTATGATGTAATTGAACCCATGGAAAAAAGAAGCCCAAACAGTGATGGAACTTTTAGGATAAAAAACAACACACAAAGGTATTTCTTACCCCAAACTTTAGAAAAAAATCATTCTGCCTAAAATACCTCTCATATATAGAAGATTTTTGATGTGCCAATTACGCATATAACACATAAGAATTTCTGAACCAAGGAATACTTATGACCATAATCTTTACAAAGCATGGCCTATAACCAAAATTCTGAGCCAAAGAATCCACATGATGAAACTAAGAGGAAGCATCATATAGATGCACCATAATCAGAATATCAATGTTACTATGACTGAAACCCACCTCTTGGGTGCAATAATTACCGTTGCCCGAGTAATCCTTGCTGCTACAAGGAATGGAATGTTTGCCAAACCCGTTCCCTATAAAATATAATTACAGAGACAATTATGTACAATTTGAAAAACACTTGAAAACTGACAAATTATGGAGGTCGGAATTAACCAAAAATACCTGCTACATGACATAGAGGGAGGTGGGAAGCATCCATGTTCAGATATGAACCATAATGTGTAACTCCAGGAATCTCTGAAAGTGATATCTGATACTCATTCGTATTATACTGTAAAGGCATAACATCATTTGAATTATATGAATTTATATGGTGTGCAGGAACTTTTTCAATTCTATCCATAGTTTCAAACGCAAGTTTAGTGTGGATATCATTAGATGTCCCAGATAGCTGTCCACAGGAACCTTTAAAAGAGGATGCATCTTCATTTCCCAATGACTGGCATTTTTTTTCCCACTGCATCCAGCATAGATAGAATGTCATTAGAGATTTCAACGAATAACACGGCTACACTCTTAAACCGCAAAGGTTGTGCACCAGGTTTTTAGGTTTTAAAAATAATACGGCCACAATTGACAACTGTTAAATAGAAGAGCATAATCCTCAAGTATATAATGCATACCTTAGCTACATCAGCTTCTGAAATTCGGAAATCGTCAACGCAATCCATTGCTGGGCCATTTTTCGATAGAAATTGCTTGATATTTTTAAGATGGTCGGAACTAGCGAAGTGATTGATTGCCTTAGAACTGATAAAAGGTGTCCAAACAAATTATTATGTGTAGTCAAAAAATTTCTCATTAGAAGACACTTCAATTTTCTCCTTCCATGAGATACAATCCCAGTTTTCGAGCACAGTTACTATAGATACAACAATTCTCTCGCGCACTCTGATTCTACATTCAATTCAAGTACCATAGCTACTATGATCGCACAACAATGAATCCAAATCGAACAAACAGACTCAAATCCAGAGGAAAAAAAAGGATAAGGGAATGTCATACCAGGCGAAGGAGCTACCAAGCTCAACGATGTCCTCATCGCAGAAAACACACCAAACACGGTTTTGCGACTGCTCTTGTGGCCGTAGAACGCTAGGATTCTTCAGGAAGAATCTGACGTCAGCTATCTTCGATCGGAATCGATCAAGTAAGGAAGAGAGGGAACTTTTGTGGCGAGGGAAGTACTTGTGGCGCGAGCCTTGGTCGTGATGCAACCGGCACACCTTGCAGAACTCGATTTCGCTCTTTTTTGATGGTTTCTTCATCTTCTTCGTCTTTCCAAAGTGACCCCAATTAGGGATGCGATTACAAAAGGCCTTTAAGCCACGGTGGCCAAATTTAACAGTCAACTTTATTTAATTCCCGGTTAAAAGCCGGTCCGACCCCGATCAGCCTAAGTCCGAATAAGGAAAATCCAAAAAAATTTCGTTCATTGAATTTTTTAAAACTGTTATTAACTTATAATTATCATTAAGGAAAAAACTGTTAGAATATTAAAGAGAAACTGTTAGAATATTCCTGACTACGATTTGATTCGATAGACATGAATCAATTTTGTAAGATTCTTAGATATATCCTCTGATTATATAATAAATAGACCTTTCTGGTTTTGTTTTTCAGTCCCAGCAAAGGAAAAACAAAATTATGGGTAGAGGTTTAGTTGTGCTTCTGTGTTTACTCGCACTGTTCAGCTCGAGCTTATGTTTGGATCATGCCAATGGTCGTGGAGATCAAGCACTGGCTCAGATTAATATTTACGAAACAAGTCTTGCTTTGGATAGTTCTGTCAAACTTCACGCTTCCCCTCAAGTTCTTGGTTCTCAGGTTCCAAAACATATTCTTTCTTCATGTTATTGTTCTTCTCGGATTCTACTTTTACATATATATATATATATATATATATATATATATATATATATATATATATATATATATATTCTTAAGAGATGGTTAATTAATGTCAAAAATTTAAAATTTTGTATGATAGTCTGAGTTTAGCTGTTCTAGTGAGAGAATCTGTCTTCTTGATTTCAACTTTAAGTATCTCAGAAACCAAACTTTAATCAATTGTTTTTCATGTCATGACTCTGATCTGCAGGGTGAAGATACTGAATGGGTAAATCTTGCTATCTCAAACCCCAAGCCCACTTCAGACGATTGGATAGGAGTTTTCTCTCCAGCAAAATTCGAGTATTTTTTCTAATCTACATCTGTGTTTGTTAAATTGTGAATGTGCCTTTTGTGCATTATTATTAACTCGTCTTTGTTGTTAGCTCGGGTAACTGTTGGCCAACAACTGGTGGCAAAGAGAAAACTCCTTACATATGTTCATCTCCCATCAAGGTTTGGTTTATCACATAGACATAGTGACCTGTGATTTCTTGATTTAAGTCCCGGTGTAACATTCCTTTCATTTTTTTTTTCTATTGGCAGTACATGTATTGTAACTCTCACCCTGACTATATGAAGTCCGGGAATGTGATTCTCAAGTTCCAGATTATAAATCAGAGAGCTGATATCTCTTTTGCACTGTTTTCCAGTGGGGTTAAAACTGTAGGTTAACTATAGTTTTTCTCAGTTTAGTATTTTATTTTGTATACCAAGTGGACTTATTGATCTTTTGAATATCACAGCCACACCTTCTCGGTGTTTCGAATCCTGTAGCTTTCGTCAATCCTAAAGCACCCCTATACCCGCGTCTTGCATTAGGGAAGAATTGGGACGAAGTAAGTTTTTCCATAACTTGACTCAATGGCCTTGGGACTTGAGAAAGATTTAGCTGCTATGTTTGGGATCTTTAGCTAAAACATGCTTATTTTTGAGCTTTTGATAGATGACCGTGACATGGACTAGTGGTTACAACATAGATGAGGCTGTTCCATTCATTGAATGGAGTGCAAAGGGACTTCCAGCTAGAAGATCACCAGCTGGAACATTGACCTTTAACAGAAACAGCATGTGTGGTATGTCCTCTTTTCTATATCTTTCGATGTGATCTCTGAGGCAACAGTCCTGGATTATCTGAAACTATTCATCTGGATCATTCTAAAGATTTGATTTTTGGATGCATGTTATGTTTACATAGGTAATCCTGCTCGCGGCGTTGGTTGGCGTGATCCTGGTTTTTTCCATACTGCTTTCTTGAAAGAACTTTGGCCAAACCGCGAGTATGAAATCTTTACTTTGCTTCTTTTTCGTCTAAACCAAGAATACTAATATAGTTTTCTAACTGTAACTCCCAATCCTTTGGTTTCCAGATACATATACAGGCTAGGCCATGACTTGGTCAATGGTTCAACAGTTTGGAGCAAGAATTACACCTTTGTGTCCTCTCCTTATCCCGGACAAGACTCGAAACAACGGGTCATAATATTCGGTGACATGGGAAAGGTATCTTTTAGGCCATTATGATCTCCATAAGCTCTCAGACTATTATCTCATAAGGATTTCCTTGATTGAAATATGTTTCAGGGTGAACGAGATGGCTCGAATGAGTACAATGATTACCAGCCTGGATCCCTCAACACAACAGACCAAGTCATCAAGGACTTGAAGGACATTGACATTGTTTTCCACATTGGAGATCTCACTTATTCCAATGGGTATCTCTCCCAGTGGGATCAGTTCACAGCTCAAGTCGAGCCCATTGCTTCTACTGTCCCCTACATGATTGCGAGGTTAGTCAACAAGAAAAGCTTTACCATTGTTCTTCTCCTCTCTACTCTTGCAGTGCTTTAAGTTATTCCTTTTTCACTACAGTGGCAACCACGAGCGTGATTGGCCAGACACTGGATCTTTCTATGCCGGTACAGACTCTGGAGGAGAGTGTGGTGTTCCTGCAGAGACCATGTTCTACTTTCCTGCTGAGAACAGAGCTAAATTCTGGTAAAGTTGTTAACCATTGACATTTTCTTGAAGTTCCCGAACAATATATCTTACATATTTCGGTTGAATGGGCAGGTACAGAACAGATTACGGAATGTTCCGCTTTTGTGTAGCAGACAGTGAACACGATTGGAGAGAAGGCACAGAGCAATACAAATTCATTGAGAATTGCCTTGCCACTGTTGATAGAAAGACTCAGCCTTGGCTCATTTTTATAGCTCATCGTGTCCTCGGTTATTCCACCAATGATTGGTATGGCAAAGAAGGAACCTTTGAAGAGCCTATGGGAAGAGAAAGCCTACAGAAACTGTGGCAGAAGTACAAAGTTGACCTTGCTTTCTACGGCCATGTCCATAACTATGAGCGAACCTGCCCCATTTACGAGGTTTGATCCCATCCTAAATTGCTCGATTTCCGTCTCATAGATGTAGTGTTTTCTCTGAGCTCTTCACTTACCTTTTTGTTTTCTATTGCAGAGCCAATGTGTGAACAATGATAAGGATCACTACTCAGGGACCTTCAAAGGAACCATCCACGTTGTTGTTGGTGGTGCAGGAAGTCACTTGTCTCCCTTTAGCTCACTGGTACCCAAATGGAGTTTGGTCAGAGATTATGACTTTGGGTTTGTGAAGTTGACTGCTTCTGATCACTCATCACTTCTCTTTGAGTACAAGAAGAGCAGCACTGGCCAAGTGTATGACTCCTTCAACATCTCTAGAGATTACAGAGATGTTTTGGCTTGCACTCATGATAGCTGCGAGCCCACCACATCAGCTTCATGATCTTTTTTTTTTATACATAGTTTTCCTTCAAACAATTAGCTTCTCAGTATTTTTTTTAATAGGCTTTTACGCAATTCTATTGAACAATATTTATTGATTTCTTCAATTGCAGGGATTTACTCTGCACACAATTTAAGTAATGATTTTTTTTTTTTCTTCTCATTTTCATAAAACAAACTATCTTACATCCTAACAATTGTGTGAGAAGCCAAAAAAAGGTGGCTACGAGTTTAAAAATTTGCTTCCCTCTGTTTGCACGAACACAACACAGTGACCAAACAATATACTTTTGACTCTCTTCTCGTCAATCGGACATCTCCACTTCAGGGGGCTTGTCTTGTTGGTTCTCATGTGAAATCGTAGATGCAAGATCTTCTACTTTCAGAGGAGAATGTCGGGCCATATATTGAAACATGATCTGCAAGATGGATGGGAAATACTTGAGTCAATTCATAAACAGTATTCTCCTAAAGTTAGTATGCCATATGCAAAGAAAGAGAGTACCAACCTTGGAATAGCTATCAGCAAAGGCTCGGGCTCGATTTGACACACCGGTATATTGCAAATCCGCCTTCTCAAATCTACCATCCACACACTTCAGCCCTCCATCGCCAATGGCAAAGCGAATAAGACTTCCTGAAGACAGTCCTGACTGTAATACCCAACATGGCACGAACCACACATTTAGCAGAGTAACACAATGTGAAATCATTCTTAAGCTAATTTAAATGCAATCTGATATTACGATTACACGGGGTCTAAAACAAACAGAGCAGTACTAATCTAGAGAGTAGAGGGTTCTGTTGGTCCTAGAAAGAAGATATTACTAAGCAATATCACTAACTTACCAGTACATGGAGTCTATAATAAACATAGAGACAGTAGTTCAAAAAGAAGAATATATATATGTTCCTACAATTTTCAGTTTGTCCAAATGCTGATCATATAATCTTGGTTTAAAGGCTGATCAGGAAATAAAAATCACTCTATTATATTTTTGACATACCTGTTTGACAAAATCTGCGTTTAAGCAACTGAATGGTACAGGTGGATCATCTGATGTTACAAGTTTTCCTTCTTCTTGCAACTCCAAGACTATCTGCTCTTACAAGATACAGAGAGAATGATATGTTAAGACTATATAAATGGGAGTGTAATAATAAACTCAATTTTATGAAAAACCATGAGCTGCACATTAATGTCAAATCCACTTACATGTTGTTGATTTGGAACTTCTCCATTGTTATCTGTATCGATGACATACTGACTACAACTCTCATCCTTCCATATCAACACCAGAGGAGTATTTCCAGTATGATAATGTGCATGTCTGCGAATTACATGAACTTTAGTGGGGAAAGAGTCAAAGAAGAACACTAGACTAATGAGACATTGATATCATGATACTACCACGAGTATGAAGCAACCAGTGATATTATACAGTAACATTCATAAAAAAAGAGGATAAAAGATCTGTCCTCCTTCTAATATAATCATCATTCATCATAACCAATGGTTTTGATACGAAATTGTTAAGTCTGGAAGAACTATTTTAACAAGAGGTTCCCGGTTATCGACCCTACTGCCCAAACTAAAACCCTATACCATCATAACCAAATGCATTTCCTAATTTCCCTTCAAAACCTTCAGCTCTCAACTAACGACTTAAGGTATTTTGCTGAGATGGAAAAGCTACAATTAACAACACAACTCCTAGGCTAGTTACAATAGTCCTGCACTAGATTAACCAGAAAACAACTGATTTGCAACTACAAACCTTAAGGCACCCAAACTTTTTGCAAGTGCAGACTGCAGACAGCAGGAGAAGGAAAGATGGGAACACTTACTTGTTATAAAACAACAATCCATCCTTGACATAAGGTAATGATCCTGTATAAGCTGAGTGAAGTCCACTTTGGTCGCAGTTATAAAAAGGAACAGCACTGAACCTGAACTTGTGGTAAAAGGAAGGCGGATCACAAGCACCAGTCTCAGCAAGTTTCGATTGCATCCAAAAGAACCTGAACTCTGCTGTACATTCATAAAGCGAGTAACCCCTCCAACAAACCATATCAATCACATAGTACGTTTGATCCGACTGCGTAAAAAAACAGTAACAACCACCTCCTGGTAAGATAAAATCTGAGGATAAACCGATAAATCAGTGAAAAGGAAGTATCTTTAACCTCGTGAAAGATACAGTCTAGTATAGAATACGAATTTGCGGGTCCAGAAGCGCCTTTTTTCCTTGCACCACCAGGCAATGCAGAAGGGAAATGATGCAAGATAGATCCATTGCGTACTCTACTAACAGTTGTTCCATCAGATGAAACTACAAAACATCTTTTCCCAGCTGGTCTTGCTAACACATACCTAAAAAACCAACACATTCTCATAACCAGCCATTTATTTAGCAAGAGAAGCAGCAGCAACGGATTAAGAATGAGAAAGAAGCAGTACCAATCTTGGCTTAAATTATCAGGGACGTCGATCATCCATTCAGGTAACATTAGCTGCCTTGCGAACCACTTGCGTGCCTCAGGTCCTCTGAGCCTCGAAGCTTGACGAACGTCAAAGTTACTAGATTCCGATTCGGTTCCTTCGTCGAGCTCAGGCACGGCTTCAGATAGTATCTCCGGGTCAACATCGGGGGAGGAGGATTGGAGCGAGATTACGGAAGAGGCGAGGTTTCGGGCTCGCTGCTGAGCGTCACTGCGATGCTGAGTCTGACGGAGAAGGGAAAGCTCTCGGCGTTTCTGCTGATCGGAGATTGGTCGTCGTTTGAAAGGACGGCGAATTTCATGAGGCGCCATTTTGGGAAGAAGGAGGTTGTAGTGAGTTCGAGCAACCACGTTCTATTGGTCGGACCTTTATTGCTTAGTCCAGGCTCTCCTGTGTCATATGGACTGGTTCGACCTAAAAGCTCTGAGACTTTAGCTTTGGCGGTTGAAACTTAAAACCAGGGGTGGGTAAAACTGAACCGGATCGGTTTGGTTTTGGTTACATTGAGTAAACAATTCGGTTCCTGATTAAGATAACTAAACCGTTTGGTTTAGGTATGTCATTAATGAATCTCTATATGATTTTTTTCCCACCGAGAAAGGCCTATATATACACAAATTTACACAAGCTCTCACATTTCTTGTTACGTTCTTTCAAAATCCATCTCTCGCATTGATTCTTCAACTCTCAAAGAATCGCAAGTCTTGCTATTGAAAGAATCGGAAGAAAGAAAAGAGATCAAGAAGAGTCATGGTGTCTCCGGGACGGAGTGAATCTACCTCCGGCGACAACAATTCACCCTCGCCCGACGGAAGCAGCGACAAGAGACCTTCACCTTCTCCAGCAGATAAATCTCCATCCAAACGCCAAAAGGTTTTTGATCGGAGACCTTACTTCTTCTCCATCTCTCCGTGCCATCTGGAGCTTCTGGTTTGAACAATTTTGGCGATTTTGGGGATTTCCCTTTTCGTTTCAGTTGGAAGGTGGCGGCGCTTCGGCGGCTAAAGAAACCGATACACTACCTCCTTCGGATTCTGGTAAATGCGTGTTAGGCGACAATACTTCAACCTCCGAAGACGCCAAGATTGATGCCTATGCTGTGGCTGTTACGACGGCGCAACCACCACCGGTTGCGGAAGGTCCGTTGCTCTTATTCTTGTTCGATCTTTATGCTCTTGGACCCAATTTTTATTCCTTTTGAGATTGCTTTTTTCAATTCGTCTTTGTTTTCTGGTTTGGATTGTAGGCTCAACACCGATTTTGGAAGAGAATGCATATTTTGCAAGATGGATATACTTACACAGTAAGTTTGAGTTCCCGTGGTGTCGATTGATATCACAGTCTGCACAGGTGAATTAATCACCTATGGGATCTAAGTGTCTTTATATATCTAACGCTTTTGTGGATGCAATATCCTGACAAATTGAGCTACTTATGAATTTTCAGTATCCAAGCATTGAAATTTTTCAATCAACCTACACTGTTGGTTCTAGTGTAACCTGCTCTTTCACATTCGAAGACCGGGAACTCAGTTCATACTTGTTCAAGATCACAAGAATTCAGGTATTTGTTTTGTTTCCTTGAATGTTACGCTCAAACATTAGCACTGCTGGATTTTGAGGTTTGTTCCTGTTTCGTACAACTCAGTAATAAACTGGCCTATGCAATGCCTGCTTGTTTTTCCTCTTTCTCGTGTGTATGATTTTTTCTACTTTTGAGTTGTTTGTGGAGATATGAGAACTCCTTATGCAGTATGTATTCTCATTGTTTGTGCACATGTTCAGCGCAAAGGCAATGTTGTAGCGGTTCTAGAGACTACAGGAAAGAGGGGATATGTGTTGGTAAACAGAATATATGTCGAGAAGAAAGTCAACCAAGTGCTAAACTCTGGTGACGAAGTGGTTATTCGTTTTAGCAGGAACACCTATGCTTTCGTATCCTCATGTGATTCCACTTTTTTTTTCCTGTATAAAAATGTGCAAGAAGAAAATATTCCTTCAGTTTTAAGATGATATCTCCATATGAATACACATAAGTTTTCCCCTTAAATTCTATCCAGATATATCAGCAACTGCCTAAAGTTCCAGCAAAAGCTGGTTCAGTTCAGGTTCCTGCAGGAAAGTTTCTAGAGTTAGAGAGAGAGGCAAGAGATCCAACAGGTAGTTCAATTTTTTCATCGCTTAAAAGCTTGAAGCAGGACTTATCTCGTCGAAAATCATCAAGCCATGAATCCAGTAAGAGCCACCAAGCGCCAGAGTCTGTGGTCCAAGTTGACGGCATGGGAGCAGTCAGTAGCCACAACCAAGATTCCAAAATGCAGGTAAATACTCTATGTTTCTCTTGTACCCTGGCGTCATCAACAGCATTTTGCATTACATTAACAAAGCTGGTATCAGATATTAGATGAGATAAACGAGGTGACAAGTAAGTCACAACAAGCTTCAACATCAGGCAATGGTCTGCAATCTGCAATAGTCAGAGAAGGCATTCAAGCTGGTATTGTTGAAGGCGAAAACTTGGAAGTTTCAATCAAAACTTTTCCCTATTATTTGAGGTATAGGACCAAGTCATATATATTTTTTTCAGGTATTTATGCAGAGTTAAGATATGTGCATGTGAATCTTCGATTAAGAATCTGTTTATATCATCATAGAATTTTGAGGTCTAATTCCGCCCTTGGTTTTTCTTTCTCTGAACTTTGAATTATCATGAATTTTAATTCCCTTTCTGATGTATTTGAGTCTATCCTTCCCTTTGCAGTCATTCACACGAATCATCTGTTTTCTTGTCTTTGCATTTGAGTTCTAAAGTACTGTTCTCTGTTTTTTGTGTATGCTGACTAAGGTTTTCTTTTTGCAGTGAACATACAAAGGCTACCTTAATACATACTTCATTTATACATCTGAAGAAAAAAGAATATGCCCACTTTGTCTCCGACATGACCCATCTGAATCCAAGGATATTGCTTTCTGGTCCCGCAGGTTTGTGTGGTATCTTGCTTGTGTGGTTCCTGTAATTCTTTTAGGCGGGCAACATCATTTTCGCTTTTTGTTGGAATTGTTTCAGGGTCTGAAATATACCAAGAGACGTTAGCTAAAGCACTTGCCAATGACCTGGAGGCGAAATTGCTAATATTTGACAGCAATCCAATTTTGGGGGTAAGATATTGTATGTGTTACTTAAATATAAGCTGTTTTCTATATGATTGTTAGTTTACAAGAGGAAAGGTTTTGCATCTACACTTGTTTGTCTATTTTCCTGATTACGGGTATGAGATTACCGCAAGTAATTCCTGGTGCATCCGTTCTGCAATTTCCTGCAGGCTCTGGCTGCTAAGGAAATTGAGTCACTGAGGGATGGACTTGCTTCTAATAAGTCATGTAAGCTTCCCAATCAGAGTATTGAGCTCATTGATCAAGGGAAAAGCCCGGATTTGTCAGCTGGTGGAGGAGTTGCTTCTAGCCCTTCTCCGGCTACTTCTTCTAGTTCAGACTCACAGCTAAATTTGGAACCGGAGACTTTGCCTCTTTCAGTGAATCATACTTTGAAGAAAGGCATGCCCCATTACATTGTCTGCAACAGAAGATTCTACTTCAATCTTCTTGGATTTCTGGTTGGCGGATACTTCATTTGAAAAAAAAACACTTGCAGGTGACAGAGTAAAATTCGTCGGTACTGAGTTGTATTCGGGGTCATCTACCTTAGGCTTAAGGTTTGCTTCTTATAATAATACTGATATTGGTTTCTATATAGTATGAATATGAATATTTGTCTGCTCTGATGAAGAAAGTGTCTTGTTTTATTAGAAAAGCAAAGATTTATTGATGAATTACTTTATATACATCCAAAAAGTATATATCTTATATTTTATCTAAATTTCTGGATTTTTGTGAGTAAGACTTACGAATTTATCTTCTTACCTTTTTCTCTTGCCTTTTTATATCCACTCTTTTAACTTAATGATCCACTTTTTACTTAATCTTATTCAGGGGACCTCCTAAAGGGATTACAGGGAAAGTAATTTTAGTATTTGATGAGAATCCTTCAGCTAAAGTGGGTGTTAGATTTGATAAGCCAATACCTGATGGAGTTGATCTTGGTGAACTGTGTGAAACAGGACATGGGTTCTTCTGCAAAGGTACTTCTGCTTCATGTTCAGTAGTCCATTGGTTACTGGCTCAGCAGCTCTTGTCTCACACAATGTTTCTTCTGTTTTTTATAGCTACTGATCTGAAGTTCAAAAGCTCGAGTTCTGAGGCTCTAGCTAAATTACTTGTTAACACATTGTTTGAGGTACTTCTCAGTTGCAAAGTAATGAATTTTTTTTTTTCCTTGTGCTTATATTTTTATCTGTTTCCAGGTTGTCCATACTGAGAGCAGAACTCGTCCGTTAATTCTATTTTTGAAAGATGCTGAGAAATCTGTTGTTGGAAATTCCGATTTGTACTCTGCGTTCCAAATCAGACTTGAATATCTCCCAGACAACGTAATTGTGATCGGTTCACAGACACACTCTGATCATCTCAAGGAGAAGGTAGTTACTGTGCGATGCTATGCTTTGCTCAATTTGCAAAAGTTATTAAAATCATTGCCACAATATCTTTTTCAGCATTTTCTGTATTTCATAGGTTGAAGTAGACTTTTATATTGAGTTTACATTAGCTGTTATCAGTTCTGTTTTCTAGCCGGCTTTCAGTTCTGAAACATACTGAAAGTGATTGTTCTTTCAACTGGCTAGTGTGAATCCGGAGGGTATCCCTTTTCTTATAGAGTGGGACTCATGTTACTTTCGCTCTATATTCCTAGGATATTGGACGACAAAAGGAGCAAGGGAATGAAGTCCCACAGGCAACAGAACTTCTAGCGGAGCTCTTTGAGAATAAAGTTCCTATTCAAATGCCACAGGTCTGTTACTCTGTTCTACTACACATAAGCATTCTTGTCTGTTTTCTGTCAAAGAAACCTTATACTTGATGGAGCTAATTATCCCCAGGATGAGGAACTTCTTACATTGTGGAAGCATCAAATGAATCGTGATGCTGAGATTTCGAAAGTGAAGGCTAATTTCTATCACTTGCGCATGGTATGTCTTCCATCTGAATATATATGGTATGATTTTTGGCTGTATTCTTGAACTTAATATGTAATTAGAAAAAGTGAAATCTATTTTCAAAACTTCATTGCTTGACTCTCAAATCTCATGAAAATAATGTATTGATAGCAGACCTTCTAGAATATGTTACGTTTTCTCTGGTGTACAAGATTCCATAATTGCATCTCAATTCAGGTGTTAAGACTATGTGGTCTGGGATGTGAAGGAATTGAGACACTGTGCATGAAGGATCTCACACTTCAAAGCGACAGTATGTTTTCTCTTTGTTCGGCATAATTGACAATTTAATGCTTTTCCAAAGAGTTGACTTTTCCTTTCTGCTTTAGGTGCAGAAAAGATCATTGGATGGGCTTTTAGTAACCATATAAGCAATAATCCTGATACTGATCCAGCTAAGATTATTTTGTCTCGTGAGAGGTAATTGGCAGCTTGTCCCTGTGCATTACTGCTCATAAATATCTGTCTCAGTGTATTGAGTGCGAACTTTGGATCCTTGCAGCATAGAATTTGGAATAGGACTCTTACAGGGTGATCTTAAAGGTTCTAGGAGCTCAAAGAGGTCTCTCAAGGTTTGCAAATTTCCTTGGAAATTGAATTGTTGTTTACTTATTTTCATTATGGCAATTGCTCCTATTATGTAAGAACTGTTAATTTTCTCTGTTGCTTTTAGGACATTGTGACAGAAAATGAGTTTGAAGAGAGGCTTCTAAGTGATGTAATCCTGCCCAGTGACATTGATGTTACATTTGATGACATTGGGGCACTTGAGAAAGTCAAAGATACCTTAAAGGAACTGGTTATGCTCCCTTTACAACGGCCTGAACTTTTCTGCAAGGGGCAATTAACAAAGGTGGTTCTCTTCTCCGCATTAGGTTTCAGAAAACTCCCATAATTTTGACTAGGTCCTGCCTCGGGTTTATCACAGATATATGAAGGAAACACCTTTTCTTTGCGATACTTACATGATTTTTGTGGAGTAATGATGATATTAGTTAAACTAGCTGCTAATTTGTCTTTCTCAATAATTCTTCTCTCCTAAATATTAGTTGTTAACGTTGTGCATTGGTGGCTTCTTAATCAGTCCGCTCTTGTTCTTATTTATGCAGCCTTGTAAAGGAATTCTCTTATTTGGACCTCCTGGTACTGGAAAGACCATGCTTGCAAAAGCAGTGGCAAAGGAAGCTGTTGCGAACTTCATCAACATCTCAATGTCAAGCATCACATCTAAGGTAACTGAATACCCTATGAAAAGTTAGACTCTACCGATTTATACACGGGAATCTCTTGCTCAAACTTGTGTTCTTCTCAATACTGCAGTGGTTTGGTGAGGGTGAGAAGTATGTCAAAGCTGTCTTTTCTTTGGCCAGTAAAATGTCCCCTTGCGTTATCTTTGTGGACGAGGTAATTTCTCATGGTTAATTCCTGGGCGAATTTTGCTTGTAATCAGAGCACTGACAGTCTTACAATATTTTACTGTCTTGCAGGTGGACAGCATGCTAGGCCGAAGAGAAAACCGACAGGGACATGAAGCCATGCGGAAGATGAAAAATGAGTTCATGATGCATTGGGACGGTCTAACGACTAAGGAAATGGAACGTGTTCTGGTTCTTGCAGCCACAAATCGGCCTTTTGACCTTGATGAGGCTGTCATTAGACGGTTGCCCCGTAGGTAAATTATAAATCGCTTCCTTGTTGGACTAAGCTTTTTTGTCAAATTGACATGACAGTTATAGGTTGTGAAAACTTTGTGGTATTGACTTCTGCAGGTTGATGGTGGGACTACCAGATACTTCAAATAGAGCGTATATATTAAAGGTTATACTTGCAAAAGAAAACGTGTCCCCTGGTTTGGACATTAATTGGATTGCTAGTATGACTAATGGATATTCTGGAAGTGATCTTAAGGTAAATTCCTAGCAATTCCATTAACCTTTGTTATGGTCTGCCAAAAATGATAAGAAAGGCAAAGTAATGCTCATATTATTTTCTCTTTTGGTGCGCTCAGAATCTATGTGTTACTGCTGCCCACCGTCCAATCAAGGAGCTAGTGGAAAAGGAAAAAAGAGTAAGTTTTCTTTGTACTGAACCAAGAAAACTTGATGTTGCCTAAACATGTCTATAGAATAAAATTTGCTCATGATGGGATTTTATATGGCAGGAGCGAGATGCTGCTCTGGCTGAAGGCAAAGTTCCTCCAGCTCTAAGAGGAAGTTCTGATCTCCGAGCTTTAAACATGGAGGATTTCAGATACGCACATGAGCAGGTAAGATTTGCTTATGTTGTTTTTCTTTACTATAATTTATTTCATATCGTGTTTGGGCTCAGTAAACTATTAACCATTGTCATTGGTGTTGAATCAGGTGTGTGCAAGCGTCTTATTAGAGTCTGCGAACATGACAACGCTTCAACAATGGAACGAAATCTACGGGGAAGGTGGATCCAGAAAGCAGCAATCATTCAGCTTCTACATGTAGGAGTGGGATTGACTATATTTTAGAAACCATAACTCAATTTTTTAGTCTCAAAAAGAGCTCCTGGTTGCAAGCAGAATGCGTTGAATATAATTTTTTCAAGTGAATAGAATAAAACAATAAGTGAAATAGGTTGAATTAGATGTTTTGTGTCCTATTGCTGCTTAGGGTAGTGAGTTCTGACCGGATAACCGGTTTTAGTCGGAATTTTGATACTTGTTTGAACCTTACAGTCAATACAAAATGTTTACTCAGCAACTTTTTCGATCTATCGAACTATCTTTGCTGAAATCTTAATTGAGATTACAACCGGTTTAGTTGGTTGGTAATAAGAATTTGCACCCTAATCTTGCCAAACCAAAGATTGCAAGAAATCTCCTCCACCTTGATTAGTTGATTTTGATTACGGTTAACTTGTCAATTAACACCGTGTTAGCTGGAATATCTTGTTAATAATTTTTCATAGATGATATCCATATCCCGAATGATATTAAATCTGGCGACAGAAAAAACTTTTTCGACATTTTCTCTTGACTTTTCAAATAAACATGCATCGTATATAACCAACTTTGAACTTACACAGGCACAGGGTCGACCAAACCGAGGTATTTGATCCTCCGGTTTGGTTAGATTGAGCAGGCACTTGTGCCGACACGCAGTTCATCTCTATAACTTGGATTCGGCAAGCAGTCGACGCAGTTGTATAACAGAAGCATTTCCCACTCAGAGGAAGCAGCGAAGCGAAAAATGTCAGATCTGGTCGCGACGTCGCCGTCGCCGTCTTCAGCGCCGAGATCCGCCACAGACTTCTTCTCCGATCCTTACGACTCTCATCCTCTATGGTTCAAGCCTTCCCTCTTCCTCTCCCCTAACTTCGACTCCGAGTCCTACATCTCAGAGCTCCGTACATTCGTTCCCTTTGACACTCTCCGATCCGAGCTCCGGTCACACCTTGCATCCCTCAACCGCGAACTTGTTGATCTCATCAATCGAGATTATGCCGATTTCGTGAATTTAAGCACTAAGCTCGTAGATATCGATGCAGCTGTGGTCCGTATGCGCGCTCCGCTCCTTGAGCTCCGTGAGAAGATCACTGGATTTCGTGGATCTTTGGAGGCAGCACTTTTTGCACTAAGGAATGGATTGCAGCAGCGCTCTGATGCTGCTGCTGCTAGGGAGGTTCTCGAATTGTTGCTCGACACATTTCATGTGGTATCCAAGGTACATGATTTTGGTTTCTCAATCTTAATTTTCCACTCAGCAAGTGTAATCTCGAGTCTGCTTCTGCTCGTCGCTGGTTACATGTTCCAGCGATTATTTACTTTGGTTGTTATAGATCTAGATCACGGGAAATGAGTAAGCTTGTCGATCTTCTTAGTGTACGCTCGAAGATAGCTTATTTAATGTCCTCAATGCAAGTTTGATCTATTTGTGAACGTTAATGGTTTTGCATTGTAGTTCCGTTTATAATGAGCAAACATGTTTCTCCTTCGCTTTTCTGATTTATAATGCATATTCATTGTAAATGTAGGTTGAAAAACTTATTAAAGTTCTACCAAGTACTCCTTCTGATTGGCAAAACGAGGATGCGAATTCCATGGGAAGGAGTTCTATGAATTATGAGAATTCAACGCAGCAAGATGGCACAACCATGAGAGAAACCCAGAGCATGCTTTTGGAAAGAATTGCTAGTGAAATGAATCGGCTCAAGTTCTATATGGCTCATGCACAGGTCTCCATCATGCATTTACTTTTTTCTTTTTGCAAAGTCACAATTCCTTGTCCATCTCAAAGATAGATTACATTAGAAATGCTCCTCTCTTCCTCTTACAAGAAGCTTCGAGTATACTGCATTTAAGAATAGTACATTGGGGATCAAACTAGCTATGAATATAGGGCTTGAGAAATGGCTGTGCTGCTAGGAGAATTCATTGGCTTTGAGAAGATTGCTGACAAAAAATAGGTTACATGAGATGCTACATAGTTAAATCCTGTGAAATCTCTGGTGTTCTGCAAAAACTACAGTATACTTGTTTAGCCTCAGAAGACAATAGAAAGTCTTATGGCTGATACTCACTACTTTTTCTGTTATGCCATTGCCAGTACAGAACCTGCCTTTCATTGAGAACATGGAGAAGAGGATTCAGAGCGCTAGTGTGTTATTGGATGCTAGCCTAGGTCATTGCTTCATTGATGGGCTAAACAACAGCGATACAAGTGTCCTTTACAACTGCTTACGTGCTTACGCTGCCATTGATAACACCAATAATGCAGAAGAAATTTTCCGTACAACGATTGTGGCTCCATTTATACAGAAAATTATTACACATGAAACATCAACGGATGCTGCTGGAACATCAGGAGATGAACTTGAAAACGATTACAAACAGATCAAGCATTTTATTGCTAAGGACTGTAAAATGCTGCTAGAAATATCTTCAACTGGTAATTCACGCAAATCGCTGTGTGATCATATATGTTGCAGAGATCCAATCGCCTTTTTAAAGTTCCATGTTTCTCTGGAAAAATTGTTTTCCTGTTAAGCATTCGAAGAAATTTTTTACCCAACTAACACAGTAACCTAGATTTCGTGGCTTCTTTCCTTCTTAGTGGTGTCGTTTTATATTTTACTCATCATACTCTGTGCTTGTCATCTTGTGTTAAAACAGACAAATCAGGTTTACACGTCTTCGACTTCTTGGCAAATTCAATCCTGAAAGAAGTTCTTTGGGCAATCCAGAAAGTCAAACCAGGAGCGTTTTCTCCTGGAAGGCCTACTGAGTTCTTAAAGAATTACAAGGCAAGCGTGGATTTCCTGGCATATCTTGAAGGTAGATGTATTATGTATATCTCCTCTGAGCTTGATCACATAGCTTATTAGATGCATTGTGAACTGATATTCATGTGTCATATATAACCATAAATTTAAATTAAGAAATGTATACTTCTCCTTCTCTGGTTTTCAGAGAAGGTGATGAAATTATCTGGATATTTTTCAGTTGACTCATACCAGATACTTCTTATGAAGGTTATTGTCCGTCAAGGTCTGCTGTAACTAAGTTTCGAGCTGAAGCTATATGCATCGAATTCATGAAGCAATGGAATGTGGGAGTATATTTTTCACTGAGGTACGTGAGAAATTTTATAGATGGCTTTCGACTTAGCATTAGATTAGTGGTTTCTCAGCTTCTCTAACTCAAAAATACATAATTTCAGGTTTCAGGAGATAGCTGGAGCCTTGGATTCTGCTCTTACTTCTCCTTCTCTGGTTTTCATTCAGGATTCAGATAAACGGAGTTCGCTCAACTTAATTCTCAGACAGAGTGATACTCTTTTGGAGTGCTTGCGATCGTGCTGGAAAGAAGATGTTCTCGTTTTCCTCGGCTGCTGATAAATTTCTTCGCTTGACCTTGCAGCTTCTTTCGAGGTTTGTGAAATTTGACTGTAATATTATCCACGTTTACTAGTTTCAATTCTAATTTTAAGTATGCGTTAATGATATGTAGATATAGCATTTGGGTGTCATCTGCGATGAATAATAGAAAGAGTAATGCCAGCCCGAGTCCTGGATGTGAATGGGCTGTTTCAGCAACTGCAGAAGATTTTGTATATGTAAGTTACTTCTTATGTGGATTGTTTTCTGAGCTCCTCTTATTTTGGACATTTTGGGATTTCTGCAATTTCGTGTTTACTAAATCAGCTGCAGTTCTGTTCTGTGGGATAACTTAGATTTTCATTATGTTTAGAATAGGAAGTAAAAAATGCTGTGGAAATTAAGTAAACTCGGAATATCTGCTTTTCACATAAATACGTGAAATCAGATCACATAGACCATATGGTTGATTGTTTGATTTTTTGGGAGTATTTTCATATTTCCTTCCTGGCAGGTTATACATGATGTAAATTGTCTAGTCTCAGAAGTTTGCGGGGATTACCTTGGACATATATCACAGTATTTATCTTCATGCTCCACTGAAGTTCTTGATGTGGTGAGGATGAGCATAGAACAGGGTGGGGCATCACTAGAGAAAGTCCTACCTTTAGTTACCAAGACAATAATTGACGTCATTGTTGATAAATCTGTTGAGGTAAACCTCTGAAAAAGCATTAGATCCGTTCTCTAATTTGTAAACTTCAACTTTTGGTTGACTGCCTTGTGAGCACCTGCAAAAGCAGTGTTGCGTAGAATTTGCTGTATAGCTGAATTAGGTTAGAGTTATTCTCCAAGTCTGACACATATTTAACTCTGTAACGGTAAATGCTTTCTCTCCTATAGGACCTAAGGCAGCTCAAGGGAATAACCGCTACATATAGGATGACTAATAAGCCACTGCCTGTTAGGCACTCACCATATGTTGTCGGGCTATTGCGTCCTGTAAAGGTATTCATTCAGCTTTTGGTTGCGATTTTAGAAAGATTTCATAGTTGCTTGACTGATGGATTCTGAAGTGTGGATTATTGCTCCTTCTCTTTTATAACAGGCTTTTTTGGAGGGAGATAAGGCTAGAACTACTTGACCCAAAAAACAAGGGAGGAGTTACTGCATGGCAGTGTCAGTGAAATTACCAGGCGGTATTATGAATTAGCTGCTGAACTTGTTAGCGTGGTAAGTACTCTGTTTTAAACACTTTTTGAGGATTTGATTTGACGATATAACCCTAGTAGCCAAAACAAAAACCAGAATCATTCTTTCTATCCCTAAAGATCGTTTTGAGATTCTTATGATTACTATAAAGATGCAGAGATGGTGAGTAATTTATGTGTAGTAAAAGGCGGTAGAGATACTGATTGTATTATGTTACAGGCAAGAAAAACAGAGTCATCGCTTCAGAAATTACGTCAAAATGCACAGAGACGAGCAGGTGCAGCATCAGGTGTTTCTGATCAAAATGTATCTGAAACAGACAAGATGTGTATGCAGTTGTTCCTTGATATTCAGGTAACTTTCCTCATGATTTTTCATTGTGTGAATAATAAATTTTCTCTGACAAATTTTAGTTTACAAGGAAGTAACATATTATGATAATATCTTACCCAGGAGTATGGCCGAAACGTTTCTGCTTTGGGGCTGAAACCGGCGGATATCCCGGAGTATTGTTCCTTCTGGCAATGTGTTGCACCTGCGGATAGGCAAAACACAATCAGTGTTTGAGGATGCACGCTTCCTACATCATTGCAGTATCATATATATCTTGAAATAAGAAATCGCCGCTTCTCTCTTCTATCACTTGTGTTTGTTTGCTTTAATAGTGAAGAGAAGAGGAAGAGAGTTTTGTTGAAGAGAGAGTGTGTTTTTTTGCCAAAGTTGCATTATGATTGAGAGATCTGAGTTAGTGCCAGCTTTGGCCATTTAATCTTTTTGTAGGACTATTTCATCTTCAGTATATAACACCGTACCAAAGGGAATGAAACTTTTTTTTGGTTTTGTTTTCGTATGTAAGTTGTAACTGAACCAAAGAAACTATCAATAATGGTCTAAACATACCAAACCGACATTTATGATTTAACTGGTTTCAAAATCTAATTATTAGAGAAGTTGAGAGAAATAAACAATTTAGTAAATTATAATCTGTCGAAGTATGCTCTTAATTTGTTGGTTATGACTTATGTATATGGAAAACGTTTTCCATATTTGAACAAGAAAAATAATCGAGAAATGGAAAACGATATCGCCGTAATAGAGAAAAAAAAAACATCAAAACCCTAGAGGACGTGGACACTGTTGGCAAACCCTAGAGCCTCAAACACCATTGTTGAACGAACACAAACCAACCGCAGACAAAAGAAGCAAAATCCCAGAAATACATACATGGCTGAAATCTCGGCGACTTCATTTCCTTCTTCTTCTTCCTCTGTTCTTGCGTTCCGTACCTCCCACAATGGTTCTCTCTCCCCCATTTCTTTTCTCTTCCGTTTCGTTCCCTTGTTTTTTTATTTTCTCTCCATTTTTCCGACAGTTTTCGTTTCAGATGTCCATTTTTTAATCCACGAAAATTGCAAATGGGACTTGGAGTTATTGATTATCTGACATTTTTTCGCAGGTAGCTTAAAATGTCAGAATGTAGCTGTTCCAAGAACCACTTCCCAGTTCCAAGAGGTACTTCCATTTGCAATTAATACTCATATTTGTTGTTTCTCCGATCATACAACTAAATTCTCTATTTCCTTTTACTGAATTTGCAGTTATCGGTGAAACGAAGCCAGCTTGTTGGCAATGCCCTTGTTACCGGTCATGTTGCCGGATCCCGCAGCTGCAAGAATCAAGGTGAAGTGTTAGCATTACACTGAATCAACCCATTTCCTTAAAAACATATTCTTTATCCCCTCTTTGATGACATTTTCATGGTTTATATGTTATTTCCATTAGTTCATTTTAAACACTTTGTTGTCTTGAATTATGCACAGCTATACGAGCTGTTCTATCCGGTGATGGAACCGCCCTGCCTGCTGATTCAAAGGAGGCTGGACTTCGTGGAAAACTTAAAAAAGTCGTTCTAGCTTACAGTGGAGGCTTGGATACCTCTGTCATTGTGCCATGGCTTAAGTATGTTTCTCCTTTTTCTTGAGTTTATTTCTTACCTCTAGAAAGAATACATTTTTGAATCTTTCTCTGTTATGAAACAACAAGTTCTGATACCTTTGATGCTAATATTTGTTTTGTAGGGAGAACTACGGTTGTGAAGTTGTGTGTTTCACCGCTGATGTTGGTCAGGTACATCACAAAAATGCCAAATGTTGACTGTTTTAGTGTACAAGTGAAGTTTCATGTTGCATTCTACTTATGTCTTCTCAACCTCTAAATGTTTTGATATGTAGGGCATAAAAGAGTTGGAAGGTTTAGAACAAAAGGCTAAGGCTAGTGGTGCTTCTCAGTTGGTCGTTAAGGATCTCACAGAGGAGTTTGTGAAAGATTACATATTCCCTTGTCTTAGAGCTGGTGCCATCTATGAACGAAAATACTTGCTTGGTACCTCCATGGCTCGACCTGTCATTGCGAAGGTAACATTTCCAATGGTTTTATATGATTGAATTATGAGGGAACCCCAGTATTTCTAATATCTGAATATATCTTTTGGATTACATATTGTCACTAATACGTTTTCTAAATGATTAGGCCATGGTTGATGTAGCAGCAGAGGTTGGAGCTGATGCCGTTGCACATGGATGTACTGGCAAAGGAAATGACCAGGCAAGTACTTGGAATGTCTTGCTAATGCGTCACATTGGAAAAACACACATTGATTCTTACATTACTTTTTGTCCTGATTGATTGACCAGGTTCGGTTTGAGCTCACCTTCTTTTCATTAAACCCTCAACTTAAAGTTGTGGCACCATGGAGAGAATGGGAAATCCAAGGCAGAGAAGATGCTATTGAGTATGCCAAGAAGCATAACATTCCCGTCCCAGTGACAAAAAAATCTATTTACAGCCGGGACAGGAACCTGTGGCACCTTAGTCATGAGGTAAAGTATATTGTCAAATGTTGGTTCGCATTTCCTTTTCGGATACAAATTGATCCACTTTGTCAGATTGCTCAGTTCCTAATAATGTGTATCATGCTCTGATATCAAACTTTGTGTTTTGTTGAAAGGGTGATCTATTGGAAGATCCAGCAAACGAGCCGAAGAAAGATATGTACATGATGAGTGTAGATCCTGAAGATGCTCCTGATCAGCCTGAGTAAGTTGCTTTAATCTAAAGTTCTAAACCTGTGTTTGGAATTTCTTTGAGTCCCTGTCTTAACTATGCACTGAAATTACCTTGGTGGTTTGTAGTTGTTGTAGCTGTGTTAATAGTTTAAAAACTAAAGTTGAGTCGGTTAGCTACAGAACTGAGGTTTAGGAAGAATGAGTTGAGTTGTTCAGGATTTGCCTACGATTTGGGATTGGGAATCAGATCTAGAGTAAAGAGTTGTTTCGTTGATCAAGTCTTTCAAAGTAGTTAACCGGTTTAGCTGCTATCAAATTTTTATACCAAGAATAGGATTTACAGTTTGTATCCTAACTTTTGATACTTGAACACTTAAACAGATACATCGAGATCGGGATAGAATCTGGAATTCCAGTGGCACTGAACGGGAAGGCTCTGAGTCCAGCCACACTTCTGGCCGAGCTAAACACAATAGGAGGAAAGCACGGGATTGGGCGGATTGACATGGTTGAGAACCGTCTGGTTGGGATGAAATCACGAGGTGTCTATGAAACTCCTGGAGGCACCATCCTCTTTGCAGCTGTACAGGAACTAGAATCCCTCACTCTAGACAGAGAGAGTATTCAGGTAAAAGACTCATTAGCACTGAAATACGCAGAGATGGTCTATGCGGGAAGATGGTTTGATCCGCTTAGGGAGTCCATGGATGCTTTCATGGAGAAGATAACTGAGACAACCACGGGATCTGTGACACTAAAGCTGTACAAAGGATCTGTGTCAGTTACAGGGCGTAGGAGTCCTAACAGTCTGTACAGACAGGACATATCTTCGTTTGAAAAGAGTGAAATCTATAACCAAGCGGATGCAGCCGGGTTTATTAATATCTTCGGGCTTCCAATGAGAGTGAGAGCTATGCTTGAGAAAGGAATCTAGAAAGGGTTTCATTCATGTCTTACTTGGGATTGAGAGCCTAACATTGGAACATCCCTTATTGTGATGCGTTTAGCTTCTTCAGCTACTTTCGAAATAATCCTATCATCTTTCTTCACTTTGGAAAAACTTGAGAAATTTAATAATGTGCTTCATGTTTAAGTCAAGTTAATATTTCTGTTTTTCCGTGAATGATCATGAAAAGAAAAAAAAAATGAATTTCCATTAACTTTAACAATTTTAAAATTAAATAATTATACGACAAATTATTTTCTTATCATTGTAAAAAAAGAAGAAATTTTAAATGTAAAAAAAGAAAAGGGTGTTTAAGGTAATGCGAAACCTATTTTATTTATTTATATACACAAAAACTCATCGGACCTGAAATCTTTGTTCGCTCTTCCTCCTTGCTCAAGCAAACACTTCTCTCATTTATTTTGCTCTCTCTCTCAGATCCGATTCAAGCTTTCCGATTTGCAATGGACGGTGGTGCCGAAGGATCTCAGCAGCCTCACTTGATTCTAGCTCACAAGCTCTTCCTTCTCACTCATCCCGATGTCCCAGACATCGAGAAAGTCCACCTCAAGTCTGAGGTTTTAGATGTCATCAAATCCGATGGTTAAGTAGCTCGCTTTCTCTAATCAATGAGAATTAGCTTAAGATTTCTTCAAGATTTTATGTTCCTGATGTTTCGTTGGTGTTGTTTTAGGTATGGCTCCCTTGTACGAAACCCTAACTGCCTCTTCGGTACTGGATTTGGATCAGAGCTTGTTAGATTCTATGCGGGCAGCTAACGAAGAGGAGCTTAAGAAGCTCGATGAGAAGTAAGTTTCCTTGAGTTTCTAGATTTCAACTTGCGTATGGATATAATCGGCAGTGCCTTAAAATTGGATTCTTCGTATTACTTTCTTTTGGGTTAGATTGATGTAGGGGGAACTGTAGCATTTTGATTTACTGGGTCTTGAATTGGATGTCTCAGAATTGTGTTTGCAAAAGTCCACTTTGAATTTTGGGAATCTCTATGTTCCTGTGTAGCTGATATCAGATTTTGATAGCTGAGTTTATGCTTTGGTGGAGGTTTGTTTAGTGTAGCATGATGACTTAGTATTCTTAGGGAGTTATCTAATGTTGTGCTCTATCATTGGTTTCTGAGTCCATCTTGGCCTCCGCATTAAATTTGTAGAAACTTCTGATTCAGCATGTCATCAGTCAAAAAATTTGGTTCTAAATGTTCTCTTACATATTCTTTCCTTTCACCTTTGTTTAGGATTGCTGATGCAGAAGAAAATTTGGGTGAAAGTGAAGTACGTGAAGCTCATCTTGCTAAGGCTCTATATTTCATCAGGATTAGTGATAAGGTATGTGGGAGCATGTCAAAGTTAATAGTTATGCACTTCTGGTAACTTCCTTGGCCATTAAAATTATTGTTTTGTAATCCTAGGAGAAAGCTTTGGAGCAGCTAAAACTCACTGAAGGGAAAACTGTTGCTGTGGGTCAAAAAATGGACTTGGTATTCTACACATTGCAACTTGCCTTTTTCTATATGGACTTTGATCTGGTATCAAAGAGCATTGACAAAGCCAAAAAGTAAGTGTCAGTTTTGCTGCACTATTATGATTACTCTTCATGGATAGTGCAACTGAAATCCTTGATCTAACACTTTCCGTTTTCCCTTGTCAGATTGTTTGAAGAGGGTGGTGACTGGGAGAGGAAGAACCGGCTAAAGGTCTATGAAGGTTTGTACTGCATGTCCACCAGAAATTTTAAGAAGGCTGCCAGCTTATTCCTGGATTCGATATCAACGTTCACAACATATGAAATTTTTCCTTATGAGACCTTTATTTTCTACACCGTCCTGACAAGCATCATAACTTTGGACAGAGTTTCCCTTAAGCAAAAGGTATTTCTCAATGGCTCAGTCCTCCACTTCGAGTTGTCTAAACTTAGATAAAAACTTTTTAGTATGTCGACGTATTAAAATGATGTATATCCTTGTAATTTGTTGAAATTCTTATCAAATAATGTAAATTGTTTTTGAGAAAATGATAAAGTGCTACTAATTTGACAGGTTGTTGATGCACCTGAGATCTTAACCGTGCTTGGGAAGATTCCATTCCTTTCTGAGTTTCTGAACTCCTTGTATGAGTGCCAGTACAAGGCGTTTTTCTCAGCATTTGGTAAGTTCATTACAAGGACCAGAGGTCATATTTCCGCATGCATTGCTTGATATTTCTCTGTGTGTTTACTAACTTCATTGACGGCTTATGTTCTCAGCTGGAATGGCAGAGCAGATAAAGTTTGACCGTTACTTGTACCCGCATTTCCGGTTCTACATGAGGGAAGTCAGAACAGTGGTGTACTCTCAGTTCTTGGAATCTTACAAAAGTGTGACAGTTGAAGCAATGGCAAAGGCCTTTGGCGTTTCTGTCGACTTCATTGACCAGTAAGCATGCTAATGAACGCTCTTTAGTATCTTTATGTTTGCCACCTCTCTCTTTAGAAGCATACAATAACAGGATAGTACAAACTTAAAACTGACTTGAAATGTTCATTATTATTCAGGGAGCTGTCACGCTTCATTGCTGCTGGGAAGCTTCACTGTAAGATAGACAAGGTTGCAGGTGTTTTGGAGACAAACCGTCCTGATGCAAAGAATGCACTCTACCAGGCAACAATCAAGCAAGGGGATTTCTTGCTAAACCGGATCCAGAAGCTGTCTCGTGTGATCGATCTGTGAGCATGCTACATGTTCCTGTTCTGCTCTTTCTTCAACCTTTGCGACTTGGAAAATCAATCGGTAGAATCTTAAGTTCTGAGGAACGATATATGAATTTGGATTTTGAGATGACTGTCGTCTCTTTTGAGTCTAGTTGGTTTGTCAGTGGTTAATTTCCCAAGAACAAAGAGCAAGTTTAATCACCAAAAATCTCATTTTAATTCTTGGTCGCAGGTTTGAAGTCTCTTGTTTTCATCGTATCCTATCTAGTATCTACGACTACCGTTACCACTTGCTAAAAAAATTAATATCTCCATATAAGTATATACTATGTAAAAGGTAAATATGATCGATTTAAAATGTAAACGCAACATGTACCGAGGGACAAAGAACCGGATTAAAAATAGTATACAAGATAATATGAAAGATTTGATACAGGAAAGACTTGGGGTCTTTAGATGAACTTGTAAGAGTTGGCAGGTATTTTTCTGATTCTTCCACGGACGTCTGTTTAGTGTTAGGTGAGATTCTTCACCAAATAAATGCATGTCCCAATCACTTATAGGATTTATATTTTGTTTCTTACTAACAAACCTTTCGTGTTTTGTTCAATAACACATTCTTGAGTTGAGTTAGTGCCATTTCTTTGTATTATTATTACACAGACCAACTTCGTAAAACTTAAAGATAAGTGTGATTATTGTGCCTGGTTCGTATCTTATCCGCTTATTTCCAGTGACGGATGTTTTTCATTAAGACGTAAATAACAGAGATTACAGAGTTAACAAAACTCCGTTTGACGCCATCGCTCATACACACAATTCTCTTAAACTTTATCCACTCCTTCTTATCACTCTCCTCAAATTTCGAAGAATGCATGCGATCGATTTCAAAGAGATTCAGGAGAAGCTCTCTGATGGATTCCGGCCTTGGCAACGATCGTTTCAGTTCTGGGCTCGTGCCACTGACATCTACACTGGATACAAGGTTTCTCTTTGATATGATTGGTACTCCTTTCTTCTTCATTTTTCGTTTTCTATACATTTTTCTTATGATTCTCTGCAATTCTCAATCTGTCTTGTTCCTGGGCGTTTAGGTATTTCAACTTCGTATGAACTTCGTTAAGGATGTGACTAAGCACGAGGAAATGTGGGAGGTACAACATGAACTTGCTGCTCACAAAATTTATTCTATGTGCTCTGACCTCGGTGGGTTCTTCCTTAAGGTAATGGTGTGTTGAGACTGTTGTTGAGGTTTGTGATTACCAGTAGGGACTTTCAAGTTTGGGATTGTTATGAATTTCTCTTCTTAAATCTTGTTGTAACATAAAGTATGAGTTTTTTTGTTTCTTAGATGAGAAAGAAAGGATGTACATTTTACTCTTGGATTGTTCACAGTTGCTCATTATGATTGTTTTTTACTTTTTCATTGTGTTCTATAGATTGCACAAATTCTAGGAAAACCTGACCTGGCTCCAGCTGCGTGGGTCAGAAAACTCGTCACTTTGTGTGATCATGCTCCTGCCACATCATTTGATGCCATTCGAGTTGTCCTTGAGAAAGAGTTAGGTAAAAGCATCGAAGAAGTATTTGAAACATTTGATGATAAGCCTCTTGGCTCTGCTTCTATTGCTCAGGTACTACATTCTTCATCACTCATAGTTTGAGAACCTTTGTAGAGTATTACCGTGCATGCTTATATATTCAGGTTAAGATTATATGTAGTATGGTTAAGAAAGTCTCAACATGTACTATATTTCTCTTTCTTTTTGCTTCTATTTAGGTACACCGAGCAAGAATAAAAGGTGACAAGAGGGATGTTGTTGTAAAGGTGAGAAATAATCAGGAGACAACTGAAATCTTCGTAGCCTACTTTTAATTAATTGGTTTCTGAATGTGCTACGACATGTTTAGGTCCAACATCCTGGCGTTGAGAAATTGATGATGGTGGATATCAGAAACTTGCAAATATTTGCATTATACATGCAGAAAACTGATATCAAATTTGACTTGTTCTCCATGACAAAAGAAATCGAGAAGCAGGTATATATCATTCTTTCTATCTTTTGAGGCTATCTGGTAAGAACTTTACAGCCCCCGAGTCACTATTAGTTCTTGTTTTTCATTTTCTAGATTGGGTATGAATTTGACTTTAAAAGGGAGGCCAATGCTATGGAAAAGATCCGACGTTTTCTTTATGATAACAATAGAAAGAGTCCTGTCCTGGTTCCCAGGGTGCTTCCAAATTTGGTGACTAGGTACTTATTCTTATATCAGCATTCTGGTTATCTCATTCTCAATAATGTTTAAGGCTCTTTAGGTTGTCCTGTTTTAATGATCAAGAATTATGGTTCTATTAACTAATCAGTGCTGATCAGAGAAATAATCATAATACGCGCAGAAAGGTTCTGGTGATGGATTACATGAACGGAATCCCAATCTTGAGCCTCGGTGATGAGATGGCCAAAAGAGGGATAAATCCTCATGGTAAAATGGCAGAGGCAGCAAAATTGTAAGCTTTTCCATTATCTCAGATAGGTTTTTTCCAATTGCATTGGCGGCTTTTAACAGTTATTTCTTGGCTAGAATTTGGATCTTTTCTGATGCTGCATTGGAAAATGTTTTTTTCTAGCAATATACTAAACAGTTTGTCCCAAGCATATGGCCAAATGATACTGAAGAGTGGTTTCTTTCATGCGGATCCACATCCTGGGAACATCTTGATTTCTAAAGGTTCAGAGGCAAGTCATCTTTTGTGTGTCCTTAGTAGTTTCTTAATTGACTTACTGTGGTCTTTTGATTTGTAATGTTGTTTCCCGTTGTCAGGTTGCACTGTTGGACTATGGACAAGTGAAGGAACTCCCTGACACCCTGAGACTTGGTTATGCAAATTTGGTAATTGCCATCGCTGATAACAATGCCTCATTGGCATTACAGAGCTTTAGGTGAAGTGACTTTGTTATAATGATTACGGTTTTAATTGACGCTGAAAATTGGTTAGAGTCACCTGATCTGATTAGTGTAGCATATAATTATTCACTTAAGATGTTTCCGTGGTGAAAATTCAGGGAACTTGGTATAGCTACAGTTGCCAAGTGTAAGAATGAGCAACAAGAGCTTCTCCAGTTAGCGAAAACAATGTTCGACACAGAGATGCCTCCTGGTACGACAACTCTGCAACCTTTCTCAGAAGACTCTTCGATCAAAAAGATTTCGGTTGAGGTAAAAAAAGAAAACACCTATTCAGTCAACAGTTGTGTGTGGTGTGTGTTTGTTTTTGGATATACTGCAACAATTGACTGTGTTATTATGTTGGTTGTGGATAGGCATTTCCAGAGGAGCTTTTCTCTGTTCTTCGCACGGTAGTTCTGTTAAGAGGACTCAGCGTAGGGATAGGGATAAACTACTCCTGCGCTCAACACTGGAGGTCTATGGCAGAAGAGGCTTTGGTTGCATCTGGAAGACTCTCAACAAGTTAAGACAATGAAAACAACTCTTTGATAGTGAGTGATTTACCAAAAACACTTTAATAATGGAAAATAAAATTTCAGGTAGAAAGCAGAAGCGTCGATGTAGTTCTCTGAGAAGGCTATACCAAGGCTATACCATCACTATCATGTTAATTCGATTTTCCAAAATTTTCTACAAATTTTAACCAATGAAAATAAGGAAAATACAAAAAAGGTACTATATCAGTAAAAAAAAAACTATAATTTATTGATGTATACATTTTTGCAAGTGTATAATAAATGATAGAATGAAAATACACCCAAAATAAGAAACAATTTGCTTTCAACTTAACAACGAATCTATATGTATTAAATGAAACAAATTAAAACAAAACTACATTTTTAAATCTTTGTGTGTTGTTTAGTTCTTGTTCTTTCTAAAAACAATCTCAGTGTCAAGCCCAAACCCATCGATCTTCCTCACCTCCACGACCTTTGATCTCTTGAACAGATTCACCAATGGTTTCACACTAAACAAATCATTAGCCGAGTACTTATCCGTCTTCCCAGATATCGACACGTGTAACACACACACACCTCCGGGCTTTAACGTCCGTTCGATCTCCCCAACGAACTTCTCCGGGTAAAGCGCGTGATCGAACACGTTTGAGAATTCGAAATCGAACGTCTCTTCGTCGAACGGCTGCGCGTGGAAGTCACCTTTCACCACCAGAGGCGGACGCGGTACCAGATCTATCCCGACGGAGTCTTCCACGCCGATCAATCTCAACGCCGCAACCTCCTGACCAACTCGCGCGCCGATCGAGAGAGCTTTTGATTGATTCGAGAGGAGACCGCGATCGCTGAGACGTCGGAAGAAAGTGGAGAACACGCGCACTTTCCTGTCCCAGTCGCGCGTGGTCCATACCTTACGTAGCTTCGGGTTCTGAGTTTTGTTGAGCTGGTGCTTGATGTATGCTTCGTAAGAGGAGTATCCATGATGACGGATCCGTATCCCTTCGTCGGCAACGGCGATGACGGAGGAGGAGAGAGGACGGCGGAGGAATGTGGTGGGGAAGGCGAAGAGGAAGATGATGAGAAGAGAGAGGGAGAGGAAGAGAGAGAGTGTGAAGGGTAGTTTTGGTATTACGAATTTCATTTTAGCTTCGAGACTTCGCTTTCTTGTTGTCTCTGTGTACATCGAAGCATATATGGGATTTATTTAATGATGATAATTAGGAAAAATACCAAATGCAAATAATATACTAGTTTTTTTTGTCTAATTGCTGCCAGTAAGGCATTATTATTGATCCTAAAATGAAACTTAATCCAAAATAGACCTAAAGTTCCGTTGGCCTAAATTCAGAGCAATAAAAAAGGTCCTCTGAAGAAAACAAAAGTCAACATCCGTGAAAAGATAAGCTCCCTTGGCAGAATTCTCAAAGCCTAAAAGTGCAAAAAAAACAACCACAGGGATGCTCAAGAGAGAAAGAAACTTGTACATTCTATCAGGTTTTTAGTTACCACACCATTGGGGTATCTCCTCTTGGTCTAGCCTAGATTAGCATCTTCAGTTAGGGAAGTTACAAACGACGATGAAACCCAACCATTCTTCTTCCCATGCTCCACATAGTCCTTGAATTTCTCCTTTGCGTTTGGGATGTCTAAAGCAAGATCTTCGAGCCCGTCTTTAACTCTTGTGAATCCTTTGGTCATCTGGTTTGTGGTTATGAGTCCTTCACCAAAACTCTCCTGCAGAAGATCCAGCATCATCTTGTCCTTCTTCTTCTCCATACCCATCACCAGTGCTTTCTTCACCACCTCATGGTTAAAGAAAGGCATGCCTAACTCATGGATGCATTTGCACGCTTCTGATACCAGGCCTGAGCTTTCGTATTCCTCCAGGAGATTCGATATCTTGTCTTTTGCATCTTCCACTGCCCAACCGCTCCCACCTCCCCAGCATCGTAGAAGCCTCTCTCCTGCATGTCGAGCAAAGATGAGTGACCTAGCCATCTTCACGGTTTCAGTTCCGCTTGAGTTAGGTCGTAGTTTGCTACTGATCTCTTCCAGGTTGAAAGGTGCTAAAACATCGTCGATCACAGCTCTAGCTAAGAACAGAGCAAGTTCGTTGGAAGCATCCAGAATGTCAAGAGCTGTATCTTCTGCAGACTCCAGAAGCATGACAAAACCATCTGCAACATCTTCTGTGGTGAACATCTCGATGTGAAGAGATGAGAGGAGAACAGATGCCATTTCTTTCTCGTGATTCTTCCTGTCCAAAGCAAGTGTTATCAGCTTCTTTAGAAAAATTGGGTTGTACTCAGGTGCTCCTAAATCCTCAAGACTGCGTATGAGTTCTGGTATGTCATCAGAGTTGAAATACTCATGAATGATGGTCACAATGTCTTCCTTAAACCGCTTTAGTTTCTCATCCTCGATCTGCTGTCGTCCACATTCACCAGAGGGATAACCAAACGAAGCATCAAGCCAACCACCTGAGACAGCTTTTGGCACAATCAAATCAAATTTGGTTCTAGCTGAAGGAATGTCAAGAGCAAGATCATCAAGGCTTTCTCTTAACCTTGAAAACCCCTTCACCATTTGACTAGAGCTAATCAGGTTTTCTGAAGCTGCTTCCTTTAGCAGTTTCAATATAGGCGCTTCTGCTGCGTGGTTTTCCAAGGCAGTAACTAAGGCCCTCTTCACAACCTCATGATGAAAGAAAGACACACCCAACTCTCTTACGCAACGACAGGCCTCATAAGTCTCTCCAGTCTCCACATATTCATTCAAAATGTCAGCAATCTTCTTCTTGACTTCCTCAACAGTGGTTCGAGTCTGTCCACCCCACCTTCTTTCTACTAGCTCAGCATGGTGTGCAGCTGATAGATAGCTTTTCTCTGCAGTTTGGACAACCTGGTAACCTTTAGAAGTTATTGGAAGTGCCTTGGCCGCCCTAGGAAGAAAAGCTGGAGGAAGGATGTCATCCACAACAGCACGTGCAAGGAACAAAGCAAGAACATTGACAGCATCAGGTATATCCACCACAAAGTCATCGGCTGACTCGAGCAGCAGGACAAATCCATCTCTTATCTGGTTTGGATTGATGACATCAGCATACAATGCGGAAAGCAACACTGACGCCATTTCCTTCTCTTTGTCATGCCTGTCCATGGCTACCGAGACAAGCCGCTTGATGAAGTAGGGATGATATTCACTTGAACCAAGTTCAATGAGGTCAGCTGCTGCAACATCGACATCACCAGTGCTGAAGTATTCGTTAATGATGGAAGCTGCAGCTTTCTTGTAATCATCTAATGGGTCTGACAGAGTTGCACCAACAAGCTCGAATGGTTCCTAATATAACAAGAAACACAAAGAGAGCTGATCATGATGAACTCTAAAAAACAACACTCAACGGATAAAAAATTTTAAAACATCAACTGGAACAGCGGATAGACAACAGAAACAATTTTGCGCAACTACTTTGGCAACAAAATAATCAATCATGAAACTCAAAATAGTTACTTTCATCTAGCACGAAAAAAGTGATTAGAGGTGCAGAAACTACCTCTCCGCTGTCATAATTTGGATCATTCCGATCAATGTGATAGTCTCCGTCAGTGTCAATAAGTTTTCCCCAATTTCCTTTCCCACCACCCCCATCTGAAATAAAATGAATCAATCACTACCACCATATGCAATCTATACAATTAACAGCTCCAAATTTGACTAAAAGCCATCCCCTGAAACATGATGGTTTAGAAACATAAGCTACAAATCCAAACTGATTAAAGTAGTAACTGACCCTTCTTAGAGCGGATAGACCTTCCCGCATGAGACCTTCTGTGCTTCACAGCATTTGACGCACCAGAAGCTTTCCCACCAGCAGATACTTTAGGGAGATGCTCAAGCAAAACCGAATGAGGTTTTTGTGAGGGTGGAAGATCATCTACAGTCTGTGTAGCAACTTTCATCATCTGTCTCTGCTCATCCGTTAGGAAACCCTCCATCTTTGGCAATTACCCTAATAGTCAAACATCATTAAATCAATCCTCTAACAAACATATACCAATACGATAAAAAATCAACACGGCTAGCTATGTTATGAAGACAAGAGAACATATTTGAGCTATAGCAGTTTTGAAACTTCCAAACCTAAAACCACAAGACAATGATGTGAAACGACGTAAATGGAGATCTAAATCACCAATCAATAATCCAGAAACTAAATAGAAGTAATTAAGTGTAAAGCCTATGCATCTCAAGGTTCCAACAAATTGCTCTCCGTCTATTTCCTCTCATAGTTCTACAGCAATCAATCAATCAATCATTCCCGGGACTAAATGCCAAAACCAAAACATCGGAGAAATGTTTGAAACTCCAAGTACCAGTAAATGTAATGTTCAAATAGAGAATCCAAATCCCGAAATGGTATCGCCTCGTCGTCAGCCAAAATATCCACAAAGCGGACGGCGAGATCCGTGGTAAGAAGAAAGAGGTCGGAGGCTAGATCGAAAAGCAGAACCCGAGAGTGAAGCTGGGTGAAGCTTTCCTGGAAAAATAGGAGATTCTGAGAGAAGATTGTTTGGAGAAGAAGATGGATTTGGGAATTTGGGAGGACAAAAAGCTTACAGAAATGGAGGCTGCTGCTACGGCTACGGTTTCTCATCAAAGGTTTCATCGCATATACTGTCGCCACGTGTTACTGTCTCAACGGTCACGATTGCTCGTTACAATGTGCCAATGGCATCGGACTAGGGTTATGGATTTAATTTTGGTGTTTTCCTACTAAAATAGTGAAACCAGATCATTTATAAATATCTCTGACAATATCTTATCCCCAATTACTAAAAGTTTATCCATATTCTCTTTCTAAATTCAAATCAGTTTATTGCATATTATTGAAAAAAAATTATCTAGTTTATGCTGATTCGTTTTAATGAATGAGATAATTTGTGAAAACAAAATGAGCTCAGCCAATAAAAGGGTCCCAAGACAGTAAAATTCAGGTCTGTTAAAATGATTGATTAGTATATATGCTAATCTAAAATATGGTCTCGAAACACATTTTGCAACTGTACATTTTTGTGTCCCATTGACCTAAACAGGCAGGTCTCAATGGATTTGCTAAAACCTATTGGTTCCACAAAATGGGAACGCCCTCATCATTCAAGATCCCTTAATTAGCAGCTGCAGTGCTGCTGCAGGGAAGGACTCGGCCAATAAGCCGTGAGCTCTTGCTGTTCTGTGTCTCCCCCTGACCCTACAAGACATGGTTCATCACAACTCGAAATTCTTGAAACCGAATACTTGGGCCTAGTAGAGATGTTTACCTTGCCTATGGGAGTCCTCTTCCAACACAACACATCAGTGTCATCTTCTGGCCTGTACAAAGTCAGAAACAGAGCATACTTGAGTAGCTATCCAAATCACAAAACAACTTACTTTTGAAATGAATATATATGAACCACTTTTACCTTTTTTCACCCGGAGGCATGTGTGGAGTACACATAGCAGAATTTGCATCGCCTTGATCACTGGAACAGCTCATTCGCGACGATGCATTGGCTGAAGAACGAACACTTCTAGCCCTCAAGACATTTCCTTGGCAACTTCTCAGAGAATTTGTAACTGCAGGCTTTTCAGATGCGCAATCAGAGTCTGTTCTTGTTGTCAAATACGATTTGTGAAGCATTCTACGAGAGCAACTGAAAAGTCCAAAGAAAAGACTTGCTGCTGCTTTAGCACTCTTTGGTGGAGAACACGCAGAGATAACAAGATTCATTCGGATCTCAACGTTGCATCCTAACACCGATTGGAACGAGTCTGCAATCAATTTCCATGATTTCTCGGCTCTTGCTACATGTTGAGGTGTGTAGAATTCCAATTCAGCTATTGCCACACCTGGAAAGAAAATAGTATATGAATTTACTTATCTGATACACAAGCCAAACTACAACTTTAAGACTATCTTTGGAAAATATAAGTTACCTTTGTCAACAGTAAGTGAAGTCAACCTTCCTCGTTTCCACAGAAACCTCTTTAGTGAATCAGAACAGCACAAATCTGTAACCGTTTTCCACACAGTTTCAGCTGTTTCATTACAGTTTTTCTCTTGACGCTCCTCGGTTTCTGATTTAATAACATCACCAGGAAAATCTGATGATGTGCTGGAGAGCTCAACGTCTAGATACAGGACCAAGGTATGTTATATATAGTTAGTAACCAAGATAACATGAAATAATGGAAAAGGCATTTTATGAATTAGGACCTTTGCTTATTTGGTTTCTTCCATTTTCATCTGTTGCAAAAGAAGATGAGTCGGTGTTGCTAAGTTGCAAAAGTGCCACAGTGAGCCAGGTTGTCTGGTTTTTCGATGCCCTCAAGTGTTTCTCAGCATCAGATAGTATCTTCAATGCATTTCTCAATTTCTGCATTTCTTCTTCAGCTATATAAAATAAAACAATATATGATAAAGAGTGAGATCATGTTTAATTTTGAAGCTGTTATTCAAAGTAATCATTGTGGTGCTTACATGTATGCCTTGTAAGAAACCGGAGTCTAGTTGCTGAACTACTTTCTTGAGAGTTTCCAGCAATGATGTCCATAATGACATTAGCTAGCTGAGAAATAAGCTGCATTGGATCTATTTTGGATCTCATAAGTTCCCTCGCCCTTATAACCGTGTTTGAAGTATCAGAAGACAGGGCAAGATCAAGCAGATCAAGCAATTCATCATCAGAAACAACCCCAATCTGCAGAATCAAATAAATTTTTATTTCTAAACTATCTAATATTTCCAAGACAAATGAGTGATTAAAATATGAAGAAAGATGTGTAAACTTACAAGCTTGTAGGCCAAATAAGTCGTTATTCTTTTACCGAGCAAACTTAACTGATCAAGCATTATCTCAGCATCCCGAAGTGAACCATCAGATTTAGAAGCAATGAAATCAACTGCTCCTTGATCAAAATCAATACCTTCTTCAACACAAATCTTTGCCAGCTTAGTTGATATATCCACATCGCATACTTTAGAGAAATGATATTTCTGAGAACGTGAGAGCACGTTACGCGGTAGCTTCTCTAGCTCTGATGTAACCAGTATAAAAACCGAATGCTGAGAGAAATTGTCCAAACTGTTCAAGAGAGTACCCCAAGTTTCTTGACATAATAACTGACACTCGTCGATTATAAAAACCTTAAATCTAGATGAAACTGGAGGAAGAGATGCATTCTTGATGAGAGATCTGAGGTAGCTAGGCCGGTTTAGTTTACCCGAATCCGTTTCCATTACGTCCCTGCCTCTTCCCGAGAAGTATGATTTGCATTCACTGCACAAGCCACATGGTCTACTATGTGCAGCCTGTGAAAGGCAGTTTAAAGCAGCAGCAAATATCTTAGACGTTGATGTTTTACCAGTCCCACGAGGACCGTGAAAAAGGTACACAGAAGTAATCCTTCCTCTTAATATGGTGCTCAAGAGACATTTGACCACGACTTCTTGCCCAACTAACTCATCGAAAGATTTCGGCCTGAATTTCTGACTCAGACTCCTCGACAACACTTCGTGACTCGGTGTCACCACATCACTCTCACCATTTCCATTTCCAGGCAATAAAGGATACTCTTCTACATCTGAGGATTGGTTTGATCCTCTGTACCTCGGCGTTCTTGACCAGCAATAAGTTATACCGCAACCACGGTTAGATTGACTATCAAAATCAACATCTTCATCTCCATAATAACTATGATTTGTTGAGGTCACCGGACTACCTAAACGGCTTCCATATTCACCAACTGAGCTAGCTAACTTAGTGGAATAATGAGTAGTTCTATATCTTCCCCCTGAAGCAGCCTCCTCAACATGACTAATAGAAGGCACATTACAAGCTAACTCCCTACCTTTAACCGATAAATCAGCGCAAGATCTTTGACTACTCCTTGAGCAGGCGTCTCCTTCAACATTTAGCACCTTGCTACTCAACTTGTGAAGATCACAACCACTCTCTAGCTCCTCCATTATCGAGTATGAACCAAAAGGAATCAAACCCACAGGAGCATCAGCAGCAGCCTTACAAGCATCATCACCATGTTCCACAAACTGAAGTGAGATCCCATTGTTGGAACCAGTTTCCCATTTGACATTGTCAAGCAAAGAAGCAAACTTGCTCATAGAAGTGGTACATGGATCTCTCAGTGACCTAACCCTTCTAAGAGCAACAAGAGTTCTTGTAATGGGAACATCCACAGAATGCCTCCTAGTCTCCCCCATATTCTAAAACAGATCAAAACAATCCTAAACCTTTCTCCTGAAACTTCAAGATTCGACACTCATCATCACTAACCTAATAATGAATGTCAAAATTAGTGATAAACAATGAGAATGTGGTAACACAAAAACAGATGGGGAAAAAAAGTTATAATATTTAAAAATCACAGAGCTCAAAAACAGAGACCCAGATAAGCTATGGGAAAAAACAAAACTTGGAATGAATTAAAAAAAGGAAACGACAAACTGAAAATACAAAACGTCAAGAATGGGGAATACCAAGGTGTATTGAAGAGAGTGGCGTACAATGCGGAGAATCCAAAACCCTAAAATCCCTTGTTGAAAGAAGGAGAAGAAGAAGAAGAAGAAGTTGTTGGTAAAGTGGTAAATAAGAGGAGTTATTATGGTGAGAGGTGAAAATAGAAAAAGGCTCTTTGTTGTTTGAGTAAAAGAGAGAGAGATAGAGACAGAGAAGAAGGGGAGACATGTTAGAGTAGGAGGGCAGAGATTTTTGCAGAGAAAGGTGGAGTCTTTGGACAGAGAGCCCAACCAGTAATAGAGAGAGAGAGATAAAGAGTTAATACTATTTGGTGTTCCTTCTTCGCTTCATTTAAGATTCGTTCGGCGGTTTCAGTTTCAAGTCTTTTTTGGATTTCGTGGCAACAAACAAGACTTCGTGTGGTCCGCTTCTCTGCCACGTTTTTGGACTCCTACTCAGTACTCACGTGTTCGTTCGTTCTACCAACATATTCTGATTCAACTATCTCAATTATTTCTTATTTGGAATTCTAGATGCAACAATTATTTGTTTTTTTGGAATTCAACATGAGTTATTGAGTTTTTCATCTCATTGACCAGACCACAACAAAATTCTTCAATAGATACACGTCTAATATCCTCTTCAAAAATTTTAATTGGACTTCTGTGTGTCTATTGAATAAAAAAAAATTTAGTATCAATTGCATCAAAAAGTATTTAGAGAAGTGTGAAAGGCTAATGGTTTTGGTTTGCAACGAAAATTAATTTTATTTTTGTTGAAATATAGAAGTTTATTATTAAAAAGGATATACAGAAATGGGAGAAAAGAAGTGAGCTAATTAACTTCGACTCGAGAACCAGGGTTGCATCAAGTCTTAATATCGCAGTGGAGACTGAGAACAAAGAGAGGTGATCCGGTTCGAGACTGTTGTATCAATTTATCGGATGAGTTGCTCTGGTTTGTTGAATTTGCGTTGATGTGAATTGTCGTTTGGAAGGAAACCGAACACGTGTCTTTGACATGGACACATACAAAACAAGACAAAAACCTAGTACATTATCGATTAGGTTGTGTTTATTTCATAAAACATAATTTGATCGGTATAAAAAGAGGATAAAACAAATTATAATTTTTTTTTGTTGTAACTAGGATTAGTCAACAATTATTTGAGTTTTGTAGAATAGTGTAATGGCCGTCAAAAGAAAGTAAAACGCAAGAACTGAGATTAGACGATAACGTTCGTATGTTACAACAATGACGAGAGAATTATGAGCCTATGAAAGCTGATGTCTTGTTCTTGATTTGAAATTCTTTTTCTTTTACGGGAATTTGAAGGGCTTATATGTTAATGATGTTAATATTTATTAGTAATGGGCCTAACTCAACACCCAAAAGCTAGCTCAAGAGAGGAGGTTTGCTTCATACTATATATATTGCCCAAGGATTTTATTTCTTTCCGATGTGGGACTCTAACACACCCCCCTCACGCTCAGGACTGGACATCTGAAGCGTGAAGTTTGTGGGACTGGACATCCACGGATGGTAGCCCACTTTCGAGAAAGTTGAACCTTTGCTCTGATACCATATTAGTAATGGGCCTAACTCAACACCCAAAAGCTAGCTCAAGAGAGGAGGTTTGCCTCATACTATATATATTGCCCAAGGATTTTATTTCTTTCCGATGTGGGACTCTAACAATATTGCATCGATCATATGGAGAAAATAAAATATAAGTATCGTTGAGAATCATATACGTTTATACCTTTTATAAATCTATACGGACTGACCGACAATAATACCAATTTGATCATTTAATCACATTTGCATAAACCACAAATTGAACTCCTATTCAAAGCGTCTCACTAGAATATTTATGGAAAATCGTACTCCAACTACACCAAGTATTTGGCATGTATTGAAATTGAATACATGAAATTAAATTTGTGTCGGTTGCTAGCATCATGGATTCAAATTATCTTTTTATTTCACCAAGGGTTAAAAAACGCCGTACGTCGACATTCCAAAAACGACGTTAGTTTTTTCAGTAGCTTTGGTTTTCTTTCTAGCAAAGCCAACTCATTAGTCAACATTTATACCAGTTATTGGCATGTAGAAACATCTAATACAAATTTGCGTTCCTCGTCCATTAACTACAAAAATTCGATCGCCCAAAAAAAGTGAGAGAAATAAGCATTGAGATCTCGAATGTTGACGTGGACAGTTTTTGCATACTTAGCTCTGAAATAGAAAGGTCAAGGAGAGCCCAGGGACAGAGGGGGTCAAGGACTGAGCCAAGACCCAAAAAAAATAAAATTAATAACCTTAATTTATTAGTCTCAACACTAGCCTTTTGTGTGCACTGAAATATTCTTAAATCAAATTTATGGATGGAGAAAAGCAATTTTTTGATGATTTTTTTTTCCCAATTTATCTGTTAGTAGGTGTAAATGAACAAAATCTACAATATTTTTGCCAAAATAAATTTCTTTTTTATGGTCCAAACAGAAGTTTTATAGCACCAAGGCCAAATGCTATAACGAGTTGACCTATTTACCGGTTTCCGAGTCTATTAACTAAACCATAATATGCGGCCACGTAGGTATGCTTAAACAAGGAAAACAAATAAAAAATTGTTATTCGTCTATAAGAGAGATAAGTGTCCGCATGGTGGCAAAGATTAGAGTGTAACCCGAAAGCTCTGGTAAACTCGAATTCCCTAAGTGAAAACAATATTCTTGTATAGAAATCAAGATGACATGAGAAGATTCAACCCGCTAATTAGTAGTAAGGATTATCTATGTCTAGGGATGAAACCTCTCTAGTTAGAAAGTTCTTTTGCGGATTAGAACTAGGAATTCACGGTTATCTCCTTTCTAAACTTTTAAACTGTTGGAACTAAAGTTCTGATATTTCAAATGACATGAAATCTTTAAAACTCTTTCACAAGGAGATGTAAACAAAGTGTTTATGTTTTTGCTTCTAAACAAAGTTCCATGTCACCAAAATTTAGGTTCATTCAAGATTCCGTTAAATACTAGACATTTGGGGTCGACAACGACAAATTAAGAAGAAATGATTAGAGAGGATAGCATGAAATGTGCCACGTATGATATATGGTTGGATACCATAAGATTACTTACTTTCGAATTCTCGGCGAACTTTACGGACAGAAAAAGGAATAAACAAAAGAAAAAGGATGACGTCGCATGATAGAGTTGCCTACTTTGCCCTTGATCAACAATAAGTAGTTTTTGGGATGCATGTGCTACGATTACTCAAATCTTCGTTGTCGTTATCACATTTATCTTATAGATCAAATCTTGTTGGTGGAGTGGAGTGAAGGTGAAGACTTGTTGATATGAGCGGGCCTAGCTCTCTCCTTGATTGATTCCTACTACTCCATCAAATTTAATGTAATTCACTTTCATATTTATCTATCTAGGGGTTGTTGTAAATATTGAGTAAACTCTCAAGTCAAAGAATAATAATAAATATTTGCACATTTCCTTTTTAACTTGTGACAAACCGTAAATAGCCAAAAATAACCTTTGGAAAATTTTGGGAAGAGGAAGAATTTGTCCGTTCTCTATGGACGCCGAGATCAAAGTAAGTAATTATCTTCATTAGACAGTTTATTTTGTCGAATTAGATTGTTTGCTTTCAAGTTTCTTATTAATAAAGCAAAAGATATTTGACAAAACACATATATGTTGGATTAGAAAAACTTCAAGTTGCACTTCTTCTTTTAGCCATCGCACTATCTTCCGTGAAAAGAGAAATTACATATAGCTTATATTAGATGACTTCATAATTTAACAAAAATTGTTTGTTAATCTTCGACTTAGCATGTATGAAGACTTTTTCTTCTAAAAAATCTTTAAGTTTTGACAAAATAATTCTATACCTATTACTAGGTCAAAATACAATGTTATTTTATTTGTAAAAGATGTATTTGAGGTAATTGATCATCAAATGACCAAAATGAAAGAGCTAATTAAGAATTTAACAATGTACAAAAAAAAAAGTTTTAGTGGAAATGGCCAAAAGTAAACATCCATTCCTTTTTTCCTACACCATGCATGAAGATATGGAAGATCAAATTCGTCAACTCCATCGCTTTGTCTCTTAATATTTCTTTTGTTTCTCAACAAGGATCAAGTATGGAACGTCAACACTCAACAACCACAAGAAATCCAAATATGCTAAGGTCGCATGAGTTCGCTAGGAATAAGTCTATAACATCTCCTTTTGTCAACAAAATAAAAATGTATACATGCATTATTTACTTTTTTACCAGACTTCCATTGTCAACAAATGACATTATTGTTGTCGTCGAAGAAAAAACAAAGGTGACACTATTGCTGTTTTACTTTTTATTTCATGAGGACCCAATTTTTTTTTTTTTTATAAAAGATCAACCGTATCAGTTGATTACGGTGTCCATTAGAGAAAAGCATGCTCAACTGTCAAAAACAACCTAACAATTAGGAATCCCGTAAAACCGGCAAATCACGAGGGCAGCATTACATTGCATGTCCCACAATTCACTTTCTCTCCCATGCTTTTCCACTTCCACCTATCATTACCAACACCTATTACCTAAAGGACTTTAAGCCAGAGAGTTTTCAAATCCCGTACCGTGATTGGTGCAAACGAATATGGTGAATATCAAACTGTTTTCTCAAAACATTTTCACCGACACCAATCATGAAGCAAATAGCTAGCTGAAATTAAATTTTCTACATATAGAAAATGAACGTGGAATTGAGAGAAATAATGCCAGATATAAAAATGAAGTTACATCATATAAACACTATAACTTAATTAAGTACTTTGTGCTAGTATATTATTACAAACACTTCTGATTATCATCTTTGTTTTCACTATATAAACTCCTCTCTATTTTTAAAAAAATTCCTACAACTCTTATATCATTCAATCCCTATCTACAAGTTAGGTGTCCATAAAGATTATACGGATATCGAAATTTAAATGATAGATGGCGGAGACGGAGATCATGCAAGGACTATTATCTTCAACAGAATCATTTCGACATATTAAATGGGTTTTTTCCCCGACATTTTATTACATGATTCTACTGTTTTCTTTCTCATCATCTCTTTTCCATTCTTTGTTTTTCTATTTTTGTTTCTAGATTACTTGACATGTTAAGTCATTTATCTTCCTTTTCCCTTGATATCTTACCCGACATGTTGCTATAGTAAGTACTATGGTTGGAAATCTTAATTCTCTGAATAATAAAAGTTTTGTTCAGATAAATTGTATGATACGGCAACTTTCTAATGGTTATTTAATTTTCTTTTTGCAATTAATATATGCAACTATAAGCAAAGCCTAGTGAACTGCATAAATAATTGAACTGCATAAGTAAATATAATAGGATCCGAATTGTTTGGATCCGAGTTGTGCTATGTACTCATATAAGAAAATCCCGCAATGTTGATATAAAATTTACCAAACTGTATCCCACACTTTAAAAGTTCTCACCATTCTTTATGTGAATGCTATAAGATCCAAATCGTTTGGGACAGATTTTACATTTTAAATTCTTATATTCCGCAAGTGCCCAGTGGTGCCGCACGAATTATTTAGTGTATCAAACTATTGATAGGAGTAATTAATAAAGCATATACAGTGCAACAATCTATTTAAATGTATAGAAATATATTTAACTAAACCATAGTAGTATAATAAAAAAACACTTTTAAGGGTTTTGAAGATTCCCTCGCCCTCCAATCGTCTTCCATTGACATCTGTATTGGCGAATCTCGACTATAACTTGGTGGAACAAATGATGCTATTCGAAATTTCCCTTGGATTCTATAATATATTTAGAAAGTTTAGAACATAATTTTTTTGAAAAAAATATATTCCATCGAATGCCACTGCAAAGAATGATGTTTAAGAAACGGAGGCCTTCCATGTTGCAAACTCCCACTTGGTAGTTCTGAGGTAATTGACAAGTGCTTCGACTCAACCATTACTAGTCACGCTTAGTGGATATGCTTGGATCGCTAGTTCCCACCACATGCTTCAGCTTCTTTATCTTGACTTAAAGAGTTCACGTCGATGTCTTCCTCCCCTACACGACAATGCAGAACATGCATGTTCAAACAAATCGAAGATATATTAGAAATTTTGTGAAAGGCCATGAGGTAGATAATTAAATTCATGAATTCAAAACAAACCTGAAGCATGTTCTACATTACATGCTCAATCAAGAAAAGTCAAGCTTTTTTAAATTCCGACTTTGTTGTTGTATGAAAAACATTAAAATACAACTATAAATACATGCAAACATATTGTTATAAACTATAATAATTTCTTGAAGTGGATCCTTATAGTTAACTTAACACCAACTTCCTGGATCTACATTGTATATAATTGGCTAAACAGGTCATGTGGAAGTTATTTGAAAAATACACCATATCGACCTAATTAGATTGGAGGCTTTTTATTTATTTTTTGTCAACAGTTAAGATTTGAGTAACGGATGTAACCATATTATTGGTTCCTCCTAGGCATTATTATTATAGTATAGTATAAGGTTTTTCTAAAACTAAAGATGATATAAGAAAAAAAGTGGGACCTAAACCTTAAAAATTCCAATAACAAATAGTATAGGGGTCCTTTTATATCTTTATATAAACCCCCAAAGTTTCCTCTTCTCTCTATTCTCACTCAAATCTTCTTTCCTCTGTCTTCCTTCGCTTCCCTCTTCTCTCACCAAAATCTGAGAGAAAGAAAGAGAGACAGTACTGTAATCCGAGTGAGAGAGAAAGAAAAATGAAAATGCAGACGAAGAAGCTCTTTATCACCATTGTCTCCTTTCTTCTCTATGCTCCATTGTTCTTATCTTCACCAGTTCCAGACCCAGAATCTGTTGTTGAAGAAGTTCACAAGTATGAATCTTTTTTCTTAACCTTTCCTTCACATTTACTTGAAAACCACTTCTCCTTTTAATTTCTGCTTTTTATGAAAACCCAATTTGAGCATAGTGTTACAAAGTTGTCGCCTTTACAATAAATGGGACCATTTTGAAAAGTCTCTGTTTTTTTTTAACAAAAGTTTGCAATGTGTTTGTGTTGTTGCAGGAGCATTAATGCGTCGGTTGCAGGAAGAAGGAAGTTAGGTTATCTCTCATGTACGACCGGTAACCCAATCGACGACTGTTGGCGATGTGACCCACACTGGGAGCAACACCGTCAACGTCTCGCCGACTGCGCCATTGGGTTCGGCAAAAACGCCATCGGTGGCCGTGACGGTCGGATCTACGTGGTCACCGACTCAGGAAACGACAACCCAGTTAGCCCCAAGCCCGGAACTTTAAGACACGCCGTGATCCAAGATGAGCCACTCTGGATCATCTTCCAACGAGACATGACGATTCAGCTCAAAGAAGAGCTAATCATGAACTCTTTCAAGACCATCGACGGTCGTGGTGCTTCCGTACACATCTCTGGTGGGCCTTGTATCACGATCCAGTACGTGACCAACATTATCATTCATGGGATTCATATCCATGATTGCAAGCAAGGTGGGAACGCTATGGTGCGGAGCTCCCCACGGCACTTCGGGTGGAGAACGATATCGGACGGTGATGGTGTCTCTATCTTTGGTGGAAGTCATGTTTGGGTTGACCATTGTTCGTTCTCTAATTGTGAAGATGGACTCATTGATGCTATAATGGGCTCAACGGCTATCACTTTGTCTAACAATCACATGACACATCATGATAAGGTCATGTTGCTTGGTCATAGTGATACTTACAGTCGTGACAAGAATATGCAAGTCACCATTGCTTTTAACCATTTTGGTGAAGGCCTTGTCCAAAGAATGCCCAGGTAAATATAACTAAATGTGATTTTGGTTTTCACTTTGTTCTAGTAGTTAATGTGATTGTGACCATGGATATAGATTAATTTTGGGACCATTATATTGTTGTTGTGTAGGTGTAGACATGGGTACTTCCATGTGGTGAACAATGACTACACACATTGGGAGATGTATGCGATTGGAGGAAGTGCTAATCCTACAATCAATAGTCAAGGGAACAGATTTTTGGCCCCCAACATCAGATTTAGCAAAGAAGTGACTAAGCATGAGGACGCGCCTGAAAGCGAGTGGAAGAGATGGAATTGGAGATCTTCCGGAGACTTGTTGCTTAACGGTGCGTTTTTTACGCCGTCTGGTGGTGCAGCCTCGTCTAGCTATGCCAAGGCCTCAAGCCTTGGGGCTAAACCGTCTTCTCTAGTTGGACCATTAACGTCTACTTCTGGTGCACTGAATTGCCGTAAGGGGTCCCGTTGCTGATTGTGGCTTAGTGGTCGCACTTAAGGTTTTACCCAATTTATAATTATATAGGAAAAGGCAATTAAAGCCACCAATTAAGGGGGATAAGTAGAGTAGTAAGTCTTCTTTCTTTATCCCTTGATTTACTCTTTTTTTCTTTCTTTCTTTATTTGGGTAAAATTGAAGGAGAATACAACCTCTGGCTTGCTGCTCTTAGGACCCTTCTTAAGGATTCTCTGTTTTAAGGAATCTTTAAATTAGGTTAAAGTGTGGGAACAAGTGCAGATGTGTTGATCTTGATATTAATATAAATATAATTTTGTGTCTTATGAGCCTTGCAAAGACAAATAGATTAGTTATAAAATTACGACAAAAAAAAGATAAGTTATAAAATTAATTTGAAGTATAAATTTACGTACACTCATGAAGGAGAGGTTAGTTACAATGTGCACATTTGGCAGATCAATAATGGCTCTTTGGTTTTCCAAATAAAATTACTTTTTATTCAGAAATTTGGAATGTTATGTAAAATGGTAACTTTTTGGGTCAAAGATGTTCGAGCCAGTCAATGTTTGACCAACTGCCGCGACTTTTTTCCCTCTGGCCGATGCATCGATTCCGGTTAAATAACAAAAAAAAATTTACCCTTAAAAATAGGAAAAAAAGCAGGCATGACCATGAGAGAAGAGAAAAGTGGAGTTGATAGATTTGGAATAGAAAAAGGAAATAAAAATTTCAAAAGAAAGATAATTGGAGCAGTCAATACCACAGTAGCTCTACTTTTGATGGGCTTGTCTCATATTCGTGTTTTGACTACTGTCCACTGATTATGGGTTTCATTTAAAATTTGAAAGTAACTAATTAAACAACTAACCACCTTTCTTTTTGGCCATGTGCAACGTTTTTTGGGTTTTTGTTAAAGATGGCCATGTGCAACCTAATAATACATTTAGGAACGAAAGGAAGAAAAAGAAATTTGAAACTACAAGTGGTCGCAACTAATGATGTATGTAGTTGGTGTGATTAGTATGTGGCTGGTTTGATTTGGTGAGTCAGTGAGAATTAAATGATGCGGATATAAGTTTGCAAAGAGAGATTTAAAGATTGTTTTTTTGTCATACTGTATATAGCATCAAACTAGTTAATTTTCACATTGTTCCCTTGTTTTTTTTAAAACAAAAAAATTCTTCACATTGAGTTATTGGTGAACTAAGAAACTCGTATGGAGCAAGAAGGTTTCATTGGTCAAGTTATGAGTTGAGGTTGTGCGGTCACGTGGGGTCAGTTAATTTAGTTGCAACAATCGATTATACTATTTGAGTCTTTTACTTATGTTCTGTTATTTCACTTGGATTTATCAACAGATTATACTTCAATATTTCAGTGATGTTGTGGCAGTAAGAAATTATAATTAACTATAACCAACAAAAAGGATTCAGAATTACTCAAAGTGAGACTTGAACCCTTTCAAAACCGATTATAACGCACACAAGCCTCCACCGAAATGTATACAGTATACACCATAAACTACTACCGAATTCGCAAGGCTAATATTTACTTCCTTTGTAATTTTTTAAAAAAATTTGGATTCGAGTGTAAGTGGATTGTTCTTCAGAAAGTTAGATAGATCATTATGAGGTTGTTCTTGAGAGAGCTAGAAAGCTCAAAACAAGTTTATCAATTCGAATCTTGGTTTAACTCAACAAATAGTTATCATTGCTCATAGTGATCCTTATGGAGAAGATGGTATATCATCTTTAGACCAGTTTGAGGTAGATGAATAAGAATTAAAATGAGACTTTGTATTGTGGAAAAGAAAATGTCTATCTCGAGTGAAAGTTTAAAGTTTATGCTATGATGTTGGCCGAAAACACATTTTCGCAATTATGATTTAATTCACAAATGGTTTAAATGGGTCTAAATAAGTTTTTATGGGTCAAAATAATTTTGATGGTTCTAAATAAATGGGTGGGTTAAATGGGTCAAAAATAAATGGGCTTCAAATTTTAATGGGTTCATATTTAAATGAGTGTGTTTTTAAATCTAGAGGGTAATTTTACCCAAATTAAAATCCTATGTGACAGATATATCAAACTTTGATTTGAGTTATACAGACCTTGTTAATTAAATTTTGAATATCTCTCGTTTTGATAATTTTATACAGACCTTGTTTTTCGTAAGAGATTGAAATTTTTCTATGATTTTTCCTCTCTTTTTCTTTCCAAAATGCATCAAAGATAATTTCTTCGGCCTTATTTTTATTTTTGGTTCTTGTAATGAGATTTTAACTTTGGTATATCTAAGAGCCCATTTTTTTAGTTGCTGTCTCGGCCCTCCTTATCCTTATCTCGCCCACCGTTCTAAAACCCTTCCCTTCCTCTTCTTTTGCTCTTCTCCTTCCACTTCTTCTATCTCTCACAATTCAGCAATGGCTTCTTCTATAGTCACCTCAAGCTTGAAGCCTTTAGCCATGGCGGATTCTTCCTCTTCTACCATTTTCTCCCATCCTTCCATCTCCTCTTCCATCTCTTCCTCCAGAATTCGCTGCTCCAATGTTTCACTCCTCACGGGACACATTAACCTGCCCCTCTCTTTCTCTCGCGCCTCTCTATCTCTCAAATCCAAAACCCACCTTAAAAAATCCCCCTTTGTTTCCTTCGTTGCCCAGACTTCGGATTGGGCTGAAGAAGGTGGGGAAGGAAGCGTCGCTGTTGAGGAGAACGAGGACAGTTTCGAGTCACAAGATGGTGAAGCAGATGTGAGCGAAGGAGCTGACTTCCCGGAGCCATCGGAAGAAGCCAAGCTTTTCGTCGGAAATTTGGCTTATGATGTTGATAGCCAAGCATTGGCTATGCTCTTTGAGCAAGCCGGTACTGTTGAAATCGCTGAGGTGAATTTAGCTGCTTCCTTATTGTGCTCTTATGGTCGCCTTGAAGCTTTTATATGTTCATTATGCATTGCTTAAGGTTATGTATGTTGTGTGCATTGCCATTTGCATCCAAATATGAGTCTAATGGATGAGGAAAGTAGAATTCATGGCTTTTGAGTGTTTTTGGAGCATCTCTGCTTTGAGAGTTTTATTGAATTGGTCAGAATTGCGTAGATTGATTTCATATCTGTTGACATTAAGCTTTTGGTTTTGAATATGTATAATATAGTTGATGTTATTCAAAGTTCTCTCCTTTTTATTTAGTTCAGGTGATAATGTTGTTAGTCCTAACTTATTATTTGATTTTTTCTTGCTGAAGGTTATTTACAATAGGGAAACTGACCAGAGTCGTGGGTTTGGATTTGTGACAATGAGTACCGTGGAAGAAGCTGAAACAGCTGTGGAGAAGTTCAACCGTTATGTAAGTTTATATGTTTCAATCATATCTGAAAAAACTGAAGTAGTAGCACTTTTTTGTGATGAGATATTGTTCTTTTGATTTTGGCTCATAAGTGGCATTGTTTGTTCTTAATCCAACCAAAGTTTTCGACTATGGACTGCTGTTATTTGAAATTTTGGATGCTACTAGTTGTCACACTTTCTCTGCTTTTTTGTTCAATCGAATATGGAAGCTTTGACATCATTATCGATTGATGCATTTTATCAATTGTTCACTACCTGTTCCCATTTTTTGCATCTGCATGGTTTGTGCCTGAGATATATTGGCAACTGAGTTGAGTTGGGGATTCTCTAACATGTGATTCTGTCTGTGAGAACATTACTGAACATTGTTGGTATTTCAATGTCTGTCAGGATCTGAACGGACGTCTTCTGACGGTAAACAAGGCAGCTCCAAGAGGATCACGTCCAGAACGTGCACCTCGGGTATATGAACCTGCATTCAGAGTCTATGTAGGTAATCTACCATGGGATGTGGACAATGGCCGTCTAGAACAGGTTTTCAGCGAGCATGGTAAAGTTGTGGAAGCTAGGGTGGTTTACGACCGTGAGACAGGTCGTTCACGTGGATTCGGGTTCGTCACAATGTCTAACGAGAATGAACTCAACGACGCCATCGCTGCTCTTGATGGACAGGTACTCCTCTTCCTCTCATATGGTTATGCTAATGCATTTAACATGATTTTGTGACGTATCTCTTAATCGATATTTCCTTGTGTCTTTATTTGCAGAACATGGAGGGTAGAGCAATCAGAGTGAATGTAGCAGAGGAGCGCCCAAGGCGTGGATTTTAAAGCTGAGATTTCTCTGTGCCCTCTCTCTCCCTCTCTTGCATTTTGTTTAGATGAGATTCTTACACTCTTCAACGATTGTTTTTGGCTGAACTCTGAATGTGAAAGTTAAGCTTCTTCTAAAGTAATATGTATCGCTTCGCTTTTGATGATCTCTTATTCATAGTTAAATTCCTAATTGTCGGTGTTCCATTCCCTCAAATCACATCGGGATACAATATTCCTGGGACATGCCTTGTTGGTGACCTTGGATATTAGCAACTAGAATGAAATCGACTGAGAATGACAGGCTTCGATAGCAAAGCACACATTGGTTGAGGCCCAATGGAAAGAGGACTTGAAAGGTGTGGTATAGTGAGTTAGGCTCTGCCAGTCTATAAGTTCCTAAAGAAGAGGCTTGAGATCTTGATTGTTTTCTTACAAGGATCCACTCTCTAATCCAACACTTAACAAACCACACATGAAAAATTTAGTCTAATCTGAAAGCATTATGTCCATATCATCAAATCACACCAACAACAGACATCAAATGTTTTATCTTTGTTTTGTGATATCCATCACATGTTTCATCAAGAACCATTATTACTGAGCCTTATTGAATCCTAAAATGTGCACTACATGGCTAATCAAGGACATAGTGTCCATTAACAGCAAAAGAGTTTTAATACTAGAAAGGAAACATAAAAAAGTTATGGTTACTTGGCAGGGATGTCGACGGTTGTCTGGTTCACGATGGATGGCTTGAGGAGTTGGAGGTTGTTGGTCTATCTTGCATTTTTCGCTTTGTTCATCGGCCATCATGGACCATCTTCAGTGGTCGCCTACCAGACTGATGTCGAGGCTTTCGAATGACCAAAACTTTCAATCTGCTTGTCTGGTCACGATGATCCTTGGTTGTTTGGAAAATTAACTCCGACAAATTTCTTGATTCCAAATTGGGATTCATTTGACACCGAAAATGTTTATTTTAGCTTTGATCTTTCAGGGCCATATGTGTTTCTTCCACTCAACTCCAAAGACATATAGACCCGAAAATGTAGAATAAGACGAACTTTAAGCTTATTTATATGGCTTACTTATTTGGCTTAAGAGGCCTAAACTCATGTGATGTATCCTAGAAAATTATAGATAATCCTATACAAAATTATGTATATCACCTACTTCTAGCTGGAATCTTAGCCACCAATTCCAATAATAAGTTTGCCAAAGAGTATACAAGAAATTCGTGTACAAATAAATATACACGCTCCCTCTTTTTCTCTCCCTAGTTTAGGTAAGAACAAATGATAAAAAAGCTTACACCTTTTATGGAATGCTCTCTTACCCTTTCACCCATGCCCGGTTCTTAGTACTGCGAGACGCGAGTGCTATGGCACAGGACCCACTATGTTTTTGTAAAGAAAAATCATTTATACTCTAGAGACAAACTTGTAGAGAAATCGGATCCTTTCATGTAATGTAATAGTACTACATTACAAAAAATGTGTCTAGCTCCTAGTGATATTAAGTCGTAGATTTAAGGTCAACTAAAATTAATTTGTACATGGAGTATATATATGAGTCAAAATTTTAATTTCACCTCATAATATGCACCAATCCTTTTTGGATTCACACTCTACTACAAGTCGAGAAACCATCCTTTTCTTCGCGCCTTAGTAATCGCATGGTCCTTTGAGAATGATTTGTTATGACCTAGAGGTATAACCTGAATTTGAGCTGAAATCTTCATAGCTAACTCTTATAGACTTAACCAAAAAATTCTCTCACTCCCACACGTTTTTAAATGATATACTCCACCTTATAGTCCTGAACTTATTTGATATGACTCGTTGAATTCAGTAATCTGAATGAAAGACTCTTCTTCGAGTTCTGTTTGTATCAAGTATCTATAACTCCAAGCCAAATAGGAAATCAGGGTTTCATTTCACCTTATTAGAGGGTATACGTAATACAAACCGAGACAAGCAAAACTTGTAATAATCATATTCTAAAACATATAGAATTAGATTCAACTGATGACAGAGTGAAATATGCATTTAAAAGACAAAACAATAAGCAAAAAGTCTTGATCGTGCTCGTTCAGTCGCTTTATCAAAATATGGAAATGCAACATTTGTTGGGATACACGAGATTAAATGGTCCATATATTCATGCATGTGTAGCAAACAGCGTAAGCAATAATAGACGCCATATATTTTAAAAAGAGAGGAACAAAGTGTATGAGAATAGAGCGACACTGATGATTCATTTGCTAGGCCAGATCTTGTCTTGGAACTCTCTTATCCCCCAACCTTAGCCTTAGCTTCTCGACCAGTCATTCCATTAATTTTCACACTTGTCTGAGTTGTCTCTTTGCTTACCTCTCTTAATTATTTTTGGATCCATCGTCAACGTTTTATAATAAAAATAACATTATTCAATTTTCATTATTGTCACTATATATCAATCTGCAAAAAAGCGTAAACATGTAATATTTCATTGGACAAAATGATAAGAATGAAATCGTCCAAAATGTGTTTTATAACCTAGCTATTTTAGTAATTGGACAACAGAAATTGTCATTTTAAAAATTATATATCATGATAGTTACCTAATGCAAATACTTTAAAAACTAAAGATTCAATAGTCAGAAAGTAATCATTAAAAAAAAAAAGTCCATTATTATTTGGAATATATATATATGTGTAGTTTTTGTTTGCATAAATAGAGGGATATATATAGTTTGCTTGCCGGCAAGAAAAGATGGAGGAAGGGATAGTATTGGTCCCCAAGCCCATGATCCCGCCAGTAAATTCTTTAGGGCACCCAACCATCCACGTGTATCCCTCAAACCCTACAACCTGTAAATCCATTTACAATGTATCTTAATTTAATACTAGTGTACTTACCCCAAAAGTTTCTTTTAAATTCAATCTTAAAATCATATTATAGCCAACAAATCTAGCTAACACCAGCAACTTGTGGTTTTAGAATCTTTTAACTTGTAATGGACTTTATGATGTTATCCATGTGAATCACACATGCTTGTTATGATTTATCATGTGTAGTAGTATGAGTGGCCAAGCACAGATAACTCTTCAACACAATTATATAGGTTATGTTTTACATTTCAAACAAAACAAACAAAATAAGAAATGTCGTTTTTCTTTTGTTTAAGTCCTGGAATAATGGTTTTGGTTTTTAGACGCAATAGAGACAGGATCACCATTTTCGTTCTGGACAAACAAATAAAATTAAAATTTTATACATTAAAATATGGTTAGAATTTGCAAAAAAAAAAAAAAAATTATTTAGGTCCAAAATCGGTCAGTGAGTATCTCTCTCTGTCTAAAAGAAAGAGAAGGAAAAGTTAAGGAATGTTTCCTCGCAATCATCATCACCATCTTCGTCTTCTTCTCTGATTCTCCAGCGACTTCCTAGTTCCCTACACTTACTAATACAGACTGAGAGAGAGAGTGGACTCTTCTTAGAGAAGATGGGAGGTGTGACTTCTTCAATGGCGGCGAAGTTGGCGTTTTTTCCACCGAATCCGCCGTCGTACAAGCTGGTCAGAGATGAAGCAACGGAGCTTGTTCTCATGGACCCTTTTCCACATCGAGAAAATGTCGACATTTTGCGGCTGCCCACGCGCCGAGGCACCGAAATCGTGGCTATGTACATCAGATACCCTATGGCCGTCACTACTCTTCTCTATTCACATGGAAATGCTGCCGACATCGGTCAGATGTATGAGCTCTTTATCGAGCTTAGTATTCATCTCCGCGTCAATTTGATGGGGTTAGTTCCCTTTTTGAATCTCCCAGATCAAATTCTTCTTTCTATATTTAGCTCCGGATCTTGCTAAGACTGATCTAGGAGATTAAAAAAGTCGACTTTTTAAATTGCTCTGCTTTCTGGATTTGTTAAAGTAGCTTGATGCTTTCAGATGCAAAATTTAGCTCAAATTTTGGTCTCAGTGTGTAGAAAGAAGTGGATTTTATTAAGCTGCGGATTTGTGATTCACAAAATCTTCTGAAAGTTTAGGTTGCAGACTCTTAAAATCTTGGATTTTTGCTGGAAGAGTGTTGTTTGTTGTATGGAATTCTTGTCTTTAGGGTTTGTTCTAAATCGAGATATCTACTACTCCTTTATCAAGGAGAAAAAAAGTAGTTTTGAGGTTGAGATGTTTGAGTTTGATTGTTGACACTTGACATCAAGTGGTCTTGGGAAATAGTTTCCATTTCTAGAAATTCAAGATCTGTTATTGTTTCTGTTTCTAAAGGCAAGTATTGAATACCCAAAATGTACTTCTTTGATGTAACAAGTTTTTGGCTCATTCAGGTATAACTTAAGATTCTGGGATAGATTGGTTTCTCGGATTAGAACGCTATGTTTTTCTGTCATATCTTCAAATGAACCCGAAAAATACTATGATTTACTTCTGTAAGCTTATGATTTCCATCAACATGGGAAGATCTTCTAAATATGTTGTGGTGTTTTTAGGTATGACTATTCAGGGTATGGCCAATCATCAGGGAAGGTGAGTAACCACAGATCCTTAAGCTCTCTTAGTTCTCTGGGATTCAAATGTTGGTTTATTTACACTGCGAACATAAATCTCCGTTTTGTTGCAGCCCACAGAACAAAACACTTATGCTGATATCGAGGCCGCTTACAAATGTCTGGAAGAGAATTATGGGGCAAAGCAGGAGAACATTATCCTATATGGTCAATCTGTCGGTAGTGGTCCAACCGTCGACCTAGCTGCACGTTTGCCTCGACTAAGAGCTTCCATTCTTCATAGTCCAATTCTTTCTGGGCTTAGAGTTATGTATCCCGTTAAGAGAACTTATTGGTTTGACATATACAAGGTTAACATAATATCCTTTTGATTTCTATACCTAATGTTGCTTATAAACATTCTTCCTTCTTGACAGCGTTTTGTTTGATCTTCTTCAGAACATTGACAAAATTACGCTGGTGAGGTGTCCTGTCCTCGTGATTCATGTAAGTTTCCGTGATCAAAGATTATTGACTGGAAAAATTGGGCTAACCAAGTTATAGGCTGAACATTTTGTCTTGCAGGATCCATTCTTTCTTGTATGAATCCTTGTCTAATAATCCTCAGTAGTAGTTTTAATGATGGTGAAAGCTTTTCTGTTTGCAGGGAACAGCGGATGATGTGGTTGACTTCTCACATGGGAAGCAGCTTTGGGAACTCTGCCAAGAGAAATATGAACCGCTATGGCTCAAAGGTGGAAACCATTGTGATCTTGAACTTTTTCCCGAATACATTGGCCATCTCAAGAAGTTTGTGAGCGCTGTGGAGAAATCTGCATCGAAAAGAAACAGTTCTTTCTCAAGAAGAAGCATGGAAGGTTGCGAACAACCTCCTCGGCATAGTGTAGATGCCCCAAGGAAAAGCAAGGATGGACGAGAAAAACCGAGGAAAAGCATAGACAGGTTAAGGTTTCAGGGATACAAGTTGAGCCACATAGAGAAACCAGAGAAGCTGAAGGTTCCATTTGAGGAAATGGAGAGGTCGAGGAGAAGCGTGGACATATACAGAGACAAGTCTCAGCCGATGGAGAGAGCACGTAAGAGTGTGGATTGGTTGGACAGAAGTCGAGCTACCGAATGAAAAAATGGGATTTGATGTCAAAAGATTGTATTTGAGTGTCGTTTAATTTATTGGGGTGTGTGTTTGTATTGTAGTTTGTATGTCAAGTTAAGATACAACACAGAAAATAGATTTAAACAAAGTCGGTAACTTATCTGACTGTTTCCCACACGACACGTTTTACTGGTTTTTAGTTTATTTGACAAGATTCGTGTGATGTCGTCTTGTTGTTGTTGTTCATGTGCAAAACTTGAAGTGTAATAGCTTGCAAACAGAATCTCGGAACCAACCAACAAAAACTCAAGCTTTCTCGATCCACCCTAGCACAGAAGCTTGCACTCGATTTGTAAGAAGGATCCATAGGCTTGATGATTATGTAGATGGGGATCTTTGTGGGCTTCTCTTGCACGTGATCTTTATGGGCTTATATTGGCCCAATCATATTGGTATATGCTTCATCAAATCTTTCTTTTAAGCTACGTGTACTTGTCAGAGTCGGATAAGAGTAAGACTCCGATCGAATTATCTAACCGAAGTGAGCCGAGTCGGGTTCGAAAAGAAACCAAAACTGATAATCGGTCCAATAACTCAAAACTGACTACTCTTTTATTTTGTCTCTCTGTTGATGCGCAAACGCGAAGATTATCTTCTCAGTTACTACTACTGGAACTAAAAGCTGAGAACCTGAAACATGGAGTCTCTATCTCTTCCTGTTCTAAATCCTCTATTAGCTTCTAGTTCTAATCTGTTCAGAAACCAGAGCTCGAGGATGACCTCTTCAATGGTATCTTCACTTAAAACCCCCATCGGAGGCACATCACTTTCCACTGTTCGCCGCTTTGTAAGTTGATTCTCTTTTATGGCCTTATCTCGTTTTCTCCATTCGATTTGTTTGATGGGAATGCGAAAGTGAAATTTCACTCTCTGTAATCTGTATGTTTGGTCATTGTGTTTTTGAATGTTTAGAGAGTAGGAGTTGTTAGGATGCAAGCTGTTGATGAAGATATTGATCTGAAGCAAATGAGAGACATGGCTGCTGCTAAAAAGCGTTGGGATGGTTTGGTAACAATTATCTCTTTGCCCAATTCTTCATCTTTATCTTAAATTTGGAACATCTGAATTGATAAAAACCAACATGTTTTCATTTTTATTGTTATTCAACTCTTCTCCTTATTAACAAATTTATTGTTTGCTTAGTTAAGGGAAGGAAAAGTGAAGCTTCTTACACCAAGAGAAGCAGGCTATGCTATTTCTCTTTCAAACAAACCTCTACTCGATGTCCGCCCCTCTAGCGAGCGCAACAAAGTACATTCTTGTTTTTGAGTTATTAGACTGCTTGCTACTTATCCATAGATGATGATTCTCTTGTCTAACTTCACCCTTGAGTTGTCACAAAGAATTTGGTTCATGTATCTCACCTTAGCATGTTAGTAAGTTAGTTCAAGCTCCTAGGCGACTGTAACTATTTTTGATTACTTTTAATTCAGCAATGTTAGTCTGGAATCAAAACTCTAGTGTGTTACTGATGTAATCTTCTCTTCCTTTTTCTTTTTTTTTTTTTTTCTCTTTAGGCATGGGTTAAAGGCTCCACCTGGGTTCCTATTTTCGACAATGATGACAATCTTGATGCTGGAACTCTTTCCAAAAAAGTCACTAGTTTTGCTATGGGTACTTCTTCACCATTATAACCTATTGACTATAGTGATATTGGATCAACTTCTCAATATTCTATTATCTATATATTATCAATGTATATCATCCACTAATCCCATCTAGGATAGAGACTAGAACACCTGAATACACCTATTCTTTAAACTTTTTTTTGGTTCTAATAAGTTATTTTGGTTTTGATTCACCATGTTTCCACTTCTAAAGGGGGATGGTGGAGTGGAGCACCTACATTATCTTTTAATAGGTATGACTGCGAGAGTAAGCTGACCTTCTTGTATGCCTTTTGACACTTATTTGATTCTTGGTTTTCTACTTCGTTTGTAGGTTCTTCTTGTCAAAGGTTGAGGAGAAATTCCCAAAAGACTCAGAGCTGATTGTTGCTTGCCAAAAAGGATTGAGGTATTTGATACAAAAAACGGGCTAGAACCCTTAGAGAACTCACTGCTTCTTTCCAAGTAGAATAGAGTAACTAACCATGGATTTAGATATGTGGTTACTTTATGTAACCATGAATAAGTGGCTGGTTAGGTTCTCTTCTTATATATATTATATATTCAGAGAATTGAGTGTTGAATCTAGGTTTTAGGTTTTTAAGGAGAGTGAAGGAGATCCATTACCAAATGGTTGCAACTCTTTTGAAATGAAAATTGGTCTTATATTGAAAGTTAGTATGTTGATAGTACAACTATATGATCCTCAAATTTATACTTTGACTCAACAATTATTTCTTGTCAGATCCTTAGCTGCTTGCGAGCTACTATATAATGCGGGGTATGAGAATCTTTTCTGGGTACAAGGTGGTTTAGAATCCGCTCAAGACGAGGTTATACAATTGTTTCTAACTTTCTGTTTTGTGCTTTAGGCTTTTTCAGTTTCGATTCTGAATTGGAAAAGTTTACATTTTACAACATCGATAACTAAATCATTCATTATGTGATAGCAGGATCTAGTGACAGAAGGTGTTCAACCCTTGAAGCTTGCTGGTATTGGCGGTTTTTCAGAGTTCCTCGGGTAATTCTCTCTTTTGCTACTCAGACTTTCTCATAGCTTGAAAAGTAAAGGTATCAATGAGAATGAGGAGATAAATGAATAGGCCTTGGTCTTGTATTTATTTAAACTGACTGCAAATGACCTATCAATGACATAGCTCTATCTTGTACATCATATGCAACATTTGGCGTTATGCTCATTCCTTGTACTTGCAGTTGGACAGACCAGCAAAGAGCTCAAGCTGCGAAAGAAGGTTGGGGGTACCGTCTAGTATATACTGCTCGTCTGGTGAGTTTTGTCAATCAAAATCTCTTGTAGCTTCTTTTGTGAATCATATTCCTCATGACTGCTGCTCTCATGTCATGTTTGTAGTTTGGAGTTGTTCTGGCTGCTGATGCCTTGTTCGTTGGTGCTCAGCAACTAGGCCATTATATTCAGGAGTTAAGAGGCCATTAGGATCTCTCTTTAACCAAGCTCCAAGTGTCTATATTTCTTTTCAAGAAAAGAAACAAAATGTAAATTCTGTTGAAAAGTTTTGGAAGGTAGAGTAGTTGAAATAGTTAAAAAAGACATCTTTGAATCCTTGAAATTCCAAGATCCGTATTATTACTGAATTAGACAAAGTAAAATAATTAGGACAAAAGTTGCGACTAGTAAGTAGAGTTTGGTCCCTTTGGAGACATCCGATTAAAAATAGTTAGTTAAAGTTTGGAATATTCGACCCGCGGAAAAAACGATCTCGACCCAAATAGAATGCGCGTCGTTTTAAGAGAAATATAAAGCACTTCCTGTTGTTTCATCGTCTAAAAAGTGGAAGCATATTCCCCCATCAATTATTGAGCCAACCCAACTATGGTTAAATCCAGCGCAGTTCCAACTAACCAAGGTTATACCGGTTGATTACACGTGGACGGTGGAGATTGTTTCTGACTGCTTCTCTATCGCAAATTGCAATTGCTCTCTGGTTAAAAACTAGGGTTAGGCTACGATTCTGTTTACACCCAAAAAGCTATCGTCATCGCCGTTTGGCTTTCTGAAAAATCACACCGATTAAGGTTTTCTCTGGAATTCTGAGATTATGGAGATGGAGCGTGTGCATGAATTTCCTCATACTAACATGGATCGTCGTCCCAGAAAGAGAGCGCGTCTCGGTTGGGATGTGTTGCCTCAAGCAACCAAGGTATAGATTTTTTTGACCTTGTTAATTATGATTCCAATTTGAGTTGTGTGTTTGATTCCTTTGAAAATTTGATTTTTTTTTAAATTTAGGATCGGTCTAATTTTTGTGTTGATTTTTCTGGATCTGCAATTTTCTTAATGTATTTATGTTTTTTTTTTTTTTTTGTCAATTATTCATTTTGAACAAAACAAATTTTGTGTGCTTAGGTGAATTTCGTGTGTGAATTAGGTGGTGTTTTAGATCTATTTAAATTTGGTCTATCCTTGAAATATTTTAGATGTTCAGTGTGTTAGGTTCGACTTTTTTTCTGTGGTATGTTTTTTTTTTAGTATTTGTTTGTAGATGGTGAACCAAATTTGATCTGATGCATGATTTGTGAATTTTGAGCTGAGAAATATTTTGTGTTGGCTGATTCACCTTTCCTCGCAAATTCTATAAGTTTAAGATAATCGTGAGTTCGTTCTATCGGTTAAACCTCGAAAAAATTGCTTATGTTCTGAACAACAATAGATAATAGATGCTCCTTGAATACAAAAAAAAAAAAGTTGTTTGGATTTGGATTTTACCCTTAAGGTTTTAAGATAGTATGTGACTCAACGTGTCGGCGTAGAAGGATAGTGGCAGGTTTTCATCTGTCTGTTATGGTACATGAATATGTGTAGGCTCAGGTAGGAATGTTTTGTGGGCAAGAGATTGGAAATATATCAAGCTTTGCATCGTCTGGAGCTCCTTCAGACAATAGTAGCTCTCTTTGTGTTAAGGGTGTGGCTCGAAATGGTTCTCCCCCATGGCGAGAAGATGATAAGGATGGACATTACATGTTTGAACTGGGAGATGACTTAACTCCACGCTGTAATCCCACTTTTCTATTACCAAGAGCTGTTTTGATAATCCTCAAGTTACCTTTTAAATTTTTCTAGAATTGTTTTTTCAATGGCTTTAAACAAACTTTAGGTGTTGTGGTGGACCTTGTGTACATTGTTTTGATTTCATTGTTCTGATTGCTCTATGCTCTTCTTGTTTTGCAGATAAAATCTATAGCAAAATGGGCGAAGGTATGAATTTATTGTTGTTGTACGAGTTATTTATATTATTCACAGGTCCAGTGTAGTACTCATATCTGATTCGAATATCTCCTAAATATTCCTTGTAGGTACTTTTGGTCAAGTGCTAGAATGTTGGGATAGGGAGAGGAAGGAAATGGTGGCAGTAAAAATTGTTCGTGGTGTGAAGAAATACCGCGAGGCCGCTATGATTGAAATTGAAATGCTGCAACAGCTTGGTAAACATGACAAAGGTGGCAATCGGTAAGTACTGTCTGTTGACTTTTCATCATGCATCACTAATCTGATGGAGTCGGACATAGTTTTCCAAGATTCTTTTTTTGCAAAAGTTAAGTCATTTTATTCCTTGCAGTTGTGTACAAATTCGGAACTGGTTTGACTATCGTAACCATATCTGTATTGTAAGTATTTAGTCAATTTTGTGATGTCTATGATTTTCCCCGGTTTGGGAAATAGTTGGGGTTAAATTTTGTGGATGAACTTAAATGGTTGCTACAGGTCTTTGAGAAGCTTGGATCAAGTTTATACGATTTTCTTCGGAAAAACAATTATCGCTCCTTTCCCATTGATCTTGTTCGTGAGATTGGCTGGCAACTCTTGGAATGTGTAGCATGTGTGTAGTCTTTGCATTCTTTTCAATCTACATGCTCTGCATTTTCATCTGAGTGTTGCTTGTTGCTGAGATGGTTACATCATTTGTTTTTGAATTTCAGCTCTTTCCATTTCTTATGGCAATTTTTCTTGTTTGTTTTTGTCTGATTTTGCAGTTATGCATGACTTGCGCATGATTCATACGGACCTTAAACCAGAAAATATTCTGTTAGTCTCCTCGGACTATGTGAAGATTCCTGAGTACAAGGTATATCTCAAATGCACCTAGGTGTGACCTAAATGTGGCCAGTTCAGTGCTAAAGGAATTTGCTTGTGTTTTTTTTTTGCAGGGCTCCCGATTACAAAGGGATGTTTGCTATAAAAGAGTGCCTAAATCAAGTGCAATAAAGGTGATTGATTTTGGTAGCACAACTTATGAGCGCCAGGACCAAACCTACATTGTATCAACCAGACATTATAGGGCTCCAGAAGTCATTTTAGGTGAGTAGCTCTTGTTGAAAAAAGTCATTCAAATTTTTAGATTCTGATATTTATATCACAAACTGATGGAGAAACATGGCCTTGTGTGCAGGTCTTGGCTGGAGTTATCCGTGTGATGTTTGGAGCATTGGATGTATCATAGTGGAGCTGTGCACGGTATGTGTCTGAAGTAGTTGATCTTTAATGAATGTTTGGGAGTTTGTTACCTTTTCTTTTATTGAAAGATTTAAGATCTGTAGGGTGAAGCATTGTTCCAAACACATGAAAACCTGGAGCATCTAGCAATGATGGAGCGTGTTCTTGGGCCGTTTCCTCAACAAATGCTGAAGAAAGTGGAGTGAGTTGAATCAAACACAGGGTCTGAATTCTGAAGTGATTGTATATATGGTCGGGTGTTTAACTGGATTTTTTTTGGGTTGTGTGGTAAAGCCGGCACGCAGAGAAATATGTGAGAAGAGGTCGTTTGGATTGGCCGGATGGGGCAACCTCAAGAGATAGCCTGAAAGCAGTATTGAAGCTCCCTAGGCTTCAGGTTGGACAAGTGTTGATAGTTTGAGTTTGATTTGGCAAAGTGTTATGATAGCTCATATGTGTTAAACAATGGTGATGCCTGTATTGCAGAATCTAATAATGCAACATGTGGACCACTCGGCGGGGGAGTTAATAAATATGTTGCAAGGACTTCTGCGGTTTGATCCGTCAGAGAGACTAACCGCTCGTGAAGCTTTGAGGCATCCTTTTTTCGCAAGGAGAAGATAGCGGGACTTGAATTTGACGAGTGTAAATAGGGATGAAATATGTATGATTTGTAGTAAGCATTTACCTCACAACCCCACGAATTCTGATATAAATTAACAAATATGCTTAGATCACTCTATTTTAAAGTGATAGGCGATTGTTGTCTATCTTTGTAAACTGGATCGTTCAAATTCAAAAGAGTTTTAGTTTTTGACCCTATCTATTTTAAAGTGTTGCTCATTAATGCATGTTTTTCATTAATATTAGTCAGAAGATGCAAAAAAGATTGAAAAGCGCATTTGCATTTGAATATATTGAAGAAATGGTATAACAAGAGATAAGTTGCAAAGAAACTCTGAAAGGCCAAAACTAATTTTAAATTCTCGCAATCGATTGCGTTACGCAAAAGAAACTCCTCCATTGATGAGGCCCATGATAAACCCAGACCAAATTATCGGAAAGAAACAGCATGTAGTTTATCAGCGGAAAGAAAACTACACGATTTGCAAGAAATTTCCCAGTTTCACTTGTTTATCTGTTTATCTCTGGAATTAGCCAATTTCGGCCTTGTCCGATTCTGCTTCACCTCTGCTCGTTCCCTGTCCGATCCTCGCAAAGCTGTATTGTCGTAAGTCTGTCTTTTACCATAATGTTATTGATTTTTCGATCTACGACGAGATTGAGCATTGAGTCTACGCTTTGTCTATTACAATAATTTTAAGAATCTTTTTCTGACGACTGGGATTAGATTGTTCTAATTATATCTGCAATTGCATTGTTCCACCCTTTGTTTTGTGAATTTTCAACTACTGTTTCATAAAAAGGTTCTGCTCAAATTTGTAAGCTCAGAAACTTGTTACCATGTACCAGTTTTAAAAAAATCGTGGCTTTTTAGTCCTGAGGATTTATATGTGAAGCTAAACTATGTGATTCATTTATGATAAAGTTTTTTTCTAAATTAATAACTTTCGATGTTTACAGAAGCAATAGGTAGATGGGTTCTGCAGCCAGACAGCCTCTCTTCTCTTTTGGTGTTATTGCTGATGTTCAGTATGCGGATATTCCTGATGGCCGCTCTTTTTTAGGTGTTCCTAGGTATTACAGAAACAGCATCCTTGTCCTCCAGAGAGCTGTTGAAACTTGGAACCAACATGGTAACCTCAAATTTGTTATCAACATGGGAGACATTGTTGATGGCTTTTGTCCCAAAGATCAATCCTTGGCTGCCACTAAGAAACTGGTTCGTGAATTCGAGAAATTCAACGGTCCTGTGTATCATATGATTGGCAATCACTGCCTCTACAATCTCCCCCGTGAAGAGTTGCTTCCGTTGCTCAAGATCCCAGGTCGTGATGGCAATGCTTATTATGATTTCTCACCAACCCCAGAGTATAGAATTGTGGTGTTAGATTGTTATGACATCAGTGCTCTTGGATGGCCTCAGGACCATCCGAATACTATCGCTGCATTGAAAATACTTGAAGAAAAGAACCCAAACTCAGAAAAAAACAGCCCCGCGGGTCTTGAGGATGTTGAGAGGAGATTTGTCAAGTATAATGGTGGTGTTGGGGAGAAACAGCTGCAATGGCTAGACAGTGTTCTTCAGGATGCAACGAATTCAAACCAGAGAGTTATCGTATGTGGGCATGTGCCTATGAGCCCTGGTGTGGCATCCAAAGCAGCCTTGTTATGGAATTTTGATGAAGTGATGAACATTATACACAAGTATGACTCTGTTAAAGTTTGTTTGTCCGGACACGATCATAAAGGAGGATACTTTGTTGATTCTCATGGGGTTCACCATAGATCTTTGGAAGCTGCTTTGGAGTGCCCCCCAGGTACGTATTCCTTTGGATATATTGATGTATATGAGAACAAGTTATCTCTTGTTGGTACTGATCGGATGCCAAGCACTGATTTTGAAAGCTAGAGTTTTCCTGAATGATCAATTATTTGAAATTCAGAATTTGTAATCACAAACCCTATTTATATGATGATTGTTTTGTTTTGATTGTACTATCATAGGGCTGCACCTGAATGTACCTAATATGTATTTGGTGCTTTGCGAATAAGATAAATATAAGTTTCGATTGATTGGATACAAGTTGTTTTATGAACTTCGGGAAGTTCTTAATCAGGAATCTATATCAGATTATCTGTATTGTTATGTTGATTAGATCAAGTGTTCAGCAGAAACTAGATGGTTTTCTGTATACTGAATGTCTGAAACTGCTAGAGGGTTTTTGAAAGAAGTCCAATTCATGGAGGCAAATGATGTTAAGGGCGCTAAATGGAAGGAAAGGATTGATTTTTCGTTTATGGTTAACTGCTTGGACTATGAGATAGTCATCTTGATTCAGATGGATGTGTAATGAAATGGTCTCAACAAGGCGCATGAGTTCGGTTGCAAAGGAAATACATTGTTTTATGTTGCAATTGCAAAATGTCACTGAAGAGTGAAGAGTGAAGAAACATGAGATGTAAGTGATTATGATTCCGAGTTTAGTAATTCCCTAGGAAGAAGGGAAAGTGTAATTGTCGTGCTGAATCGTTTTGGTGAGTCAACACTTCACAGAAGTTCTTGATGGGGTTGAATCGAATAATACGCAGTTGCAATCCGGTTTGTAATATTCACAAGTGCTTAATTCAAAAATGCTGCCTAAACCAACATCATAAAGAGAATTTATTGGGAGACTGCTTTAGCTAGCACACTTAGTGAGTTATGAGTACTTGTTCTAGAGATATTTAATCTAGCACATAAAAAAATTTTGATGGACCAACAATCAATCTCAGCCAACCTTATATACTTGAATTGCGCTACTCAATTTTATGGCTAAGTGATATGAACCCTAATTACATGGGACGGTGAAGTCTTCTAATTTATAAAAATTCTAAATAGATAGCAAGTGCATATCCGCGTTGCGTTAATGCTTGGATGTTTATAGATAAGTTAACCGTAATAAAGTTATATGATATGACCTAGATTCGGATGTTTGATTTCAGAATTGAGATCTAAGTAAGTCTAATTGGTACGATGAAGATTAATTTTTTTTTAGGTATTGTTTTCCGTGCCTCAACGTTATCAAATTATTGATAAAATAAATTATTATTAGAATATAAGATATGGATCTAATTAGGTCTAATTGGTATCACGAGGAATTTTGTAAAAAAAAAAATCTTGGCATTGTTTTTCGCGTCTAAATATTATTAGATTTCGAGAGTGGGATATAAGTAGGTCTAATTGGTATGGTGAGGAATTTTGTTTTTTCTCTCATTCTTGGTCATTGTTTTTCGTGATTGAGCATTATTTGATAAGTCAACTATGTTTATGTTTATTTGACTAAGTGATCGCTGGTTCAAATGGTGGCGTTTAGTGGCATTTATGTATTTAAAGATAGTTGATTGTATGCATACTATAAATGTGAGACTTTTTTTTTTCCACCGCTATAAATGTGAGACACACGTGTGACTTTCTCATAACTTTCCTCTTCGTCCCACTTCTCATATTCTCAGTCACCGAGTCGAGTCGTGGAAGAAACAAAGATAGGCTTCTTCACGGAGCTCCAAAACTCAATCGAGGTCACCGCTAAACTTTTAAAAGATAGTGGAGATTTGTGAATCGCCCTTACCTTTTTTATAATTCAAAGATTTTGTACCTTCAATCTATAATCTTTTGAAATCTGTGAGTTAAGAGTCTTACCTTTTGAAGTCTAGGCTCTAACACTAGGTTAAGTATAGAGATATATGACCTATTTTAATGAAAAATAGTTATATTCGTTTATACATCTCTAGACTTTTTTTGGGGATATACATGATTCAAAATTCATCTCCATACTAATTTATTTTAAAAAATTCTAAATAGATAGCATGTGCATAATTGCGATGCGTTAATACTTGGATGTCGATGAGAGGAAAAAGTTTAAAATATTATTAGATTTTAAACTTTGTTAAGGATTACTCATCATAGCCAGCGATAACAAGGATTCATTGATCCGAGAAAAATGTTATGCTAATTGTTGATTTAAACATCTCTTCATAATCTCCAACTATGCATCTGTTTCACCTTCTATTTTAGCATAAACTTCTAACTCAAAAATTGGCTCAAAAAAAAAAATCTTGGCATTGTTTTTCGCGCCTAAATATTATTAGATTTCGAGATTGGGATATAAGTAGGTCTAATTGGTATGGTGAGGAGTTTTGCTTTTTCTCTCATTCTTGGTCATTGTTTTTCGTGATTGAGCATTATTTGATAAGTCAACTATGTTTATGTTTATTTGACTAAGTGATCGCTGGTTCAAATGGTGGCGTTTAGTGACATTTATATATTTAAAGATAGTTGATTGTATGCATACTATAAATGTGAGACTTTTTTTTCCACCGCTATAAATGTGAGACACACGTGTGACTTTCTCATAACTTTCATCTTCGTCCCACTTCTCATATTCTCAGTCACCGAGTCGAGTCGTGGAAGAAACAAAGATAGGCTTCTTCACGGACCTCCAAAACTAAATCGAGGTCACCGCTAAACTTCTAAAAGATAGTGGAGGTTTGTGAATCGCCCTTACCTTTTTTATAATTCAAAGATTTTGTACCTTCAATCTATAATCTTTTGAAATCTGTGAGTTAAGAGTCTTACCTTTTGAAGTCTAGGCTCTAACACTAGGTTAAGTATAGAGATATATGACCTATTTTAATGAAAATAGTTATTTTCGTTTATACATCTCTAGACTTTTTTTGGGGATATACATGATTCATGATTCATCTCCATACTAATTTATTTTAAAAAATTCTAAATAGATAGCATGTGCATAATTGCGATGCATTAATGCTTGGATGTCGATGAGAGGAAAAAGTTTAAAATATTATTAGATTTTAAACTTTGTTAAGGATTATTCATCATAGACAGCGATAACAAGGATTCATTGATCCGAGAAAAATGTTATGCTAATTGTTGATTTAAACATCTCTTCATTATCTCCAACTATGCATCTGTTTCACCTTCTATTTTAGCATAAACTTCTAACTCAAAAATTGAATCAAAGACAATAAATGTGAGGTCATAAACAACTAAGAGAGAGAAGTCTGAACAGCCTGAATGACCCTTTTTGTGAGGTCATAAACAAATAACAATGGATATGGTTTATTCAGAAAAATGTTATGCTAATTGTTGATTTAAACATCTCTTCATTATCTCCAACTATGCATCTGTTTCACCTTCTATTTTAGCATAAACTTCTAACTCAAAAATTGGCTCAAAAAAAAAAATATTGGCATTGTTTTTCGCGCCTAAATATTATTAGATTTCGAGATTGGAATATAAGTAGGTCTAATTGGTATGGTGAGGAGTTTTGTTTTTTTCTCTCATTCTTGGTCATTGTTTTTCGTGATTGAGCATTATTTGATAAGTCAACTATGTTTATGTTTATTTGACTAAGTGATCGCTGGTTCAAATGGTGGCGTTTAGTGGCATTTATATATTTAAAGATAGTTGATTGTATGATACTATAAATGTGAGACTTTTTTTTTTCCACCGCTATAAATGTGAGACACACGTGTGACTTTCTCATAACTTTCCTCTTCGTCACACTTCTCATATTCTCAGTCACCGAGTCGAGTCGTGGAAGAAACAAAGATACGCTCTTCACCGAACTCCAAAACTCAATCGAGGTCACCGCTAAACTTGTAAAAGATAGTGGAGGTTTGTGAATCGCCTTACCTTTTTTTATAACTCAAAGATTTTGTACCTTCAATCTATAATATTTTGAAATCTGTGAGTTAAGGGTCTTACCTTTTGAAGTCTAGGCTCTAACAGTAGGTAAGTGTAGAGATATATGACCTATTTTATTGAAAAATAGTTATTTTCGTTTATACATCTCTAGACTTTTTTCGGATATACATGATTCATGATTCATCTCCATACTATTTTATTAAAAAAAATTCTAATAGATAACAAGTGCATAATTGCGTTGTGTTAATGCTTGGATGTCGATGAGAGAAAAAAGTTTATAGATAAATTAATCGTATTGAGTGTGATGTGATATGACCTAGATTCGAATGTCTAAATTTCGGATTGGGATCTAAGTAGGTCTAATTGTACGATGAGGAGTTTTTTTTGGGTATTGTTTTCCGTGCCTGAACATTATTAGATTGTTGATAAAAAGTTTTTTTATTAGAATTTCATTTAGGGATCTCATTAGGTCTAATTGGTATGATGAAGAATTTTGTTTTTTTTTTTTTTTTTAAAATTCTTGGCATTGTTTTCCGCCCCTAAACATTATTAGGTTTCTGGAATAGGATATAATAACTGGTATGGTGAGGAATTTTGTTTTTTTTTTCATTCTTGGACATTATTTTTCGTGTCTGAACATTATTTGATAAGTCAATTTTATTTTTGTTGACTACCGAGTAATGGGCCTAAAAATTTCCTTAAATTATGCATACTAAATGATCGCTAGTTCAAATTGTGGCGTTTAGTGGCATATATGTATATAAAGATAGTTGATTGTATGCATACTATAAATGTGAGACACACGTGTGACATTCTCATAACTTATCTCTTCGTCCCACTTCTCATATTCTCAGTCACCGAGTCGAGTCGTGAAAGAAACAAAGATACGCTCTTCACCGAACTCCAAAACTCAATCGAGGTCACCGCTAAACTTGTAAAAGATAGTGGAGGTTTGTGAATCGCCTTACCTTTTTTTTATAACTCAAAGATTTTATACCTTCAATCTATAATATTTTGAAATCTGTGAGGTAAGGGTCTTACCTTTTGAAGTCTAGGCTCTAACTGTAGCTAAGTATAGAGATATATGACTTATTTTATTGAAAAATAGTTATTTTCGTTATACATCTCTAGACTTTTTTCGGATATACATGATTCATGATTCATCTCCATACTATTTTATTTAAAAAATTTCTAATAGATAACAAGTGCATAATTGCGTTGTGTTAATGCTTGGATGTAGATGAGAGAAAAAAGTTTATAGATAAATTAATCGTATTGAGTGTGATGTGATATGATCTAGATTCGAATGTCTAATTTTCGGATTGGGATCTAAGTAGGTCTAATTGTACGATGATGAGTTTTTGTTGGGTATTGTTTTCCGTGCCTGAACATTATTAGATTATTGATAAAAAGTTTTTTTATTAGAATTTCATATAGGGATCTAATTAGGTCTAATTGGTATGATGGAGAATTTTGTTTATTTTTTTTTATAATTCTTTGCATTGTTTTCGGCCCTTAGGTTTATGGAATGGGATATAATAACTGGTATGGTGAAGAATTTTTTTTTTTTTTTTTCATTTTGGGCATTGTTTTTCGTGACTGAACATTATTTGATAAGTCAACTATGTTTGTGTCGACTACCGAGTAATGACGCCTGCAATTTTCCTTAAATTATGCATACTAAATGATCGCCGGTTCAATAGTGGCGTCTAGTGGCATTTATGTATTTAAAGATAATTGATTGTATGCATACTATAAATGTGAGACACACGTGTGACACACATTTATTTATTCTCCCTTACCAGAATCACATTCTCTTTCAGATCATGAACATCCATACTCTCCTCTTCGTCTCACTCCTCATATTCTCACTCACCGAGTCGAGTCGTGGAAGAAACAAAGATAGACTCTTCACCGAGCTCCAAAACTCAATCGAGGTCACCGCTAAACCTGTAAAAGATAGTGGAGGTTTGTGAATCGTCTTACCTTTTTTTTATAAAATAAAGATTATGTACCTTCAAATTTATTTTTTTGATAAACCAAAGAGATCCTGTTCAAGTAAGGTCGTACCTTCAAATTTATTCTGTAAACTTTTGAAATTTGTGAGTTAAGAATCTTACCTTTTGAAGTCTAGGCTCTAACTGTAGGTTAATTATAGAGATATATAACCTATTTTATTGAAAAATAGTTATTTTCGTTTATACATCTCTAGACCTTTTTTTGGGATATACATGATTCATGATTCATTTCCATACTATTTTATTGAAAAAAATTATTAATATTTATACTTTAAATTTGTACATGGGTCTCTATAGTTTTAGAAGGTGGAAAAGATATGGTGACAATTACATGGAAGCTAAAGTCGTCAACCAAGGTCGACATGGATGCTGCCTTCAAGACAATCCAAATCAAGCTTTGTTATGCACCGATCAGCCAAGTTGATAGACCATGGCGGAAGTCTGATAACAAACTCTCTAAGGACAATAGTTGTCCTCACGAGATTGTGTCCAAGCCATACGACATGACCCCCCAATCACTCGATTGGACCGTCGAACTTGATATCCCCTCTGGAACCTATTTCGTACGTGCCTATGGAATTGATGGAGATGGCCGCGAAGTAGCATACGGACAAAGCACAGATGAGGGAAGGACGACAAATCTCTTCAGCGTTCAGGCCATTAGTGGTCATCACGTGGCGCTCGACATAGCATCCATCTTTTTCAGTGTCTTCTCCGTTGTTTCTGTGTTTGTCATCTTTGTCATGGAGAAGAGGAAGGCCAAGGTTGAGCAAAGGAGGTGAGTGGATCAACTATGAGGTCTTTTGTTAAGTCGAATAAAAAAACGTTTTACTTCATGTCGTTTGTTTTTTCCGTTGTGTTAAAAAATAAGTATACTGTTTCACTTTCTCTTTTCTTTGTTGCTGTATTTGTGTACGCATCATCCGGTTAATTATCCAGTTAAAGCCAAATCGAATCGTAAGGTATTGGTTTCCGCTGCATGTGAAAAGGTTTTTTTATATGTAAGATTTAGTTTATATGATATGAATATGGAGGATTACTTATCCTACATTTTCTCATCTTGGAGAGATTCCACTGATTTGTGTTCATCTGAACTCTCAGTCACAAGTCTTTTTTATTGACTGAAATCGTGACCTTACTTAATCTTTGTAGAATCAATCCCATATATATTCATATAGTCGGCTTTTGAGTTTCGTACATTTCAAATTACACTAAACAAATACTAATAGCTAAGAGCTGTCAAATATTAATAATTTTTTATTTTTATAAGGTTGATAACTTGATATCAAATATTAATTTATCACTTCCTACCAAAAAAAATATTAATTTATCACTAAACAAACAATTTTGTAAGTTTAACAAATTAACCTGAAATTTTCAGTGCATAGCCAAACACCAAATAAAACAGATGCCAAAAAAAAAAAGAAAAAAAAAATCCCGCCTATTCTCAGAGTAAAGGGAAAATCTGAAAATTGAAATCGACAACTTTCTCGGCCTTGGTGTTCCCAATCCAGAGACACTCACGCCATGAGCACTCCCATGGAGATTGCCGAGCAAAACCCTATGGTGGAGGACACGATTCCGATTCCTCTTCCCAATGCTTCCATGGAGGTCTCTCACCAGAATCCCATTGAAGCAACGACTATCCCCGAGCAAATTGCCGTCGCTGAGCCAGTCGCTACACCCAATCCTCCTCCTTGCCTCCACGAGAACAAATTCCTCGTATCTGGTACATCAATTCTCCTTCTCTCGAATCTGGATTTCGATTATCGTGCTTCTCTTTATGAATCCCTTCTTCTTTCCATTTCTGTGTTTTCTAGTGGAGGTCTGCTTAAAGCCTTCAAGCACGGCTCGTCTAGAGGATGTCCAGAGAGCTGTTGAACGGTTTGTATCACATTAGCTAATCTATTATAGTGGAGGTCTGCTTAAATTAGCTCTGTGTTTGTTTTCTTTTTGATAATGGGATAGTTTGTGTTTGCTTTAGGATGCTGGAAACTAGGAGCATGAGCTATGCAGATGGACTGGTATTGATACCTGCAGACGACTTGTTCCTTGTTGAAAATGTTCAAAGAATTTGCATTTGTGATACAGGTATTATTTGGTCTTGTTTAGTTTCATGCTAAGATAGTTGTGGGTTTGATGTTACTGACATTTTTTGCTTCTGTATCTAGAGGAATGGGTGAAAAATAATGATGTTCTCTTGTTCTGGCAAGTGAAGCCAGTTGTCCACGCCTTCCAGGTATATGCAAATCTTATAAAGTTATATAGGCAGTCAACTTTGTTTTCTCTAGGTGTTCATGACTTGTTTATAATTTACATCCAGCTCTTTGAAGAAGGACCATGTGAGGACTTGTGCACAGATGGACAACCTGCTAGCTTTAATGAATGGATTCTACCCGCTAAGGAGTTTGATGGCTTATGGGAAAGGTCTGTCTACTAGTATGGTCTTGTTCTGGTTATCAAGAAGTAATGGCTCTGACACAATTTGTTCTGTGGTCTGGATCTTTTTGTTGTGTAGCCTAATATATGAATCTGGACTTAAGCAAAGGTTACTACGTTACGCTGCAAGTGCGTTGCTGTTCACGCAGAAGGGTGTTAATCCAAATCTCGTTTCATGGAATAGGTGAGGGAAGTGGCATGTTTTTTAGTACATGCTATTCTCCTAACTTACCTAGCAGTTCTTATTTATTTGTGCAGGATTATTCTTTTGCACGGACCACCAGGGACTGGCAAAACATCCCTTTGCAAAGCGTTGGCTCAAAAGCTTTCAATTCGGTGCAACTCCAGGTCCTCTTCTGGACAAAATGTTATTCTGTCAGATTAATCTATGTTGACTGTATTATCTCGATTTTATCTTTATATTTTGATTTTGATATGTGTTTCCTTCATCAGATATCCACATTGCCAGTTGATTGAAGTCAATGCTCACTCTCTATTTAGTAAATGGTTCTCTGAAAGTGGCAAACTGGTATGATACAAACTTTCCCTTTCTTTAACTCTTGTCTTAAGTTTTCCCTTTAGCATGCATTTTAATGCGGTAGATTTGCTCTACAAGCTGACTTTGTACTCATGGGTTATTGGACTTCAACCAGATTTGTGGCTACCTTGTAGTTGGTTCAACTAACGTAAAGATGTAACCACTTGTAACTGCCACTTGATCTTCCAAGGAAAAATAGCTATTCTACTTTATTTATTGATCAGTTGATCACAGTCCGTGGATTCCTGGGATGTCATAGTAGGCTGATTGGGAATCTATTTCATGTCTAGTAGTGATAGCACAAACTTCACCAATAGTTGTAAAGTGATTGGACCTATCTTAGATGAAAAGCTTTACTGGAATATTCTGTTATTCTCACTATGTGTACTAATTCCAACAATATAGGTTGCCAAGCTTTTCCAAAAAATCCAAGAGATGGTGGAGGAAGATGGAAATCTGGTATTTGTTTTGATCGGTGAGTTATGATTTTGTCATAACTTTTTATATTTGCAGGCTTGTTTCTCGCGTTAAGCCTGAGATTGTTTTCCCTGCAGATGAAGTTGAAAGTCTTGCTGCTGCGCGAAAAGCTGCATTGTCTGGCTCAGAACCTTCAGATTCTATTCGGGTAGACCAACTTGCTTCTAAATTTCGTATACACCTAGTATTTGTGAAAAAAAATCAGTTCTTAACCCTTGAAGACCAAATCTCGCTATTCATATGTTGCAGGTTGTGAATGCACTACTCACCCAAATGGACAAATTGAAATCAGCACCGAATGTGATAATCCTTACAACATCTAACATAACTACTGCTATTGGTAAGCTGGTAGCCTATTTTGATCCTGTCCTCATCCTTATGAATTTTTCTCTATAAATCTTTGTTCTTCTGCATAATATTCAGCATTGAATTCGCAATAGAAATATGACTCCGACTTGCTTCTACTCGTAATGCTTTACATTCTCATTCTCAGCCTCTAATGAAACTGTGTTTGCCATTCACGTTTAAGAGATTTCACACATCAATAATCTTGTTGCAGATGTTGCTTTTGTGGATCGAGCTGACATAAAAGCTTATGTTGGGCCTCCAACTCTTCATGTTCGTTATGAAATATTAAGGTCTTGTGTTGAGGAATTAATAAGTAAAGGGATCATATCAAGTTTCCAGGTACCATATAAGAGCACATCATATAGGTTTCTAATTCCATCTTTTCCTGTTAATTCCACTGAAGGAGGAGCAATTATATCTTATAAGCTCCAAAAATCTTGGTATAGGGCTGTGATGAACTCTCTATTCCAAGCTTTTCAAGTTTGAAAGAAAAAGCAAATGAAAGTGAGGTTCATGATTCAAATACAGTTCCCTGGTTCTGTAAACAGTTGATAGAGGCTGCAAAAGGGTGTGAGGTCAGTCTTTGGGAATACTTTTATATTGATTGTAGTGCAGTGACTCAGTGACAATAAAACTAAGAATACTATGAAATAATCCGATTATGAACTTGGATCAACTTCTTGATGTGCAGGGTTTAAGTGGGAGATCATTGAGGAAGCTTCCGTTTTTAGCGCACGCAGCACTTGCAGATCCATATAGCCATGATCCAAGTAATTTCCTGTGTACAATGATAGAAACAGCTAAGAGAGAGAAGTCTGAACAGCCTGAATGACCCTTTTTGTGAGGTCATAAACAAATAACAATGGATATGGTTTATTCAGAAAAATGTTATGCTAATTGTTGATTTAAACATCTCTTCATTATCTCCAACTATGCATCTGTTTCACCTTCTATTTTAGCATAAACTTCTAACTCAAAAATTGAATCAAAGATAATAAATGTTGAATGGGGTCATCTCCTTCATCACTGGTCAATGTATTAAGTAGCTTATGCTTTTGTTTTAGTAGGTTTCCATACTTGTCTTTTATGGGACTGAATTCTTGACATTAGCAACACTGAATTGGTTTCTTGTCTTTGCTTTAATCATCTCTTATTACTCGCTAGCTCATTTTTTAATTCATTAACCAAGTCTGATGAACACTGAACAAACTCCATGTGTTCGGAATAAAAGATTATGTACATGCATTATCCTTCTGATTATGTAACCAGAATTTGATATTCTGTTTGATCATTTGTTAATTTGATGAAAAATAACAAATCGTTACGCTTATGGTATCTTCCTTACGAAGCTTATCCCTAAGATGATATCGGAGTTCACTCAGCCCGGAAAACAAATAGTAAACAAAAAGGCGAGTAGATTCGAGCAATAAACTTAAGGATGATATTTTCTTGCTTTGTTTTTCCTGGCCTTAACATTTATACTTAAATGACTTGGTTTATGATGATTTTTTTTGTATTGACTTTGCACTAAAAAAATTTCATCAAATTAACAAATGATCAAGCGTAACGATTCGCAGCGTCTGCAATTATGAAACCAGAGTGTTGTTTCTTTTCTTCAAGTCTTTCTGAAGCTGCGTCTTGTTCAGCTTTCTCAGGATTCAACAGAATCATACTCTGCATTGAACTTGTCATGACCTCCATCCTCTTGCGTAATCTGGCTACGGCGTCATCTCTTGCCGCCATTGCGGCCTCGAGCAGAGTCAGTCCTTGTTGGAGTTCTACGATGACACTGTCACGATAACTTGTCTCTTTCTCTGCCATTTTTCTTCTTTCTCTTTGTTGATTTTTGTTTCCATGTTTTTTTTTTCTCTCTCTCTCTTGATATATGGCAAAAGATAAGGATTGGTTAACATGGTGGTAGCCATGGTTAACCAAAAAATCCCAATCTCGAGCACGTGGCTGGTCCTTTTGCGATATTTCCAGACGGTTCTCAAACCCCATCGGTGTCGGGTTTCGCATTCTAGATCCGACCCGGAATAGCAGCCTAATGTATAGTCGAAAATCGATCTAATAAAGGCCCTGTCTAAAAAGGCTCAATTGTGGCCCATCACGAAACCAAGCCCGTCGACAAGGGTAAGAAGCTGAAGAGTCGTTTAAAAAAACAGTAACCCAGAAAACCGAACTGAACCAAACCATGTTCCAAGGTTTAAGTGGATCAATTTAAAATTCCATTATATGAATTTGGATCAACTTCTTGATGTGCAGGGTTTAAGTGGGAGATCATTGAGGAAGCTTCCATTTTTAGCCCACGCAGCACTTGCAGATCTATATAGCCATGATCCAAGTAATTTCTTGTGTACAATGTGATAGAGACAGCTAAGAGAGAGAAGTCTGAACAGCCTGAATGACTCTTTTTGTGAGGTCATAAACAAATAACAATGGATATGGTTTATTCAGAAAAATGTTATGCTAATTGTTGATTTAAACATCTCTTCATTATCTCCAACTGTGCATCTGTTTCACCTTCTATTATAGCATAAACTTCTAATTCAAAATTGAATCAAATAACAAAAATGTTGAATGGGGGCATTACCTTCATCACTAGGCAATGTATTAAGTAGCTTATGCTTTTATAAAAAGTTTCCATAGTCCTCACTTATGTGACTGAATTCTTGACATTAGCAACATTGAATTGGTTTCTTGTATTTGCTTTAGTCATCTCTTATTATTTTAGGGGTTGTTTTGTATTGATTGATCAGAGAGTTCATGTCCCTAATTAAGTTTTGAGATCTTTTAAAATAATTTAATTTGATAATAATTTTGCAGTCTATATATTTTTGTCAGCAGTTTACATACCTACATACAGACTAATCAATTTGCGATTTGGTCAATAATCTCATCATATGCAATAGAACATACTGTATACTATAAAATGTCGATGATAAATTGATAATGAACAAATTACCACAGTAAAATTGTCAGAAACCAAGTCATCTGACCTGTTTATTTTTTCCGTCAAAGTCATCCGAAAATCTAAAGGCTGAGAAAAAACGAGGCTTGAAAATAAATAATAAACAAAGAAAGATAAAAGGAAGAGACAAGACAGAAGTGAGTAGATTCGAACAAGAAACTTAAGGCTGAAATTAAATCTGACATAATAAAACTTGGATTCCAAAAAATCCGAAATGGAGACGAAGAAGAAGAGAGATGAGGAAGAAACAAGAGGCCAAAGATGAAAGGGAGGAAGAAGAGGAGAAGAAAAAGAGACTAGAGTTGATGAAGGCAGCTGCACAGGCTTGGCTCAGCCACTCCCAAACCTCAAAACGTACCGTTTCAGAGTTCGAGGCGCAGAGAAAGCATGCTTTTGTCAAAGGAAAGGCTTCACGTTTCAAAACGGAGGCCTTGTCCGCAAAGCATCATCCGTCCTTTTTGGATTGGGAATTCGGACAGTCGCTGTGGGATCCCTACGAGATTCTTTCGGTGTCTAAGAAACTGGAACGCGAACTCACTTTAGAAGAACAAACCTTCTCTTCTTCAGATAATGGCCTCAAGAAGAAGAAGAAGAACAGGGACAGCAGAAATAGCCTTGGAGTTTGTTTAATCGTTCGTCTTCAAAGAGATTCTAACAAACCCATGATGTTACTGCTTCAAACTTGTAAATTTTTACACAAAAAATGAAATTCAATTGTGAGCGTCTTTCATTGGTCCATAGGTTATGCTCACAGTTATATCCCGCACCACAATCACATGCCCGATACAAGGTTTTGAATGGTTGCAATGGATAGTGTAACAAAGCCTATTATTATGATCCGACCAAGTGAACATGCCACTTGATAGAAGGAGATAAGAGGGTAAATGTTAATTAATACATTTTGTTTCAACGAAAGCTCTTCTCACAAACTCTCACATGTATCAGACAGAATTCAGCTGAGAAATGGAGACCATAATTAAAGCGATGAAATCAAATATGAAAGACAGAACCATAATCAGTCAGAACGACATAAAGCTAAAATTGAAATAAGAAAGAAACCATCCAAGTCTTAAGATAAATTTTAAATAGTAACATCATCCAACACATAGCAACGGAACACACCATGTGAAGTAGTAGCATGAAACCAGACTAGAGAGATCAGGTTTTATTTATAAAAACATAATTATTCCTGATAGATAGATAGATAGAGAAGAGTTGCCAATCCAAAGAGCTCATTAAGCCTCCTTCTCCCCTGTGAGGAGATCCATTACCACACCTTTGATGCTTCCATTGTTCTTCTTCAGCAGCCTCTTGTTCGTCACATCATCACAGAAGCCCTGCAAAATCACAATATTTTCAGCATTCCAATCTGCTTATTAAATTTTAAATTCACTAAGTGCAGACACACTTACCATTTCCTGAAGCTCCTCTAGAATAGGATCCCACTCGCTAACTCCACAAAGAGCATCAACCGACTGCTCCAAGTTGTACTCGTTATCCCTCAAGATCTCCTTGTTCAAATCTATCTCCTTGAAACCCATTTCCTCTAGCTCCTTGAGCATGGTTATCTCCACGTCATTCTTTTCTATGTCCTCTTGAAGAGGAACTGGGGTGTCTTTTGTAGATGAAGAACCACCAGACACGACCTCAACAGCAGGCATATTTGGGAACTCGACCATGTTAAATGACGAAGATGAAGATGAAGGAGAATGACTCTGAGGGATAGCAAGACGAACTTCACCAATCAACGTGTTTTCTTTCTCCAGGACCTGCGATTCACCAATTTCTTCTCCCTCTAGATCAGCACCTTTCACTGTCCCAGGATTGACATTGGAGCTGCCAGGTTGAGCTGACTCATAATTAATAATCCCTGGAAATTCACTTGAAAAATTCTCATCAAGGGAGGGGGAGGCATTCAGGTTGAGTCCGTGGAACTCATTCACAACAGAATTCTTGAGGGATGCATCAACCTAACCATCCAAAAAGAAAAACTGTATCAAATACATATGATAGAGAGAAACAAATAATTAAGGAAAGAAGCAGCACAGATCTGGCAAGTACATGTATCAACACCCAAACACGTTGCCCAAACTTAGCACCGTCAGAGGAAGCCATCCTCCAATAAGAAATGTATCGACCAGGTAACTCTGGTGCAACAAAATCAACTTTGACATCAAGCTCACTATAGATAGGCACACCCTCCTTTGGAATCTGCCGTGTGTAAAAAAAAAAAAAAAAAAACACTTACTAATATATAATAATCAAACAGCTATTGTCACTTTGTGCAGAGAACAAGCTAACTCAAGCCATTGAGTGTAAGTTCAAACAACATAATTGACCTGTTAGTGGTAAGAATCGAGCTAAAAGAGTGAAAACTAATGAAATAGTTTCTAACCTGTAAATCAACTGACAATGAGTTGCAGAACCTGTCCCCACCGATCCAGACAATCTGTGTGCCCTGAGGCCACACCAGCGAACCACTGTTCCTCATTTTCCAAATCTTAGTAAATGGGGCGGATGGAGCAACAACAGTTCCATCAACTACATTCACATCAAGGACAAAGCGACTGTCTAGTTTAGGCCGAGTACACCTGATGGATGAACCTCCATTGATTGTTCGCGGCACAGGATGGCTCGACCAAGGATTAGGAAACTATACAAAAAAGGAATGGCAAGAATTCCACATAGCTATCAGAGAAAGACACATAGAATAAGCAAGAAAAGGAATCTTAAACTTAGAAGAAGAGCAATACTTGGGTAAACTGTCCTCTAAAAGGATGTAGATGTTGAACTGATACAGGCTTTTCCATTCTTGTGTAATCCCCCTCGTTACCCATCACCGAATAGCAGATGGTGCAAAGATCATAGTCTTCTTTACTGCAAAATATTCACCAGCTAAACATATAAGTACAATAATTTCTAGCATGTTTATAGTTTCTACACTAGTAAGTAAAAGACATCCTTACACTTTCGACTTAAATCTAGGCCCAGTAATTGGAAGAACTCCACATCCATCACAACGGATGCCCTTATGGAACACACCCAATGAAGTCCAGTAATCACCATTGGTGCCCTTTTTGGAATGACATACACGACGAGCATGCTTGTTCAGGTTAACTGGATTTGGACAGGAGTAATTCAGGGTACTGCCACTAAAGGGACACTCGTTGAAATTAGCACCCAGTCCAGACGAGGTTGGTACATGACCAGAAGTCTTTGAATCAGTGGGTTCATTCAGATTAGCAGGTTTCCTTCCGGTCTGGGTCCTCTCAGAGATATCCGTCTTTTCAGCAGCGGAAGGAACATCCCTGCTCAGGGAAGGTCCTGAAGAACCAGGCTTAGTAACAGGTGAGCAAGGACTACTTTCCTGAGGAACTGAGAGTTGCCCTAGCTTGGAGATACAATCAAACATCTCACCAACTACAGGACTAGAAGTTGCAGCTTTCGATGCAAGGTCCATGTACACCTTCGATAAGGTATCACGCATTGGGTTAGGTACAGCCATCAGAACGTCATTTATACCCTTCTGGATTTTGGAAACCGGGTTTTGGCTGTTAGGCATACCCGCAGGTGTAGAACTCCCACTACTCTGTGGAGTAATAGGGTTTGTGGGCATGCCAGAGTTCAACTGCACATTGATCTTCAAGAACTTAAGACGCTGATTAGTAACATCAAAGAGATCGTTGTCATCAACAAGGGCAACCACATCCCCATCCTCATCAGAGTAAGTCAGAGACAAATCAGCATCCGCAGAGAGGTTAAAGAGAGCAGCGATCTTTTCCTTAAGACCAGCCATTTCAAGATCAAGCTGTCCATTGGCTTTAACAGGCACCCTGAAACGCCTAAGCACACCTCCATAGCTCACCTGGATGATCACAAACAAAAATAGTATCACTTCAATGAAATAAACAAACTATACAACATCGGATTGCTGAGGCAAAAGAAATTCCGCCAATCATCAAAGGTGATATATTGGTCAAGTTAATTAAAAAAAAAAAAATTGTCGAAGAAAACAAGCTTTAGCGATCCGAATCAAGCACCATGATACTGATTTGAAAACCAAATTACGATTCCAATTACGATAACTTATAGTTTTAATCATCCTTAGGGTTTATGATTCTAGCAGATACTGCTAAGGAAAATTTTCGAATTACACTTAAAATTACAAGACAGAGACAGAGTCGATCGAAAGCAAAATTAAAAACGAAAGGACCGATTACAAGCAACAATAAATCACGTAAACCTAGAACAAAGACATGAAAATCAACAGAAACGACACGATCGCCCCGAAAACAAAGAATCACCGACAATTACTGACGATTCGCAAAAAAAGAAAGAAAGGTTCTCTAACCTTGACGACGAGAGCAGTAGCAGTAGACTCCATCGCTCAAAAGGGGGATGAGATCAGCTGGAGAGAATCAAAAGGGAAGCGAGAAGAAGAAACCCTAATTGACGAAGAAGAAGAAGAGTATCGAGAGAGAAAAAAGAGAGAATCGGGGAAAGATTTATCCTAGAAGAAGCGTACCCGTAATCCGCTTTTATCGTAAACAGCCCAAGAATGTAGACGGTCGCGTATTATATATCATCACACGGAATATTTATTTAACTCAATATTTTAATTTAATTTAATGGGCCCTTTTTGTTTATTTAATTAATATCTGACTTAGCCAACAAGATTTTGACTTTTCTGGATACTACTGGCTTATCCAGTAAGACAAACCAAACTAACATCGCTAAGTTAAAGCCAAAAATATCAAGAGATATGATGATGCTTTTCTAGATTACTACTATTCAATAGATTTCCCTAAATTTGAAACCTATTATATAACTGGATATTTTATTTTTAATACTAACATTTAAAAATTTGACCAATTCTAATTTTACTAAAATATATTTATATTTTTAATCCAATAAATGAACATTTAGTATTTTATTTTATAATCTTAACTCTGATACCGACCCAAAAAAAAAACAAAAAAAAAAAAACTCTTTGAACTCTGATTTATGGAACAGCACCAATGCCAAAGTCCAAACTCTCACAAAACCAAACTCTTAATTATTCAGGACTATATAATTTGAGAGTTAGGGAATGAATAAATTTGTAAGAAAATGTGTTTTTAAGTCGAGAGTAGTAGAACTCGGTATTATCAAGCAGAAAAGATCGGCGATACCAAACAAGTAGGGATGGCAGATTTGTGATAGACAGTTCAGTCTCAACAAAAACATATATGGAATTAAACTAGGCTGGTCATGTAAGATGGTTCCCCAATCTGAGAAGAATTCATAGGAAAAAACGAAGCAATAAAAAGCAACGGCTTAACGAAACAAGGTCAGTCCAATTGCCAGCAAATGTATACAAAAGGCTACTACAGTAGATATGCATATTCAAACAAGTGACTGAAACATATAATAATAAACTCTCACGAGCAAAGACTTTTTTTTTATCTGCCAATACCTCCTCGGATAGGTCTGCTCTCAGCAATCCCCCAAAGCTATGTGCCTACGAATTAGCTTCCTCAATCGCCATATCTCAAAATGCAATTATCCTCAGCATCGCAGCTCTTAACTACCTAATAACAATAAGAGGCCAATCTTAGTTTCTCTCACCTGTGAATCCATGACCAGTGTTTCTCCCACTAGTACCCCTTTGCTGTTGGTATCCACCCTGCCTTTGCTGCCCCTGTCCCTTCTCTCTGTATCTTGGACCTTCTGTCTGATAACTCTCTTTCGATTGTTCTCCACTACGTTCTCCATCATAATTATGAGACCCAACAGGTTTGTATTCATAATGCATATTTTGCTTCTGTCTATCTCTGTTTGAAGGTGGCCTCTGATGGTGATGGTGCAGATTTTCTTGCGCCGGTAACCCCCAACCTCCTTGTGACTCCTGCCCTCTTCCAAATCGTCGACCCTGCCCTGTGTTCTTTTGGAACATACTATTCGGATTTTGCTCAACCTGGACCTCATTATTGGTAGATCGGTTTTGCGACTGGGCTTGTGTATCAGCAGATGTCGTTTTCTGTTCTGTAGTAAACCCTTGATGCTCGTATCCAGCAACATCTTTTTTCTGAGATCCATAAGGTTTGTCCCTCGTACTTTCACGACCACCATACTTACCTGTCCTATTAGCTGTATGCCACACATGATCTCCAGGGACACGACTTTCTTTTGAAGCAGCAGGCAAATCTGGTTGGTTAAACCCATGGCCAGAGTGCTGCATATGAGCTTTATTGAAATCCCTCTTATTGGCTTTTTTAGGGTCACCATAGTTGCTTCCTCCATCCTTGTTGCTTCTGGAAGCATGCTGCTTGCCGTGCATGCTCATTCCTTGATCTTTTCCAACAGCACTGGATTCCATTTCTTCAGCAGCAGAGTAATGCGTTTCAGGAGTCATATACCAGCCATCGTTCCATCCATCCTTATTACATGTGGTTTGATCCTTGGCAGCAATTTGTTCGGTTTGGTTACTAGAGTGATAGTTAACTGTTCCTCGAATGGGCTGATTTGAGGTTACATATTGTCCATCCTCCAAAGGTTTAGTATGTGCTCCAGAACCTCTCTGGTGCCATGATCCATGTTCTCTACCATGCTTTCCCTGCCTACCATTCCCGTGTCTTGACTTTGAAGGAGACCCAGAATTTCCTGCAGTTGAACCAGAAGGTTCGAGAATTCCTGTACCCTCACCTCCACGATTTTCTTTCTGGTTTACATTCTCCGACATATCTGGAGCAGAGTTTACTAGATTTTTACTGACGATTTGCTCAGCCATTTCTTTTACTATGGGCTTCGGTACATATCTTTCAATCTCCACTCTTTTGCTTTTAGAACTAGTCTGTCCATGATGCTGACTCTTTGAAGAGGTGCCAAACTCAGGGACAGTAGTCTGACTCCCTCCACCTGTGGAAACATCAGCTTTTTGCTGTGGATGTACTGGAGCCCATATAACAGCATTGTTGCCAGAAAATTTCTCGCCAGGCTTATTTACCAGTGAGTTTCTTTGAGTCCTACGCAAATGTTGAGATTTCCAGTTGTTTTTTGCCCTGTTTTGAGACTCTTCATTAGTGAAGGAACTGATTTGTTCAGACGAATCACCAGACACTTTGATATCCAGGCTTGGAACTGAAACAGACCCCGACTCCATTTCAGCTGCCCTTGCCCTACCAGTCTCAATTGACTCATCTCCCGATTTTGTTTCTTTTCCAACAGCAACTCTTGTCGTATTCATCGTTGCTGTCTCCTCAGCCTTGTGCTTTTTCTTACCATTCCTGTTATTTTTTCTTTTCGGGAAAGTTGACTCAGCTGAAACGCTTGACGTTGCTGGCATGTCTGAGTTATGGCTTGAGACACCTTCATTAACAACCACAGGAGATGGAACAACATCAAACACCTCTGTAGTAGCAACAGAGCTCCCTGTCGTTTTTTTCTCAAATAATATATTTTGCTGCTTCTGCTTATAACCCAAGCGCTTCTGTTTTGAGCCACCGCCATCACGATCACGTGGAAGATTATCCTGTTGGGTAGGGCCTACATTATTTGCATATTCTGTTGAAGTCTTCGTGTTTTGCATTGTGTTTTTTCCTGATCCTCCAGTAGGTTCTACAGAATTTGCAACTGCAACAGTGTTCTTCATCTCAAGAGCAGATGAATGAGACCCAGGATCTTCTGGCATGTCAGGGGGAGAAGCATTAGATGCAGCTTCCCTGTTCTTAACTGAACCCTCCTCAGATACTTGGGAACGTCTATTCAACTCTTCTAGTTTTGCGAGAGCCTTAGCCCGCTGATCTCTTGCTCTTTCTTCCTCCTCTTTTTGCCTCTGTTGAGCACGCTGCCTGGCTAACTCTCTCATCGTAGAACGCTTTCAGGGAACATGGCAAACACTCAGTCAAACCAAAAAAGGATGACTACAAACAAGAGATACATAAAAGTATAAATAACATCGAGAATCATATGAACTAGTTTATACCTGGTTGTCGTTTGGGTCTGCTGATATTCCAGACCCAGGCCTCCTGATGGAATCGGTATCCAAAGAGTCATCCACATTAACCTCGTGAAAGCTTTCTGTGTTTGTCTTCTGCCAAGCATCATTGCCTTCACTGTTCACTATTCGTTTGGTCTGAGGATCTGCTCTGCCTTGAGTCTGTTGAGTAGATCTCCTGTAGGTACTAACATCAAAACTTTCCCGACATAAAGGATGGCATAACTGGCCGAAACACTATTGAAAAATGATAACTGACCTGAATATGGCAGTTCCACCCATAGCTGCCAGTTCAGCATTTTTGTTTGTGGCAGAATCACCTTGATTATAGTGTAATGAGTTCTTACTATCACTTGCGTGACCAGTTCGAGGATTTTTTGCTGAAACTTTATTTACAGAGTTCCCAGAATTGACTGTACGTGGTTTGCTTTCCTGCTCATCTCTATTGACGACAGATGAAGCATTTTGCCAACCATCATTAGTTCTAGTTTTTGCATTTAAGCCCTCGATTTTCTGAATCAAACTAGGATCTCCAGGGGCAGCAAGTTCTGCTTTGATTGGTTGTACTTCACCACTTGCCTCATTTCGGATTTCTCTCCTCTCGTTTCTTGAAGTTTGCATCTGTTGAGCTATCTTCTCTGCATTCGGGAGCCTATTTCCTAGAAATTCTTCCCGCTTTGCTCTATCTTCCCCAAACCTCCCATCTTGGTGCTTTAGGATAACCTTGTATGGCCTTTGTGTTTCTTGAGAATGTGATGACTCGTTCCGTTCCAAAGACACTGAACTTCCAGGCGTATCATATACACCTTGACCAGAGTGATTGTTATAACCATGCGGACCAGTAGGCCTACCTGCAAAAGGCATGTCTCTGTTGCTGGGACTGCCATACCCCATGGGAGGACCATAGTAGCCTTCGTGTGGCGCTGGACCAACATAAAACCCAGGCCTAGTCTGCATCCTTGGGTGAACATAAGAGTCAAGCATCGGAGGTCTGAACATTCTTTCATTATTGGCGTGATTACCCCTAGGACCAGCCCCATGTCCAGGAGAAGGTGGAACTTGCGTAGGATAAAATGGAAAAGGATCCATGTGAAAACCCCCAGGACCCATTGGGGCACCATACGGGTGGTTCCCTCCGTACCAGCCACCACCTTGATGATTATTTACTGGAGGACCACGCCAAGCATCATACTGAGGAGGAAAATTAGCATTAGGATAAGACTGTGAACCACGTGAGTCCAATTGCCCTTCTTCTCTACAATGTCTAGGTGCATCTTCACTGTATGGTTGATTATCTCTTCTCCAGGAATCGGCATCTCCAATCCGTTCATTAGCTTCTGCGAAATAAAAGACAAGATATGGTCACATATAGTGCCCAAGAGAACATCCACTAAAAAGTGTACGGGGAATAAAGCAGTAAGAAGAATTCACAAGAACACCTGTGAGGGTAACATGGCCCTCTCATAAGAGATGATTATAAACATAAGTAACTCTCGAAATGAATACCAACATCTGTTCTATATCCCAAAACATAGAAATAAGAGGTTTGAAAGTAAGAACCTTCTGTGCAATCTACACCTTGCCCTTCCACAGATCTTCCAGACGAAGATGGAGGACGAGCGTGAGGTCCAGCTTCTGCAAATTTGTAGTTTCTAAGAGCCATGTCTAACGTATTTACTTCATATAAGCACATCACATTCTATCTAGGTAATCCTAAAACTCTCAGTAGCACATATTAGAAGGTCATCAAAGATTGAAAAAGTGGTCAACCAACAGCAAGCCAAAAAAGTCATTCCCGAAAGTTTTAACTTTGCTGAATATCCGTGTAGATAAACTTCTCAACAGAATTACATTTAGAAGTACCAACTTTCAAAATGAACCTGTCTGTGCTAACGTCACTCCCTTGAAGGCAAGGACGACAAGTATAAGATAGAATTGAGTACAGAGTGAAACAATTTCCATTTTTCTAGTTTACATGCTGATTGTTTTTTTTTGAAAAGAGCACAGAGAACTATTCTTAAATCAAAGTACTGTAATGCATGGATGACGATGACACAATAAATTTTACTGTTAATAGATTGTACCTTGTGGCCTTGTACTCTTTTCAGAAGTTTCCTTTTCAGCACCAAGGGAAGGAAAATCTCCAGAAGTCAAAGAAAACCCATCATTCTTTGATGGAGCAACTCCCTGTAGAAAACGATGAGAAGTCTTGAAGAATGAAGATAAATTTCATGGTAGATAATGCAAAGGTGGGCAAATTGTACACAACTATTCTACAAAAAAAACTTGAAGATTGAAGTTTGCCAAATAATAATGCAAACCCTTCCATCAAATTTTATTTGCCCTACCAGAATTCCAGACTTATTGGAGAACATGTGCCACTCAGTTGCCAGATTATCTTACGCACTTCAAAGCATTTCTCTAAGAGAAACAATAAGTGCCCTATAATTTGACAGATTCAGCATCCTAATCTTGTTCCCATAGCAAACACGAATTATGTATCCAGATATTAAAGTTCTATCCAGATTGAATATCAATCATTAATCCCAAAAAAGTAATTACCATTCACAGTCCCAAAAACATAAGAACTTGCTGTGTGTTTGTTGTAACTAATCACAAGTGAAGTAAGAGAAGAGTGACATGGAGCTTAACAGATGCAAGGATAAAAAGAAGATGCTTAGCAGAGTCACGATAAATAATAGAGACTAATTTAAAGGGAAGAACCATACCAACTTCTCTGCCGCCACATGTTGGCCCCATGTTGCAGAAGTCTCTGACACGGGTTCAGCAAATCGGGATAACTGGGAACTTCCTGGTCTTGTGTCTGCACTATGTGGACGCTGTAGTGCAACTGATGCCTGATTAGATGGAAACACCCCAGATGCTGATGAAGGCCGAGAGTTTGAATCCCATGCAACAGAAGAAGAAGAGTCATGTGCTTTGTTACTATCAGCAGTTGAAGGTCGAGTGACACTTCCACCAGAAGAAGGTCGATTACTGAGGTGGCTTGGTGAACCAGGGCCACTTTCAGTTCGTGGTGACAAGGATGATGTCCCCCAAGCATTCAGTGATGATTTACTGCCCCAACTAAGGGTCCCCCTACAATAGATGTCCAGAAGAAAATTAAACCATCTAAAATCTGAGGACAAAAAAAGAATGAGGGAAGTAGCATCTCAAACAGGTACAAACTTACTTTGGAACAATTTCTACATTTGGGTCAAGGCCTTGGTTCTCTAACCTTAAATTCAGAAGAGAAGTGTTCAGGGAACGAGATTACATATATATATTAAGTCTAAATGTGATCATGCGCTCATCAAATACCTTTGGCTTGGTAAGTTAATCGGTTTTGGAACAGCAACCTTTCCCAATATAGTCATGCCACTTCTTCTTGTAGTACCCCATCTGCTAATATCCAGCAAATGTAATTTCTCATCACCACCACAGACAATACAAAGCTCTTTAAGTGTAAATGAGCAAAGTATAAATGATTTACAATAATAAATTTATTAAAAAAACGATCAGCCCTTAAAATATGGTTTTCCATATACATTTTAAAACTTTTCTCTTCTCTTAATCAAAATGTTGATGTTGCAAATCAATAATAATGTTGAATAAAATTATTACACACTTTTAGTGCAAGTAATATGAAATAAAAAGTGCTAAACTCTCCTTCCATACATGGTGAATGTCTATCATGCAAGCAAGCTCTTTCAAAGAAAGAAAAACCAAACAGAGTTTCCTTCTATACCCCAGGCACATATAGTGATTCTATATTTTAACAGCAGTGGAATATACAGCGCACTTTAAACAAGTAATTTATATTAAGAAAAGACCGCATCAAAAGAAAAATCATGCAAGCATCGTGATCAGAGGCCAATATATAACTTATAACCCAGTAGTAAAACATAGAAAAGTTCATGATAAAGATAAAATTGAAAGAAGAGAAACCTTCGATCTCCTGTCGTGCTAGAGGTCATTATAAAGCAGCTACAAGATCCAATTACACCCCTAGAAACCTGTAAGGCACATACAGAATCAGATTCACAAATGAAATTTGAAGCTCAAATCCCTAAGAATCAAACTAGACCAACACTGGAGAACTATTGCTATAACACTGCTATGAAATGCGTTGGAGAATCAGACTGCCTATACAAGTTCCCAAGATGAATTGAGAGTCTATCTACATGAAGAATCCGGAGCAATCAATGCCAAAAATCAATACTTTCTAAAATTCACCATCATAACAGAAAGACAATGTTCGACAATCAAATTGCTACAAAAGCATAAAAGTATCAAAGATCGTCAAACTGCGAATCAGAAGTGGTTCCAGGCTAAATGACCGCAATACTAAAAAAACCAATTTACGTATACCCAAAATGTTGAAAATTTCACAATCAACGAGCTTTAACAACACCAGAAAGGAAAAAAAGAGCTTTAAAACATACAAATGTATCCAGCAATGTCAATCAAGCTCTACAAAAGGACCCAAATTACTTAACAAGGCTTTGGAGTCGGTAATTCTATAAACTCATCACTCGATTCCTCTGGAATACAAAGGGTAGAGAAAAAACTGACCAAAGGTGGATTATAGAGAAAATCTGCGTTTCTGAATAGAGGGGGTCCTCGGAAACCCTAGATATTAATTGTGAGAATCGAGCAAGAGGATGCAGATCGGATGTGTTCCTGGGCGACGATGGAAAAAGAAGAAGGGAAGATGAAGGAGAAAAGGAAGGATCTATGGGAGAAAGAACAAAGTGATGATGATGATGAAGCTTACGACGACGTTCAACGGATTGGTTGAAAGCGTCGAAGTTCAGGGCTGCACGGTTTTACTCAGCTTTTCCTCTCTTTTTTTTTTCTTTTTAATTTATTTATTTTCTTCTTCCTGTAAATTTTAAAATGAATGCTGATTAAAATAAAATAGAGCGAATAAAGGATCACCTATCTCAAAAAAAATAAAAACCAAAATTAAAGACCAGTACTATTCATTAACATCATTTATATATTTACCTACCCATTTTAAAATATAGCAATTAAAAAATATTTTCCTTTCTTTTACATTTTACTATTTTTAACAAAAATTTGTTTTGATAATTTATATCGTAATTTTTAAATAATAATCTTTCTAGTAAAAAAAAGTATGTTAAAAATGTGGAGAAATTGAATTATGTGGTAGGTTCACTTCTTCATTTTGAGGGCTTGTTTAGGGAAGTAGGACAATGGCAGGAATGATCCAATGGATAAGGTTTTTGGGTAATGCCTATGTTTTACTATCTTCCAAACCTCTCATGTTTTTTTTGGATTACACTCGTTTTAAAAGAAGATCATACATGAATCCGGTGTTTCGTAATCGAGGGTTGGAGGTATTTGTGGTGCTGGAGGATGATCTTAAGCTGATTTGAACTCAACACTAGCTAAAGTTTTTCCATACATTAACCACGTATAATAATTAGGTTTGAATCCTCTATCATACAAATGCTTTTAGATGCTTTCGAAATGAGGTATATAGTTTAATCTTTTTGAATTTATTACGAGCAAGCATATCACATTTTTTACTTTCGTAGTTGCTAAGTAAGCTTTACTCCAAATCGAACTTGATGTTTATAGAGAGAGAGCCATCGAACTTAAGAAAGTAGGAGAATGAGACACTTGAATTGCTTGAATGCTTACAAATAATGATCTCACCCCTTATATAAAAACCGACCTTTAATAAGATGGTGGTAATACTCATATTCAATAAACGGTAGAAAAATGTATGTAAAGAAAAATCTTAAATAATTTATCAAAACAAAATTGAAGAATGACCAAATATAATGAACTTCTTGGGTCCAGCCCATATGATCTTTGATAAACCCTTAGACAATCTGGGCTGTGGTAATATGTAGATTTTGGCCCATGGATCATTTATCCATAGATTAATCATTATTTTCTCTTTGTTACTTTCACAATCAACACCCCAAAAATATGTTATTACAACAATTCACCATTTGTTCAAAAAAAAAAACAATTTACCCTAAATCGTTTTGTCCAAATGTGTAAATTACACTAAAAACATGTCTAGGGCAAAGTATTACATATTCAATGAGCCTTAGCTAATCTAATTAGATGTGAAAACAGAGAAGTGACGTAAATCTAGAAAACAGAGATCCTGTACTAGTAAAGCATAAAGCATTCACCAGTCTCTTGTACTAGTAAACAGAGATCCTGAATAAATTCAGTGTCTCACTCGGTTCATGTACTGTCGTTTCCAAGGTCTGCCATTGACAAACCAAAAAGCTGAAACTCTTCACGCCAAAGCCAAAAACAATAACTTGGGAAATATCTTTTCTCGTGGAGAGAAACAAACAAAGAGCTTCGACCTAATTACACATTCTTCTTTTTCAGCTTACATATAAAAAGCCTTCTAGCGATCCTTTCACTGTGGCCCATTTGTTCTGTGACCTTTTGATCTTCTGTCTGCAATTCTACAGGTACTTTGTCTCTGGCTTTAATATTTTGATAGCTAGTCTCAGTTTAGAATCTGTCTGCCAGGATAAAGATTTTTAAAAATTTAATAGTTTTGAGTTTGAGTTTAAGTACATAAATTAGGTTCATAATTCAATATAAACACATGGTAACACATGTTACACACCTTTATCTCTTGAGATTCTTCAAGGGTTATTTTAATCTCTAACAAAATTCTTAACTTCGAATTTAGCAGCCAAAAAAAGGTTCAGTCTCGTTGGACACCACTTGTTTCCTTTTAAAAGAGGTCTTTTTCCAGCTATCCCACTCTGCTCTTCTTCTCTAAGCATTTGCATTCTTGTTTCTTGGTTTTGCGTTTTAGTTTGGAGAGAAAATGGGAAAGATTCTGAGGGTTCTGTCTTGGAGGAATATGTTGGTCCTCTCATTGGCCATCAACTTCAGCTTGATTCTAAAGATTTTGAAGGGTGACAGAGAACGAGGAGATTCATGGGACAGAACGGCGTATGTTAGCATATGGCCCGTGGTATCGACCACGGCTTCAGGTTCCTCTTCGTTGTCTTCAGCATCTTGCAACTATAGCAAGATCGAAGAAGACGATGATAGAATTATCAACCTCAAATTGTAAGTTTCTACTTACTCTTCCATGTTCTAGATTACAATTTTTCTGAAGAAAGTTATGTTCTTGTCACTACGGTGGATTTTTTTTTCCCCTGATTGCTTGTTTATACTTTCGTGGTGTTTTCAGAATAATAAATGTGTATTAATGGCGTATCCTATAGAATCTGTAGACAAATTTCTCCCTTATCCCATACTTGATTGCTTTGAAAGTCACTGATTATATAACAAGGAATCTAAGATTATCCTTTAAGCACGCAAGTGAAGCTCCAAGCTTTAATGCCATGATCACCATTCGATTTTAAATGCAAACATCGAAAAAGGGACAAAATCACAAAATTGTCGATCTAAAAGTTGTGGTTGATTTTTTTCCTGATGGTCTTGCATTGACTTGCCTATATTTTCTAACAATTTACTATAGTTCTGCGTATGCTTGTGTTCCTTAACGTACGCCGCTAGTTTGAATATTTGGTTCTGTTATTTACTTTGTTATGACTCGTCAAACACAAAAAAAAAATCTTTGCATATTGATCATGGTGGTCCATTTGTTTTCTTTTTAAGGGAATTTGTATATATTGATCATAAATGTCAACTGTTAAAGTATTAAAAATTAAATTGGAAATGGGCCATTCTTATTGTTAATGAAAGTAAAGAAGAGAGTGACTTTTTTTTTTAAATAAGGATTTGGTATGTGGAATGTTGTGAGAGGAAAGGAGGTTAGTTAGTGATGTTCCTTTTTGGATGCTCGCAATTAATCTAGTTAGTGATAGCCAATGGATTCAAAGTTTGAAAAATTTAGGTTGAGGAGACACTTGGTACATTTGAATATCAAACTCTTTTGATTCTTTCGAATTCCATTGTCAAAGAAAACTTATAAATAGGAAAAAGAGAAAAGTAAAGAGAGCCCACATTTAGGTGGACATGATTCTCAATACATTAATATTTCATGTCCTTTGAGGGAATCTAAAGGACTAGTTTGGTGATCTAGTACTTGACCATGTTTTTCACTGTTTCAGAAATAAGAAGATGATGTTTTATGTTCTCCATTAAAGAAAAAGACCCACGAATTTTTTACCTCTATGCTCAGCTTTCGTTGACTCAAAGATTAATATTCTTGTCACATTGTAGATAATACATAATGTATGCTAACTTTGATGGGGTTATACGCAGTGGCGATCCAACGGTGTATGAGACATATTGGCAGGAAAATGGAGAGGTTACAACCATGGTGATACCTGGATGGCAATCTCTTAGCTATTTTTCAGATGAAAACAACCTTTGTTGGTTTCTTGAGCCAGAGCTTGGCAAAGAGATTGTGAGGGTGCATAAGGTTGTTGGAAATGCTGTAACTCAAGACCGCTACATCGTTGTTGGCACTGGCTCAACACAGTTGTATCAGGCTGCCCTCTATGCTCTCTCCCCACATGATGACTCTGGTCCTATTAATGTCGTCTCAACTGCACCTTATTATAGTGTGAGTCATATTTATTGCCATCTCAAACTATTTGTATGTCTTGTTAGACACACCATTTTGCTGGATACTAGGTTTCTTTTAGGACATATATGTGTCAATCTAACATGTATAACCGGTTTGGTTGTAGTCATACCCCTTGATTACAGACTACCTCAAATCGGGTTTATATCGATGGGGCGGAGATGCAAAGACATACAAAGAAGATGGTCCATACATTGAACTTGTTACATCTCCAAACAACCCTGATGGGTTCTTGAGAGAATCAGTAGTGAACAGTAGTAAAGGTATATTGATCCATGATTTAGCTTACTACTGGCCACAGTATACACCGATAACATCAGCAGCTGATCACGATGTAATGCTCTTCACTGCTTCAAAGAGCACCGGCCATGCAGGGATGCGCATTGGGTAAGTACATTCTTGTTACATCTTGCTTTTGTGGGAGCAAAACAGAGAATAAGTCTCTTAAAACGTTACATTCTTGTTCATTTTGCAGATGGGCTTTGGTGAAAGGCAGAGAGACGGCTAGGAAAATGATAGAGTACATTGAACTCAACACGATTGGGGTTTCAAAGGACTCGCAGCTTAGAGTAGCCAAGGTTCTAAAGGTTGTGTCAGACAGTTGTGGGAATGAAACGGCCAAATCCTTCTTTGACCACAGTTATGATGCTATGTATGAGAGGTGGAAGCTATTGAAACAAGCGGCCAAGGATACTAAACGTTTCAGCGTTCCTGATTTTGCCTCTCAACGCTGCAATTTCTTTGGCAGGGTCTTTGAGCCACAACCAGGTACGTATGTATATAGAAAAACAAAGTATAAATGATTATAAAACCACTTCTTTTTTTTCTTCATTTGGTTTGGTGTATTTTGTGCAGCTTTTGCATGGTTTAAGTGTAGAGAAGAGATTGTGGATTGTGAGAAGTTTCTTAGAGAGGAGAAGAAGATTCTAACTAAAAGTGGAAAGCACTTTGGAGATGAGCAAAGTTATGTGAGGATAAGCATGTTGGATAGAGATACTAACTTTAATATTTTCCTTCACAGGATTTCATCTTCCTCTAATTCAACTTTGTAAGTGCATGTGCATGTGATTAATTATGATCGATTGTCATAACTAATATTGCAACAAGTGTTTTCTCCATATATATTATCGGAAATTTGAATAAGAAGATCAATCAAAAGACCAATTCATCTAACCATCTCGGATAAATGAACGAACATTAATTCATTCACTACCGAGCGTTTGTTCAAGTGTCGTCGGCATGTTGGTCTAGAAATTTTTAATTGTTATCTCTTGAAGAATCAGTTCCAACATTTCATAGCTTTTTTCAATGTTCAACTCCAACCTTAGGTAATCCTTCAAAGTCATATCAACAATGCTACGGAAAGATCATTGTGGCTATCTTCCATTTTACATTTGTGTCAGCTTTATTCAGTACTGCACCGTTTTTAAACCGTGTCTGACTTTTTTCTCTGTATAATTCAAAAGGATATAAAATCATCGAAAATCGTTTATATTTCATAACAAAAATGTTTAAAAAGTTGAACAAACAAAAAAAATTCCTAAACACCAACTAACTCTCAATAATACCAAATTGTGAAAATTCTCAAAATATAATTTCTTGTCACTCATTCATACTCTAAAAGTTCTACTTTCATGGTTGTAATGTGAAAAAAAGAAAAAAAAACTTGTAGAAACCAAATGTATCCACAATATCCATATGGATGAGGACAATGGTGGAGGTGAGACACAACCACAGAAATTAAACCATTCACGTGATGTATCTGCAAAATTCATCATCAACTTTCTCCTGACTACGCCACATCATATTTGTTTGTGGAACTATTCCATCGTCAAAACGGCCGTTCGTATTTTGTCTTTTTCCACAAATCTACTAGCTCCCTTCTTTATCAACTTGATCGTCTACATAATAACTATACTTGTCTTTTTCCCTATTCACAAATTAGTCTTTTTCTTGAGAAAAGTAATTATTATTTTGATGCCAACTTGATCCGAATCTGAGTTTGAGTTCCAATTATAGCCATTCTTGAATCTTGATAGCATTTTGCATTTTTTTCCAAACCTATTCATCCTTACTCAAATCACCATGTTCGTTGTTTTGTTTGATGCATAGCTCATAAACCAAGATATGTGTGTTTCAAACCTTCACCATAAGCAAGAAGCCCAACAACTTATATAAATTGTTTTCTAATTTTGTACTAACTAGTGATAGAGACATAAAAAGAGAGAAAACATGATTAAGAGTTGGAATTAGTGATAAGCTATAAATATATCTCACAGAAAACGTGTTTGAATTCCATTTTAAGGATAAATGATAGTACTTCAGATCTTTAATAAAGTTGTAGCAACTTGCATCATGATTTCTTTAAAACCAGAAAACAGGACTAGACCGGTTGGTCCACAGATTTTGGGCTCACAGGAATATTCCTACATATAACACTGCAACATATATATATAGAGCAGTAAATAGTAAATTATACAAAATCCAAAAATATAGTTACATTTCAAATCACACGAATTGTTAGAACGGTTAGATATTATGCCATATACTTAAAATAGATGTACAAACTTTATAATGCAAGTTTTAGATTTCAAACAACTGTTATATATATACACTATTATAAGAAAACTATATTTAGCTCTCTGTTATATCAAAATATAAGTAAAATCATCAAGATTTACAAAGTGAACAGCATGGATATACAACATGCTCGTTTCTGAAAGAAAATTTGATGTACTGCTGGATGAATTTGGGTCTAAATAATGGTCAGGCTATATTTTGAGCATTAAATTTTGATATGGAAAAGGAAAAGGCTTTTCTAATTATAGCCGGACTGAATTACTATACGAGTCGTGGATTTACCGATCCGAGGGTGAACAACTATTGGTTTACGCCCACATGATGGTGGGCTGGTGGCTTGGCGGGCCCAGGGTGGTTGGGTGCAACTCCCTCCTCTCCATGGTTCGATTCCTCCTGCTAGCTGTTATCAACATTATTGTGGGAAGTCTGTCAGTTGGACTTTGGTCCAATTGGTTTACCTGGTAGTCAGAAATGCAGGCGGCCTGACTACCCCCTGGCACTTAGTCGGAAGGCATTCCAAACTCGGGATAGGCAGAGTGGTAGCCCGAAGGGCCTAGCCGTTAACACGGTGGACCAGTCCACTATGTAGCACCTCGGTGCGTTCCTACCGGGGCCGACCGGATAGCCGATAGGGTTTATCAAAAAAAAAAAAAAAAAAAAAAAAAAAAAAACTATTGGTTTACCGTTTAGAGAATGGTCGATTTCTTTATGTTCAGAATTTTGTGAGTACGGATTTATATATTTACTGTCAATTGTTAAAGAGCCGATTTAAGAAATTTGTTTGATAATGAACACAAAACAAAAAAGATCAAAATTAAGGCCGGATTAATATACATGACACGTTATCTCTACGTCCCATGCTCTTGCCGTTTTGCTGTGATCAGTAAGTTCCCAAAGACACTTTTGCTTTCAACACAGTTCCACTTTGATCCCTTTTTGACAGTAAAGCCAGACGTACCTTGAACAAAACCCTAAGCACCTTTTTAATGTCATTAATCAATCTCAAACCACCATTTAATTAATACTTTGTTTATTATTGTTAATTCTATAAACTGTACTTTTCATCAAACTCTAAAAAGGTTATGACTTATGGGTCTTCTTTTGGATGAAACTATCTATATATGAAAATTATTCTTAAAAAAAAAAAAAAACACGTAAAAAAGTTGAGGCTCCCTTTTATTAAGCGGCAGGCTTGGGAATTGTTGACCACACTCTCATCATCTATCTCTTTCTTATCTTCACTGTTTTATCTTTTTCATTCAGATTAAATTAAAATATATTTTTTCTCCATAATTTCTACTCTTAACTCTCATGAATTATTGGTCTCTCTATAATAGTTTTTTAAGTAACAATCTAATTGTACGGATGTCTCTTGAGATGTTGAAGAATTCAGAATAAAGAAAGAGTGAGAGAGAGGGAGAATGAATTTTGAGGATCAAGAAGAAGATATGGAGATGTCAGGTGTTAATCCCCCCGGCGGTTACGACTCTCTGAGCGGCGAGGGAGCCACGTCGAGCGGCGGTGGTGGAGGAGGAGGAAGGAATAAAGGAGTTGGAGGGAAGTTGAGGTATAGAGAGTGCTTGAAGAATCATGCTGTTAACATCGGCGGCCACGCCGTCGACGGTTGCTGTGAGTTCATGCCTTCCGGTGAAGATGGTACGCTCGACGCTCTCAAGTGTGCAGCTTGTGGCTGCCACCGCAACTTCCACCGTAAGGAAACCGAAAGCATCGGCGGTAGAGCCCACAGAGTTCCCACGTACTACAACCGCCCGCCTCAGCCGCCTGGATATCTTCATCTAACATCTCCCACGGCTGCAGGGCAACCTTATAGGGCACCCGTGGCGTCGGGGGACGAGGAGGATACATCGAATCCGAGCAGCAGCGGCGGGACCACTGCAAAGAGGTTTAGAACGAAGTTCACGGCGGAGCAGAAGGAGAAGATGTTAGCCTTTGCGGAGAGGTTGGGGTGGCGAATTCAGAAGCATGATGACGTGGCGGTTGAGCAGTTCTGTGCGGAGACTGGTGTTAGGAGACAAGTTCTTAAAATCTGGATGCATAACAACAAAAACTCTCTTGGTAAGAAACCCTAATTTTACTCAAGACATGATTTAAAAGACTAGAGGATCATAATTGTTTCTTTTTTGGTATGACTCTTCTGTAACTACTTCTCTTTATTAGTTATGATCTTTTTTCCTGGACAATAGTTTCTTCTTTTAGTTCATAATCGTATCTAGTCGTTTGGGACAGTTTAGGACACATTGTGATTAATCTTCAATAACTTTGGTTCGACTGGTTAATTATATTTGAGGATGTTACAATTGAATGATGGACCAAACTATCCAAATTTAAAAGTACGGTGATTCTAGAGTTGTAGACCGATGAGTTTAACCCTCAGCTGTCTTTAGCTGTTTGTGTCTTTGTAAACACAATTAAACCAACTTTGGTAAACAATAAGCATATATACTCTTTACAACTTTCCTATATTAGTATTGCCATATTCCTATAGTTAGATGATACAAGGAGCCGTTGATCAAGATTTGTAGCTTTGTAATTTGTGATAGTGTTGTGTTAGACATAAAATCCAGTTTTTGCAAGTGTCTCATTTGACCCACTTTTTTTTTTCTCTCATTTTTTGAATATTTTCTATTTTTCTTAGTTCATTTAACTTATTTTGATTTTGTTCAAAAAGACTTTGAAACGTAAAATCAGGAACTTATTTATTTATTAAAGGTACTTGATCTCATGAGAACAGAAGTAGAATTACCTCTTGAACCAAGACAAGTGCATTGAAAGGCTTGAAATAAAATAATTAAACCAAAGATTTCCGATATGGAGATGATAGATTTCCATCTTGATGAAGAAAATGACGAATTCACATTTGTCACATTCCTCTCGCTATCTTACCAAGACTCACCGCTTAATTATCACATTAACTCTCTCCTCTCTTTTTCTTCTTATATATGCTTTGCTTTTGTCTTGAGATAGCTTGCTTCGAAACTTCTCACTCTTTTGTCTCTTTTTCACTGCACGACACAAACCCAATTAAATTAACCATCATTAATTGCCGTAACGGTTTTATGTAAACTTATCAGGTTACTACTTTTCCTCCTCAATCTTGTATAAAACAATTTATTATAGTAATCAAATGTGTACCGGTTTAATATTGGCTTAGTCATTGTAAAATCATTTGTATCGGTTATATATGTAACAAGATTGGATGAAGAAGAATAACACAAATTCACGACTTCTTCTTCGTTTATCACTTCTAACATAATTAGCAAACAATCAATTAATGTAGAAAACATAGTGAAAAATATATACTACCACAATTTTGTTGAGTTATATATCAATCTGAAAGAACATAATATTTTCTTTGATATATATAAATTTGATTTTCACAACTTTTTTCAATCGCCAGCGTCACCCAAAAATATTAATTATAAAATCCTTGATTGCATAATATTATTTGATCAAATCCTTAATTACGTTCATTTTTTGCTGACACATAAGCCAGTGTTTTTGGAGTTATTGGGCCGAATATTTATGGGCTTAACAAAATGAAGAAAGAGTTACGAACCCAACACTTCAGTTTCTCCCTTAAATCGACAAACTTCTATGCATTTTTCTCCTCTCGTCGATAAAGCAAGAAATCAAATCAAACTTTTCTAATCCTTTGTTGTGATTTTTTTCTCCAAGGAAGGTTAATTCGTATCGATTCGATTGCTAAACCCTAGTTTCTTTCGCTTTAAGATTTGAGAATTAATGAAAATCTATTGTTGGTGTTTAGGTTGCGGAATCATAGATATTGAAAATCGTAAATGTGACAGTCGATATTTTCTATTAATCAAGCTCGAATTCTAATGCTGATTAAACCCTAGTTAATTTTGTTCTTAGATTCGAGAAATGGAAATTTATTGTGGTTGCAAAACCTAGATGTTGCACCGTCTACAAACCCTAATTTTGAGGAATCGGCCTTGTCTAAGTTATTTTTGTGTTCATGGTTTTATCAAAGCAGTAAATATTGACAGTAATTAGGATTACGATTTTTATTTATTCAGATGGGTCTAGGGTTTAATCAGCAAAATTATTCAGATGATACCGAGCGACAATTCAGATCATTGACAGCATTAGAGAAGCTCCTGTTGGAGCTCAAATCAAGCGTGTCATTGATCTTCTCATTGAGGTTTGTGTTTGGTTGTGTCCCCTCTTTTTGTTCTTCATATGAGAGCTATAGGCCTATAGCTATAAATCATATATCGTTTATATTACGAAGCTGAAATGTTCGTTATTTAAGTTCAATCTTAAATGAAGAGTGTTATGCTGATATGCATTCCAATAAGGCTGTTTTTGATAGTTTAAGGGAGAATCCAAAAGTGCATTATGACGGAACAAGGTTCTCTTACAAGGTAACTAATTAAACATTTCATTTAAGGTGGATATATTTGTCGTTTCTCATTTTCTCTTTGAAAAATTTCATGTGTTTACAATTTTGCCTTGTCATCACAGGCTAGTTAAGCACGATGCCAAGGACAAGAGCCAGCTTCTCTCGTTGGTGTGTGAATACCCTGATGTGATTCCGGTGGTTGATTTCAAAGACACTTACCCGAATGTCATCGATGCTTTGCAGGTATGCATTGTTATAATTAGCGAGACACAAAGATGACAGTTTTGGAAATATAACTCCATATAAATATACTTTATTAATGTATGGCTATGTAGCAAATCTGAGATCAATGGTGACATGAGAGATGAATTTCTAAGCATTGGTCGCCTTGAATCCCCTAGGTTTTTAAGCAACTTATTTCTACGTTGAGTATGAGTAAAAACAAGACCAGTTCCAATCTTAAATTGTGTTTTCTACGGCGTCATAAGCTGTAGGATCTATCTACTGTTAGCAGATGTTGGTTCCATTCCAAGAAGGTAATTGATGTCTTTTATTTTGCAGGCTCTGCAGGCTACAAGAGACATATGGTTGTTATCAAATTCACAAGAGGTAATTGCCTACCCAAATGATTTCAAGAGTGAGAACCCTGTCCCGTTTTGGATTTTAATTAATTTTAAGCAATATATATTATATATCTAAATTTACATTTCTCTAAATCATTTGTAAACAAGCATCCACATATCTTTATGCCATGCATGTTTTACGTACACATTCATAAATGCGTACGTAAAATTTAAATCTACGATATTGTTTTTACTATTTTGCGAAGGAACAAGTCCTAAATAAAACCACAAATACAATTTACTATCATTAAAAATATATTATATTATATATATATATAAAGCTGATATGAAAAATTTATGATATTTTTTTCGCGGGGATATCCGGATATGAGTCCTAGTTAAGACTTAAGAATCTTTTTATCAAACAAAAATAATAATAATAATAGTTGATCGGCTTGTCCAAGTGTCTCTTGACAATCTTCACACACGGTTCCAACACTTGTTCCATATCTTTCTCTGCATCTCGGCTACACCTTCACCTTCCTTGGCTGCCCTAATTGCCTCTCGAAACGATGCTGTAGCATCCACCTTCTTTATGTCCCACCCGGCATTTCTCAACTTGTTGATCTTCCTGATTTGATCCTTTGTGAGCTGAAACGTGTTTTCTTTGATCGCTCTCACCGCCTTCTCATAAGCTTCCTTTCTCATAGCGTCCCATTTATCCATGTCATTGTCCCACTTGTACTTTTTGAGGTAGTCATCAAACTCTTGCACTCCTATAGCCTTCCATATCCCCAATGGCTCTTTCGGGGCCTTCTTAGCACGGTGGAACTCAGCGATCTCCTCGAACATACCTGACTTCATCATCACATCCAAACGCAAAGAAAGATACTCGAATAACACAGACTGATCCACATCTATCCAAATGAAACAACAATCATATTTCAACTCCGAGCAGATTGAGCCCTTGTGATCAGAAAACGGATAGTTTTCAGGATCATAAGATTTTGCAAGGAGAGCATGAATGTAGGAGTTGGATCCACCGGCAAGGATTGGGAGCTTTTTACGTTCAGTAATCTCGGAGATGGTTTTAGCCGCCATAACACGAAATTCTGCAGCTGTGACTTCTCCAGCCTCCGGGTTTAGCTCCCCGAGAAGGTGATGTGGCACTCCACGTCGATCGGCAATGGTCGATTGATTCGTGGTGATCTTCAAGCCATCATAAAACTGCATTTTGTCAGAGTTGATGATCTCGGCTTTGAAATGTAAAGCGAGATCAACCGAGAGTGATGACTTGCCAGAACCGGTGGCACCCATGATCACAACCATTTTGTCTTTACAATTCATGTCGTAAATTGAGACTGATAAACACGAATATACAAACAATGTTGCTATGCTAATATCACATTTTGGTTACCCCATACACATATATATACTGTATGAATGTGTTTATGAATGAAAGGAATGTTTACAATTGATCACATAAATCATTTTAAATTTAACTCTATAACTCTATATTAAAGTTTTATGGATTCGTTATTTTTGCTCATTCATTATTTTGTAAAATGCTAAATTAACATTTTTGAAGATATTCTTATCTAAAATAAGAATGAAAATATTCAATATTACTAACATAGAAATGAACATAAATTTAAGAGATTTAGTCTAATAACATCTTTTCACATCATTTTTGGAATATCTTTTTATTGATAGCTAGGTGTTTACTTGCCAAAAAAATTAATAACTCCTATATGATTTTAAAAGACACAAGTCCACTCATTCAAAAATAGATACATTGATAAAAATTAAATATTTTAGTCTATGTTAAATAATATTATAACTAGTCATAAGTTTTAGTTTGTTAGAATAATATTTATAACTAGTCATAAATTTTAGTTTTAGTCTATGTTTAAAGTGACATTCTTTTGATTCTTCGAATATATAGGGCTCGATTACACGTGCATAATTTTAAGTAAACTAGAACACTTTTTTGATAACCCAGTGTCCAGACCACACTGTGATCCGACTAGCCCACTGGGCCTAAGCCCGCGTGCCTGGGATTTTTAAGCCTCCACTTAAGGGCCCCCTGGAACTGGTGGTCTGGGACGCTGCGCCCCGCAGGTAAATTGCGCAGTGGCCGGGACTCGAAGCCGGGTAGCGGGTGCCTCAGCCGAGGTTCCTTTACCACCAGGAGACAAGCACCCGGTTAATAAACTAGAACACTTGTAAATCTTCTTAATTCGTTGCTCTCGTCTGTTTTTGGTTAACAATCGACACCGAACACACTACTCTGGTTAAATTAAGTATTTTTTTTTCGAATATTCGTGAGTCATTTTTCTGTTCCAGAAATTAGATCGATATAAAATTAGTAAGAGATGCAAAACTTGACCACATTATTTCAAAAACTGAATTACTAATTTATCATAACACAGTTTGTATGTAATGTATACATATTCATTTATTTATTTCCATTTGTATTGTGAACAAAAAAAAAACTAAACCCGCTCGGTTTAACATCCATTAGACGCGAAGGCGAATGTTCTCATCGTCGTCGTCAACGGCATCGGCGGCACCAGCTGCAAGATCAAGGAGTTTCTCCATCTGCACAGTCATTTCCTTGAGCGTGGTTGAGGCCTTGTCAGTGTTTTTCCCAACCAATTCATTCACGCGCCTCATGTTGTCGCTTGAAGCCCTGACGTCGTAGTTAGCCGTGTCCGGGGATGCCTTGAGCTTCACATTTGCACTCTTGAGATCAGCTGCCACGGCCAAGTAGGCCTTGTGGCACTCTGTAAACGCAGTCTTCACCGTTGGATCTTTCTTCGCAGTCTCATCTACGAAAATCGCTGTCTTCTCCGCGTGTGATGTGGCCAAGTTGATCACAGCCTCCGACAATGGAAGCTGTTTAAGATATCATTTTTAATCATTTTATTAGCATAAACTAATATAATGATCATTCCCATTAACGATTGAGATGTCAAAGAAAAAACAATTTGTTTACAATAAACAACATATTTTAAGAGACGTTAATGTTTGTATTGTTTCAAACCTTTAAGTCTTTTTGGCTTCCAACTAAAAACAAATTGGTAATAAGTGGATTAGCAAATATTTCTTATACGTTATTCTAAGTATCTTTTATTTCCGATGTGTGATTCTAAACACGTCAATTTCTGTTTAAGTGAAATATTTCAACCTAAAAAAAAAGCATTTCAACTTTTTCATATATAAAAATATTTGTTTGGTTGATTTGAAAACAAGGAAAAAGAAAATGCAAACGAATAATCGAGATCGTCGTACCAGGCCAATGGGAGCAGCTGTAGGGGGATTGGTAGTCAAAGTTTTAACGCAGAAAGCTTGGTCATGGGCACGATCACAGATGGCGTCAATGTATTTCATGTGAGGGGAAGCTGAAGCAGGAGATAAGAGTAGTTGCAACGTTATTGCCGTCGCGGCGAAGGTGGACAGAACAGAGGACGTTGCCATTTCTCTTAGCGTCGGAAGTTTTCTTGCTCAAGTTTTCGGTTGTTATTCAGTTTTATGTTGTTTGGCTTTAGTTTAAGGCGGATATATATATGTACACTTAGGGTTTCATCTAGGCCTGGATAACTTTAGAATGTGCTATATTATAATTGGTATCAAATGAAGTTAAATTTACTAAAACGTTTTTCCTATTTTTGCTAAATTTGGAGAATATATGTTAATTCGTGGTTTGTATAAATTTAGTCAAAGACAACGTCCGTTATCGTCTTTCTTTGTTTAGAAAATGGATATGCCGTGTTCATAATTGTTGAGCAAAATTAGAAAAGTAAATGCACTGAGGATTGCTTTTAAATTTATTTATTCAGAGTTATAGATTTAAATAGGTCATAGTATTAAAAAGAAGTTATTTTACTCATAAAATACAGAAATTTGTTAGATTGATGATATTTCCTTTAATCCCAGTGCTAATTGCATGTAAGAGAAGATGATAACTTGGATTTTGGCTGAGCTAAACAGAGACAATTTATAAGGTAGATATTATGGACGCAGATACAGAATGGAATATCCACATAATATTAACAAAATAGCACAATACACATTGAGAAAACGAAAAGAAGTTAGAAGAACTACTACTCTTGGTATTGTATATACTCGAGATTACATTAACTGATTCGCAAATCCCCGAAACCAAATCACATCTACCGACTTCTGTCCTAAACGAGAGCTTCCACCCACCCTCATCCCCTTGCTTCCTTTGCTGTTGCGTAGCTTCGGCTTTCCCTCACATCTGTTGCTGCTGCTACATCCCAGCTCCCACTTCTTCTTCCCCAGCTTTCATGCCTTGCTGCTGTCCTTATCGAGCCTGCTCTCTCATGGTCAATGTCCAATGTGTGATGAGGCTGATTGTTGTTGGCCTCTTCTGCATTACAACGCTGTGAGAGATTAATAAGATCTTCTCCAATGTCTAGGTCGTCTTCCACTTTCTGTCGCCGAGGCCCATTTTCATCATCTGCTTCCTCTGATTCCCTGGTGGTGCTAGGCAGGGTAACAACTCTTGGAGGTTCTTCTTCGATGAAGGCTCTAAAGTTGTTCCTCGAGGGCTTCACCTTTGAGCAAAATACTTCCAGGAAATTGTTTGGACAGCCACGGTTATAGACAATACTCCTGCTGTGTGATGATCTGTACCGGAGTTTCTCATAGGTTGTCTGAAAAACTTGCACGGTGTTGCTATCAGTTGACTCACAATTTGCATACAATACTAATACCAGAAAACAATAACAGTGATTGCAAGTAGAAAACAGAATTCTAAAACAATAGGGACCAACTGACCTGGTTTGTACTTATGAGGTACAAGTGAAACGCTGTGAGCCCTCCAACAAACCATAGGGCAATAAAGCAATATATCATCAGCACAACTGACCAAGGTGATTCTTTCATTGCCCTCCACACAGTTCCTTGTTGATCATTCATCAGAATCTTGATGTATATAGCCGACATCGAGAAAATATAGATGCAGAGAAGTGTTGATGAAGAAACAAACATAAAGAAATACCTATAGTTTCTCTGCCAATGGACACAACTTTCTAAGTCAGAATCTACACATTTACAAACTATCTATTTAAGTCAATATGCTTTTGATTGAGCTTACCAGTCCAATGCATTGGCCCACCCATGGGCAATGATGATCAAACCGCTCAACACAGTTGTTGCATATGGAACAATGAGAGCAGCGGGGAGGCCTGTAAAGCATGCATGTATCACAGTATTTCACTCTAACAGAAACGCCATTAACCATGACTTCTTTCGTCCTAGGAATTTGAACACTTGGTGTTTGTCTTCCATCAGCTGATACTGTTGTCTCATAGCGTAGTTCTTCTTCTGGTGGATGCAAATTTCGAGGAACAATACCAGGATCTCGTGCAGATGTGAAGAAGAGGAGGATCAATACCTATCAAAACCAACTTTGTGATTCAGAAAAGCCAAAAATAACAACGCCTGAATGCCACACAACAGGGGACAGAACAGGAAGACATGGTTTAAGCTTCTAAGTCTGGTAAGAAACAAACAAGGAACATTCGTATGCTACATGATCGCAGGGTAGTAAGTCATTTTTCAATTTAATTAATTTAAACCAATCAGGGTCCATCCCAGTGATCAAACTTGGATGCTTCATTAACATGATTACATGATAACATTTAACCATCAAAAAACAGCTGATAAATGTTGTTGATAACCCGATTAGGCAGCAAGCAAACAGGAAACAAACATAAAATCAGAAATCAAATATTTACAAGAATGAGATATATAGGACCATCAGATGGGTATCGGAGAAGACTTACATAAATAGTGAAAAGAATTGCTACCACCAAGATAGCATATCCCGCATTGTAGGGAGAGAACTCATGGCGAAGGTGCCTTGCTACAAATACACAGAACAAAACAACCGGAACTATGATCAATAGCAAGGTAAGAGGCAGTGACCTAGCATCTGGTCCAAATATCAATCTCCCACCAAGGATGAATTTCTGCAAAAGAGAAAGGGAAGAGCATTTATTGGTATCACCATACTGATTTTAAAACATGTGAAGAGTCAAGCATTCAGGATACTTGCAATTTTTTTATAAATTCCAAGGAACATTCAACTTGATACAAGGTTAAGCAGAAATGCATGGTCATGCTTTGAGAGTGAATCAAGAGACACAATGATGTATAATAAGTACTTTGAAGATTCAGCTCAACAACATTAGTTTACACGTACCAAAGTGAACCAATTGCGTAACTAACACTATGCTACACAGGTGAACTCGAGAAAAACCAAATTTCAAATCATTTTTCATGTAAACAGCTCAAGGAACACTGCAAAAATCAACTAAAACCCAGTAACGTTCATATCAGAGAACAGAATTCAGAGAATATTCTTCTTCCAACAAGAGAAAACACACAAAAACAAAAAAAAAATCCAGGCTCAATCATTCGATGAAGAATAAAAAAAAGACTTACATTGCTTCCTTTCCAGACTTGGAATACCCGTTTTGTCATGGGGAGAAGAAGAATAAAGCGACAGAATCAGAAACTCCTAAGCTACCCAGCGACGGAATTCGAAGGATAGCTGTATAATTCTCGCCGTGTTCTCTATTCCAGCCAAAATTCGCCAGCCAAAATCCTCCGGCGAAGAAGAGGATTTATTCCGACGAAGAAAGCGACGGAAACCTAACAGTACCAGAGATCGCTAGCAGAACCCTAAGGATTACGCAATTAAAAAGGCTCGCGAGCGACTTCTGGTCTGACCTCCCTCAATGGTCGACGAAGACGAACGAACGAATAACCTTTTTTTTTTTTTTTGCTCTTTACGATTTTTTCTCCCTTTCTTCTGTTTATAAATATGACGTCATCATGTTTATCTCCAAAACCACAAATTACCATCTGCATTGGGGGATCACCCCCCCTGATCTAAGCATTATTTAAATCCAAAAAAATGGGTTAATGGGCTTAAGATCAGGAACTGGGCTCTTGACCTGGATCTGTTCTTGTGGGTGTTGCGGGGTGACGTGACATTTGGGCATTGGTTGGAATATTCAACATATTTGGAATAAATTTGGATAATAAACTATGTATTAATTAGATAAAATATTTTTGTGCTTTTATTAAGTAATATGTTTGTTTGTTTATTGTTATTTATATTTTTAATGTTTTTTTCATAAATATTTAGTATTGTATTTTCACTTTTATTTTCAGTTTTTCATAAATTTGGCATTTGCAATTTATATGTTATTTTTAAATGTTTTAATAATTGTAAAATCTTAATTTAATTTAGATTATTATATTATTAAGTCTTAAGATCTTACACATGTTCTCCCACTAATCAACTTCTAAACAAAAGATCTAAACACATGATCTTACATTATTTTAACATTATATTCTCTATAAGAACACCCTCACATGATCCCCCATTGATGATGCCCTAGTGTCCTCAATTTATCTGCGCATTTTTGTGTCAGATTCATTCCTCGTGCAAACTATACAAATTTCAGTTGTAGATTTTTGTTTTTTATGATTTAAGCGGAATACATATATTAAACTTATGTCAGAAAACAACAAAATACCATTTGAGTCATTTGTGTATTTTTGTCTTTTTAATTGAATCTCAATTACAATTGATTTGATTGCAAAGTTTTGACTAATTCCATTGAATTGTTTGAACCAATAACATTTCTTCTCAATGAGCCAATAAATTGAGATGTTTGAATGCACATCTCATGAAACAACCTAACCAAATCAGCGTGCTCCATGGATAACTCTTTTGTTTTATGAGAGTGATGATCTCATTTGTTCTCTATCTCTAGATGTCGAATTCTTTTGTCAGGAGTCCCACAAACTAAATAGTTTAGCAACACATACCATTCATCGTATAGTGTAGACTGTTTTAAGTGCTAGTTTTTGTTCTCCAACTAAAAAGAGTGGTAGTTATTCTGAATAGAAAACAAAACATCTGAAAAATGGCGGGCCATGTGAAATAAAATAGAATATGATGCCAATTGAGACAATAATACTGATATATAGTCGTAAGAAGAGTGATAAAAAGCTTTGTGAATCCTACCTAATCTAAGCAGGGCCGTTCGCTCCCACCAAAGGACAAATCTCTCTCCCGCACTCATCTCTGTTCATTGGTTCCTCCCAAAAAATATCAATCAAATCGGAATAAACTAAACGAACCCTCGAATATAAAGCTCCATCCTTTCTCTTTCTATCTCTCTCTCTCCATTGTTGACTGACTCTCTTCCCTCGTAAACATCGCTGTCTCTAATGATGGCCTCTCTCTCAGGCCTCTACTCTTCTTCTCCATCTCTCAAACCTTCCAAAAACCTTTCCTTTAAAGCATTGCCGGCGCTATCCCGCGATTCCTTCTCTTTCCCACATACATCTAGACCCACCAATTTACCGTTGACTCTCTCCTCGGCTCGTTCCGTGGCACGCGACATTTCTCATGCGGATTCGAAGAAAGAGCTTCTCAAGGATCCGGATGCGTTGTGGAAGCGATACCTCGATTGGTTCTATCAGCAGAAAGAGCTCGGGTTGTATCTGGATATTAGTCGGGTCGGATTCACCGATGAGTTTGTGGCCGAAATGGAGCCCCGGTTTCAGGCTGCGTTTAAGGCTATGGAGGATCTTGAAAAAGGGTCTATAGCGAATCCGGATGAAGGAAGGATGGTTGGACATTACTGGCTTAGGAACTCCAAGCTCGCACCTAAGCCTACTTTAAAGACCTTGATCGAGAACACACTTGATTCTATCTGCGCTTTCTCCGACGACATAATCTCTGGAAAGGTTAGTTTTTGATCCCACCTTGTTTGGCATTTTGATCGCAATGGGAAATATAGCTCTATGCAGTGTGTCTTACTTAGATCACCTTCTGAATTTTGGAAAGTTGATTGTTTGGCATTTTGATACTGGAAAGATAGTTGTATGCAGAATCTTACTTAGCTCACCTTTTTGAATCTTGTTTGTTTGCTATCCCCCACTCAATTTTGTTTGTACATTGCAGATAAAGCCACCATCTTCTCCTGAGGGTCGTTTTACTCAGATACTTTCTGTTGGCATTGGTGGGTCGGCTCTTGGACCTCAATTTGTCGCTGAGGCCTTGGCTCCTGATAATCCTCCCTTGAAGGTATCACATACTGTTCTAGTTGCAGTCAACATTACATTCCCTTGCTGTTAACACTCTTGGCCATCCCCTTTAACAAATGAGTGTTTTTTTCTCTTGGCCTCGTAAAAGGATCTACTCTCTTAGTTTTCTGAAAGAGTTTAATTTGTTATCTACTGTTTTTTGACTTTATGTTCTTCCTTTGGCTGTTGACAGATAAGATTCATTGACAACACCGACCCTGCTGGAATCGATCATCAGATCGCACAACTTGGGCCAGAGCTTGCATCAACTTTAGTAATTGTCATCTCAAAGGTGTGTCCTATATTCAGTTGTGTTTATATGATGGTTGGTCCTGATATTGGCAAGCATGATTAAGTTTCTTATGTATATCCCAGAGTGGAGGTACTCCTGAAACTAGAAATGGACTATTGGAAGTGCAGAAAGCATTCCGTGAAGCTGGTCTGAATTTCGCAAAACAGGTGTTAATCTCAGGTTTTTGTTTCTGCTTTTTTTGCTGAAATCCATGTCTCTACGAACATGGGAAGAATGCGGTATTATAATGGCCAAACTGGTTTACACGGCTGGAAGTAATCTCAGAAAAGTGGACTAATTATTTCATCTCATTAACAAAAAAAATAAACTGGCTTCTCATGGATCATTAGACAGTAGACACCTTCAGATGTATTGGATATAATTTAGCTTCAACTTCTGCCCAACTGTAGTTCCTCAGCAGCAATTTCCCGCTGTATGCTTATGCAGGGTGTTGCAATAACCCAAGAAAACTCATTGCTGGATAACACGGCAAGAATTGAAGGTTGGCTAGCTAGATTTCCTATGTACGACTGGGTGGGTGGAAGAACATCAATAATGTCTGCAGTTGGTCTGCTTCCAGCAGCACTACAGGTAATTGGTACATAAACTTACTTTGTATGACCATTCGTTGCTTTTATTTATACTAAAGCATTGTCATCGTATAGGGGATTAATGTTAGGGAGATGCTTACTGGTGCTGCTTTAATGGATGAGGCTACTAGGACAACTTCGGTAAGTCGTACTTATTGCAGCTTGTGTTGAAGATGAGTTTACTTACCAGGGTTTTAGTAGAATGTCATATCATACGGTTGGGTTTCCTGACTCATACACTTTAGATAGTCTCTACCATGACTCACTCTAGCCTGTAAATTTCTTTCTTCTTTCAGATCAAGAATAACCCTGCAGCGCTCTTAGCTATGTGTTGGTACTGGGCTTCCAATGGCGTTGGTTCCAAGGTGTTTTTCCTCAACTTTTTCGAGAGTTCTAAGACTATCAAGGAGATTGAGTTCTTATTGACCTTTTTACTCTTTTCTTGCTTTCTTTTACAGGATATGGTTGTCCTTCCTTACAAGGATAGCTTATTACTGTTTAGTCGGTATCTGCAGCAGCTGGTCATGGAATCACTAGGAAAGGAGTTTGATCTTGACGGTAACACTGTAAGCATACTCTTCAATTTTCTCCGCAGTACCCCAAATCAAAGTTCATGAGCATGTACTGAGAACTGAGAAGTGTAAATTGGTCTTGCAATTAATGCCCACTCTTATAAATCAGAAGACCTTGGTTACTTAATTACTTGTGCACATGATTGAGTTCAGTTTGTTACCGCTCCTCCTTCATGGAAGAATTAAAAACTGTGTACTGTTTCCTCAACCCTGTTATTACGAGTGTGATTCCATTTCCAAGGAGCGGTTATTTGAATTTGCAGGTTAATCAAGGGTTAACTGTGTATGGAAATAAGGGGAGCACAGATCAGCACGCGTGAGTTTCCTTTATTGAGAGACATAGCAAGCTCTTTATGCAACGGTATTTAATTTTTATTTTATTTTATTAGCTACATTCAACAGCTGAGAGATGGTGTGCACAATTTCTTTGCAACCTTCATAGAAGTGTTACGGGACAGACCCCCAGGTCACGATTGGGAGCTTGAGCCAGGTGTCACTTGTGGAGACTACCTCTTTGGGATGCTACAGGTCTGATTTATGAATCTCGTTTCGCACAACTTAGTCAGAGATAATATCCACTCTTTAGTAACACTATATTTGATTTATTTTTCCCGCTGATAAGCTGGTTTGAGTTTGTCCAGGGAACTAGATCTGCTTTATATGCAAACGGTAGAGAATCCATCAGTGTTACTATCGAGGAAGTGACACCAAGATCTGTTGGGGCTCTTATAGCTCTTTATGAAAGAGCTGTTGGATTATATGCCTCAATTGTGAACATAAATGCTTACCACCAACCCGGTAGAGATATTCCGCCCATATCTGGAAACCGATGTTCTGTAATTGCCTAATTGATATTTGTTTACTGAATCTGAATAAAAAACGATTTCAGGTGTGGAAGCGGGGAAAAAGGCAGCAGCAGAAGTTCTGGCCCTGCAAAAGCGGGTATTGTCAGTTCTTAATGAAGC